TTTTTGCACGGAAGAGTCGTTATCGAGAGATTGAAACAATTGAAACAGGAGCGGTGGGCTGTCTCTGTGTCAAGAAACAAGATCGACGACAGACGCCGGACCAAGGGGTAGCGCGAGTAAAATTATCTCGGTTCGGTCGGTGAACGAGCGAGGAAGAAAAATGGCGGTGAAGCGAAAAGGAGAGAGAGGAAACGTCGGGACGGTGGATTTTCTACCCGCTCCGACGTCGCTTCCTCCGCCGCTAATTGGCGAGAATGACGCACGACCCTTATAATTGCCCAAACGATGCGAAGAAACCGAAGGATGATATGTGTCTTCCTCCCGCGGGCCGCGCTCCAACTTTTCTCGTTTTCCTCGGAAATTTTCATCGTTATCGGATTACATTTTCTCCGACTTCGTTAAACGTAATATTCAAAGATCTCCTTACACGGTAAACCGATATACCTCTTAATTGTTGGCAAAACATGCCCGGCAAACAGTTCTTGGTTTCTTTCATTCCGTCGGAAATATGTACGTAACCATTTTCATTTACTCGTCGTTCTTAAAAACGAAGCAATGAAAAATAGAAAATTCAAGACGCTGCGACACGGCGGCGAAGGTCGCCGAGGAGAGTGCTTTAATTAAACCTTAATTAGTAACCTTATTTCGTAACGAAGCGACGAAAGCATCGAAAGCAGAGAAGCGAAAGCTATCGCCCGGAAGATTTAAGGGAACGGGCGAGCGATCTTGACCAGCATTGTAGCACGAGGGTGAACGGAGCTACATTTCGTCGGAAATTTATGCTCCAGCTTTATTCTTGGTTTCTTTAGACAAGGCCTCTTGGACACAGAGTTTTAACATTTTAATGGGAGATTCTAGAGGTCGAAATAAGACAAGAATCAAGAATACCAATTTGTTGATTGAATAGTAAGGAATAGTTTGACGAACGAATGTAGCTGAGGTTATTGTCTAGGCCCAATTCGTACAGAATAGAGCCTCGTGAAACTCGTCCGATTCGACGAAAACGTAACCGTCGCTCGAAAGAATCGAGGTCCGTTTCGCAGACCCCCAAAATTTCCTTTCATAGTTCTTAATCGAATGTCTTCACGGTGGCCAATGGCCGCCATCCGCGTACCATTCTTGTCTTCCGTTCTCCCGGGACGAGTTGCTCCTCTCCGCGACGCGTCTTCTTCTACTGTTACTTAGATTTAAGGCGTCACGGGACATTAAACGTCGCTGCTCGGCCGGCACCCTTCGACGTTCGTAGACACCCGACGAGAGGCGAATTTGAAAGAAGAACTCGGAAGTTGATAGTTAGGTAATTATCGTAAATTCACCGGGCTTCTCTGCCGTGACGATTGCCGTTCTTCCGTGGCGCAGGACACAGCCCCCTTCCTACGGCAGAGCAAATTTCTGTAAATATCGATGAAACCGACCATTTCTCATCCCGAAAACGAGCCACTCCAATTTCGAAAGAGTTTCTGCCACTTCTAACTTGAAACCTCTTCTCGCAAGGAACCGTTCCGTCGTTCGAGTCAGAGTTTTGGGCTACCACCTCTATCTAAAAGTGAATTTAATATACCGTCGAACAGAGAGCCCGTGAAGTAAATGGAGGCTATTGGAAAAACCGACAGTCATGTTTACTAGCACTCGTAAAAATGTCAGGGGACCATCGTGGTCGAAATCTGGAATTACGGAACGATGACGAGGCAGCTCTTCTATGCCAAGTCTAATGGCGTTAACCATACCGTAGGGAATGTAAATAATTTATTTACAATAACATTTTTACGAGATACTTGTTGCCACCTTCCGATCTCGATTAACGAGTGGTACCGAGACACACTGCGGACAGTGAAGAAGGAAGAAGACGGTGGAGAATATGGAAATATACGAAGAATACTTTGGAGGATGTTTCCCCGAAGTCACGCATATGGAAGCTATTCCGGGGGTTGTCAAGCAACGATCACTGTCACGGTGGTCAAAACTGCATCTGTGGTTTCGGCAGACCGACCCCTCTTCGCGTTTCAGAACGTCGGACACTGATCGGTCTCGACGGATGCTGGATCTCTCACGATCCCTTCTCAGCCTTCTGAAAAATCGGCTGCTTTAAAACGGAGAGTAAAACAGCGATCGAAAGCTGATGTACTTCTCGAAATAATAGTATTGTGAGCAGTGAAAACGACGGAGGAGCGTGGAAAGCGAGGGACAAAAGCGACAGGAGAGAACACGATGTCTTGAAGGCACACGGGAAGAGAAAGACGATGACAAAGACACGACAGAGTGTCCAGGCTCGACTCATAATTTTCCACCGAGCGTCGCACGATGCGCGACGTGTACGTGTCACGGCGTCGCGACGCACTCGTCCGTCTCAACGCGGCTGGAACACCAAAAACGAAGCTATTTTATTGCCGTCCTTCGAGACGGAGATTCCTCCATTTTTCTTTGCGCGGTCTTGCGGTTGTTTGGTGGCTCCCAACCGATTCTCCAGTTGTGTTTGAAAATCGCTTCTTCCAGTTAGAACCGACTGCTTTGCAGAGATGGAGAAATATCTATCGATCGATGGCTTCCTCTTTAATTTCGATCACTTTAAAAGTCGTGTAAGGCACGATATTATGACTAAATATTTGGCAAAGCAAAGGGTCAACGGAGCCTATTTTATAAGATAACCTGATACATTCGGCGGTTCCCTATTTATTCCGAGGAAAATAATCCGACTTAAGCGAGCGTCGAAAGTGGACAGCGAACGAACGGGCGCACAGACGCGTTTTATTGGGCCAGCACGGTTGACAGCAAGAGTGACTGCGCTCGTAAAAGCCTCGTATAAATAAAATCGCCGGGAATATAATTGTTGCCGAGAGCCAGTAACGTTCGTTCCACTCTGAAGTGTAGAACGCGGTCAGCTGTCGACAGTCCGTTCTCCAGCTTTTAATGCATTTTTACGTCGATCCTTACCAAACACCGTAAAACTCTCCTTTATTCTCGAATTCTACTCCGTGCCGGTCAGGCGAAATATTCTTATCCGCGCGGTACTTGGTTTCGATCGCTCGTAATTCCAAAGTATTCGAACCATGGACTTTCGGGTTACAGTAACTATTGCTCCTCTTTTCTCCTAATTCGAATCAGAAGCAAGAACCAAGGACCGTGTATCTCGAAAAAAAAGCGGGGGAAGTTCGGCGAGTAAGAGAAAGGATCGGGGTTCTCGCGTTAAAGCGAAATCGTTACTCGACACCCTTGTGTAACGAGAGCCAAGCCGCGGCCATGAAGAAGACCAATGTTCTGGGGTCATAAAGAACCGTGATTCGAAAAGACCCTGAAAATCGACACCACCGTGACGCCGGCGCCTGTCGTTTACTCTGTTTCCATGCTGAACTCGTACACTTTCGAAATTTCGACACTTTCCCCAGAAATTCGAACACGGAAGTTCGAGTTTTACGCGTTGGGAGTCGAAAAAACCGCGTCCACTTTGAAAGTATCGCGAACAGGAAGAACAAAAGACGTCCAACGAATTCCGTCAAGCGTGAAAGTGTTATCGCGATGACAGTAAAATTTCTTGAAGAATCGTCCGCGTACGAGTCTTTTTAACCCCGAAGAGCTGCGTGGAGAAAACGGCAAAGGCCCAGCGGTATCGTTTCGAAACCAATCAGCTTCTAATGAAGGTGGAGCTTGACGAGGAAATCTCCACCTACTCTTAAAATGCGCTATTTCTCTCCTCTCCTGCGTGCGTGTCTCTCCGCGTGGAAGGCAGAACGCGTCGAGGAACAGCGGGGGTGAGAGAGAAAGAGAGAGTGAGAGACAAACAGTCGAGAGGGGAAGGAACGAAGAGGAGAAACAAATGAAGAGACCGAGGAGGAGATCTTCAAGTACGTTTTAACTCGGCCAAGTCAGTTGGCATCCCGCCGCACCGACTAATACGATGGTTTCGTTGGAACACGGTTTCCGCGGTGATCTTTCGATGAAATCGATCGGTCAGTTGTGAATTTCGCGCGCGTCCTGACCGAGCAAACGAACGTTTCGTCTCGAGGCGGCAAAAACGACGATCTCTGTATTTCCGTAGTGGGTGATTATCGTGCGAATGTCCGAAATTTCGCATTTAAATTGAAATCGAAGACATTACGCTTCCCTAGAGAAACCAACAACCAGAAGGATATTCTCAATCCTCGCTACTGCGAAAGAGAAGATCACGAGAAGACACAAGGATCGTGAATTTCGTTAGAACTCTAACGCGTAGAGGAGCGATTCTTCCGACGGGAATTGATATTCGCGTAACGCGATAATTGGGTCGCCAGGGTTCTTTTTATCCCGCCTAATTTGCATCCTCGCGGTTGCATTTAAACGCGAGGAGTGAAGGCGCGCATTGACTCGATTCGCCCTTTTCAGCGAGGGAACGAATCGTAAAATTGATCGTAACGAACGACGAAATCTTAATCGTAACCATCGATAATATATTCGGCGATAAATCTCCGATAAAATTTCCACGACGATGCGTCGTCACGGATGCAGGAGAATTGAAACGCTCCCAAGGTAGTTGAGGGATAAAATACGAGAAATTAATGTTCACCGGACGAATACACATAGACGCGACTCAACTTTCAACAATTATTATTAAACGAGTGACGGACGATCGTTCGAATAGAAATAGAAAAGTTGGAACGACGAGGCCGATAGCGAGGCGAAAAATATTTTCGGAAAACCAATAAAACGTTTTTCGGAAGGTCGTAAAAACACTGAGGCCGTGCTCGACCGCCACGTGACAAACAAGACCTTAATTGCTGTGTCACGCTTCGCCTCGGCGATGCTTCGATTAACATATTCGAGCGCAAATTACGTATGAAAGGACCATCTCGTATATCTTCGTTTACCCGTAAATAATTGTTACATCCAGCCGAACAAGTTGGCGGTACCGGCGAATCCATAGGACGCCCGTTTCCGGAGATTGGAACGCGTGAAATGTCATATTGCGATCCGTCGGACACCGCAATAACGAAATCATCCTACAACGGTCGCCTCCGTACCTCGAAATAATCGCCCTCGAAAGGAACGTTAATCGATGCGTCCAGTGAACGAATCGAAAGAGGAATACAATGTTGTGCGCGAATTCCGAGCAAAATGGAAACAACGGCGTGATAGTTTCGCAAGTCGCGAACCTTCACGCGCCGCAAGACTTCACCGTTTCGCGCCTTTTATCCACGCCGACTCATTCGTTGGGTAAGAATCCTATTCGATACCATTTAATTTCTTCTAACGACATTTGGAATTCTTTGAATACGTGATAAAGAAACGCCATGATTTTTACTTAAAAGCGACCTATCGGGTTTTGCCATCCGACCGCAGGATTAATGCTTTCGTTTTTGCCGAGATAAAAAAAACAAAGAATTGTTAGCTTTAGCATTCAGGACGCACAGTGTTTTACGTAATTTTCTGTGGGCACACTGTTCGATATATTAATTCTTACAAACGCTTACGTAACGTGACAGGAATTGCTAACCGCGGTTTAGAGATCGCGCGTGTTTCGCAGAGGCAGACAACCGGAATATATCCTTGACGCGTTTCCACGTTCAATCCATGGTCCACGGTGCGTTTGATTCCATCGAAATCATGCATTTCCAGTCATGCTGTTCACGTTATACCGCTTTGATGAATGCTCAAGCACAGTGGATTCATTCAAGAATAGCCGCGCCTATGCCGCCTCTCTTCTCATTCTCCTTTAGTTTTTTGAACGCGTTGCTTCTTCATCGCTAGCGGCATCTCCGAGCATTCTGGTTAGATTTTCGTTTTAATATAATTAATCTCGCCCCCTGACCTCTCAGGTACAACAACAAGTCGGACACTTTCTGATCGTATAAGCAGGGTCTGATTTTCTATTTTTGGTCTAGACAGATCCTTTGTCGATGGTTCGATCGTTCAATTTTTTTAGAATGCAACGAGAGTTCCTCGCCGGCCGCGAGCAGGAGACCCAGACGAAGCAGAACGACGTTTTCGGCGCAACAATTGGCTGCTTTGGAAAGGGTCTTTGAAAGGACGCACTATCCCGACGCTTTCGTCCGGGAGGAACTGGCAACCCGAGTGTCCTTATCGGAGGCCAGAGTCCAGGTAACGTCTAGACTATCGTAATGAGTCGGAAGTAGTCGCGGGGTTTAACCAAGACCTTTTAGAAACAGTTTGCATAATAGAACCAAGGAGCAAAGAATGTCCCGGATGACAATTGACGCGACGAAAAAAGCTTCGACCTTAAGTCGCGGTAGTATCTTTTGATGACGACTTCCACTTTGCAAAGAGGAAGAAATGTCCGTCAGAAAAAGTATCGGTGCCTGTGATGGGCCAGGTTCACACATGTTCCACGAGATTATGGTGGATAGCGGCATAAAGACAGACGGAGGCGGTGGCGGAGGGTGGCGTAGGGAAGAGAGGGAAGGAGAAGAAAAAAGTGAGTAACGGAGAAGGAGGGTGGAGGTCGCGGATAGCTAGGCAGAAAATCGGAGGAGACAGGTTGTCAGGGCAAGGAGCTATGATTAGCTTGCCGGGATATCTGCGCCGTTCCAGCAGCATCTGTGCTTGGCATACGGCACAGAGGGTATGATGCGCGGCCGTATCCAGCACGTGTGTGGTGTGGCTCGTCTCTTCTCTTCTCCTATACACGGTCGGGCGGAGAGCACACTTTTCGTTGCTCGTGTCAAACCATCCGCTACCGCTGGGCTGTTGCTACGTCCCGCGTCTCCCGCGGATGTCTGTCTATCCGTCTGTCTGCGGACTGTACGCCTGCCAGGAGCCGTCACGCTGTCCCGTCTTTGCTCGGTGCATCCCTCCTTACCATTCGTCCGTTCGTCTCCACCTCGCTTCCTTTCCACGGTCCGGCCGGAATCTCCTCGATAAGACGTTCTAACGACAATTCCCTCGCAGGTATGGTTTCAGAACAGACGCGCGAAATTCCGTCGGAACGAAAGGAGTTCTGCTATTAACCGCGGAGTCTCCTCGAGCAGGGAAATGGAAGCCGCGTTGCCTCTGCGGCCAATCCGAGTAACCCACGCCCCGGAAAACAACACGGAAGCTTTGCAAACGTCTCAAACGGCCCCGTATCCGTACACCGAATACTGGCGGTCGTCGCAACACTACGCTTCCATGCAAGCGACGACAACCTGCCACGGGTTCATCAACGGTAATTTGGGAAACGTGAATCTTCCGTCTTACCATCAGACGGAAATTCACGGGGGACTAGAGGGAACCGCGATGAACAGTCTGAACGCGCTTAGGTTCAGAACGCATCCGTACGGAACCGCGTACTCCGCCATGCACGCGAGCATGTAACGTCTTCGTGAAACCGAGCAAGTGCTTCCGATCGCGATGAACAACCAGGGAAAACAACCTGATACACCGAAGAGAATATACACTATTTTTAGACGAACAATGTCCGACCATCGGCTGCATTTTCATACACTTTTTTTTTATAAAATTGGAATAGAATAGGAGTAGCGTGCGGTCAGATGTTTGTTTCCCTGATTGTACGTGCTTATCGGCAATCCCAAAGGCACTTCATCTCGATAGATGCCAATCTATCTGTTTATCGAATGCCAAAGCTTTTATTCTGTTATGTAAGATAATCCAGAAGCGCGCGAAATAACGAAGCGATAAAGACTAAACGCTCACACGCAATTATATAAGGTATATAGCGTTTAAGCACAAAACACAGGGTAGAATTTATGTAGCGTAATAAATGATAAAAATCGTAAATATATTATGTTATTGATACAAGAAATATATACAAGAAAACGATATTATAATCTACAAAGCCGACATTATATGTACGTTAATAGTAAAAAAAAGGAAGTTGTATACGAATACAAATATTGAAGTACGGAAGAACGGGACGTTCACTTGTTGCGGCAAGAAACATCTAAAATTACAGTCGTAAACAAGTATGGTTACTTGTACACATATAGTACGTGAATATTGGCACAAAATTAGAATTTATAGATGTATTGGTCATATTCGTGTCTTTTATAGTACTAAACGAGCTACAACCACGTAAAAAGTTTCCAAAAATGTGTTCTTTAGTATGTTATCGTCCGTCCAAAAATTCTTAAATATACAAATACGTCTCTAGTACTATACAGTTACTTGTACATTTTGTACAGCATTGCTCCAGTCCACTTTGGAAGGAACCAAATAAAACGCGGGTGCTATTTTGCTGCCACATGGGCACTGACTGCCGGCTATCCAACTAAAAGAACCCAATTTTGTACTGCATTTTGGGCAGTTCAACTTTCCTTCGACCTTATGCGTTATATCGGGCATCCAAGCCAATGGCTCTACAAATAATATTTTAGTACAAAGCTCTGCAGGCTGTTGCTCCTCTTTCTTCTGTGGTTCCACAGGCTCGTGCGAAGGTTTTGATTGCTTAGACGTTCTCTTTGTACTTATATGCCTCCAGATTTGTTTTTCCCTCGGCATATGCGGTAGAATGTTACTAGCACTAGCCACGATTCTCCGACATTTTTTACACCGATAAACCGTGGGCTCTGGACGTACCGTAGCAAGAGCTGGATCCGGTTTTATCAATTCTGTACAGTTTTGTGGTAAAATTTTTGCTTTCCGAACTTTATCGGCAGCAATTTGCAATTTGTACATCTTAAATTGGACGCTAGTACTGTCTATACCAAAATTCATTTCTTCGTAAAGTTTCAACTGAGCTAGAAACCCGGCATTAGGTCCAACAAAACGTCGCTTTTCTTTCACAACTTCAAACGTGTCGGAGAAACTTTTACCATACTTCTTCATTAAATACGCAATTACTAATGTGGCTGATCTAGAGACACCAAAATAGCAGTGCACCAATATTTTATTGTTCGATTCTAAAGCATGATCTATAAATTCGTAAGAATCTCCAAAATGAGTCAGGAGATCTTCGCGTGGCATGTCTGTAATTTGTATGTACTTTACAGTCAAATTTGGCAAAAGCTCTTGGATCTTCCTAGGTAATGGACAAGAATCCACTGTAAGTATATAGTTTATTTTTGCTTCTTTCAACCATTCGACATCCGTGGCAGCTGTAAGATTTCCAAGAAATAAACCAGAAATAATTTCATCGTAACTGGAAGGACCGGCGTCAAAATCTTCTCTAAATAATTTGTTTGTAGCTTCTTGCGCCATGCTGGCTACTCTGAAATACAAAATAAAGCTACGGTATGCAATCTTGAACGTAACTAATTGATTTTTCAATTATAATATAAAATGCATATAAATGTGAAATAAAATTTCTACGTAATCTTACTAATTACAAAAATAATTTGTAAAACCTAAGAAGTATTAAATTAAACATAAACTTGCCAAATAAAAAGACTTGTCCACGCGTGGTAGAACGATGAACATCCAAAATTTGCCAGCCTATTTATGAATCATGCTCTAAGTTCAAATTAAAGTGTTTATTACCTGGCTTATGCGTACAGCGAATAATTAAAATATGCCAGTTCATAGAACTAAATATTCTATGAATTTTGTCTAATAAAGAAATTTTTTTTCTAATATGAAAAACTTTTGTTTTAGCAAACGCAATTGCATTTCTAGAACAAAATAATCAACGGTTTTCAAACCTTAATCGTATCACACATCTTGCACACGCTTTGCTACATCTCGAACGTGAATAATATATCTTTTTTTTTATTTTTTAAAAATATAAAATAATAAAAAAGACAATATTTTACATTTATGAAATACGACTCGAGAGTAAATTTTTAGTTATCAACGCATGAGTGCGATGACTCTTGGTTGTAGTTGTACATTCATAAACAATACGATCCCTAGCGTATCAATAGTGTAAAACTAGGAACAAAATTTAATCCATTTTATGCGTTTACGTCGCAATCTACCAACATTAGAAGAGATGGTAAACTCTACGCTAGTAACTTTCCCCTCAAAATGTTGAGAACTAAATTGCCAACGATTTAAAAATATATTAAATCTGACAATTATGGTTCATAGTCTATCAGAATCAATTTGATCGCTTGCGTGTACGTCTATATAGTGAAATTCTATTTATATGAACCTGACGAGGGACAAACAGTTCATATAATCGGATAGGTTCATATAATAAGAGTCCACTGATTATCCCCACTACTTGCAACCTCTCATTCAAATAACCGGAGTTCTCGTTCAGATAAGTGGATATAATCATTCGTTTAGCTCATTGTTCAGATTATACTAATAATAATATTTCAATCTTTATGAACTTGTAGATGGCTTGTGAGGAATAAATGCTAGATCCTTTAAATCTTTCAAGCATTGTAGATTAATTTCATTTACATCCGGCTATGCTTTCGATCATTTAATAATTGCATTTACAGAATAGAGTAGGTCAATATGCCTGGAAACTAATTCGTTATACAATCTTCACTATCTTACACCGACAACAATGACAACAGAGTATAAATATGTTTTGTTTACATAACTGAAGTGACGCTTGGCAATAGTTTAGATAATGAAAGTTCAAAAGTTCATTAAATCGGGCATTAATAAAAATTTCGTTCCAATAAATGGAATTCTACTGTACTTCTAAAACATTCTAAAGTATTTAATTTCGACACGATTAACCTGTGTGCATCATATCGTATAGGATCGCTAAAAAATAACAATATTTTGATAACAGTTTCGCGATATTTAAACTTTTGTAGATGATTTAGTTGCGCCATCGAGCGAACGAATTGAATGAATACTTTCTAGTGATTAATTATTAATGTAACGATCTCACCTGCTTCAATAGTGATATTTCTCTCGCATATTGTTTGAAAATACACATTTAGACAAATTGTATTCTATAAGCAAAGAAATACTTGTTTTAAAATGGTATAAACTTTGTTAAGTAGCCATGCCATTGTTCGAATAAAAAGAACTTGGATAAATTTTGTAACGCAATTTCATTGACTTGAACTATTAAATTTTACTTTGAAATAATCGTAAAAATTAAGAACAATGTTCTTTGTTATTGTATATTTGTATAGATAGTAAAAAGTATATTAGCAAAGACTAAGGCATATCAACAGAAGAGACAAATTACCAAAGGAGGTCCAATTTATTAGTAAATTCAAGCGACAGTCGAGAAAGTAAATGTAATTCGAGTGGTCAACCCATCTTTACACTTTCGAAAAGATAGCGGAATAAGTTGTTTGACCACGTACGCCGGAAATGACGCGACCTCGATCCTCCACATCACTCGAAAGAGTCGCGAGAATATTGCTCGCATAGTCGTGCCAAGCTACTGTACCTGCCTGTTCCGTGTTTCTCCGATTTTCTCCCTCTATCTCGCTCCTTTCACCTATCTCTGTTGTTCTCTTTTCTGCGGTACCACTTGCGTGCGCGCACGTGTGTATACGTGAGTGTATGGGTTATTTTTTGATTTTTGAATAAAACAAGATGCGGATCTCTAAAGAGGTGATCTCTAAAGCAGAGGAAATCGCTGATCAGGTGAAGTTACAAGCCAATTATGCTCGATTTAATTTCTTGTGTGTGTGCAGTGTTGTGTTTGGAAAAAAATTCGTGGTGGAAACCAGCAGAAATCCTGTAGGAGCACAGGTGCACTCCTGTCAACGTCATCGTAGCCCGATTGCCTATATATACTCGCATATTTTAAATCGGATCTGTCCTTTCTTCCATAATGCGTTGTTGTAAAATGCGTTTTATGTCATTAAATGTTGCAAACTGTCCTGTATTACTACCTGTATACTTGGAAAGGTTATGCACTCTCGAGAAAATACATGTTGCAAATTTTACCATCCCACCCGGTTTTAGTTCGTTGTAAAATAATAATTCGAAATAGTTTGTTATTTGTGCAATACATTTTGTACTTGCCGGCAAAACTTGCTCTTGTGCTTTAAATTTAAATAAATTACATTAATAAGAATTTGAAAAAATATATAAATGATGTTCATTTTTATCATTATTCAGTTTATCTTATGTAATGCTGTTTTCACTATTAATGCTTGCTATGATACGTATGTATCATTAACTTTCACAAACATAATTCCATTCTTTCTTTTTTATTGTAATGCTGAAGAATGTTCAGATGATGCGACAGAAATGTTGTGAATGATTTTAAGAATTTAGTATACTATTATATTTTAAGTATTCAACGTTATTATAGTTAAATTTCTTTTCATAACGATAGGTAATCCGCAATGGGAAACACATACTACCAACTCTTGCAAGACTTTGCCTCATAGCCACATTTTTAGAAGATGGATTGAGAATGTGGTTTCAATGGTCGGAACAGAAAGAATTTATGGACAACACATGGAATTGTGGTGTTTTTTTAGCAACACTTTTTGTCTTGGTTAATTTAATTGGGCAGCTTGGAGGTTGTGTTATGGTTATTGCAAGATGGAGAGTCAGCATTGCTTGTGAAATCTTATTCTTCATAGTGGTCCTACAAACATTAGCTTACAACATTCTATGGGATGTAACATTCCTATTCAGAAATTTAGCATTAATAGGCGCACTTTTACTTGTTCTGGCTGAGTCAAGAGTAGAAGGGAGATCATTATTTGCTGGAGTACCAAGTCTTGGAGATAATAAGCCTAAAAATCTACTACAATTAACTGGCAGAATTTTGTTGGCATTCATGTTTACCACATTAATTCGCTTTGAAATATCATTACTTCAAATTATGCAAGATATTCTTGGAAGTACTTTGATGGTATTGGTGACCATTGGATACAAAACTAAACTCAGTGCCTTGTTACTTGTGTTACTATTAACAGCACTTAATTTCTACCACAATGCATGGTGGGCCATTCCAGAATATAAAGCACTTAGGGACTTCCTTAAATATGACTTCTTTCAGGTAATAATTTATTAACTATTATTACAGGGATACCAGTATTTAACTTACTTGATATTTCTTTTATTTTTTTCTTAAATAAATTTATTTATTTGCAGACACTGTCAGTGATTGGTGGGCTTTTAATGATAGTCTCCTTAGGGCCTGGAGGTGTATCAATGGATGAACATAAGAAAGAATGGTAGATGTCATGATGTTAACTGACTGCACATCATTACATTTTCATGATTATTAAGTAAAAACAGTCTCCCATTCCTGTTCCTTCCTATGCTCAATTGAGTTTACAATATGTTTACAATTTATTGAATGAAAAGCTGTAGCGTGCACTCATGTTGAATCGATCAATGTGGGTACAGGCATCATCAGAGTATTGTTGAAATTATGTATTTTAAGGTGACATAAATTAAAGTACATGAAATTATAGAGAAAAATACAAGAAACTCCAGGATAATGCTATTAAGATACAAACAAAAAGAAGACAACACCAAGACTAATTTATATTATGAAGCATTGTACTTATGACACTGCGTTTATCAAGGCAAAACAAAATATATTTTTTCTGTGTGTTTTTAATACATCAGCATATTCTTCCATAGAACTACAGTTATGTTATTTTATTAAATTTATAGACAATAGAGCAATGAAAATATCAAGTTTTCAAGATTTTTATACTATTAAATTATTGCAAATAAATATTCCATTTCAGATTTTTTCATTCATAATTATTTCTACGATCGTTAGACAATCATTACTCGTAAAATAACTATTGCTAATTACCAGATTTCGATTCTCCCAATAATAAGTTTTACTAAAATAAACTGATCTCAAAATAGTCTATAGGTAAACTTACATGATCAAAGTGATAAATAACTAGAGTTACTTAATGTTGCATTGCGTTATTTAATATCGTATTAAAATATAAAAAATTAATTTCAAATAATTCGTTTTTAATAAAAATGAGAATACAAAATGGATATAAACGGCTGCCCGTAGTTACAGGAACTACTATTTTAACTGCTAAACCTTTTGTTTACGTTTTACGATCTTTGTATCGTAGTGAAAGATGTGACCATTGTTTTCAAAGGTAATTACAATTAAATAAATAACTTTTGGTCGTAAGTGTACGCTATATATTATTCTTCGTTATTTACTATTTCTACCAATGACTAGTTTTTATTAAATAAATTTCTTGGGTGTTTACTATATATTATCAATATATTCTTTTATTCTTTAATAAATTACATTAAAATAAAACGAATGTGTAAAAACATTTAATCAATATTAATTTAGGTTATCTTTTCAAACCAATCGTTTCCTATACTCTCGTTTCTATTATTTACAATTTGTAATTGCTTATTCATGTTGAAACTAAACGTTTTTAATAAATAAAACTTTTGATAGAGATGAGTATACGTGAAAATTCTATAAAGAAAGGGAGTACTATATTAACTACCAAACCATTCGCTTATGTTCTTAGTTCAAAATACAAAACTGATCGATGCGATTATTGTTTAAAAAGGTATAATTTGATCGTTCTAAAAAAATGAAAACGTCTTTAACCTTAATTATATTTTTATACATTTTTGTAATACGTTTAAAATTTTTTTACTACTTAATAAGTTTATAATAATATTAACTACATATCTCAAAAGGACATATAATTTGAACTATATTTATATATTTTAGTGGGAAACTTCTAAAATGCTCTGCTTGTCAGTGTGTTTATTACTGCAATCGATCTTGTCAACAAAGTGCTTGGTCCGTACACAATACAGAATGTGCAAATTTAAAAAGAGTTTCGCCAAAAGTTGTTCCAGACATGGCACGACTTATAGCTCGTATAATTATAAAATTAAATCAAGGTGGAGGTGAAGAAGTAGGATATTACAGTGAAACAAATTACAGAAAATTTAAAGATTTAATGTCTCGTAAGTGTTTTATAATAGTTAGAAAGTCAAAAAAAATATCTGAACATTCTGTCTCATTGATAATTAACTTATTATATCGTTAGATTATTCTGATATAAAGAAGGATGAGAAAAGAATGGAACATTTCATGTGCTTATGCGGGGTTTTATTTGAATTCCTTCGAGATGTACCTATGCCAAATTCTGCAGAATTAATGGGCATTTTTGGCAGAATATGCATTAACTCGTTTAATATAATTGATTTGGATATGAATAGCATTGGTGTTGGTATTTATTTGGGACCTTCCATCATAGATCATAGTTGTGCACCAAATGCTGTATCTATTTTTGAAGGAACTACTATAATTATCAGAACAATAGAAGATCTTCCTTGTTTAGATTGGTCTCAGGCAAGTGTTTCACATTTTGATGCTTACACCAAGCTTCAATGAAAGTTTTTATTGGAAAAACTTTGTGCAATATACAGCATTGTAATTGTAACTATTTATATATCTAGATAAGAATATCATATATTGACATATTTAAGACAACAAAGGACCGGCGTGCAGAATTGCAGAGTTCATATTATTTTTGGTGTACTTGCAAAAAATGTGAACAACCAGATGTACTAGCAGAAGCTGCAGCATGTCCAAACAAATTTTGCACATATCCATGTACTCCTGATACAAATATGTGTCAAAAATGTAATACACAGTTCCCTGAAAAATTTAAAGAAACCTTTGAAGAGGTATCTGAGTTTAGTACACATCATTTACAAAACATGAAGAATATGGCTTGTATCCTTTTTAATGATAATATTGGGTAGTTGCATTAGCAATATACAATTTCTTTAACTAGGAACTTAGATCTAGATATAAGCAAGATGTGTCTGAAAAAGCAAGAAGGTATTTTACATTCTTTTAATGTACAGCATGTGCAAACTCTACAAAGTGCTTTTGACTCAGCTGTAAGTTTGCAGCATTGGGAGGAAGCAGAATCCTATGCTAAAAGACTTATTAATGGCTACTTGTAAGAAAACAAATTTTTTATCATATCCAATTAATAAATGAAAAATAATAACACATTTTCATGTTGTCAGGATCTATTATGGAGAAATTCATCCACTTACTGGATTATTGTATCTTATGACAGGAAAACTTCAATTGCATTTGGACAAATCAAAACAAGCTGTAGAATCACTAAAGAAAGCAAAAACGGTGCTAACAATAACACATGGAGAAAAGCACATTTTCCTAAGAGAGAATTTAAAACCTCTTCTTCAACAAGTCACAATGAAAGAATTTTAATAAATCATATTTATTAAAATGTATTAACAATTTGTAATAATACTAATAAACGGTTTTAGTACTTAAACAAGTACGATTAGTCTCCAGTTTTTATTAAAAATGCAGTACCCGTTAATATGCGCAGCACATAAACGGATCTTAAAAAGTACCGCTTGCATTACTGCCACAATTTTAGCAAATATTTACGTACCAACATTACCATCAGAAAATAAGTACCAACAGTAATGTTACCAAATGACAGACTGCTGACTGATGTCCAGAAGAAACTACTCCTTCCCTTACGCACGACCACAAATACATGAGCTTTTGCGCTTCGAAGAGCTTCGGAAATTCCAAAAAGAAGGTGAATGTGTACCATTCTTTCTCGCTCTAGAAACAACTGAAATCGAAAACGAGAAGGAAAGGCTCACGTTTGTCTACTTTTCTCAAATCCCCGAATTTGTTCGAAGCACCAGAGCTCACATATATGTTGCTGTGCGTTAGTGTGCGTAAGTGGAGGGGTAGTTTCCTCTTGGACACCGGTCTGCCGTCTGGTAACACTGCTCTACAGCCATGTACAGCTGCTAAGTGACAGCTGCTTAAGTTCTATTAAATCGGTTATCTGTTTCTAATGAATTTTTATTTTCAATGGAAAATTTAGAATAACATGTGGTAAGCAATCTAATAATCTGCTATTCACGTTGCGATTTATTCCTAAATTGATCATATTAGTATGTTTATTTTCCTACAACAAACATACTTTTGCAATATAATTATAACAAGCATTAGTGAATATTAGTTTGTTTATTAACGAAACACTCTCAAATTTTTCATCGTGTTGGATAGTTCAGTAGGTCAAATTATGATAGCGCGAACACTAATATTTGTCTACTCTTTCTGTTTAGATATTTGTTTTAATATTATTAAGGAAAATAGCCTTTTCCTACATTATTATTGACTGAACTGAAAAAACGTGAACAATGTTATCTGCATTTAAAAGATTAGCTGGAAAATCTGATGGAGTTGGTAATATATCTCCTAGACCAGCTCATCAATCGATGCCAACAACATTACAGAGAAAATTTGCCAAAGGTGTACAGTATAATAGTAAGTACATTTCATTAATTGATCTTTAATAAAAATGTAAAATACTTAAAATAAAAGAAATTTTATTTTTTAGTGAAAATTATTATAAAGGGTGATAGGAATGTGGGAAAAACCTGTTTATTCCATAGACTTCAGGGCCAAAAATTTATAGAAGAATATATACCAACAGAAGAAATACAAGTGACCAGTATTCAATGGAATTATAAAGCTACCGATGACATTGTTAAAGTAGAAGTTTGGGATGTTGTAGATAAAGGTAGACGTAGAAAGAAATTAGAAGGTCTGAAAATGGACAATTTACCATCCGAAAATATTATCGAAGAACCTGCATTAGATGCAGAATTTCTCGATGTATATAAAGGGACCAATGGTGTTATCATTATGATGGACATTACAAAATCTTGGACATTTGATTATGTACAAAGAGAACTTCCAAAAATACCTAGCCATATTCCAGTCATTGTTTTAGGAAATCATTGTGATATGGCACATCATAGAACAGTCACGTCAGATCATGTGACATATTTTATTGATTCATTACACGAAAGATCAGCGCAAGTAAATTTGCTGCTATTATTAGACATAATTGTTTGAAATAGCATGCTTGTAACATTCTGTACTTTCCTATTTTCCATAGGTAAGATATGCAGAATCATCTATGAGAAATGGCTTTGGATTAAAACTTTTGCACAAATTCTTCAATCTTCCATTCCTTCAACTACAACGGCAAACACTGCTGAAACAAGTTGAAACCAATGAAGAAGAAACTCGTTTAACGACCCAAGAACTTGATCTCTTTCAGGAGAGCACTGACGCCGATTATAACGTATATTTGGATAATCTTATTAACAAGAGAAGAGCCTTTGCTGACTCTATTTCTGCCACCATTCTAGTCCCCAATGTTACATCTTCTCTAAGCAATCATCAAATATCATCTTCCAATGGTAATACAAACGTAAATGTTGAAATTAGGAGATCGGTTACAATACCTGGTCCAATAGGAGGTGGAACACCGATTCCAGTGAAGAATATAGATTTGAAATCTTTGCCAAAAAAAGAAAATACGAGTACTTTAGAGAATCAAGCAGTTCCTATTAAAAACTCGCAAATTGCATCGGCATTATCTGCCACACAAATTATTTCAAAGACAGATTCGAAAATGGCTGAATTTTTAAATGATAATTCTGATAGAAAAGACTCGATTGGCAAACCACAATCACTTATGTCAAAGATATTTGGCAATAAAAAGGAAGATGAAGTGGACAGAGCAGCACAGACTAATAATACGAATACGAGTGTACCATTAACTAGCGTTGAAGATTTTGTACCGGACGACGGTCTTTTAGATCGATCGTTTTTAGAAGATGGTAGTCAAATTTCACCACAGAAAGTACAACACGAAGACCTAGATTCTGAAAGGTATATTGTAAGCAATTTAATAGTTAAGTAAGGCGGTCACGCGTCGAGCCAGGCTCGTGTTAACGTTTGTCCCGAACCAAGTACCACGAGTCACACTCGTGCTTATTGCTTTTGACCCGAGTTTCTTATCACAAGTCTCATTCGTCATTGTAGGCCAAGGGGTTAATTTAATTTTCACTATTATTATCTTTTTTAACAGTGAAACTGAAACTGCGAATCCTTTGGTCGCTGGTTATGAGGATGATTTATCATCGGCTGAAGAAACGACTCCTCCTGTTCAACCAAAATTGGTCGAAAATCCTTTATCTAAACAGAAACACAAACGTGAGACTTTATCGAACGCAGAAGTAAATTCAGAAAAGCAACGGCAAACCGATAAGCGTGATTCTGTTTCGTCCATAGACCAAGAATTGCAAATATCGAACGATTATGATATAAATGAACAGCAGGAAATTAGTTCCGACGCGTTTGATAGTTGGCTTCGACGCGATTCTAAATGGAGACAAAGTCCTGAAGGCGGTGAAGACGTAAGCAGTAACAGCACCAGGAAAGACAGACTAGAGTTAAGTGATAAAAGTTTAGACGTCAGCGTGACAAGTTCTAACGTTCATTTAGAATTACTTGACAATACTAGCGTACGTCAAATGAGTTCTGATGGCGGTAGCCCTGTACTAAAAGAAAAAAAAAAGCACAAAGAGAAGGTACGGAATTAAATATTTTTTAATGCATTTCCATTCTATAGTAATACCTCTTTGAACTGAATTTATTTTAGATGGAAGATAAGGAGAAAAAGAAGAAGAAAAAAGCTAAGGATAAAGACAAGGATAAAGACAAAACAGATAAAGCGGAAAAGAAAAAGAAACGTTCGCTGCATCGTTCTAGAGACGAAAATAGAGAACGCGATGAACTCGAGGAATTTCTCAATGGTTCAGCGACTAGAATTGGTGTTGATGTTGCTTATGAAGCGATATAGTGTTTTACATAAATAACGTTACATTAACCGTATTTTTAATTAATAACGTTGTCTTCTGGTAAGATGCGCAAAATGTCCTTTAACAATAAATTTACAAAAATCGAAATCAAATAAATGTTTGCAACTAATTTTACAGCAAGCAATATACGATACAAAAATTATGTTAACATTCTATATATGATAAAACAATATTATGAATTGTAACAAGAAAAGAATTTTTAGCAAATCAAAAGTAAAATTATATTTTTAAGTTTGAACCTTCGATACTTGATGATTTATATATATGCATATAGTATATATGTACATTGCCAAATTAGCATTCTACGCGTGTCTGATGTAAAAATGTGTACGATATCGTTCGAATTCAAATATTTTATCATTGCATGTTTAAAAGCATTTATAATCTTATGTATTTAAAATATTTATTTTGATACTAATTTTCACCAATGACATACTTCTTAAAATATTTGATATAAGTATTTCTTAAATTATTAATTGTAAGTTTCCATTAACGATCATTTTTATTGTTGAGTATGTTTTTTAAAATAAAGAGATGAAAAGTTACAATAAATTAATATGTTAATTAAAAAATGTTACATAATTATTGTTTCTTCTTTTCTTTCGAATATATCATTATAGTTCCACTGTTGCAGCCTCATGTTAATATATGTATATAAATAAATAACAAATTGTCATATTATATGATAATCTTCTATTTGTTCGTGATATTTCTGAAGACTTTCATACCTAAAAATATTGAGTTTCCCTCTGGCAATGAACGCCCTCTCCTAAATGTAAAGTTACGTCTGTTAAAAAGCTATGAAGAATTCGTTCGAAACATAGTGAATTTATCAGAGACTGTCTATAGTATCATGTTGAGGTCATGCCGACATTTTCGTCTGTCGCACGTTGTGATATATTCCTAATTGAAGAATATTGAGCGTGATAAGTGAAACGAAACTTCAGAAAAAATGTCTTTATGTTTACGTACTCTTCCAAACAAGTTAACATCTTTTGTTAATACAAGAAAACAAGTAACGAAAATCGACCGTCACTTACTGAAACATGTTACATCGTCTCTGTTATTTAAAGAGGTATATACTTGATATTTTTCCAAGACATTTGTTAGTTATTAAACTTTCAACAACATTTTTCTCTGTTAATAATTAAAATTCTTTTGTCATAAATTATTATTACTTTCTATCACTATACAGATTTGCCGAAATAAGTTAACCTTCAAATTCTTATGTAATAGGCATTTTGTTATATTAATTGTATATGTTTGTAATTTATGATTGTTATTAGAATTGTTATAACTCTGAAATTTCTCTCCCCTTTCCGACATCTGTTTCTAAAACTAAAATTTCAATAAATAACACTAAAAGATACATTTTATTCAATTTCAGTTTTTGGGTACGCAAACAGCAGCATATACAAGAATGAATTGTAAAGAAAAATCTTTAAATCCTACAATTCATTCGGTACATCAACATTTATTTGCAAATTATATGGATACTTGTGTAAAGTGGCCAAAAACATTAAATAAAACGTGTGACTGGAATCAAGAGCAAACATTATTGTTGCAACAACAGAGACAAACAAATACTAGAACATTGGATGCATGTAATATTAATGTTGGAAATAACTTTGTACTCGATAGTACAAAATGGTCGGAACCTTACATAAATTCTAAGTACTTGCATAGAAATAAGAAGTCTTGTATATTTAATACTAAGATGCTCTCAGTTAGCAGAACTATAGACAATGATTTATTTAATCCTGAAAAGCAAAGAATCTTATATACAGAATTGTCCCCTAATAAACAAAATGTAAATGAAAAGGCATCTCCAAAGGATCGTAAACCATCTGAAGCACAATTGCAACATGTATTTGATACTCTTAGCAAAGAAGTATGTTGTTCTATTTTGAAAACGAATTACATACTTGGAATGATATAATGTTTAATAACCTTTTTTTTATTGAAATATGTTTCTTTCAGTTACCTGCACTGTTTATTAAAACAATGACTTATGAAATGTATACACAGGATATAATATTTATAAACAATATTCGAGGAACATCAACTACGTACGTATATAATGTGAAATATTTTCATTGTTAATATTATTTATACAGGTATCCCGCGAGTTATGCGGTTAATTGGTTCCGCGTAAGTCGAGGCTCAGAATTAGTCTCTGAAATATTCTGAAATATGTACAAACTATTGTGAAATACATATCGTGGAATACCTATTATCTTTTTTATTTAAAAATATTCATCTATAATTACCGCGATAATTTCCGCGTAACTCGAGGGATACCTATAGTTAAATTAATATGTATTATAGAAAATGTATAATATATATGCTTGAAAATGTTTCACAGGGGTATTATTAATTATGTAAAACAAATTGCATTCTTAAAAATACTAGGACATATAAAGTTTGCCTATGTTAAATTTGATATTTTAAAAATAACTATGCATCCAGAAGATAGTAGTGTTAAAGTTCGTTGGCGAATAATAGGTATTACCGGTACACACGTATTTCTTCAATTTTGGAGAGTTAAAATTTGGCGGATGAAACAACATATACGAGATCAAAATTCGTAAGTAAATTCAATTATTGTTTTAGTAAATTATTTCTTATATTCTGTAATATCAATTACAAAATTTTATCAATAGGTGGTATGACGGTTTTTCTACGTTTTATGTTAATAATGACGGTAAAATATTTAAACACGTTGTCGATAAAATGATGCCAGATCAAGAATATACAAAACCATCTATAGAGGCAAAATTAGCTTTGTTTGCATCATTGCTAAATTTAGATTCCTATAATTTCAGTAAACTTTGTTCAAAAATGAAATTTCGTGTCAGTCAAATAAAATGAAATAAACAAATGTAAAAGAATTTGCGGAGTTACTATCCTAAATAAGAAGTAATTCATGTATCAAAGCACATTATCTGTTTAGATATATCACTTGAATATATCTGTGAAACTACACGTGCGAATAAACACATGGCATGAATATTTTATGTATTTATAATAAAATATAAATATTTAATTGCGAAGAAGTTTTGTGAATTACATTTTGAACAGTTTACACCAATGGAGTAAGAATAAGCAAACCCACAATAGTATTAATATTCTGTTAATACTATTAAAGTTGTGCAAATTGCCGTGGTCGTTATCGATACATTGTATATGGTTTCGGGTGCCAGTTATTGTATCTCACTCGCGTTTATCCTCTTTCCTTATCTCCGTTGAATTCGGAGAAGTTAACCATGCCCACCAACGACCACGGCCGGTCCTGACCGCGGACATTTAAGTGGGCACTACTATAATTATAATCACTTGTATGTTATGGGCATTTAATAACAATTAAATTATTTATTATTAATAAATGCAATAAAACATTTTTGGTTTAAATGTTCCTTAATTTTGTAAATTATATTTAGAATTTTATATTAAATGTACATATTGTGATTAAAAATTGTTTTCGTTAATAATTCTCAAGAAAATTTTTTTCCTTTGTTTGTTTGATATTATAGCAATTGGAGGAACTTATATGTTTTGATCTCTTATTGAAATGTATTTTAATATTATTCCGTAAAAAATAATTTTATTTACTGTTACAAATTTATGGATATAACTATACAATCAATCTTTATTCTCCTTAGTTGCACACAAGTCCTACAAAAGAGATACGTTTATAAAGACAGTATTATAAATAAAATTGTTAGTCGATAAAATATATAATTACCTAAATAATCATCCATTAATGTGCCAATGGCAAACTGTAAATAAAAATATAATATTAACATTTAGTAGCATAAAATATAAAGAAAGAAATGTTATGTGCTTCAATACTAACAATTCCTGTAGCATCAACTCTTGTACCAACAATTTTTAATCTTATTTCATCATCTGGTTGAATAATTACATCCTGTAATGTATATTATCATATATAGAGTGTTTGGCCACCCCTGGGAAAAATTTTAATGGGAGATTCTAGAGGGCAAAATAAGACGAAAATCAAGAATATCAATTTCTTGATCGAGGCTTTGTTAAAAAGTTATTCAAAAATTTCAAATCGTTCACGAAAAGATCATTTTTGAAGCCTCAATCAACAAATTAGTATCCTTGATTTTCGTCTTATTCTGGCCCTTAGAATCTCCCATTAAAATGTTTCCCAGGAGTGGCAGAATACCCTGTATAATTATAAGGTTAGTAGAACTATGTAACACATTATTTGTAACAAAATTTACCTCTTCTTTTGATTTGTAGCATGGAGGATTTACATTTGGGCAAAATTGCATATCTGCTGGGATTGACTGTAAACAATATTACTAAATTATTAAACAAAATTATAAAATTACGACTCGTTCGAGAGTAACTTACATGATGAGATATAAAACATGAAAGTGGACCAATTTCTGCAAACATTCCAACCTATTGAAAAGAAAAAAGAAATTACCAGTAATATTGTTCTTTTATATACATGTATATAACTATTTCTTTACCTTGTTTACTTGTGTTACAATAGCATCCAATACTTCTCCTTTGAATGGTCTAAAAACAATGGCTTTATATTTAACTGGATATACTACAAATCCTTGTCCTGGTTGTATGATACCTGCACCTATATTATCTATTGTTGTTACAGCAACTACAAAACCGTATCTAAAATACCATAAATTATTTAATGTAAATTTCCCTGCTTTTAATACAATTATAAACTATGAACTTACTTTCCTGTGCAGGTACCTTCAACCTCTGTGTACAATTTTTGTTTGACAGTATCTAACAATTGAGGTCCAAAATATCTAGGATGTAACAAAATTTCATGTTCCAAGGATATCTACAAAGGTATAATAATTTTCAATTACAATACAATTAGATCGAGTCAAGAACTATTTCTAATCTTGGATTATTAATCGTTATTCAATTACAGTATCTGTTTGTTAAGATTCTTTGTAGATTAGTAGATGGAAAAAAGTTTCGTACAACTGAAATTACTTACGTGATAAAACATGATGTGTTTTAATATTATAAAATCAAACAATATTTAAAAATTCAAAGCTCGAGAGGTGCACTACGTATGTGCCGCTGTTTTAGGTTATATTCGAAAATCGAGTAAGTACCATCTTTTATGGAGAATTTTCATTTTTATTCAAGAGTTTATAATTACTTAAATGTTGGGTAGATTTTTCTATGTATTTCGTCAATTATTTATTTACGATATTGATTTACAAGGAAAAATGTGAATCAATATTAAAATATAATTTCTGAAATTGATAGTATAGATATCGCGGTTATGTATCATTAATTGCGCGGGAAGATGTGGATAGAAAAAGAAACAGTTTACATCCATATTTTTATTATTTCTTATTATATTACATTTTTATACAAGAAGCATATTGCGGATTCAAAAATTAATTTTAGAAAATGATAACACATCCGAATTTGATGCAGAAAAATATATTTATTCTAGTTGGTTTAATACATTTTAGGAATTCTTAACAGAACTATCTCTGTAACATGTAATATTATATTAATTTAACTAATTCACGTACTAATTTCGGGCAAGCCGGTATGCTAGTTATTAATTTATACGAATTATAGATCGAATGTGAAATTAAATTATTTATCATCATCTACGGAGTTCATTTTTTTTTTTATTTCTAAAGCTAATTTGTATCCAAGTTCCGGTCGTCGATCTTTTCCTTCGACCATTGCTTTTACCTGATTCGAATTCACAATCACACCATTATCATTTATGACGGTAGCTTTCGTTTTTTCTATATCTACGAGATCTACTCCTCGACTACAATCGTCGATGAGAATAGTTCGATAACCACTTTTAAGCGCATCAACCGCGGTAGCTCCGACGCAAACATCATAAGCTAGTCCACAAATATATATATCTGTTGTCCCGGTTTCTTGTAATTGTGAGGACAACGTGGTATCTTGCAATTTCTTGTTATCCCAAAACACAGAATATGAATCCACTTCTGGATTTGTTCCTTTGTATATTTTAATTGCATTATCAACGATTTTTAGGTCTTTATGAAGCTCTGCGCCCCAAGAGTCTTGAATGCAATGACGCGGCCAAAGACGTTGCGTTAGTAGCGGTGGTCCTTTGAATGTAACCGTATCATAAACTTGTGCTATTTCTTTTGGAATTTCGCTGCTAGGATCAACTTCTCTGCAGAAAGATATTCAACTTGTAAGTATAAAAGTGTACTAATAAGATTCAAATATGTATTAATTACCTAAGATGTAAATTATCAATGAAAGAGACATGGTCTACAGGATGCCAATCAAGAGAGTAAAATACTGCATCAAATGGTACAGTATCCAACAAACGATTGATTGGCTCGATCACTTCTGAACCATCGTGTTGTGCAGCACATTGTTTTATATTTAACGAACCCGTTATAAAATCGTTTTGTACATCAACGATCAAAAAAACACTCTTTGGACGACAACATATTTTAATCCAACGATTCCAGCACATCTGCAAAATTATGAAAAAATGTTAAACTCACTTTCAATTTTTAACATTATAATTAGATTAGATTAGATCTCATAGTTATGTTGGGCATGCAATATTTACAAATATACCTCGAACTCTTCTCTATCAATCTTTCCATCTTTTTTCCAGTCAAATACAGAATATATTTCATTCAACTGGTTCTTGTCGAGACTGTAAATTTTTCCGCGATCGTTACGAAACAATGCACGACAAATGAGTTCAAATTCTGTGAGAGACAAATATCCATCTTCATCTTTGTCAAAAGCAGTGAAACATGCATCCATATTCCTTTGCTGTTACTTGTCTCTAAGTAATTTGTTTAATCAATACTCGTTTTAGCAGTGCACAGCCACATTATATACTTCTTTTTATACCTCCTTACAGGCAAAACTGCTGATAAAATACTGCAGTGTATTTCTATATGATCTATTTCAATTTTACTGCAGTGCAGTACTAACTTTTCATATTTTCATTCAGTGGAGCATACACACCCTGCTTCAATGTCATAACATTTTAATATATTTTGCATGTGAATATTAAAAAAAATTTATTAGAAACTAAAAAATATTTATTAGTGTCTGTCGTAAATTAAAAATTTACATTAAGAATTATTATAAAATATATATTCTGTTTATATGTCGAGTAACATGTAGTTATATAAGTGTAATACAGAATCATTGTGACAGTCTTTGATGAGTTAATAATGATACATCAACCATTGCCTCAGGTTCTAATAAGTTATTTACTTTATATTTCATAGATTCTTCGTAAGCATATGTAACAGATGTATCTGTTAGGTGCATATTACATTTTGCTAAAATTAAAATACAATTACGAAGTCGTGCGCAAACTTCGCGATTTTCCTGTGGGATCCTTGATAAATCTTGAGTGAAACCACCCTCTGATCTGTCGGTATCTTGTTTACTAGCTCCGATCCATATATAACCATTGTTTCCTAATATTAAACTTGCACCATTCTCCAAATTGTGAAAATGCGTTTTCTTTCGTTTTATGAGTGCTGGTGAAACTTTTATCATTATACCCTGAGATAATTTACCATATTTTAAGACTCTGGTATGCAACGAAAGCGAGCCATCTACAAAATTACTTTGTACTTCTGCACAAATTAAATCTCCCTCTTGAAGATATCGTCGCATTGTTTGTTCATCTTCTGCGGATCTTCTCCTCTGATAGATTACAATGAAAAATGTATGTGCATTTAAAATCATTTACACTTTAAATATCGAGTTACGAAAGATGGTATAGTTCTATATCCTACCAATTCTCCTCCAGGCAAATTGACACTAGATAGTAAAAGTACAGAGTCAAGTTTTGAATTAGTATCAACTTTCCATCGTTTTTGTTGTACCTCGGTTATACGGCCAACAACAACATCTCCTATTTCGCCCTGATAACGTGCCTTCAAGGGTCTTATCGAAATAAGTTTGTTTACTTTTTCTAAAACGCCAGCTACGGACGCACGTAATGTGTTCTCATCATCTACGTATGTTCCGTGACCCCTAATGAAAATTCGTATAGAATGAAAATTCTGCTACTTATTCATAGGTAAGTTACACGCAGTTTCATTACCTCAAAAAATCAGGTTGACTAGATATTTCTTCTCCCGGTGTATATATTCGCGGCTGTATATCTTCGCTCCTGATTAAATTTAGATCAATTCTATTTACAGCCAAACGTATATTAATCGGCGGATATTCTTCCATCGCAATTAAATTATAATTTTCCTATATTACTATACAGGTAAGAAATATTATCGATATGCTCAAACTTATTTTTTCTTATCTTTTACGCATGCACAGATTGTATTTGAGGTTATGTCTACGCATCGCTTGTATTAACCATTTCTATCCCGCAATTTTTCAATGTTCATGTAAGTAAACCTTAGTAATTGTAAATTTTTTATGAGTGTAATTGATATTACGAATAGTATAATTATTAGAAATGTGGTAACTATTTTTATTAGTCGTTGTTCGTGTACATGCGAAGAAAATAGATATATAACTAATAATTTAATATTCAACATTGTACAATAGTTTTTAGGTATCATTTTATTTAGTATGTATGTAATTATTATTTAGCCTCAACTAATTTCACTGCTAATAAGTATTCATTGTTTTTTAGTACATTACAATGGAAGATTTTATTCCGACGCGGGTGTCGAGGATGAAAAAAGACGTTGCAGAAGAATTCGTATCAGTTAATTATAAGCAGCCAAGGAAAAAGGTAAAGGATAATGTTAACTTTGGAGACGACAAAGAAAAGACAGATGCACAGGACAACACTAAAGAAGATCAAAAAAGGAAACAAGAATTAGAAATGAAACGTTTTAGATACGAAGTTATGAGATTTGGTATATCCGGCTTTGAAAAAGCAAAGGCAAAGAAATCAAAAATCGAGCTTGTTTTAAATTTAGGCGCAAAACCTCCTAAAAACAGGAGAGTAAATTATAAAACATTGAAAATGCAAAAAGCAAGGCAAAAGGAAAAGCAACAAAACGAGAAAGATGTATCGGGAGCTGCGAGTAGTATGGTAAAACATAAAACTACAAAGATTCGTAAGAAAAAATCTGATAATATATTGGAGGTTTATGGAAAAGTGAGCGATAAACCACAGAGTAAAAAAAAAAAAAAGATGAAATTTTAACTGTAAATGTTTAAAATAGTTTTAGTTGTTTCATCGTAATCTATACAACATCAACTAATTATGTTTAACAATAACATGTTCCATATATTATATGTTATATACGAACAATAATGAGTAATAAAATAATATTTTCATGTTTGTGAATTCATTTGAGCCAGCTTTGCGAGCTTTAATAATAGGATACACATTTTTGTCTATGCATATTTAAAATAGATATCCACAAATGGTTCACGATGCTGCAATGGAATGATTTGGCATTAAAAGAACCGTTCCTTGCATTCGATCGAGGTCAGTCAAAGGCTGCAGCCGTCGGTGCTACCTCGAGTAACATCTGAAGGAAGGCATTCACACCTTCTGCAAATCAGAAAAGTAATATTTTACCCTCAATATATTTGTTCCTTGTGTGTTGCTTCCTATTAAATTCCCGCTTACCCATAAATTTGGGCACATATCCGTATTTAACAAATGGGAGGTAGACAAGCATGCCCGCAAATATGAACCCGGTCGCGTACAAGTACTCGATTTGAGGCTTGTCAATGATTGGTGCTACAATCAGGTACGCAGAGATTCCAAGTACGAGCACAGGTATCACCAGCGGACATTTGTATGGTCGTGGATGATTTGGTCTGGTCCTTCGCATCACCAACAGAGCAAGCATTGCTCCGCCATAAAAGATCCAAGCGGTAAATGAAAAAAAGTCGATCAAGGAATCTATGTTTCCAGACAATACCATCGTTCCTAATTGACGTGAACGTATTTCATTAAATAATTAGTATCTCTATACTAATGTATATTTCGTTCTGTTTAGAATAGACGTATGAACGATACCTGCAACGAGAGAGTGGAAGATAAGTCCTGGCGCGGGAGTGAAGCGTCGCACGTGCACGTAACTGAGACAGTCGAGTAAATGACCCTCTCGGGATGCGGCGAAGCATAGTCTACCTGCTGCAAAGAGAGTACCATTTGCGGAACCGAACGTGCTGATTGCAACCGAGAGCGGCATGAGCCACGCCATAACGCCAAGAATCCGATTGCCAAAAGTCTGCAAAACATTATAGAAGGATGACTCTCTCCGTTGAATAGATTTTTGACTTGTATGCTTTTTTAAAGTTTTTCTTTTCGAGATATCCGATCGATCTTAGCTATAAAATATAACGAGGATGCTAGGTGTCTGTTCTAATTCTTGGCTTCTAATCGAAATAACGATGAAATTACAGATTGTCGTCTTACCACTGCAACGGCTTCGCTTTCGATCATTTCCGACGGCGACATCACGGCTAGATAAGAGACGTTTATCAACGCGTAACAGAGCGTGACAAGAGGTATACCGATCATGATGGAACGCGGCAGATTTTTCGAGGGATCTTTGATTTCTTCCGTGACGTAATTAAGATTGTTCCAACCGTCGTAAGCCCACAGGCCAGTGTAGAAGGCCGTGGCCAGTCTTCCGATGTTCACGGTATTGTTGCCGTCAATCATGTCGAACGCGCCTTTCAGATGTTGCGTGTTACCCTGTATCAGCTTGTAAGAACCGCCGGCGATTACAACGAGTATGGCGATCAATTTGGCCGCAGTGAACGCGTTCTGCACACCCGTGGCCAGATTAACGCTGTAACAATTCACCAGCAGTATAAGTATGATCGCCAGGAGCGCGACGATCTTTACGATTTCCTCGGGTGGATCGCAATCGGCCGCGAACGCTTCTACCGCGTATTGCGCGAACGAGAGGCATATGATCGCCATCTGTGACGGCTTCAGGACCAAAGTGGAGACCCACGAGAAGAGGAAAGCAGGCGGAGCACCGAACGCGTCCATGAAGTATGCGTATTCGGCGCCGCTGCTCGTGTTCATCGTACCCAGCTCGGCGTATGCCAACGCGCCGCACAGACTCAACAAGCCGCAGGCCGTCCATACGAGGAAGCTGATTCCAATACTGCCAGTTCGAACCAAAAGCCCTGACGGCGAAACGAATATCCCGGAACCTGGACCAGAAACGTAAACAAATGTTATGCATCCTACGATTAAAGTGCAGGTCCCTCGGGTTCCCGATTTTGGTAAAACCTTACACGCTCGTGGATCTAGGCATCCTGTTCATGATAACAGCTGGCATAATTTCGGGTCGAGGTTTGAGGTTTCACCGAAATCGGTGACCGATATTTAACGTTTATCGACCGTTACCTATCATGGTACCAACGATTAGAGCCACCCCACTGACGAGTCCCACCCGTCTCTTGAGGTGAACAGAGTTGTTCTCCTCTGGGTCCGCCCCCTCCAGCCCTCCACCCCCTCCACCCCCGTCTTCATCATCTCCCACATCCCCAGATTTAGTTTCTTTTTGTTTCCGTTCGTGTAGCTGTTGTTGAGGCTGAAACGGCGTCGTAACAACGGGGTTCCAGCCGTTGCTGTTCCCATTGATCCTAGCTGATCGCGAGACCAACGTTGTCTCGGGAGCTCCACTCCAACTACCGGGTTGCAGTTGTTGCTGCGGCTGATTGCCGTTGCTCGTCTGTGGATCATGTCCCACGGTAGCTGAAACAATTCATTTCATGTTTTTACTTTTCTATCCTCCGAAACACGATAAAATGCAAATATCTGCCAACGTATCACGTACGCCGCTACTCTCTCAAACATTCAATTTTATGATCCAAGCGTAACTTCACTAATTATCCTACTAATTATCGTATGAACTTTCGCGAAGGAATGGAATTTTTACCCGTCATTGATTCCTATCATTTGCTACCAGCAGTTATCGACAAGTGGAATTGTTAGCATTCTTCACTGCCGCGCGACATAGACAGGCAAACGGTGGTTGTCCCACGAAAAAAAACAGTTTCACTTATAGTTCCATTCGCATCGTTTAAGTGAATAGGAAACACCTGCTCGATATAGCCTGTTAAATCGGTGCTGGTAGTCGTGTGCACTCCAGTAATTGTTAAACACCGTCTCGAAAAGCCGGTTACACTGCGCCGCGAATCTTTAACAATATAATAATTTATAATATTGTATCAAGTACCGCGATAATTGTTCTCGAGCAAAAACCGTGCCAGGTTTGCTTCGATAAACTCGATCGACTCGAAATAAATTCAAATATCTTCTACGGACTCGAGAAGCTTAAGAACCACTGTGTTGCTTGAAAAATCACTTGCGGTTCAAATCACGCGACCGTACCGCGTCGTTTGCTTCCCGTGACTAACGAAAGATGAGCGAACTAATTCAAAGTAATTGTTGAGAGGATCCGAAAAGTGGCAGATCGTCGAGTTTGTGTTTACTTCGTCACGTGACATATATTATTATCTTTGGGACGTTGCTGTTACCGTAATAGTTCTCGTGGCCGGATGCCAAAAGATTTCTCGTGACCGAGATCGTTATGCCTTCTTTACGTGTATCATCGCACAATAGAACAACACGCGCGATTTTCCTCCGATTATACAGGATGTACTTTCGAATAGTTACCAGTTGTAAATATTTCGCAAACTTTATAACTTTTCAAACCAACACCTTGTACGGCGGAAATGATATCGGAACAGGTCGATACAGAGTTGATTGATCATTCTCGTAATTGGTTCCGCGATTTTACACGCACGTCGAAAATCAATATTATGGATAACAAACGACTGATAAGCCGTATAGGAAGGCAATAAATCTTTCTGGATCAAACGATCGTGTGGAATAAACGCATTAACTGCTTATAATGGCGCGCAATACGAGCACGTTGCATTCTTTCAAAACGGATTCAGTCTTGAAGCGATTGAACGCTCGTAATACGCCAGGCGTGTCGAGCGTGGTTTCTTATTCAAGGTGACCTTTCGATAAAGGATTATCGATTTTCTCGACGCCTGCTATGATTTTTCATCGTATAACATTTAAAGTACTGTCCACCTTAAAATATCGTTCACTTTTTCCCCTGAAAGGTGCACGCGTGCGAGTTTTTCTTTTTTTTTTTGCGTGGCAGAAATATCCATCGAAAATGTTTCAAACGTTCGACTCGATTTTCCGATAAAGCACTTATCCGCCAAGTTCAAAGATCTATACGTAATATACGAGGGTGCATTCTTTCGAGTATATTTTCAGACTGTAATACTTTATTACCGAACGCGTTAATGAAAGTCATTGTACAAATTGCTGACAGCAATAAATAATTTGTGTCACGAATACCTCGTGTATTGATTACACGCAAGAATTCGAAACATAAATTATTTCTGTCGTAGTCATTTTTCAGTTACAGGAATATTTCGTTGTTTTAAACGCCAAAATATCTAATCACAGCGTTGAACATTAATAATACCGCCTTTTCATAAATTTTTTGAAAATATGTTTTCTTATTATTATTGAATGTACACGTATTAAATTTTCATTAGATAGAGAGCAAGGTCATAGCTAGTAATTAACCGAAAATATTAAAGAAACGATTTATATGACCAAAAGTTGCGGCGTAATCAGTAAAAGAATTCGAAAGAAAACAGCGCCAGAAATTCATGCAGAACCGAATAATGCACGATTAAAATCAGTATCGTTAACAACTGTAGAAATACGTGTTAGGGATTTTAGCTTGAGGGAGTAGTATTGTTCTACCAAGAAAAAGATGATAACATCACGTATACACCTCACAGTGATGCATGGAGATAGATCTATTTAAGTCTGAAAGATGTTTGTCTCAGGAATAGGTGATCTTGTTCGCATAGATCGTAGATCCTAACAAAGAATATTATAAACAAATATTGGAACACCACGTCACCGCGTCTGGACTATGTCTAATCAGAGATTCGTCTTGCAAAAAGATAATGATCCTAAATATTCGTACAAATTTTTTAGTATACTTCCTCTTCTATTTTTGTATTAGTGATTATACTTAGGTCTGATTTTATAACTTTCTGACCTGCAAGGAGGAAGGATGCTTTTGGTTTTAGTGGCAAAAAAAACTACAAAGTTTTCAGTTACCTTATGTTAAGTATCGCAGGCCACTCTTTTATGATAACGCGCTTTAAATTGTATGTAACACGAGCACAAAAAATGCTTGGTAATAGTTCCTAGTCAGGTATGCAATTAACAATATATTAGTCGTATAGTTCGCAAATATCGACGAATATGTACTCTGTCGGCGGAAAGTTAAACCGACCACTTAAATGCTTGGCATAGATTCGTCGATTAATTAGAAATAAAAGTTAAGTCGGTTCGGTTGATGTACGAAACTAAGAAGAAATACAAAGATTATATTGTCCTAATATCGTATGAATTTATAAATAGAGCAAATCCAATGAGACCGCTCCGTAGTAACGAAAGTCTTTCTGGCTTTGATCGTTCGGTTGCAATGACGCAATACCGAAAATGATTTCCAACGTCCCGCGGCTTTCGAGATGATTTATGCGACCGAGACACAATGAGTTTAACATCGCAAAACTATTTTACGAGGCGTTACATAAAATGCTCGTACAAAGTAAAACGAAAGAGGGTAAGAAAGACGGTTTTCGTTACTTCGCCGATGCTATTGCGTCGTTTTCAACCGGAGAAGCGTGTCGAGAGTACGCAGAATGTAATTCGGTCTTGTTTAAAAGCAATTGCGAGCGATATTTCGTTCTATCGTCGAGCGATCTAATTGCTCGACTCGAAGGGAATACGAGTTTAATGGTTTTAAACGATTCAAGTAACAAAGATGTTGCTCGATAAAAGGTGATTGTCACCTGTCACGGTTGTTCTCGCGCTACGAATTAAGTTACAAATTTTTTCGAACCGGTAACACGATACGCTGGCTAACACTGACGTTTGCAGAGTTTAATAAGCAGTGTCTATCGATGGTTACTTTATCTATCGATACTGCGCAAACATTACATTCCTTTAAATGCATTAATTATCACATAGGCTGAGAAGATTTTTTACCAAGGAACTGAAAATATTAATTTCCACCGTGGAATGTCAAAGAAAGATGATCAATGGAAATCCAGACGATCGTATTATAAAATGTAAGTACTTTGATCATATTAATCTATTTATTCTTGTTTGAATTACTCTAAAAATTGCTTTGCTGTCAGTGAATGTAACACTATCCCGTACTTTTCTTTCAGTTAATCTTCAACGTACGGCCACGAAACGAAGACAATCGTCAGCGTCGTTGGGACTCACGTATGATTAACAAACCATAGAGCTGTTGTTAAATTGCGCGCTAATGGCTCATTGTGGCCAAGCATCGAGTTGATCCAATTGCGTTTAATTGATCGTATATGAAAGGAACCGATATTCGCGCGCGCGTAGACTCGCGAACTCGCGCGTCCACAACGAAGGTCGAGTCGGTCGTAAAATGAGCATTAAATCGCGCCTAGAAGCAATTAAATTCGTTTGACGGAGTCTCGTTCGTGACGAGAGCTGCATTTCTACGACCTCCTCGCAGCCGCCGGCGACACGTACGCGTCTGCAGAAAATCTGAAACGATGAGAGATCAACGGCTACGACAAAGAGGAACGGCTTTTTGCGTCGCGACCAACAGTTGTCTCCGAGTCCTATACGGTCGACACGTGGTTCATGGTGACCTACTCCGCGAACCGTGTGGTCTACACTTTGAACCACTTGGCCGGACGCGTGAACCCGTCGATCGATTCGTCGAGTCGAAAATCGCGTTGAAACGTCGCTGCATTCCGTTGATATCCGAAAGCTCCCGTTTCTGTTGCGCAAATACCGCTGGGAAACGTTCAATTCGTTTCCCATGCCAAGCCCGTAATATCGCCCGTGTAAAGCCGACGATTCGATGATTTTCGTTTCGTCTTATCGATCACGGACGCTCGCCGTTGTCTTATAACCCGGAGCAGATAGCTTTTCTTCGCGCATAAAATATAAATTGAAATCGAAACGACGTTACGCGGATAGGAACGGTCACGTCGGAAGTGATCGGTGAGCTTTTACAGTTTAAATCAGAGATTTTCTTCCACGCGGTTCTCGAAGGAATAAAAAATACCTAACGAATTTTGACCGCAGAACCGACGGACTTTCAAGCACGTATGACCCAGATAGCGACGGACCACCATTGAAAAGAATTAACGCGCGTATTGGTTTGCGCGTAAACGGGCATAATTGGCTTAAACGGTACGTGTCGCCTGAGCGTTTGTCGTCGTTCTTCTCCCTCGAGTGATTTGTTGAAGAACTCGATCGTCTATTTACGGCCACTTCGTACGGCACATATTCATTGTGAAACGTTAAAAATAAACCCGCGAACTCAAACGTGGGAAGAGTGTTCGATCGGCATCGAACTTGTATCCACAATGCTTGCTCGTTTACAAGAAACTATTTCTTCGTACGATTATTTCAATCTGGACGTTCGATTCGGTATAATAAGTGTAAAGAAATAATGTTAGAACGAACGTGTTCTTGACTTGGGTCATTTTCTTTGGCATTGCCACTCCACGGAGGGAATCAAACAGGAAGCACGAAGATATTTTCGGAATAACTTAAGGATTCCATGCACCCTGCAACTCGAGCTTTCCGTTTCACGAGATGACGCAACTGTCCGTAGATTTCGGTGGTCGGGCTCTCGGGTTGCATAACCAAGACTTTCCATTGCATTTAGACCTAACGAACGTTTCCGTTTTTATTCGACCTCACTGCCGCGAGTTCCGCTTTGGAACGGTTCGTTGAATCGGCCGCATATATAGCTATCCGTGCCAATTACGCGCGACTGTAAACATCCGAAATTGCCAAGATCAAACGGTGCACGTGCGTATATTACGTGCTACGCGTTAAATAGCGTTTCGTGTTGTTCTATACGATATTAAAGGCAAAGCGCAGAGAACTGCACGGCTCGATTTCCACGATCTGTCCCCACTCTTCTCACGAGCTCGGCAAAAATTGACCCAGCGGGGAGGGAAAGAGAATCGATTAACTCTGGGATTCACGGAACTCGTCGATTTAACGGGTTTCAGATTCCATAAAAGTTACAATTTCTATTGAATCGTATCGTTTCAGGTACAAGTGAAATGGTTTCGAGGACCACATAATTCTAAGAAGAACGAATGGCACGTACTTATGCGATGACCTAGTGCATAATATCAGCTGCAGTATTGCGAACCTTCGGAGTGTTATCAGCACTTCTCTTGTAATAGAAGATAGCGATAAAGAGTAATTCTGTACGAAGGGCAGTTCTCTTTCTATAAGGTAACGTGACACTTGAAAAACTCCAGGTGATAGACGACAAAGAAATTGTACGTTTGAAAAACATAGGATCTGAATTGTTTTCCCGCGTAAGAGAATATCAACTGGGTATATAACTAAATCGGGTACAGTGTTAGCGTCGTACGTCACTGGGTCTACTTCTTGGCTGACAAATTATGGGTTCAAATTATATTATAGAAAACCGTTCTTACAGGTAATGGTACCCAGAAGACTGGGTCGTTCGAGTACCCTGTCTCGGTCATACGGAGAATGTCGAGGGGGATGGTAATTCTGGGTCTTCCCCCCGCTCCCCTCCTCCCTTTGTTGTGGAAGGGCCAGAGGGTGGATTCTGTACACAAGCTGAAGGAAGTATGTAAGTAAGAAATTCTAAGAGTCTAAATAATACTGGAGGTTCGTGTGGAATGAATAATGTAACACGATACTCGTGTATTCAAACAAGAAAATTCAACACCAAATTCCACGAACAATTCATTATTACTTGTTCTAACGAACTTGCATTACGTCATCTGCGCTGTTTGTTTCAAACATTATCGCACGGTAGAAAATTATAAGTATTTTCTCTCGTATAGTACAGCGTTAGGAGAATCCGCCAGACAAGACTAAAACGTTAATACACGATTACACTCACCGACAGCCGGGTACAGCGAAACTAAAATGGCGGTGCGACTTGGCACGTGCTATCTCGTTCTATAACTCAAACACGAGCTTGGAACCAACAGGTTTTGTTCGACCGATGAATAGTGTCTTTTTCCGCGACGATTTCGAAACACTTTGCGCTTGATTTACGCTAACCAAGTAACGTCCTTCTGACCGGTAACTTTTGAAATATTTACATGTAAAGCAGTTTCTGTGATTTCGCTTATTATCTATATATTTTTAATCGTTAGTCGGAAATATTTTACGTGAAAATTAGTATACCGATAGAGTTCGTTATGTTTTTATAGTAACAAAATATTCTGTATAAAAAAGAGTCTCGACAGGGTCAGCGTTAAACGGTTCCGCGCAACTCGAAACTTTTCGTGTATAGTAACAATCGCGCACGCTTGACGCAGTGTTCGTATAGCTCGTCAGTCTCGACGAGAGGATCTTGCCCTAAGAATGAGAGCAGTGTTTATGAATGAAGTGGACCCGGCGAGGGTAAAAAGCGCGCGAATCTTTCCAATTACGAACAAGTGCCAAGCAGCCACGACGATATCGCGCGGCAAAAGGATAAAAAACGGCCAACGAATGGGCAAGGAAAAAGCGTCGCTCACCTCGTTTGAAAGGTGCGACATGCATGACTCTAATAGGGACCGATAAGAAGGGCGGACTGTGAGACCGCCTCTCATGACACCACGCCGACTTTTCGGTGCGACCACTGCCTTTGCCAGACTACAGCTGTCTTCTGCTCGCCGTCTGACTCTCTTCTCGCGCTAAATTTGCTCGCAGGTCTCTCGTTCGCGGTTCGAGGGGCGACCGTTCCGTACGCCCTTCTTTTCTGCCTGGATTCCTTTAACGGCGTCACCACGTCGCGACTCTCCTCTGCCCTGCGAATCCTCTGCGTCTCTGACTTCGGCTTTTCTACCGCGAATATCCGTATGCGTCGCGCGAATCTACGGTACTGCAACACGATATAAATCCCGATCCAGCTCTGACCAGCTCTGACGATGAACTGGGCGTTTAACAGAAGGAGACGTACTCGCCGAACAGCGAACAGAAACGAGGTCGGGTAGGGGAATCTAAAAGAGCGAGAGGGAAGGAAGGATGGACGCCGGAGCGCCCAGCGTCGGCGCCCGAACTCGCTCGATATCGTTTTTCTGTCTTTCGAGTTCTACCGGACACCTACGGATGCACCTCGTAAATCCGTAATATCCAAATATCTAAATCGTATCTGTATATCGATATCGTATCTAAATCACATCTATAAAATGCTCTAGCGTTCCTTTAATTCCTCGTCGCTGCTTCGACGAATCGAATCTTATTAATATTTCTCATTTTTTCTCCTCGAGCATCGAACGAAGATTTCCACCATTACGCGTATGGTAGAACGTAGATTGTTCGAAGTAATTTAAAAAAAAAAAATATGCACATATTTTATCCGAATAATGATTTCAGTAATGCAATATCTAACTAGACTTTGTTTTCGGAATATTCATTTCTGTGTCAATGGGTCTAATATATATCGTTGTTTGCTAATTTTTAACACGGGGATGATTATTACTGTGATCATTCGTTTCTGTTTCGTTGACTTTTCAATATTCCGTGGTTAAACTGGAAACTCCATCGCTTCTTTTGAAACGTTCCATAATGTGTAATTTCAACTACGTATTTACATTTAATATTTGCGGCACAGCAAGTGCGTTTACACAGTCAGAATTTATGCCAGTGTTACATATAACATCGATATAGACCGGGGAACATTAATTCTTGCTCTCCAGGAGAAAGTTACCAGCTTCGTATAATAACTTGTCAAGTGACATATTTACTATTGTATTTTTACAAAAATCCATCACGTGATTATATTTAACAACTCATCGTAACTTCGTTTCTATTCGGATGAATTGTTTAACGTATTTGAATCATTAAAGAATGTATCATGAATTGAGGACTGAACCACAGACTAGGTACAGAATAGATCTACCGATGTATTTTCGTGTCTCACGGTGTGGGGGTAATTTTCATTGGTCATAGTTCTCAAGATCACCGTGCCCCAAACAAAAAGGTCGCTCGAAAACCTATGGTTTCTTACCAGATCGGTATTGCAGTATGCGCGACACCAATTACCATAAGTAGTCTACCTGTATCGCAAATGTTACCTACAGATGCACAGACAATATTTTTGTCTTCGTGAATTTAATATTATTTAATTAGAAATTTGGTATGTAGTGTTTCCTTTTATATCTAATATCTACATAGCTTTAAACAGTTATCATGCAAAAGAAATTTTCTAATTTTTATTTTTATAAAATGAAAAAATTAATGAATTATAAGAATAAAAATGTTGAACATTATTTTCTGAAATTGTTTTAGTTTGTTTTTAATGTTAGTGTGTATAGATTATTATTTCATTAACATCAATATTTCAGCCTTTCTAATATAAGAACGTATTCTTGGTGTTAAATCGTTACAGATGTATAGTGCAAGAGAAGTGATATATTATGTGAATTAATTACTTTATTAGATCGATGTGCATGAAATATAAAATATGTTATTTGATATTTAAAAATAATATACTATGGTAAGCACCATAATATTCAAAGTTGGGATACAATCATACAACTGACCGTGTGGCCTAATGGATAAGGCGTCGGACTTCGGATCCGAAGATTGCAGGTTCGAGTCCTGTCACGGTCGAATGGTTAATTTTTTTTTTTTCTTGACTTTGTTTAATTTTATAATATTTATACACTAATAAAAAAATACATATTACATGTAAATTCATTATTTCTTAGCGACATTTTGATCGAATAGTAATTATATAATTTTATTTACTTGTTTCTCTACGTCCATTCGTTATGAAATGAAAACGATTGCATTCATTTGTAATGTAGAAGCGTAGAATTATTAAATACACTCTTAACATTTTATACTGTATGTTAATGTTCAGTATATGTCTTACAGCTAATTGCAAAAGTAATTACATCATTAATAATTGATAATATTGGGTAACAAAAATATTATTAGAATAACAAAGTTGTTACAATATATAATGCATTAAAAAGTGAGAATAAAAAAAGAATTCCTTCGAGCCGGATTTGAACCAGCGACCTATGGATGTCTGAAATTCAATCGTGCCTACTACAGTCCACCGCTCTACCAACTGAGCTATCGAAGGTTCGACGATTCTGGTCTGTCGTTAAAATAATGATAAGTAAATTATTGTATAGATTCATTCGGATCGTTTGATTTTGTATTAGTTACGAACATTGTTTCAGGAAGACTGAGTTAATACTTCGAAGTAACGTTTATGTTGCACACGAAGTGCATCATAGTCGTGAATTACGACAGAACACGAGAGATAAGAAACTTGATGGGCATTGTGCATTATTTAGAGCAGAAATAATTCATCAAGATGTAACGGAATATAATATTTCCAATCTTTCGTTTCTTTATAACGAGACTATCATCAAGTTCTTCGATAAAGAACACGTTTGAGGAGCAATTTGACCTCGAAACATTTCTTTCAACAGAGAAAGATAAAAGAGTGAATGTGACGCGAAGATGAAAGGAATTATTTGTCGCACGCATTGACATTATCGTGATTATAAAGGTCGGAGGTATTTTTTAAAATGTTATCACGGATTTCATGTATATTTTTGTTTGTAGACCATCATCGAAAATAATCAGAAGAAATATTACAGTATATGTATATTAACGATCAATTAGTGCAGGTTATGATTGTATAGGTTATGTAGCTTTTATATAAAACATGTAATTAGCGAACGTTTTCTTTCAATATTGAAAGAGCGTAATTAGAAATTATCTAGAGTAAATTAAGACGATTACCAATCAGGTTAATTAACATCTATGTACGTATAGCATAGTTCGAGGTCGTCTTACGTATCTAATCGATCTGAAAGGATGAAAATCGTTGTCAAGTGTAGAAACAATTAATGCGTGCTAGTGTGGCTGTTAATTTAATTACTGTGGCCAATTAGCATATTGTCAGCGCGTAATACGAAACGATAACAACGCGGTAACCTCTTGGAAGTTGTTTTAGGACAGATAAAGGCTATTAATGTATCCGATGAACGACGAATTTTCCTGTCTCGTTTAATTGTTATTTTCTTCAGTCGACCATCATTCGACACATTTTCTAAATGTTCTCGTTGGAATTATCGTTATATTGTTCTTTCTAAAATTGAATCAATGTTTTCAAAGTGTCGGGAAATGGTAATTTGTTTTCGCATAGGATTGCGTAATATGTTTTTTTTTTTATTCGAATGATTCGTATCGATTCGAAGCATTTTCACGGTAAAATCCATCTGGGTGTGTCGCTTCTCTAATCAGAATATAGCGAATCTATTTTGACATAACCGCACCTAAATGTCAGTCGTACTTCAGACGACCCTTCCTTTTGGTTTTGTTTCATCCATTCGTTCGTGCAACCAAATATATTTTGGATATTTCTTAGTTTCTTGTTTTAAAGGACAAGTACAAAATTGATTATAAAATGTGGATAATAAATAATTTAAAAAATGTTTGTTTAGTGCACGTATTAAGCGTCCGCCGGGAGAAACTTAAAAAAGTAAAGTAGTGAATTTTCGATCGAAGAAGCTTATAAGGAGAGTACATCAATAAAATAGTCAACATCGTCCTCCGCGGAAGTAAATATTCGATATTGCTCTACCAGTAGCCGGAAATTCGTACAAAGGATAGTTCAGTGGCATGCAAATACTTGAAGATACTTGGAAACTTCGATAAATATTCGGAGACGTCTATCGGATCAATCTCCGATCATCCGACACGATGCAACCGTTTTGCGATACAATTATTGTATCGGTTATTGTTGCACGATGTTATACACTCGTTTTAGCGATTTTTTTATTACGTTTTTAAATTCATGTATGCCATAGATACGCGTAATCGTGGCGTGCGGTAACAACATACGGTACAAAAATCGTGGGAAATTCTATTATGTATTTTCCCACATATTAAATAATATATGTCATCGATACAGCGGAACCCCTTTTCGATTGCGTGTACTTTTTTTTTATTTCGATCGCCAGCGTCGTTGCTAACGTATACAAAATTAAATATCTATATGTAGACATGTCGTTTGTTTTAGGGTGACTTGTATGTATAGTAGGACAATTAATTTTAAACTTTCGTATCGAAGGTTACATGTCACAATTAGGAAGTACCTGTATTCGTTAGGGCAGTTTGTACAACGATAACAGAATTTATTTATAGGTACCTTTTATTTTTAAATTACAAACGAACTGCGTATATATATTTATACATGTAAATACTATTGATCGCATGCTTCCGTGTTTAAATATTTATCGATCGCGTCTTATACAATAGTAAACGCAAATGTACTTCAATAAGTATTCCAATGACTGATACATTCGTTATAAAATATAAAACGCGCAAGTAATTTACAATTGCCCAGTCAATGAATGGCGAATATATTAGCATTTCGTATACGATAGATTAGAATATGCAGACTGCTTTATTCGGTTTTAGTATTCGATACATTTTAATGTAGGTCATGGCTGGCGAACTTGCGGCCTGTGGGTCGCATGCAGTTCCTTCCCCGCTTTGTCTATTCCGTTGAACAACCCCCATCATATCCATTTGACTCCTACATTTTACATTACAAAGAATACAATACATACATGGTGTTCCAAGACAGAGGGACTAATTGTTTTGAAACATTCTGTATATTTTGGACTTTAGACTTTGTACAAGTGGGGAATGAACTTCATACGGCCCGTAGCAGGAAGTTCGCTGGCCCTGATCTATGTAATGAATAACTAATACCCGACCTATGAATAAATTTTTACCAAAATGTTTAAGTGGTAAATTTCCAATTTGTATTTACATATTAATTCCTAGAAAATTTATTTGATCAAAAACTTATAAATGGTCAAGAAAACATTTGTTGTGTCATTCGGGAAGAGACTTTGAACAATGAAAAAATTATTGAAATCGATGCAGTAGTTTGTGAGTGTTCACCCCCGAACGCAGCCTACGAACATGCACGTTAAAAACGTCATTTTTGTCGAAGGTGCATAATTTACCCCGCACGGTCATACGTCCCCCGACGATGGCGCAAGAGGATGAAAACGCGTGTCGCCATCCGCCGGCTGACGTCGGCAGGCAGCATAACGTATTCCCGATGCCGGAGGGTGAGACGGGCGGGTAATTCCCTCCAGATCACGCTACTCCAACGAATAGTCTTGTAGCGAAGGAAGAGGATGAATAGAGAAAGAATTGGAGGGACAAAGAACGTTAGAAGAACGCAGACGCGGGCCTGTTCGTGACAGCGTGGTGCGCCTGTGCGGATCATGACCGGGCTGGAGGGCGAGAAAGAGGGTTACGAAGGTAGGGGAAGAGAATGGAAACACGGTAAGAAGAATAGAGAGAAAGATAGATGAGCGTGACACGAGAGAATTATAATAAAGGTAGGGAGAGGGAAGGAGATGCACTGAGAAAAGGAATATACGTGTAGAGGAAAGCATAGAAATTACAATACAATAGGAAAGCAACAGAAAGAGCGTTGGATGAAGATGGACAAAATGTTATGAGAAAATACACGAAGTTACGCGGTAATTAGAGGCGGCAATATAGAATATACATAATAAAACAATTGGCATATAGGATTAGATAATGAAACGAGTAACGAGTGGAAAGAAAATACGGATAAAAGGGTGGATAGAACTGAGAAAGATAGCATGCGAGACGTCGCCGCAAAAAAGAGAGAGATGACCAGTGTAAAACGATACAAGGGATAATAGTGGGGATGAAGCAGAACAGGCAAGAAAGGTGGCGCTCTCGGGCAGTCTGGCGTCGTCGGCCGACGGGTACGTTGTCGGGTTGTCGTTATTTCCAACCTACTGTCGTTTCATCGTATTTGCGGCCGTGTTCCAACCGCGATATCGTCGGTTTTATCGTTCTTGAGGACCATTCTTTCAGTGTCGTAGCAAAGTTTGTAATAGTATTAACGGTGGTAAGCAAGAAAACTCGTTACGCCGGTCGATGAGCTCCTTTAACCTGTGCCGTGGGGAATCTCGCGTACGATGGTCGTCGGCCGATTCGAGGGGTAATAAGGTAAAGTTTCATCGTGAGAGTTGCACTCGCGAGTTATTTAACGTGGACTGCTTGTCCAGGCCGGTAGCGGATCGATTTTCACGAGGAGTGGAAGCGGGTGCTGTATGAGAGGGACAGAGTGAACGAGAGGGCAGGGTGCGGAGTGAGAGAGAAGAATGGTAACAGCCAGGAATTCAGTAATGCGTGTAGGGTTTTGCCATCATTTTCCTTTGTCCTCTTACTACCCCCTTCCTCTCTTTCTCGTGTTTACCCCTCGTTCCTCGACTCGCCTTTCGACCCTTTGTTTCGTAATTTCTGACGCCCGAAACGTGTTTTTTTTTTTTTTTTAGTCCACTCTATTATTACATTCTCGGTTTCTTATTTCATTATTTTTCTCCACCTATTCCGCTCGGTTGCGCTTTCCTCTTTCATCCGCGTGCACAAGCGCGCGCGCGCGCGCGTATATTTCGCGATCAGAGGGACACGAACCCTTAACTGGAACTTGGAACACGCTCCGGTAACACCGCATCGACCATGTTACCGTAGATTGATCGTCGGGAAGTATCTTAGGTGAGACAAGTAAAAGAATCGGGAAAGATTGTCGGACTGTTCTCCCATCGATCGTGTTCGATCGCGCGGATACGTTATTTCGTCATAGAATGTGCTTTCGAATCACGAGAACATCGAGAAAACGAGGAAGAGGGTTTACCAGCTCGTGCGAAAAATGAGAGACTCCACGGTAGATTAATTTCAGCCATTGTACCCTCCGTGCACGAACGCGAAGACAAAAGCACTTGGCGGTTCAGAGGACCATGGATTTTCGAACGATTACGACTTTATCGTATCGCGATCAAAAGTGAGAAATCGCGAGTGGAATGAGATCGAACGATCACGAAGATGCTAATGACAAGGACGATTAAACGGATTATTACCAGATGCACGGGTGCGACGTTTAGCGACCTCTGCGTGCCGATGCACAACCAGTAATCGCTTTAAAAGCGTCCTAAACGAATTAGAATTCGTTGACCGGAGGAAAGCTTGACGCATCCGCGAGCACGAGAAACTCGTGGAAGAATTGTGCCGAGATGTGTGCAGATACGCGTACCGTGCCCGTAATCGTGCAGAATTTTCAGTGTGTACCGCGTCTCTGACCCTCTTCCGCCCTCCGATTCTCACCGGTCGATAGACCCGACTCGACGTGGGTAACTCTCTCTTTCTCTCTCTCGCTCCAGCGCGACTCCTGTAACGAACAGAGACGCCAGCATAAGAAACAAGGAACGAGTAAGATACACCGAAAATCGTACGATCGCGATTGCATATACGGGACACGGTGGTCTCCGCTGCGTTTCCGATCGATATACACGGTCGTCGAAGTGCACACGTAAACGAGGAGAACGTGATGATAAACAAAGTGACGGTGAAAAGGTTAGCACGGTGATAATTTGACCCTTTGTTTCGTAAGGATCGCGGACTCGGGACCAGGGAGGGATTCGAGGCACGGAAAAGGGAATTTCTAAAGCTCCGCGACCCGAATTAATCGGTACACAGAACACACGTCCGAGTTAGGATTTCCGGAAGGAAACGGTGTTTCTTTGCTCGCGATGGATCGAGGGCCCCTCGGGCAATTATGCTTTTCGACTTCATCCGGCGGTGAGTCAGCGACAGAGAACATTATGAGTGTTGAACGATGCAAACAGATGCGTGCGGTTAGTTGAACGCAGAATGAAATTTCATTCCGTTTAAACGAACGGAAACGGATGGCGCTCTTGTAACAAACGAGCGAATCTGTCTCGAAGAATTTAGGATTTGCCTCCTCCTTCTTTTGCAAATGAATGACGAATTTATGACGAACGTCGCAAATTCAATTAACGGATTTGTGCAGAGAATAGCGATGCAAATGTCTCCGTGTTTTTCGATTAAGCTTTCCGCCAGCGAGACGAACGGAAACAATGTTCTCGATGCTATCGTTTTATTTGCGTTCGTTTTATCCAAATCGCGACGTATTACTACCTTTGTTCGTGCGTTTAAAAGGTTAGGCACTGCGTGATGGGAAGACGAAGGTAATGAGCCAAGTTGGCACTTTCATAGGAGGAAGTAAAAGAGGTCGGTGCGATCAGAGCTTTCGGAACATAATAATCAGGTTCTGAGGGAATTCGTTCGCCTACCCTTTCTCGAGATGGAGATTCGCGCGGTACGAATATCGCGTTGGTAGTTTTTGTTTTGCCGCGAAGACAGCGAGTTCATATCGTGAAACCTTCTTCCGCCGTGTCTGCGGCTTACGCGACTTTCGTTTGATGCGATTAAATCCTGGATACGTGCGCGACGAGTGCACCGCAACAAGTAATCTCGTAGGGTCTTTGTAGTGCTTCGAGATTATACGCTTACGTGCCGGTTTGTTCCTATTCCCCTGTCTTCTCGATATTAGCCCCCGTTATTCTTTCATTACACGTATGTATCTCGTTTCACTTTGTCATCGCGACATTTTTCTCTCCGAAGAAAAAAACCCGACTGCTCGCTTCGCCCCCTAAAACTCTTCGAGGCGTAACTTAAACCGTACGCTGGCGTCAAGTTTTATGAATTTTTCTCCATATTTACGGTACAGAGAATATTCATGTTTTTAGACAAATTCGATAATACGGATGAAACATTGGTAACAACAAGAAAGACACTGCCTTTTTAATCCACATAATAATGTCCTCACAGAGTAATAGACTTGTAGCGCAAGTTGGAGCTCTTAAAGCATTGGCTTACTGAGAAAGTGACAGAGTCATTTAACCGATCCTCCAATTATTTTCAAGAGCCTAAGTGTCCATTATGTCCAAAGTAACGTGGGTGAGTTGAAAAAAAAAAAGAAAGAAGTTTAACCATGTATACGTACACGAATCCAACATTTGAACCTGCTTATTATAATCACATTGTTCTTTCGTAGTAATTTTACTTGTTACGTAATCATTTTATCCCGAATAGTAATTGAAATTTTTAATTGGAATCTAATTAACTGGAAACGCGATCGAGGTAATTTACGCGTCTGTGCTTCTAATAGCTTAACCGTCGAGCTACTTTCTAATTTAGTGCAGTGCAAACAATGAAGTTATCGCTCATCGTGCCCCCTCTGTTTGATTTTCTACATCGTTTTATCGTCGTTAAGCCCTTGACATTACTTTCATTTTTTTCTCGTTATCTTGAACATATATTCATCGCGATGCGTGCATTTTGCATAAATATTCACGAACGCAGCGGCAATTGTGCCAATTCCCTCGATTCATTTTCACGACGATCGCGCGACGAATAATCCTTTATTCGTTTTTTTGTGGACTGTTCGGGGAGAAGTCTCTCAGGAGTCTGTTTCACCACCCGGTATCATTATTCATTCCTAGTAAACATCTCATTATGACATCAGTATTCTGTGACGCACGTCGACAATATCAATTGTTCCGGCACGGAATCATCTTACGTATCTTCGATCGTGACGTTTACGACATGGAACGAATATGCACACATACGTGATCTATACTTTTCAAAAGCGCGACGTAAAACGCTCGGTGCCGTGCATAGATCGTGATACATAAAATTTCGTCTACATTCCTCGAATTAAATTAATATCAAAGTTCCGATAGAAAATATTTTTTTATTAATCTGATTCTTGAAGCGTTTATCTTTTATTCGATCGAGAATGCTTTTCTGTTTTGTTTGGCGTGTAATTCTAGCGGCGAAATCGCCGAATGGGAGGCGTAGAAAGCCACGATGGCGTCGGTTTGTCTCGTCGGCCGTTCCTTACCTCGACAACCCTCCATGTCGTGGGGTGACGACCCTGCACGTCTGGCCAGAGACTCCCGTGTATTTCGTATTTATTATTTATACGTCGCCAAGTGTCTACATCCGGTGGAAAAGCGCGGGGGATCCACTTCGTTAGAGCCGCCGTATCGTGCTCTTCGCGCAAAATTATACAATTAAGAGCTTCCCGGCTTCTTCTTCCAAACGAACGAACGTTAAATTCAACGCTAATGCGATATAACACGACAAAAGATGCTACACGCGTGTTTCATAAAATAGATTCCATTATCTGAATTCAAAATGGTATGAAATAAAATAATAAAAAAGAACGAATTGAAATATCAGTAAATAAGATGATTAATATTACGTACAGCAAATACTACTTGAAACTATTACAGTCTGAACAATTGTACCGATTATTTACGAAACGTAATCTGCTTTAGGGGGGATTAAAGCACACAATTTGTAGGATTTCTGTCTTAATTATTTACGGTTCTTCGCGTTGGGTAACATCCGTTCGGGAAAGAAATCGTTTGATTGGGAAATAGCAAATGCCAGTATTTATATCTAAATCACAACTATTTATACCTACACCCGTCTGTTGTGTTTCATTTATTATTTACGTCGAACGGAGGCGCGCACCCTACGTAAGTCCAGAGGAAGGAAACCTTTATAAAAAATGTAACAGCACGCGTGCAAAACGCGATATCCTGCGTGAAGCATTCTATTTCTGTTTGTTGATCGTTCCGAATCGTACAAATGCTCCTATCCGACTCATGGTTGCTCAAAGGCCACATTTATTTAACAAAACCAAGTATTGAAATTGATGTTTCGTCGATCTCCGACGTTAAATATTTAATGTTCGCCACGAGCAGCCGAGGGTTAATATTAATCGCGAAACGATTTTGTACGATACCGACAATATTAACGTCATTAAATATTGGTAGAAATCGCGAAACACGCCAAACTGTATATCGAAGAGCCGAAAAAGAACGTTCCTCGGTGGAATTTAGATTCACCGATTAGAACGAAACTGCGTATTTATAAAATAAAGGAATTTTCTGGGGAAAAACGATACGCCAAGTGCGTCCATGCTTAATTAATTCTCAAAGTCGATTATCTCGGAAAGGAAGCCCCGTTCAAGAATTATGTATCCCGCGAATTCGATTTAGTTTTCGAGATAGAAAGTCGATCTCGACGCACCCTGCCTAATATCGTACGCGAAATCTACTTTCATTTGGAATTAATGCGCTCCATGTTGGATAACAAGTTTCACCGTTGTTCGTTCACAGATGAGAGGTAAACTTTTCCGTTCGATTTCTATACGAGGGTAATCCATATGGATGGAGCCAGCGGAAAGGGTTAAGGGAACAAGAAAATCGTCGTTTCCTTGGTCTCCGGCTCGGCCCCTCGTCGGATCGCGTACGTCGACCAGGGCCAGGGTTCATCTCTCCGTGGCCAAATGTGAGTAAATCTATTCTATTGTCGATCCTCGGCTATTTCCTCTTCTTATACACGGTGTTCCACGCGTCTAGAAAAAGCCTATCTCGATACCAGATATTTCAAACATCAAGTACGCGACGAATAAATATTTATCTGCATACAGGAAGTAAACATATTTTAACGAAACAAAACATTTTCGTCCTATTTTTGTCCACGGAACGTCTTGCCAAAGTTTATATCGGAATCCGTTGTATTTCCTGCATGTTTTCCATCGTGCATATCAAGTCATAAATATGGACGACGAAGAACATTTATTATACTAATTTCTTTTCCCTCGGAATAATGATCGTTTCAGCAATCTAATGACGCAAAGAAATTCATAATTCGATGCATGGAAACGTTCCGGAACACGTTCGTTATTAAAATGATTTCTATCGCATTCAACAAACATTCTCAAACGTGTATTCAATTCGCGAGCGTGTTCGTGTCGATAGAACAGAAGTTGGTGCGTTTCCTTAATCTGTCTGCGTCACATATTGGCAAAGGTAACAATCTCTTGGCAAAATATCTGAAAAGTATATTGTACACATACAATAAATATGTATGATTATATAATTACTTGTCAAACATTACGCAAACACTAAAGTTGTTACAAATGATTTGCAATATTGTAACGTGCAGCAACACAGGATGTTAGTGGGATTTCAGATTGATTAGTTATTGACATTTAACTTTTTTTATGGGTATTTTTTTATGCAACACACCCACCCAAGCAACCGTACTAAAGGTTTAACCTTAAAATGCCACACCGGGGTACAGTGGACCCCCAGTCTATTTGTACACAGAGTGACATTTGGGTTCCTTCTCCCACGATCAGAAATGGTTATGGTACCAACGTTATGGTCGGTGTCGTGTATAAATTTTACAATCTTTTCCTTTCATCAAGAAGTACACGTCCACGTAAACTTACTTTGGCTCCCAATTGGTGGATCGTCGAGTATTGCCATCGTGTCTCCGATGGTATGAACAAGTTTTTTCGCGTGGGGTATACCACACAGTGTCCTCGTACGTTTCTTTCCTCGTCTATTAATAGCTGTAAGGTCTGTGAACTGTCTTCTCTGTCAAACGTAACGGGGCACCGAGGTTTGCCTTAAGATTTTTAAGGCATACGCGGTCCAGGTTCTTGCGATCGATCGTTAAAATAGCCAACTTTGATCGAATCGTTTCGAACGGTACACTTTATCCGCGAATATATCGGGCAACATTTACATTTACGAGCAATGTTTTTCAATTATAAATACAAATATAAACCTAGGACCATATAGAATGGAACTCTGAATACCATTATGCAACTTGCTACAACTTTGTCGAGGCCAAATGTTAAACAGCTTGTGTTTAAGATGTAAAGCCAGTCTGCGAACTTATTTAACCTCAAGAAGCCAGTAGAAAGCAAACTATAGTAAGCCTTTATAAGCCCTGAATATATGTGTATTTTTTCAAGCAAATTTTATATTATTACGTTACGGAATAGATTATTCTATTTTATTTAGTCTACCATTGCTGTAAACGTTAGCCAAAGAAGCGAGTCGATTGATAATGAGCCTCGTATCAAGGTAAATGCACCAATAACAAACATTAATTATTATTGAGTATATGCGCTGGATAGAAATAATATTTTGACTAATTTATATTATGTGTACATTATAATATGCCCTGGCGTCTTAAGCTGCTGAGTTATTGGTATATTTGTCTTATGAGAAACACGGTACAGTGGCGTGCAAAAATTTTTGAACAATTACTTTCATAGTTATCCCGCCGAGAGAAAAGTGTCCCCTGCAAATGAAATAAACGTTTCTGTTACATATTTCTGCCTTGTAGCTCATTGTATGTACTCTACTTCACCGGATTAAGGCCGTCGCATACTTAGCAACGCGACACATGAACAGCATTAACCCGGAATCGACACGTTCGCATTATTGTATACCATGTGGCCCAAATAGTGTTGCCAGATGTTTTCTCAAAGACCAACGAAGATATTGCCTTTATCGTGTTTTTTAATTAAACGATCCAGGGGGTTAATCTTTCCATTTACGCGAAAACAATTCTCGAACCATTGGATCCACGCTCGGTCGTTTATTCGTTACGTTGGCGGTCTTCCTACGAATGATTTAATTCTTTGTTATTACGAATTCATCTCTCGATGAAGATACGTAGTTTGTACGCCACTGTACGTCCCTGAACGATATATGAAATTTAATTACATTGTTGAAGAGATATCGCGTAACATACTAATTGAGAATTTTTAATAAAAATGTAGGGCCTGTCACGGCTCCGTGAGATCGTATTGTTGAATCAAGTGTTTTTTAATAATGTCTCGTGCTCCTGAACGAGGACAAAAGTGCAGTATATGTTTGCTGTTCGGGTTACAAGTGTGCAGCCATGTTTACAAACCGACTTATCTATAGTAATCTCGTATCGTGATCATCGTATTAAACAGTTTGATACGTAGATCCAGGACTGCGCAGCGGGTCAGAGTTAATTCGAAACTCGACAACGGTAATTGGTTAATTTCAGCGAGAACCGCGTAGAAAAGTATTCGATAAGTAATTTATTTAATATTTAACCACTAATTGTATTTGAAAACGCAAGTTATAGATGGAAAGACTGGCTTCGTTCCCATCGTGATTATGACACAAAGTCATACTTTATAACTTCTCGTAGTAGACAACGATAGTATCTTCTTAATGTTCTTGTCAGCTATGACTGTCAGCAACGACAACACCGCTCATGAACGTTGACATCTGCAAACAGTTATGAAATATTGATGCACGTATGTATAGACTTCATGGTGAATGTTAGATACCGTATAAAAATTGCTGCGTTGGCAACTCGGGGCTTTCCATTATTGGAGAACTGAAGAATTTTAATAAATAAAAATTGTATCGCATTTAAAATTTTACCGAAATTAAATTAATCACGTTGTTCTCGCTGAAAGCAGTCGATTGTTTTTGTCGTTCCATGGATGAATTTTGCCCCACTTAGCTGCAGAGTAAACTTCGAATGGGGTAAAGCAGGCATGGTAATTAGATTCAGTATGATTCAGTAGACTTTGCAAACTGCTTTACCATTGTACCTATTTGTTTCGCGTTTATTGTGATAACGCAGTTTTGTCTCCTGCGTGCTATTTATGCCGGGAGTATACATTTGCACGAATAACTTCTACCACTAACGAAAAACAACGCCTAAAAGATCGGTATCGGTTAATTTGGTCTTCCAGTTTTGATATTTGTTCCCATCCCCTATCGTAATTAACCATGGTGTTCGAAACTGGTGCCGACACTTGGTCTCTATCGTTGACCGGTGTTAAAAGGCTGCGAAGATCCGCGACCTTCGACGCGGTAGCCAGCTGCAAATTGGTCCTTGGGCCAAAATGAGTTTAACATGCCTGGGATAAAGGGTTGAACGGTTGGTCTCGTTTCAGAGCGTTAGCGATCAACGTCCAGCGATGCACGGGAGCCGGTTCTCGTAAAACCGAAACTGTGTTTGGCGAATTGCAACGACTCGGAACTGGTCGGTAATCGCTGTCGGCACCGAGGATGGCGAGGAACAGCGGCACTGCAAACGCATACCGACGATGCACCGATTGCACCGTGGTCGTTCATCGCGATGCCGCTGTCGCAGCCCGTAGTACGTCCCCTCGCGAATTACGATCGATCGGAATCGGGTACGGTAGAAACGGAAACGGCACTGGTACCTCCGGCAACACCAGCTACGCTACCAATTTCGATCAGGGAGAGGGCACGGCCGATTAGAGTCGTCTCTTTCTATATAACTGCCGAGCAGCACGTGATTCATGTAAGTCTTGAACCATTGATTTTTAGATACGCGCGCAATGTATTTATTTTTACCAAGACCCATCGTCCACCCACTCTAACAGCCCCTTCACACGATACGATTCTTCTTCATCGAATCGGTAATACCCAAAACAACAGGCGCTACTCTCGATAATATGGAATATGTTGCATTATCCATAACACTAATTTTATTTTAAAGTTTCTTTAAGAGATGCTCCTCATTGTTGATTCCACTGTATATGATACATGTATGGGATGTTTCACGCAACTGGCCCAGGCTGTAATATGTAAACCCGAAGCATTAATGTTAAGGATTATTTCATTAAAGTAATTGTTCAAAAAATCGCCACGTAACTACCATAAGATTATTTCATATTAATATTTAATTAAATTCGGTAAAACCGTATCGTGTGAACGGACGATACAGCGATCTATTTGCCATGTTTATTGGACCAGATGTACATATAATCGATAAAAATGTAGATGGATTTAAATGGCTATCTCGCTGAAATCCGTAATGACGGGAGGATTTGATTTTGAAAAATACATGGAAATTATTAGGTATTTTATCCATACAATAATCCCTCCTATTTCATATTTCGAGGGTTCGAAACGTAAATAGACCGTTCTCCACTTACTACTAATTATTTACTTACTACTACGAGTTATTTGAACAAGTTTTATATCCATTCGATGTGAATTATAATTTTATTCCGGAATCTAATACTCTTTTGTGGAAATACAAACTGACCTAACGTGGCATAATTCAAAATGTGTCGTTCTCTTAGATAGTAACTCTTCGTTTAAACATTAGAAGTGACGCCGGGTGCCATATGGTATACTAATTTTAAACTTCGATTCATAAAATTTTTACGACAAGTAGAAATATCCTACTGGTTCGATCGTAACAGAGAAATCGCTAGTTTTTATCACGTGTTACTTTAGTAGCTTACGCGCGATGCGTAGGTCCGTCGGTTAATTGTTTTTTAAGTATTTAACAAAAATTTTAGGAGCATCGAACTGACCTTGACGGAACATTGTTCTATTTAAGCAAACAGGTTTCGATTCGATAGTTGTATTAGTCATTCATTTTCGCGAAGGCAATGCGATAATATTGTCGTCGATTCTACGAAACGCTCAAAGGTTCCGGGAACACAGCCGTCGAATAGATTAGATTTTAGTCGGTTCTATTGGCTTTGTTATCAGGTAGTGGAATTTCTTTGGTAATTCACGATTCTACGAAACGTGTATTCGCGTTACGCTTAATTCGATGACACAAGTGTTACACCCATGTAGCGTAATACGATGATTAACTGTCAATTAAAGCCATTGTGTGGATATAGATAATACCATTACCATTTTAACGCGCGAAAAATAAAACGCGAGACCATTAAATGAGCCCGCAATATTAGAAGCTTTATTTATACCTAAAAACGTTTGAACAGTCTGTCGTATTTTGTACAATCACCTTGTGTTTCTAGGAATTATTGAATATGTTGTGCACGTTTATCGATCACAGCTTATCGATTAGATATCCAGGCAGAATTATATAACGAAACAGTTACAGTTTTGAACTTAGTATCTTTCTATCGTTAATATCAATAGCCGAGCAAGTCGTTGTTTAGGTTGGTTTTCTGGTTGGTGGGGTCATTAGCCTGTCGCTCTTATCGAAAACTGTTGTTTTCAAAGCGATCTGTTTCAATGGTTCGAGTTAATAAAATTTCTTGTCGTAAAACGTGCTGCGAAAACTTCGAGAAAAATTGTTTTGTCGCTCGAAACAACCGGGGCGAATGTAAATCCGTGGAAGTTGTTCCTTGTCCGGGCTTTTTAACTTTCGACGAGGTCTCGAGACAGGAATAAAAGGGCTCAAACATGGCCAGTCGAGATCGCGCGTGGAACGAAGTTAGAATTATGCAACAGCTTAAGCTAGCATGGTGATGCAACCTCGAGAGAGAGAGAGAAAAAAAAAATGTGCAATGAGTGTTTTATTATGTAATTGCATCGACTGTAAAAATTGGACGCGAGCGATGATTCAGGAATGATTATCGTGATTCTACGCGTTACGTACGAGGCTCATTCGGTTCTTTGATTTACTTTTTTTTAAATAGAAAATCAGACCGATGAGAAACGCCTGATTAAAACACGGTAAGAAACGACAGGGTTTGTGGGACGGCTTGATATATTAATCTTCAAAAACGCCTATTAATTCTACGATCTTTCGCTTTAATGAAAATTCTTCGAGCTGTTATGATTTTTCATAACGAAACACGTGGAAAAGGACGAGCGAGAATTTTTCAACCGGACTTTCGTTTATGAGAAAAACTGCTTTGAAAGTGGTCGCGCGCTGGTGCATTCGACAAAGCAGACTCAGTGGTTCTCGCGCTCTGCCGAGCAACGGTAATTGATTTTCAAAGTCAATTTTCTCGAAAAGGAAGCCTCGCGCGAGAAACATTTATTCCGCAGTTTCGACTTATTTTTTAACGAGAATGCGGCTGTCGTTCGTTTGGAACCCAACGATATTAAAGTTGCCGCAAAATTCGAGGAAAAAGCGAAAGCAAACTTACGTGCTAAGAATTTGAAAATTTCTATAAATCGAAAGATGAAAATGGCTGATTATTCCGTGCAGGAGATAGACGGATTGCTTCACGCTTTCCCCTTCCTTCGTTTTACGCCTCCATCGCTCAATATCGTACAACGAACCAGGTCCGCACAATATGTATCGGTTTTTTTGTTTCGTAGGCCACGATAGAGAACTATGCGAGGACCTTGACATATTCGTTGGTATATTGCTCGCTACTACACGCGCGAACGCTCAAATAGTGCAAACGACGAATTATCGACCACATCGCGACTGTTTCTCTGCGAAACAGACGTTAGAGGCCCTTGACAAAGAAGTTATGGTCGTGGTAAACAGTTTCGTCGCGTTTGGGTGGTGTTGGGCATTATTCGAACAATTTTATCGCAATTTTTATGAACCATACACGAATGTACAAAAATTACATAACAAAGTACAGGAAGTTATCAGTTATAGATATTGATATTATGTAATAAATTTTCCTACCACATTTTAATAAACGTACGAGTTGGTCGAGTTTTAAATCCTACACAGTAAACTTATTTTGCAACAGTTTTTACACGATATGCAATCTATGCTAATAACTTCGTATATTTTTCTTATGTAAGCACATTGTCCAACCGCAGGTTTTTATCGTTTCACAGTCGAGCACATTTATATAAACGTGCTCGCTTTTTCTTACCGTTTTCTTTAATAAAAATACCGGTTCTCAGCGTTTAGCCCCGAGAAATTGGTTAAAAAGCACCGATACGAACGATTTGGCTCCAATCAGGATGTTACGTTAGAGGGTGCACTCCCAAACTTGGCACACACTAACGGGTCACCCCGTTAGTTATAGAAGCGACACGTGCACTTGACTAACACGTCGTATTGATTGCTTTGGAACCGATCGTCCCGGTGTAGTTCGTTACATCCGCCTGTATATTTCGTTCGATCGAACGGTTCTCATCTCTCGTTCAATCGGCTGATGATCACGGTTCGTTTCTGTTGCAGAAATCGAGAGGACGAGTGAATCTCGCGGAATGGATTTGTGCGGGGTCTACTTGTCGCAGCTGCGAGCAATGCTCGTGAGGAATCTGCTCCTGAAGAAACGAGAGAAGCGGAAGACTACGGCGGTACGTACACAACTTTTCATCGTTGCTTCCTCGAAAATCGTAAAATAGATCCCGCGAGATATAGTACGTTCAAGGAGAATTTATCGACGTCCTTGGAACCGTAGAAAGTAGAACGATTCGCAAAATTTTCGTCGAATATTTTACGAAGTTGCTTTTAGTGTCCCTTTACGCCTCAAAAATCGATCGCCAACTACAGGTAATTTCCGATTATCCGGATAACTTGGGACTGGGGCAATGCCGGAAACTCAAATATGTTGGATAATTGTAATATATCTATATATAGAGCGATAAACACGAGGAATATAATCATAGATCTCTGGCCACACATTATACTTGCAGTAAAGAATTTTTTCCTCAAAGATGCGTAGGATTTCGAGGGTATGTGTATTGACCAAAAATGTTTGTAATCGACCCCTGCAGCTAAAAATAATTTTTTTAGAACGATTTGAAAAAAATTTTTTTCTCCAAAAAATGTACAACTACCCCCTGTCGATTTTTCTTAAAAATATGTAAATTCCTACGCTTTATTAGCCTGTGAAGGTTCTCAAACATTTCAAAAAGGTGCAATTGTTTTTTCCAGATACACCAGTGCATGAAACTGCATACAATTATTTTCAGATTATCGTTCGATACGATATTTTTATTCATCGATAATTGTTTTGAAAGCGACACACTTTGTATACGTTTGATGCAATATCGTTCATCGAGCAGGAACTGTTTCGATTCCTGAACGACGAAGAAATGCAAAGTAACGTCTCGTCGGTAATGAGAGGAGGATGTTTTATAAGACAGAGTGTACCACATATTACTACACACGTATTTTTATTCCGCTTTATGTCATCGGCGAGGTTTAACAATTTTATGGTAGAAGATATTTTAATCGAGTGACTCGCGTTAGGAGGGCGGGGCTAAGTATAGACGCGAATACTTATTTTATGTATAAATCGATTTTCTCTGCTTCTAACGAGCTATATTTAGGTTTGCTTTTCCCCTCTGCCCCCTTTGGTCGACCCTTTATCCCAGAAAATTGACGCAGAGGTTTGACGAGCGACGCTGAATTGTTCGAAATTTGATCATGGAAACGTGCTCCCCCGGGAGACAGGAATTTTTTTTCAAATTGGAGGTACATTGTTAAGCTGATACCTCAAAAGAGATTGAAAATATTCGGTGCAATTCTACCTCGCGAATAACAATTATTTTTACGATTTGGAAACTTTTTTTTCAGAAATGCGATATAGTAGTTGGTATTTCGATATTTGGTTGTTTTATCCAGACACGAACATTTGTCTGGATCTCGACAAATTGGAATCTTCTTAAGAATAGTACTCGAATTAGTAGAGTACACAACTGCGGAATGTTCTAATATGTAAATGAATGCCTGTAACCGTAGTCGAGGAACCACAGAATAAACATTTCGCTGGATAGCGCGGAAACGTTTTGTAAATCAAGAGTTATCTCGGCAATGTTGATACCCACGAAGAAGGAGCTTCCGAAAATAGCAACGAAATTATATTCCGCCCGGAAGAAGAGTTATTGAACTCGTTTAGACATTTGGAGAGGTATCCGAGCTAATAATAAAATTAATCGGAATTCGTTTGTAACAGCAATTGTTACGCAATTGAAATTTTTGAATTTAAATCACTTCCTCGGTAATTAATTAAAATGGCCAAACATTTCGATGGATAATGCGCAAATATTTCCCAAACTAGAGCAATGTTGGTGTCGCCGATGCTCGAAGAAGGAGAGAAAAAGCCCCGCAGCTCTCGCGAGTGCCAGCGAAATTATGTCTTCGCGAACAACAAGAATTATCGTATATTTCTACCGATTTGGAAGTTCGCTAGGAAATCCGTACTGAAATATAAAACAAACGTAAAGGAGCCTCGTAAGGCGAATCGAGTACGTATTAGACGAGAGGAAAAAAAAGGAAAAGAAACATGTGGACGGTCGACGCCAGCGTAGATTTGAATTTGCCAACAACAATCGCGAAACTTGGGAAAAGAGAGAAAGAGGGTGTTCGCAGACTTCCACGAATGGCGACGAAACGACTGCGTTTCGCGGACGGGTCACGTTTGCCAACCGTGAGGGCGTCTTGCCAATTCGTTTTCGGCGGATGTTTTTGCGTGCCCATTTTGCTCGGTGGAATTTTTCTGTTTTCCGCAACTTTCGTCTCGTTTTTCCGTTTCCTTTACGATCTCGATCGGATCGCATCGCGAACCAACCCTCTTCGATTAACGGTTCGCTTCAGACGATCGTCCACGGTGAAAAGTATTATAAAAAAACGTTGCTTTCGTCTGCGTGTTTCTTTTAAATCGAGCAACAAACGAAGCAGAATGCATTTATCCTCCTCCTCTAGCGATCTTAAAATAAAGTCGATCGTGGGATCCGTCTCGTAATTTCGGTGATGATTGCGCGTGTATTATTCTCCGCGGGATGAAAGGATGACGGAAGCGTAGACGGATCTGAAGATGGTTACGCAACTACGAAGAATCTTTGTCCTTTTGGACCTGGCTGTCGTGTAAAGTATCGTGCGAAGTGAGAATATTAAACGGTACCAATTTTAATATCAAGTACAATAGAGGATAAAAGCTCATTTCTTTCGAGAGATCTTCTGCTTCTCTCTCCCCTTGAAAATGGCGGGATCTAGGACGTTGATCGGTCCGTTGTTCCACATCGAAGTGGAAATGGTCTCGACGGGTTCGACGGTAGAAGGCAGTAGGTGTGGACCAACGAGGAAGTAGACTTGCTCGACCCACGTGGGCAGTGGAACAGCAGTCACGCAACACTGCCACATCGGTAGACCAAGATGGACGATCATCATGCGAAAGTACACGGTGAAATTGCCCGCCAAGTGGTACCATCGATCCGCGTCTTCTCGATGCAACCAGACGCTCGGTGGCTCTTGTTCCGGTTTCGTACGGTACACCAGATAAACCTTGGCCTTTCCACTACCCGGGAAACATCGGCCGATCTCGAACATCTTGCAGCTACGCGAGTCGTCGTGCGGAAGAGAAACCGCGTCCTCGAGGCTGGTCGCGCTTCCGGGTTCCGTCTCTGGTCTCTCCGGATCGACTTCCTGTTTCGTGGATTCCGCTTGCGGCTCTTTGCCGTTGTAACGTTTCAGGGAAGAGAAACTGCCGATTTCCATGCGACCCACCGAGAATTCTTCGCCTGCGAAACCGTGAAATTACTCGCACTGCGGTATTTTCCAAAGCGGGGGAGTAACGTCTATTTGTATCATTTTTAGAAGAAAAAAAACCTAGGAATTTTAACATTGAATAATCTTTAATTTCGAACGAATATTATATATTGTTTTAAAAAGTATGGTCGTAGAAATTCTCTTTTTTTTAAGCAAGATATTCTCCGAAAAGTTTGAAAACCACTGCCATAAGGTTACGTCATCCAATTGGGGACGAGTTGTACCTCGTGTTTCGTTGAAGATAGAACGAAATTGTAGAGGAAAATGTTCAATGGTATAACAAGGTCTATCTTCCTACGACCTCGCTTTTTTCCGAGTGCATCTGTGAAGTGCAATTCCACTTTGTATTAAACGAAACTGTATATCAATTTTTTTTTTTTTATTCTTGTTGCCTTGTTTGCGAAAATATTAGGGCAAGATGCCCAAGGAATGTAATAATGGAAAAGTATCGATGTAACTAATTATGCCTCTGTTCTCGCGTATTTATCCATGCATTTCGTTTGCAATTATTCTGTTATCACAACCGGCACGTTGAACATGGCGACAATCCAGGTCACCGAAAAACATTAAAGACAAAGACATTCTATTCGCCCGAAATAAATGGCTTTTTGATTTATGAACCAAAGACGGAACGAAGAAACGACTGATAGCAAAAGTGAAGATATTTGTATCAAGCATTTTTACACCCTGGTAAAAACCTCGAATTATTAGCCCTCTCGATATTCTCCATACCATCGAGGGGTGCTTGAACGATCCAATCTTGACTTGGAGTGCTATTTCGTGGATGATTTCTTGGGTTTCATTATTCGGTTCGAGTGTATAATATAATCCAGCAGCTCGGCCAGGAACTCTAGTCCCGGAAACACGGGAACAACAGAACGATAGTATTGATTTCTCCCGTTTGAAACGATACGAATGGAAGTACCGAGTGATCGTTAATAATTTCTGATTAATAATCGGCGGGAAATTCCATGGGACAGAAACGCCAAGAGGAAGAACATATGGCGCGGTTGAGACCCTAACAAAGGGAATAGTGGAAACACGTGGATAATTATCTTAATGGGTTACCTGCTATCTCGAGGTTCCACAGAAGCTGAAAGCCGTCGATCGAGAGATAGAAGTTCCGAACATCCTCTGGGAGAAGGCAGCAATGCCTTTGCTCCCAGTTGACGATGGTCGTCAACTCGCATCCGTTTCGCCTCTCTACTCGTACATTTTTCACGTACGGCACGTTCTCGAGAAACTTCACCACGCCCAGCGTCAGGTTCTCGTAGAAGGAATCCTCGGTAACGACGTCCACGTAGAAGGACATGTCAGCCTCGTGGAAAAGGGGCCCTGTCGCGATCAAACTCGAGTCTTGGACCGACAATGTTCGTGAAAATTTCCCTCCCGTTTCGAAGTATAATTTTTAAAACTCTGAAGCGTCTGTTTTATTACCAATTTAAAAAAAAAACAAACCTTTAAGCAACTGTACCTACGATGTTTCGTTAAAATCAGTCCACTTCGCTCGCGAGGCGAACTTCATCTTCGAATTCTTCGGTTACCCCCAATCGCCCTTAACAGTTTACACTTGCTCCCCGTTCGGAATGTCTCGATTCCCGAATATTGTCAAAGTTCGCGACGGGATCCCGGAACGCTTCTAATATTCGTGGAATCGAGGACAGTCGTCCCCGATAAGCTAAAATCGTACGGTTTGTTGATCGCCATGGTGACCGAGTATCAAACCGAACCTCCGTGTCTAACTTTTCAGCATTCGTCGACGTTGGGCCGTCCGTATCGAACCGCTTGCGCAGGTTGCACGACAGGTGTGGGAGAGGGTGCAGGTGGACTAATTATTATGCACGCACGAGAGAGTTTCTTTTCACCGGTGGCCCTACCATTTCGAATGCGGAATAATTATATAGAATTTTCAAGTTGCATTATTAACTATCAATCGAGGGCAGCAACGCCACCGGGACCAATTCTGCCGGAGTTGAAAGCTTGCCGGATCTGGAGCAAAAAATGTCTCCCTCTTTTTTTTATTTTGTACCCCACGCTTCGCGTCCGTTACGTACATCGCTAGAAAACTTTTGCTATACGGCGATATTCGTTGATATTTTTTTCAGAATAATTCCCCGTAGCAATCAATACGTTCGTGCATACGGCTAAACCGGTCATTAAACGTTTCCTGCCATTTTTCCTCCGATGGATTTGCGCATTGTTCGGTCCCACGATGCTGAAAGCGTTTTATTCCTAATTTGGGACAGCTTTCGCTCGATAAAAACAAATATCAAGCAATTACCAATCCTCTATCTGCGCGCCATATTTTCCTGCAGGCCGTGTTCGTCGATAAGTTGGAAAAAATGCATGGAACTTGTTGAGTTTAGGATTTATGGTTCCTTCGATTTGTTTGTTCACAGGAGATTTTCCTGCCCCTTTGCACCTTAGGCGTGTTGATCGTGGTAAAAGTCTTGCCACCGAATCCGAATTACCCTGCGATGACAACGCAGAGACAAGAGGGTGGGATTTTCGAGACGTTCAACGGGTACAAGAACAACACGGTGGCTGTTGTTCCCAACTCGACGGAAACTTTGGTACACATTAATAAAGAATTCACGAAGGAAAGAGTAGAGTAGAATTTTAAGTAATTTTCCTCCATTGGTCCTTTTTTAGAACTTTTTGAACTCGATGAACGTCCTGTGGTTGTCGATGTGGGATTATCCCGGCAAGCTTCCCCTGAATTTCATGGTGTTCGACACGAAAGACGATCTGCAAGCGGCATATTGGAGAGACCCTTACAGTGTACCCATAGCAGTCATCTTCGAAGACTCTCAGCCTATATCTCAACGTCTCCTGTAAGCTAATTGGATCAACCCTTTGCGGTCCAAGAGATTTTTAATATTTCTTTAATAATCTGGCTCGACGCGGGACCGCGAAAGGTTAAATTTGTATTCGTATGGTTCCTAGATACGAGATAAGAACTAATCCTTCGTACACGAATCCACCTTCGCCGACCGAATTGTATTCCGCCCCAGTTACTTGTCGAAAGGACACGAGCCACTGGATGGGTGGCGTATTGTCGATAGAGACTGGTGGATCATGCCCCGTGAACAATTACTTGCATTCTGGCTTCCTGGCGTTGCAATTGATAATGGATATTACAAAGATAAGAGTACGTCTTTAATGCTCCGTTTTACCCAAATACAAATTTACCGTCGACAAATGCACGATACTAACGCGACTGTGTACGTTTGGCACTTTGCAGCTAGACACAGGAAACAATGATGTAACCGTACCGGATGTTAAACTCGAGATGTTCCCAAAGGAAGCCTTCACTGCAGGTGAAATTATTGTCTTAAATGTTTGAGAGATTATCATCTTCTTGTACGTTTTTGCACGATAAGTAATAAATACTATCTACCTGATATTAGAATTAAACTTAGTAGACTAATGATTATAGAAGAAAGAAGGTACCTTTGTTTAGAGATTAAATTTATATTTAACACGTTGACTGCCATAGCGATAACTGGGTGACCGGACTAACAAGTATGTTTAACGGTCAACGTGTTAAAAAACTTTTTTTTTTTACTTTGTTTCGCGGGCATATTTCTAAGAATATGTTTTATTTAGACTGGATGCTGGCCTTTAGAGTTGTTATACCTCTCTTTATGGTTCTGGCTCTTTCGCAATTCGTCACTTATCTCCTGATTCTGATAGTCGGTGAGAAGGAGAAAAAGATCAAGGAAGGGATGAAGATAATGGGCCTAAAAGATTCTATCTTTTGGTAGGTTTGCAGTTTACGGTAGCGCAGCTTACGAATTCTATTTTTTACCCTTTTTTTTTCAATAAGCAACGCATGTTTAATGACACGTGTCTTGCATGAAGCAATCGGTAGAAAAGTTCACGCGAAAGTTTACGAATATGCCCGAACGATTAAGAAATAATTTCCTTTCTCGTTTCAGGTTGTCGTGGTTCATTATCTACAGCGTCTTTGTCTTGTTGCTATCCGCCGTTGGGGTGATACTACTTTTTACACTGCAAATGTTTCAGCACACACACTTTCTACCGATATTCCTTTTAGTAGTGCTCTACAGTTTCTCCATAATCATGTTTGCTTTCATGATAACGCCTTTCTTCGACAAGTCACGGGTAAGCATTCGAACGACGCTTGTGCCGTTATTATGTAAATGTTAAATTAAACAACCGTAACTCTGTTTTCCAGACCGCCGGTGTACTCGGCAACTTTGCAGTGACGATATTAAGCTTGATGTACTTTATCCAAGTTTTCGTGAACGACTCTAGCTCAATCTCATTCTGGGTAGTCTCTCTTCTCAGTCCAACGGGCGTTGCTTTGGCAATGGATAAGGTTTGTATCTATTAAATGAAATATTAACGCAAAAAAGTGATTTAAGTAAAAGACTTGACGTTCGTTTCTGCAGGCTCTTGTGTTGGATTTACAAGGAGAAGGGGTAAACTTTGATAATCTTTGGTCAGGGCCCGGTATACCGTTTGGCGGGAGTCTCATTATGATGACTTTAGACATATTTCTGTACGCCTGTTTAGCCTACTATTTCGATTCCGTCATACCTAGTACGTTTACTCAAATATTTTTTACACCCTTTGATGCTTCGCTGGAATTATAAATAGAAACAAATTAAATATCAAACGAATGTTTATCCTAGGTGAATATGGAATAAAAAGAACTCCCTGGTTTTGCTTCACGCCGAGATTCTGGTGGCAGAGGAAGGCTCCACGGGTGGGTTTAATGCATAACAATACAATGTATCGAATGCATAGGAAACTGGAAAAAATTTTGTTCACAGTCGTATTTACAGGTACCGTCGTCTAATGGAGAGTCGAACTCCTTTATACCTGGCGAGGAGACCAATCGTGATATCGAGCCAGTGGTGCGAGAAATGAAAGGACGCGAAGCCATTAGGATAGTCGGTCTTTACAAGTCCTACCAAAAATGTCGCAAGCCGGAGATCAAAGCCGTGGATGGCATTAACCTGACGATTTACGAGGGACAAATTACAGCAATACTCGGGCATAACGGCGCTGGGAAAACAAGTCTCTTCAACATACTGACTGGTTTAACCGCGCCTACCGCCGGCACTGCCTTGATTTTCGGTTACGATGTCAGAGATTCCAACGACATGCAAATGATTAGAAGCATGACCGGCGTTTGTCCACAGCACGACATCCTCTTCGATCTTCTAACACCAAGAGAACACCTTGAATTCTTTGCTGCTGTACGCGGCATTCCAAAATCGATGATCGAGCACGAGGTACGTGTTCGGTCTTCTTGTAACTTTTATCATTTATGAATCATCTCATTTTTCTTGCCTCTGTAGTACAAAGCAAACTCCTTTTTTTATTCTTTTTTTTTACCATCATTAAATTAATCTGCGGACAATTTGTTCCGTGATCATCCTCAGGTGCAGAAAACTTTAAAAGACATCGATCTGTACGAGCAAGCAGATACTTTCGCAAAATATTTAAGCGGTGGTCAGAAAAGGAAATTGTCCGTTGGTATCGCTATTATTGGCGATCCGAAAATTATTATCCTCGACGAACCCACCGCCGGGGTAGATCCTTATTCCAGGCGACAGATGTGGTCTTTTTTGCAATCTAGACGTCACGGGAAAGTGATTTTATTGACCACGCATTTTATGGACGAGGCGGACATATTAGCGGACAGGAAAGCGGTTATCAGTAAAGGAAAGTTAAGATGCTGCGGTAGTTCTCTGTTCTTGAAAAATAAATTCGGCATTGGATATCATTTAACGTAAGTCGGAAACATATTAGAGTATTTCCTTGAAAGATGTCAAGAAACGCTCAAACGTTTCTTCGTTGCGCTATAAACATGTTCGATAACGTTTATATCAGGCAAGTGAATATCTCTCAAGGAAGTAGTTGGGAAGTAAATAACACCATGTTATAGTAAGATGTGTTTTGGTACATTATAAAAATACTACACAGGTTGGTGCTCGAAGGGAACGCGAGAGAGCATGCCATTTCCAGATTAGTAAGTTCTCACGTGTCGAAGTCGGAGAAAGCGAGACGCCATGGACGAGAATTAAGTTTCATTCTGCCACACAATTCCGTCGAGAATTTTGCACCACTTTTCTCAGCCATAGAACACGAGATTAGAACTCGATCGAGTCGGTTGGGCATTAGCAGTTACGGGGTCTCTATGACTACTTTGGAAGAAGTATTTCTACATCTAGAGAAAGACGAGGGCACAGAGTGCACGATGGATAATTTGTCGAAAAAAATGGTGCGTAACCGTGCACTAAGCAGGTCATTGTCGTTGCAATCCAAAAGCACTTCTTATCAAAGTTTGCAGAACGAAGGTGTCACTGTTCAAAACGATGGTCAAGGAAAAGGTGTGTACATTTTTTTTAATGTATACCAAGTATTTATATAAAGTTTCAAAATTGCATCTGATTGCAGGCGGAGGAGATTTACCAGATGGAGTTCATAGTGACAGAAACCCTCCTATTCTCGGCCTCGGATTAGACCCCATAAAAATCCGGCCTAATTTCCTACAAATCCTGTACGCTATGCTTCGCCTAAGGATACTAAGGCTCTTTAGGAACATCCAGTTACTGTACTTCACTATCGTTGCGCCTCTTTTTCTGGTAGTCCTTGGCCTCTATTTGAATAGCATTCAAATGGTTGAGATCAAAATGCAATCTCTTAGATTGAATACCGGTACGTCGTGTCTTTCGTTATTGAAGAAACTGTTTTTTATATTTTTATAAATAAAGCGACTACGGAAAGTAGTGACAAGGAGAGTTCACGATTCGGACGAGGAGTTTTTTAACACTTTTGATAAGCTCGTCTAGGTCTTCAGCTTTCCTTGCGAGAATGTTCGTTAACGTTAAGACGTATGTACATATCTATTTCTTTCCATTTTGATAGACACGTACGGCAACGAAACGAAACTTTTGTACGCGAACAATACCGACTACGACATCACGGACTTGATCGAGGGAATAAGTCAAGACGTGAAGTACATTGACGAATACTACGGAAACTTTGCGAACTTGCTCAAAATTGCACCGCACATGGCAGCTTTAAATATTAACGAGTACAGCCTGCAGAAGCTCGATTTGACCGTTGCTTATAACGACACTACGCAACATTCCCTACCAATTTTGATAAATCTTTTATCCAACACCTATCATAGGTAAGATCAGAAGTTCAGAGAAATATTCGGAATTGAAATATTCACTCGTAAGATTTATTGTTTCCTGTTAGGTTGACCTCGGACAAAAGTCATTTAAAACCAATCGAAGTTAAGACACATCCTTTCCAGCAGACTTCCCAACCGCAGGAGTTCAATATCGGTACAGCTAGCTCTGCTGTATTCATCGGAATGAATTTTGTTCTGTTGCCAATAACTCTAGTTGTAGACATGGTCTACGATCGAGAAGTAAGATATCTTCATGGGGATTGTATATAAATAAACAGAATGCAGCTGAATAACATGCACGAGTGGGCAATTCTTCATAAGAAATTACATCCCGCTTGTACATGTTATTTAACCGTATCCCATGTATAATTTCATTAACTTTTAACGTTATGTACCCGTAGATAAAAGCGAAGAATCAACTTCGTGTGAACGGTTTGTCATTCTCTATGTACTTCCTGACATACTTCATCGTACTTGTCGGCCTGATGATGTTCATTTGTCTCTGCATTCTCGGCATTATATTTCTCTTCGATGTGCCTTCGCTTCAAGAAATACCAGCACTGATCACCCTCGGCGGTCTTTTAATGCTTTACTGTCCGTCGTCCATTCTATTCTCAACGTGTTTAAGTTACATTTTCGACAAGATGGATTCTGCCCAGAGTATTTTGCCCAATATATCAACATTCTTCGGGCTAATACCCTTTATACTAGTCACGATTCTTGACATGTTAGGTCTCAGTAAGTAGCAATCATTTCTGAACAGATCTATTATCAAATAGACATTTCTATACTTGTAAATGTTAAACATCGAATAATCAATTTTCAGGTGGTACCGCAGCATTTGTTTTACATGTAATCTTCTCGCTATTGAACACATTGTACGTGCCATACGCTGCGGTGTATTACGTAGAACGAGTCCACTTGATGTGCTCCATTAATGCGGCTTGCCATCATTTGACTATGTCCGATTATCTGACCACAGAAATCATTTTAATGGCCTTTGGCGTACTCCTGCACTGTCCGGTGTGGTTCTTCGTGCTTTTGTTATTGGACATTAAAAAGAGCGGTGGGAACGTCAGCGATATCTTCAAGCATTTCCTGGTTAGAATATTCTTTACACAATCTGTTAAAGGTGTTCCGTTAACGGGTTGGTTGCCGCATATCTAAAATTGCATTCGATACTAAAAGTACTTTTTATGCCCATAGCGCAATGGTGGTTCCGTTGGCGAGGAAATAATGGAGAACTCTGACATTGGAGAACACGAAGACGCAGATGTTAAAGCCGAGAGACAAAAAGTTTTCAATCTGATCACTTCATCATCCGTTCAAGAACCACCTGTAGTTCTAGTACAGGTATGAATCGTTCAATTGATTTTGTATTATAGTATAATTATAAACATAAAATTGCAATTACATTGAAACGTTGTATCTGTTAGAATTTGAGAAAAGAATATAGACAAAGGGAGTCAGGATCGTGCAGTTGCTGCTCTAAACAGGAAGAGGAAGCCAATCAAATACAACGAAAGGTTGCTGTAAGGAATCTCTCGTTGGCGGTCGAACCGGGAGAAGTATTTGGTTTATTGGGTCATAACGGCGCTGGAAAAACTACGACAATGAAGATTATCATAGCAGAAGAAGCAGCCACCCGAGGCAGGGTGCAGATCGGTGGTCATAACATTAATTCCAATATGGCGGAAGCTTTCCGACAGATGGGATATTGCCCCCAACACGATGCTCAGTGGAAGAACATTACAGTCAGGGAACATTTAGAATGTTACGCTGCGATACGCGGTGTACCATGGGGAGATATCAGCAGGTAATTTATTCGAACCAATTGAATATTACAGAACCTATTAGAAACGATAGAACTGATACAAATTTCGTTTTGTAGAATCGTGGACTTGTATCTTACTGGTCTACAAATCCACGAGCATGCCGACAAGCAGACTCAAGAATGTTCAGGCGGGACTCGAAGGAAACTTAGTTTCGCCATGGCGATGATCGGAGGTCCAAAAGTTGTTCTAATGGACGAACCTAGTACAGGAATGGATCCTAGATCGAAAAGGTTTTTATGGGATACAATTCTCGCCAGTTTTCAGGTTGGTTTAACTAAGTACTTATGATCTATGTTGCAAGAGGCACGACCTTTAAATATCATTTGTTCACTGGTAAACTTTTTTGCAACAGGGTGGCAGAGGAGCAATTTTAACGACTCATTCGATGGAAGAAGCTGACGCCCTGTGTTCTAGAGTCGGGATAATGGTGAAAGGAGAATTGAGGTGTATCGGTTCTACCCAACATCTGAAGAATCTCTATGGTGCTGGATACACCCTCGAGATGAAACTGTTAGGCGGTGACTGTACGCCGACGACACCCTCCGGCGACAGGATCACGGGTCTGAAGGAGTTTGTTTCCAGTCTCTTTCCAGATGCAAGTCTTGAAGAAAGTTTCGCTGACAGATTGGTTTTCGGTGTTCCCCAACACGCAGTTAACTCGCTGGCCGAGTGCTTTATGCAGTTGGAGAAAGGTAAGCGTGTAACGCTAACGATTGGTCGTATTATAAAACATTTATTACATAAAAACTTATATTTCTAGCCAAACTCGAGCTGGATATTGAAGAGTACAGCTTCAGCCAAACTACTCTGGAGCAGGTTTTCCTCAAATTTTCACACTACGATGAAACTAATCCAGGAGAATGATAACTCGTAAAAAGAAACGTGTTTGTTCTTATGTGTTGCATAGTGATATAATCGTGAAACTGTTCAGAGTCGTGCGATAAAGTGTGATAAAGTTCTTCTCGTCGAGAAAAGTGATTTGATTCTTTTAGTGTTGAAAAGGCGAACGCTACGCAAAGCTAACGAAAACAGGAACGATATCTGTATTCTAAATATCAAAAACATTATTAATAGTTACAAACAGAAATTCACATTTGTCATTTGATGCAGACTTCAAAGTTATGTATTCTTATTTTAATTTCGACGATCCTGTAAGTGAACAAAAATCGTAATATTTTTACGGTACATATCGATCGACCTAATACAGAAACAGAAAAATTAGATGGTATATCTTTTTTTTCTAACTGTTGTTCTGCGCTGTTATGTACATCAGAGTTGCAGTGACTTCCTGGTGAGTGAAATAAATAAACAGGACGTTGTAAAATTAACTTGATTTGTAAATAGTGGAGACTACGAACAATTTATCCCATTATCGACAGAAGTGGTAATAATACTATTCAACACTCATCGTTTTGAAATTGTATTGTAATCTAGTCTATTATTCGATTCCTACAAATAGGTCTCACAATTAATATTGCTGTGGAATTGGAACGTTATTATCATCATTATAAGTATATAAATATTCGTTGACAGGGGGAAAAAGAATAAGGATCAACGCATCGATATTAAATTCTTTTTAAACGCAGTGAATTCAATGAATTACCTATCTACATTGACAAAACATAGGGAATAACCTTAACGAAGGCTATTCGTTTAGCAACATTTATAATCGCTCGTGATTATTTCAAGCGTCGTTAACACGATGACACCGTTGTTTAGAAAGGGTGCTGTTATATCGAGAACGAGCTGCATATATACAATCGAGTGACTTAATTTGTGCATATAACTTACTGTGTAGTACGTATTTATAAATTTCTCCAGAGCTGGCTTACGGTAATTACCAAAGCCTTTCAAATAATGAGAAAGACACGATAGGTTGTTAATCTTGCCTCAATAGCACGTAAGATGATAATAATTTGACACGAGACATTCTCGCGATGGTGACAATTTAAGCATAATAGGGCAACTCGAATTCGGTAAAAATAATCCGAGGAGGAATTTTTATGGTCCATGAATTAAACTTTATCGTTGCATACGCATGTAGATCTTATAATTTATTCCAGTAAAATTTAATTATAAAGTTATTTGCTAGCAATCTTCCCGACACATTCATTTCTCTTGGCAACACCGAACTCGAATTATTCTTCTTTTTTTTTTTTTTGCAAATACAAAGAGAATCATTCGTCACGATGAAAATAAAAGATTAATATTTAAAAAAAACAGCCATTTTTGATTACATTGTATAAGGCTACTTTAAACGATTTCTAAATTTGACATTTGTAGGTAGGTCTAGAGGATACTAGATGTCTTATCTTATTAAAGACGAACTTTGAAGCATAACCAAGGAAGCCTGGTATGCGTAAAAGGATCCATTATTGGAAGAGTAAAAAAATAAAAAGTACGTAGTCAAAAGTATTAGGAAAAAAAAAATTGTACGCTCTTTGAAACTTTCTATGGTGAAAGATTTTGTTTTTAGACATACACATGCATACGTTCGATCTTCCGTGAACAGAATCCCGAAAAATCGAACGGAAATAAATAGTAGGGGCACCGTTTCCAGAACTGAATGAGATATTTTGTAGTGGATAGCGCATAGGTAGTCGAAAATTGAAATCTCGCGATTAAGGGATATATTAATTTTTTTGTAAATATAACTCGTTGTAAGAATGATTCGTATTATAAATCATATAGGATTTCCTATACGTCGTATAGGAGGAATTAAATGAAAAGAAAAAAAAAAAACAATACATACGTGTGCCCCGATGCATGTACGCATTTATAGGGATTGTGTAATTACGCACAACTCTCGTTCTAGCTAATACCAATATGATATAAAATTTAGTCAATTATGGAATTACACGAATAAAAACAAGAACTACAGACAATTTTATGAAAATTATATATAAATATATAAATGTGCGTATATTTATATATTTATATAAAGTATGATATATATGTATATATACATATATATATATATATACGTATACCATTTTTTAAAACACGTGTCACAGTTACGAGATTACACAAGAATATTGTAAACATTCCTAAAGACAAGTACTGTTGCTCTGCATTAAGAAATAAGCGTACTTGCATTCATGCCAAGTAATTTTATTATGTTTTTTTTTTTTTCTTTTGTCTGTAGCTATACCTACATCTCTCTTCTCTGCTCATACTAATCGCCACTTTTTGGCTTTACTTGTTACGGCTCGTTCATACACGTCAGACTTTCATATCGATCAATATATATACGTATATACACGTATAAATATTAAAAAAATGATATATGTTAATATATATGGATTTATATTTATGTATGCTATTGAAGAGTTTGCAACAAGAATGAGATCACGTTTTTTTAGACTTGCTCGATGGTACTTGTTCTTTGAAGGCTTACAGAAATCCATCGATTGTTTAATATTTTTAGAACAAATTGAATTCGAATAATCTTTAATAAAAAAAAAAAAATTTTTAAATTCTAATTCTACGGAGAATAAAAAGAAACAGTGCTCTGGTTAAAAGTTTCATCTTTCATTATCATGATCGAGGCAGAACGCGATCGTAAAATATATATAATAATATATATAATTGCCTCTTCTACTGCAAACCCTTTAACGATTTTAAAAGAATACTGTAACAATATCGTAAACCATTGAATTGATTTATAGCAATCGGTTGTACTTTGAATCTTACTTATTCTACGGTGATTTCTATGGAGACTAAAAGTTTTTCATACTTTACGTTTTCTATATATCGTAACTACGAACAAGTACAGAAAAATATGATATTGTGTAACGCTATCCAATTATTTACAGAATCGAATGAAAATAACCGAGTGTACGTGAAGCATTGTTTTCTTTGTAAGAATGATCAGGTTGCACATAATCGAATCTTAAGCTTGTAAATTGAATGTAAAATTGATTGCCCATTGGTATGTATGATTTTATAGGAGTAATATATACATATACATATACGTATCGAGATACGAACCAGCGGCCATTGTCGGCCGGTTTTTCGTTTTGTATATCAACGAGAGCTCGTTCGTACGAGAGAACGAACGAAAGAAACGAGGGAAATTATCCTTTGCACGTACAGCACTCATGCACTCTACAAGGACATCGCGCGTATAGACAAGACACGCACTCACACTCAAAGAAATTTAAGAGAGAAAGAGACTCGTATATAATAGATACAATTATTAAATGCGATTATCATCATCAATAAGCTACACGCCGAATACACCCTGTCGATAAACAATTGACTTTGCGGAACTACGTATTTGTTGTGTAAAGTGAATGTAATCAATTGGTTAACAGAAGCTTTTTCACCAATAAAAAAAGATCAGTTAAACATTTACGAAGTGTCCTTCTTCAAGCGTTTCGTCGTTTTTTAAGTATAATGCAAATAAGTATCGAAGAACAACGCGAACGCCCAAGTGTTTCTTGTTTCTCGAATCTATTCATTGTTGTTTAATGTATAATTTAGTGTAATTAAATTAGTGATACACGTTCGATCTAATTGATACCGTTTGTTATGTACTAATTAGCGAAGGTTTAGGGATAAGCAATATTTCCTTTGAAAGACTTCGTTTCATAGTGCATACGCTGCGACTGTAATGGAACTTGGCAGATTTTTAAGTTATCTGTCGAGGATCTTGTATTAATATTGGACTCGTAACATCTATTATGATATCTTCGATGGACTTGTCGATGAGGTGCATGCTCGCGGTTCCGAATAGATTTTAAATCTTTTATCAACGACGTCATTTTGAACAATTTTCTTCTTTTCCATTTAGTCTCGATCTAAGTTTTAAAAATGTATTAGCAAAAATCTGACGAGAGAATCGAGCCTACCCTGAACTTAATTCAATTAACTCGAAAAGTGAAACAGATAGGCAGGGAAAACATGATTCAAGGTAATTAAAATCATCGAATAACCTACCTACATACTTACCCCATCGACAAATTCACCGTATCTTACAACGTCTTACATTTATTTCTACCGGACGGAAGATAACATTTGTTAAACGAAAACTATATTTGTATAATCTTTTATATAGTTGGAAAGACAATAGCTTTGTCGAGAATTAATTGGCTTAGACTTTGTATACAGTTTTTGTAAATTGATTGAAACGTTTACGTTGTACGAGGATTTCATCTACCGTAAAATTATTTTTATTACTACGTAGGGTAGCAGAAGAAATTTCATTATCAATGATATTAGCATAAAACATATATTTGTCCTCCATTTGTATTTACACTACTGGTTCTTACATTATATACATACACGTACGTAGCATATGCTTTCTATCGAACAGAATTTACATAATAATGAAAAGTGTTCGTCACGTTTCGTGAACTGCAAGACGTATCAAAAATATTTCCGATCAACCCCTTAACCGTAGCGAGCCTCTTTTACTAAGATATTTAGACGATTTGTTTACTAACGATTGCCGACGATAACGATAATAATTAACTCTGTAAAAGGGCGTTAGGTCCGTCGCTTCGGATAAATAAATTTACAACATTCAATTTATTGTATTATTGTTATATTACAATAAATATATGTATACAAGACGGTTTATAAAATTGCAAAGGAAATGTTATTTATGATCAGCTCGTTTTATAATATTTAACGTACATGTATAATAGTTATGCCGTTAACCAAATGTCGTCCAAGAGTTTACGCGAAAAAATGTCCTGCATAGATGTTCTCTATTATCGTTACCCTAATTGACCCCAACTCTTTACCGCTTTCTCCGCTGTACAGTGATTGAAAAAAAGGAAATTCTTTTTACTATTCCTATGTATGAGCGTAGATACGTATACACCTTACCTTCATTCGGTTATTTAGACTCGATCGTATTAATAACACGTATACATATTTCTTTTTCTTCAATAATAATTAAAATATGATTAGTATGCTGTAAAGCATGCATCCGGGAAGGGGTCAATATGCACAGAGTCACTCAGCTTATTATAGAAATAACAAAAAGCACTTTGAACCTTAAAACTAAATTTCAATCGTAAAAGTACTATAAAAAAAAAACATACTACTCATCGATTTAATTTATTTACGAAATGTGCTATCAAGATTTCGAGGCATGTTTTTATTTAATAGAGTTAGAAATCTGTAAAACATTCCATATGTTTATATTAATAAAAAATTGAATCATTGTACATACTTCTCATGCTTCTTATTTACATTCCCCTCAACCTTTAACGTTAATTTCGTAATTTTTATAATCCCCTCACGACTGTTTCAAATATTATTCGACTCTAATTACTATCTAATTAAGTTCTTCGACCATCTCTCTATTCGTGTAATTAATAAGTTATAAACAATTACTGGGAGCAGGTATGTATTTCTCTTTATATTGAATTTTATTCTATCCGCGTCATATATGTATTTCAATTATTTGCGCAAAAAAGTGACAAACTACGGTATCGCCATCTAATATCAGGGATTCGAACTCAAAAAATCGTCCCAGGATCACAGAATGTGTGTGGAGGTATCCGGAGTACACCTACCCCCCCACTCCTCCTACTCCTCATACGCGAAAAAAGTGACAAACTACAGTATCGCCATCTAATATCAGTGTTTCGAAGTCAAAAAATCGTCCCAGGATCACAGAATGTGTGTGGAGGTATCCGGAGTACACCTACCCCCCCACTCCTCCTACTCCCGATACGCAGTACCTTGATTATTCGCTAATTACTCCTTTCCTGGGAATAAAATATGACCATTTAGAATTGAAGAATATAGTATAGACCCTTGGCTACATTCAGGGATACTTTTCAAAACCATTCCGCCTGTAATTAACAAGTTATTAACAAATATCGGAAGTCGGAACATTTGCGTCTGTGTCACTGTCTCCTTTAATCGATTAATTATCAACTTTTAAACAGTAACAGACATATATTGGCTATTGGAGAACCAAGTAGACATCCCTGGGAACATTCGAGGACCGATTTTGCAACGCTCCATGCTCTAATTAATTAGTTATTAGCGATAGATCCCCAAACTGTCACGTTAACAGGTTAGAAACAGTGTGCCGGCTTCCGATATTCGTTAATAACTATTTAATGAGGCACGGCATGGTTGCGACAGGTATCCTTGAATCTTGCCAAGGGTTCATACTATATTCTTAAACTCCAAAAGTTCATAATTTATTCCTAGGAAAGGCGTAATTAGTAAATTAAGGAGCAATTGTTCGTTAAATGCGAAGAGATACATAGTACGCTATTTCTGCCGCTAGGCGGCGACACATGTAAAAATCAATAATTCACCGATTTAATGAACAATTGCTCCTTAATTTACTAATTACGCCTTTCCTGTGAATAAATTATGAACTTTTAGAGTTTAAGAATATAGTATGGACCCTTGGCAAGATTCAAGGATACTCTTTAAAACCATCTCCTGCCTTATTAAATAGTTATTAACGAATATCGGAAGCCGGCACACTGTTCCTAACCTTTTATCGTGACACCTTGGGGATCTATCGCTAATAATTAATTAATTAGAGCGTGGAGCGTTGCAAAATCGGTCCTTAAATGTTGCCAGGGATGTCTACTTGGTTCTCTAATAACTAAAATATGTCTGTCATTAGTGAAAAGTTGATAATTAATCGATTAAAGGAGACAGTGACACAGCCGTAAATGTTTCGACTTCCGATATTCATTAATAACTTGTTAATTACAGGCGGAATGGTTCTAAAAAGTATCCTTGAATGTAGCCAAGGGTCTATACTATATTCTTCAATTCTAAAAGTTCATGTTTTATTCCCAGGAAAGGAGTAATTAGCGAATAATCAAGGTACTGCGTATCGGGAGTAGGAGGAGTGGGGGTAGCTGTACTCCGGATACCTCCACTAACATTCTGTGATCCTGGGACGATTTTTTGACTTCGAAACACTGATATTAGATGGCGATACTGTAGTTTGTCACTTTTTAGCGCAAATAATTGAAATACATGTATGATGTGGATAGAATAAAATTCAATATGTATAAAGAGAAATACATACTTGTCGCTTCCAGTAATCGTTTATAACTTATTAATTACGTGAATAGAGAGATGGTTGAAGAACTTAATCAGATTGGAATATTACTTGGAGTAGTTATAACGGAAAGATAAAGGAGAATATAAAGAAGAAGCATGGAAAACATGTATTATGGCTTAGACTTTTTATTAATGCAAACACAAGGAATGTTTTACACATTTCTAACTCTATTAAATAAAAACATGTCTCGTAGAAAGGTCAGTTGGCTGGAATTGGGGACACTTGTGGCTCTCAACGGGGAAGTTTGTCACCCCTGTTGTACGATATACTCGTAAGTAATGTTGAAATGAATATTTTGCTATTTCGTTAAATTAATACTTAATTTGTTTATTTTATTAAGTTAATATGTATCACATCGGTTAACATAATAATTAAAAAAAGGTCCTTTCACTTCTGATGTGTCTTTAATAAAAGTACCATACTTAGAATATGTTCTCATGTTACTATCTACTATGCGTATCTACCATAACTCATTCCTATTTACATTTTCTATAGTTAGTGGTTTACGCTGTACTTTCTCGTTGCCGGATAACTGCTTGCACACACTTGGCCATTGTAGACGAAGCGCGGGATATTGCGTCTGTCATGAAAAATTCATCCAACGTCTTTTGCTTAACTTCCAATGGACTCGATGATGATAAAGATCCGCTTGACTCCTATACGATCATGTATAAATCAATATTAACTCATTTTGTATTATATCATTAAATCGTATTTAATTCCTATTTAAATATTATATGTACGTGTACCTTTGATAACTGTAATGCCTGGGCAAAATAATTGGCTGGTTCCACGTTACCGTATCTAACCAAATGCGGTGCAATGTCTTCTAGTCTAGACCTGACCTCGTCCAAATTGTCGTACGGTAAACGAATTCCGCAAATCTATGGAAAATTTTCATTAACTCCAATCTTCCCGACTAATGCTAAATATTTAAGAAAATATTAAAAATCACCTCGGAAATAGCTCGAATAATCTTCCAATCTGGTCGTGCCATACCCGGTGGGGTAATTGCAGCACAAGTTTCTTGAGCACGACCTTCCGTATTTACGTATGTCGCCACTTTTTCGGTATATGCAGCACCAGGAAGTACAATATCTGCAATCAAAGCTCCTGCATCTCCATGGCTACCTGAAAAAATTCATTGAAAAGATATACATTTACGTTTGACCGCTAAAGAAGTAAATTAGCCATATACCTATGTATACGATAGAAGTGTTTGGAAAGTCTTCTTTCTTTATATTTGCATCGTCGGCTCCCAATAGGAATAGAACTTTTGGTTGCAGCTGCTTTATATCCTCGATGGTCGAGGAATAACCTATATCTAAAGCAGCTACTTGTGACGCATTCGTATGAAGAACATTTAGAACTTTCCATCCTTCGGGAGTCTAATGAAAAGTAAAATCATACAATATACCTGCAATGCATATGCGTGCATAAAGAAAATATTATACAGCGATTTCTTTCTTACATTCGTATTGTCTCCCAAAGACTGTGCCAGTAATTGCGTTTCGGACAAAATTTTCGCCCCATCTTTCCTATTTAATTGCTCGACGCCCAAAATGACGAGAGGTTTCTTAGCAGCTTTTAAAGTTTTCGAAAATGCATGAGTACCATTCCTCAATTGTGTTATAATTTCCGGAGACTGGCCCAAATGCTGGAACGAAGGTAAAACTTCAATTTTTGTACATCAAAGGTAAAGATAATATAAAAATTGTCAAATGATGCAGTACCTACCTCGTGATCGTATGTTAAATCTACATCTGGACCAATTAAAGCAATAGTCTGTTCACCATGAATGTATCCTTTTCTTAAACGAGTATTCACTAGTGGTGCTTCGTATCTTGGATTTGTACCAATCAATAATACGACATCGGCATCCTCGACTGCAGCGATCGTGTTATTTAATAAATAATTGCTTCTTATATCAATACCCGCGCCACTTTTTGGGAAATTTTGTTCCGTTGCAAGAGTTTCACTACCAAGTGCATTTACTAAATCCTTCAGTGCTACCAGAGACTCGGCATCCGCTAGTTTGCCAGCAATTGCTGCACACTTATTCGCGGCTACGTTATGTAAAACTTCACCAACTAAAAAATAGTATATTACAATTTGCTACATGCAATCTTTAACATCAAAGACCAGAATGCTTAAAATCTAATTACTACATACCTGCCATAAGAGCATCTTCCCAATCAATGGACTCCAACTTTCCATTAATTTTCATCATGGGTATTATGAGCCTTTGACGCTTAAGTCCGTCGTAAGAGAAGCGTGCTTTGTCCGATAGCCATTCTTCGTTTATTTCCTACACAGTGCCATGATGTTAAAGGTAATGAATACACTTTAAGTAGTGATCGCCAATAACGATACTAACTTCGTTTACCCTTGGTAAAATTCTTAAGACTTCACCTGTTCTGTGCGATAACACTATGTTACTACCAACAGCATCATGGACATCGATGCTATCTGTGCGACGCGTCTCCCATGGACGCGCAACAAAAGCATACGGTTTACTGGTTAAAGCTCCAACAGGACACAGGTCGATGATATTACCAGATAATTCAGATAGGAACATCTTTTCTACGTATGTTCCTACCTAAAAAATACAACATAATAAATACACAAATATTAAAAGAACTAAACTATACCTAAAACAAACACTAAGCTGATTTTAACAAATTATTAGCTTACTTGCATATCATTTCCACGACCTGTAGTTCCCAAATCATCGATACCAGCTACTTCGGACGCAAAACGAATACACCTTGTACAATGAATGCAACGTGTCATAATTGTTTTTACCAGAGGTCCAATGTCCTTATCTTCGACTGCTCTTTTACCACTGTAATTAATGTCAACAAATCTGCTCCTATCACTGCCAAATGCCATACTTTGGTCTTGCAAATCACATTCGCCACCTTGATCACAAATCGGACAATCTAAAGGATGATTTACCAACAAAAACTCCATGACACCTTCACGAGCTTTACGAGTTAAATCTGAATTAGTCTTCACTCTCCAGCCTTTCATTACAGGCATGGCGCAAGCAGCAACAGGCTATGTATATTTATATAAGAAAATATATACGTTTATATGTATAGATACATAATATTATTATTGTTTGTTTGTCATTTATACCATAGTACATACCTTAACTTGTTTTTCAATTTCCACCAAACACATTCTACAATTTCCTGCCACGGCTAAACGTTCGTGATAACAAAATCTGGGAATTTCTACTCCAACCTTTGCAGCTGCCTAAGAAAAGAATAATTAAAGAGTTACAAATTTTCATAAAATTCACAAAGTATCTAAATTGAATTTATGGACAAAAACGTTAATGGAATTTAGTAAAGAGATTAAAAATGATTTACCTGCAAAACAGTTGTCCCTGGTGGAACTTGAACAGGTTTGTCATCGATGAATACCTCTACCAATTCTTGTTGCAGCTTGGAGGATGTATGCAATCCCACAGCAAAAGGCCTACCATTTTGTAATCCTGTAGATAGTCTTATCACTGAGAGCCTCAACATTTTGGCTCAATCACCCCTTATGCGTCGATATTATGCTGTTATGTAAGAAAAAGTCATAGCTGAAGCTTCGACCAACAAACCAAATGTAATAACCTAGTTCTACGTCAATCGGTAGATCTACACTTTATTCTTTTAACATACATAGAATGAAATCAACCAGCAAGTCAAATTGTATAAAATAATAATACAATGAAACTCTACTCGGTGTAATTTCTGTTTTAAAATATTTACATTGATTTTATTTGATCTAAAATTACCAAAACTTTCCTCCGTCCCACGAATACCTTCCCAACGTAGGAAAGCCTGGACTTGGACAGAGTTGCCAGAAAAGCATCGACGGAGCCCTACGCACACATGCCAGATCACGCGTACGTGTGCTCGTGGAGTTTCGGACAGTCGACAAAGGCAAACTGACATATGCCCTCTTTCTCGATTCTCCGAAGCTGCCCGAAGTAATTTCGAACCATCTCGTGGGACTCGAGAGAGGAAGGCTCACATTTGCCTTCTCGTTCTTGAACAACTGACATTCGACCTCACGTCAACGGCATACGATTCCAAGTCTCGACTGCCCAGGTATTTTATACTTTACTATAACCCTTTTTACCTGAAGTATAAGGTAATAAGTACGATGTATAAGGTACGACTACATGTACTTTTCAATTTTCCTACAGTCCTCCGCCCGCCTCTACTGACTGCTGCTGACCATTCCTCATACTTTTGACAACGTATAGCGATTACTACGTATTACTGCTTGCTCCTGCTGGTCTCTACATGCCTCTACATGCCTCTACATGCCTCTACATGCCTCTACATATCTTTACATGCCCCTGCTGGTCTCTGCTGGCCTCTACTGGCCTCTGCCTCCCTCCGCTCGCCTATGCTGACCGCTGTTGACCACTCCTGATACTTCCGACAACGTATAACAATTACTACGAGTTACTGCTTGGTCCTGCTGGTCTCTACATGCATCTACATGCCTCTGCTGGCATATGCTGGCCTCTGCTGGGCTCTGCTGGCCCCTGCTGACCGCTGCTGATCACTCCTGTTACTTCTGACAACGTATAACGATTACTACGGGCTACTGCTTGTTCCTGCTGGTCTCTACATGCTTCTACATGCCTCTACATGCCCCTACTTCTCTCTGCTGGCCTCTGCTGGCCTCTGCCAGCCCCTGCTGACCGCTGCTGACCACTCCTGTTACTTCTGACAATGTATAACGATTACTACGGGCTACTGCTTGTTCCTGCTGGTCTCTACATGCCTCTACATGCCCCTACATCCCTCTGCTGGCCTCTGCTGGCCTCTGCTGGCCCCTGCTGACCGCTGCTGACCACTCCTGTTACTTCTGACAACGTATAACGATTACTATGTGTTACTGCTTGCTCCTGCTGGTCTCTACATGCCTCTACATGCCTCTACATGCCTCTACATATCTTTACATGCCCCTGCTGGTCTCTGCTGGCCTCTACTGGCCTCTGTCTTCCTCCGCTCGTCTTTGCTGACCGCTGTTGACCACTCCTGATACTCCCGACAACGTATAACAATTACTACGAGTTACTGCTTGGTCCTGCTGGTCTCTACATGCCTCTACATGCCCCTACATCTCTCTGCTGGCCTCTGCTGGCCCCTGCTGACCGCTGCTGACCACTCCTGTTACTTCTGACAACGTATAACGATTACTACGGGCTACTGCTTGTTCCTGCTGGTCTCTACATGCCTCTACATGCCCCTACATCTCTCTGCTGGCCTCTGCTGGCCCCTGCTGACCGCTGCTGACCACTCCTGATACTTCCGACAACGTATAACGATTACTATGTGTTACTGCTTGCTCCTGCTGGTCTCTACATGCCTCTACATCCCACTGCTGGCCCCTGCTGGCCCCTGCTGACCCCTGCTGACCCCTGCTGACCCCTGCTGACCTTTATTGGCAACTTCTGCCATGATATATATGTATTAAAACTTTGTAAATGTAAATCTATGGCAATAAATGTTATAATTTCAAAGAATTCTATGTCTTCTCGTCATTTTTACCTTCCTTTACCTCTCCAAAGCATTCCCATAGTTATAAGATACGTGCCACCTCTTCCCATATCATGTCCTCGTAATAACAAAGTCTAAAAATTTTTGCCCGAAAAATTTCTAAGTTCCTCGAAAAGATTTGGTCCTGAAACAACTGGGAAGTCCTAAAACAACTGAAAAGTCCTGAAACAGTTGGAAAGTCCTGAAACAGCTAAAAAGTCCTGAAACCGCTAGAAAGTCCTGAAACAATTGGAATGCCCTGAAACGACTTAAAATTTTGGAAATCCCGGGCCAGTTGGGAAGTCCTGAAACAGTGGGGTAGTTCTGAAACAGCTGGAAAGTCCTGAAACAGCTGGAAAGCCCTGAAACAGCTGGAAAGTCCTGGAATTTCTTGGAAACGCCGAAAATTCTTGGAAACACTGAATTTTTAACAAAGTTCTGAGTTTCAGGACTTCCGAGGTGTTTCAAGACTTCCTAGTGGGTTCAGGGAAACCAAGAAGTTTCAGGGAGTCTTATAACTAAGGTAATGATTTGGAGAGGAAGAGAAAGGTAAAAAATGATGAGAACACATAGAATTCTTTGTAATTATATCATTTATTGCCATAGATTTACATTATACAATGTTTTAATACATATATATCATGTCAGAAGTTGTTAACAAAGGTCAGCAGTGGTCAGCAAGGGTCAGCAGGGGTCAGCAGGGGTCAGCAGTGGCCAGCAAGGGCCAGCAGGGGCCAGCAGAGGCCAGCAGAGAGATGTAGGGGCATGTAGAGGCATGTAGAGACCAGCAGGAACAAGTAGTAACACACAGTAATCGTTATACGTCGTCGGAAGTATCAGGAGTGGTCAGCAGCGGTCAGCAGCGGCCAGCAGAGGCCAGCAGAGAGATGTAGGGGCATGTAGAGGCATGTAGAGGCATGTAGAGACCAGCAGGAACAAGCAGTAGCCCGTAGTAATCGTCATACGTTGTCGGAAGTAACAGGAGTGGTCAGCAGCGGTCAGCAGGGGCCAGCAGAGGCCATCAGAGAGATGTAGAGGCATGTAGTGGCATGTAGAGACCAGCAGGAACAAGCAGTAGCCCGTAGTAATGGTTATACGTTGTCAGAAGTATCAGGAGTGGTCAGCAGCGGTCAGCAGGGGCCAGCAGAGGCAAGCAGAGAGATGTAGGGGCATGTAGAGGCATGTAGAGGCATGTAGAGACCAGCAGGAACAAGCAGTAGCCCGTAGTAATCGTTATACGTTGTCGGAAGTATCAGGAGTGGTCAGCAGCGGTCAGCAGGGGCCAGCAGAGGCCAGCAGAGAGATGTAGGGGCATGTAGAGGCATGTAGAGACCAGCAGAAACAAGCAGTAGCCCGTAGTAATCGTTATACGTTGTCAGAAGTATCAGGAGTGGTCAGCAGCGGTCAGCAGGGGCCAGCAGAGGCCAGCAGAGAGATGTAGGGGCATGTAGAGGCATGTAGAGACCAGCAGAAACAAGCAGTAGCCCGTAGTAATCGTTATACGTTGTCAGAAGTATCAGGAGTGGTCAGCAGCGGTCAGCAGGGGCCAGCAGAGGCCAGCAGAGAGATGTAGGGGCATGTAGAGGCATGTAGAGGCATGTAGAGACCAGCAGGAACAAGCAGTAGCCCGTAGTAATCGTTATACGTTGTCAGAAGTAACAGGAGTGGTCAACAGCGGTCGGCAGGAGCCAGCATAGGCTAGCAGAGGCCAGCAGATGGATGTAGAGGCATGTAGAGGCATGTAGAGGCATGTAGAGACCAGCAGGAGCAAGCAGTAATTCGTAGTAATCGCTATACGTTGTCAAAAGTATGAGGAATGGTCAGCAGCAGTCAGTAGAGGCCGGCGGATGACTGTAGGAAAATTGAAAAGTACATGTAGTCGTACCTTATACATCGTACTTATTACCTTATACTTCAGGTAAAAAGGGTTATAGTAAAGTAAAAAATACCTGGGCAGTCGAGACTTGGAATCGTATGCCGTTGACGTGAGGTCGGGTGTCAGTTGTTCAAGAGCGCGAAGGCAAATGTGAGGCTTCCTCTCTCGACTCCCACGAGATGGTCCGAAATTACTTCGGGCAGCTTCGGTGAATCGAGAAAGAGGGCATGTGTCAGTTTGCCTTTGTCGACTTGCCGAAACTCCACGAGCTCACGTACGCGTGATGTGGCATGTGTGAGTAGTGCACTCGGTGCTGAATGTGGCATCACTGGACCTGGGCAAGCAATCGACAAGACTGATCATAAATAGGACTCGTTGCTATTTAATTTCGAATATTGGCAAGGAATCATATGTTCAATAATGGCTAATTTTCGAACAAACCTTTGACACGATCAACCAAAAATAAATTAATTTTGTATAAATAATTGTTTGGCTACATAAGGTAAGAAGACTGTATATACTTCTATACGCAACACGCTATTAATATACATTTCGTTCATTCTCGGAAAAATGTTCTACTTCGCAATACTTCTTTACATGAAGTAATCTACATGAATATAATTCTGAACTAGCTTTGTAGATAGATGAAACATGCAATAATAGTAATTACGACTCATATACCTTTCTAAACAATAATGTAGAATAAAAACAAGTATAGCTAAGACCAAGATAACTTGGCCAACGATGGCTAAGAGTCCAATCGGTGCAGTATTGAAAAAGTACAAGAGTTTGCGTTTGATAGTTTAATGAAGAATAACAGTTTCGTAATTTTGAGTAACATAGGACTTTAGAACAGATAAAGGGGGATCATCAGGTTTCATAATTTGGGTTTTCTATTTGCCAACCAGTTACTAGTTACTTTTTTATTTCCCGACAGTAATGTACCGGAATGACGTCATGTTGCATCGAGCAACGAATCGTCAAGTTTTCACCGCATGTAGCTTTCTCTTCCGGTGAGCAGATAGAGGGTACTTTGTTACCATCAGCTCCCATCAAGTACTATCTTTTTACCTGCATTTTCGCGATGGCTAATGGTGATCTTAAGACTGATAAGGGTATCAAAGATTTAAATTCTTATTTAGCAGATCATAGTTATATCGAAGGGTGAGTCTATTTCCATCATTGTAGAACTTTATTGCGGTACACGTGCTCATCTTGTCGGCATTTTAGTGAAACATATTCGTTTTTTATATTTCTGTATCGAGTAACGTCTTTTAACTAAATAAACATTTCAGTATGACAGTCTCGATGTCGTTTGACATTATTTTTATCAATCTATATACAGTATTTGCAATTATCTATGTTTTCTATTTTTGTAAATGTTTCGAACTTCCCTTAAGCCACCCGATCCATATGTGTATCGAAAATGTGAATGAAAATCGTACTTATCGTTAAAAAAAACTATTATCTAGTAGTTTGTACACGACTGTAATTAGAACTGTTATATATAGATACATTTAATATTGTGTACCATCCTTTAATCATTACAACATCCGTGATGTGTAATCACGTGTCTATTTTTGACGTTTCGTTAAAAATACAATTACATGACTTCCATTGACACAAGCACTTCACGTTAGACAAGAAAATTAAATAATAAACGATTTTTTCAAGGTGGCAACCCAGTCAAGCTGATGTGGCAGTCTTAGAAGCTTTAGGAAAACCCCCAACATCTTCAAATCCTCATCTTTTACGATGGTATAATCACATCAAATTGTATGATTTAAAGACACTTCCTGGAGAAAAGAAGGCACCTAACTTCTTAAATAGTGATAACTCTAATAATGCAACAACAATAGCTAAAACTGAAGATGATGATAAAGATGTGGATCTTTTTGGATCAGATGAAGAGGAAGATGCAGAGGCTGTGAGAATCAGAGAAGAACGATTAAAGGCATATGCAGAGAAGAAATCTAAAAAGCCAGCAGTCATTGCTAAGTCTAGTCTTGTATTGGATGTTAAACCATGGGGAGATGATACGGATATGAATGATATGGAAAAAGCTGTCAGATCTATTCAAATGGATGGATTAGTTTGGGGAGTTTGTAAGTTGACTTTAACCCTTTGCTGCTCAAAGCCAGAATATTTTTATTGTACCTTATCTTAACCTTTGTTACTTTTGCAAAGTCTTATACATTTCATAGATAATGAAAACTAACTTCATGTTTTCAGCTAAACTGGTAGCTGTGGGTTATGGAATTAATAAATTCAGAATAATATGTGTCATAGAAGATGACAAGGTATCTGTGGACTTACTGGTGGACCAAATTGAAAGTTTTGAAGAATTAGTTCAATCTGTCGACATTGAATCATTCAATAAAATATAAATGACTGTTTATGCCCGTTACTTTTAATATAAACTTAATAAATAATAACCATTGTTTTGTATATATAATTTGTTATTGGATGATCCTGAAGAATTACTAATGGAACTTCAGTGGTAATATATTAGCAAAGCTTTAAATAGTGTGTTTGTTTGAATGATTCTGCCATAGTAACAAGAATAGATTGTAACTTTCACGTTTTAAATTTAATATGGTCTTTGCCCGTTTCAAAATTTGATACTTTATATTCGTGTAACTACTTGGCAATGGATAATGGAAAGAGTATACTTTCTTTATTGATCAAAATATAGCATGCAATGTTATTAAGCTTGATTTAATAGCAACAATGATATAACGAAACTCCATTTTCCTAATTAAGAAGCATATCACATTGTCGTTTATTAAACACCTTTTCGAAGCGTTTCTAATTTATTGTAGAACCACTAAGTTCATACACTTCTGCATACTTCTTGAATAATTTGCCAGGTGAATTAATGTTTATCAAATACATGAAACATTGACCATAGAATACACATAGAAAAGCAATGAATACCATGTATGTTAAGACCCTGGAAACTGACTAGAAAAAGTTTCTGCTATGGAGAGTAGAAGAGACTGTCATTCTCTATTCTCAGTTGTTTGTATATTATACGAGTCATTTATGATATACATATGTAGCTTTCCCAATAAACACGTTGGTATGGATCAATCGATGCACGCGAAAAGTGAACTAATTGAGATGAAAATCTCAAGTTGAGATCCCTAGAGAGGTGAGCGTTATTGGAGCGTGCCCGATCATGATCGAAAAAGGATGATCGCATCCTTCTATGTCTTATAGCGTCCACCGAGAAGTACATACAGTGGATCATAAAATTATTCACTCGATCGATAATGCAGCAAAGGATATTTTTATACTTTCGTTTGGATATATATAATTTACAGTTCGATGTAACAAAATCGTAAAAAGATTTCAACAGTTCTGATTTATAATTGCAGAAAAAAAGAATTATAACAAATTTTTATACTTTTGAATATGAAGACCTGAGTTTATCTTACAGGGGGCTCTATAAACTATTGAATTATTAATTAATTGCAGAAAATAGTGTAAACTCTGAGAGTTTTTCGTATTATAGATGTTGCACGATCTGCTCTAGCGTTCATATACATATATACATGGCACACTTAGGCTTCAGTGTGTGGGAATCCGGGTTTTAACATGACGACATTCCCCCTCACACTTCGCCGCGCTGAAAGCATCGTTCCTTGTTTTATTCTATGTCCCCTTATTACTTCGTCTGTGAATATCATGCAATAAACAGCCCTTGAGGCTAGAAAAATTTTTTCGAACTGACTTTGTTCATGTTCAATATTGTATTAATTATAGGTGAAAAATTTGATCCGGAAAGAGTACGAATAAAAGGATACACGACTAAAGAATCAATATCTAATCGAATTCGATCGTACGGTTCTCGAGAATGTTAATATCTATGTCAGTCTGAGCATTGATTTGTTATTTCATAAATAAAAAGTTATCTACCGATGTAATCTTTCTTTTTTTATGTTGCCGTGGCCTTGAATTGTCTATGAATGCTAAATCAAAATTCAAATGCATAATACAAATCGAAATGTACGATTTGTCTAATTTCGACCTTAAACTAATATTCAATTTGATAGACACCACTTACAAAAAGAGAATGTCATTTCCTTCTGCAACCACGATGTCGCGACAACTCGAATTCCAAAAGAAGATACGAATCTTTGTTTTTCGATCGCGATCATTCTCAAAGGATTGCAGTCCTTGCCACTGACCTCTGTTGAGATCCCCACTTCTGTAGACGACTCACACGTTCACCGCCCACTTGCCGCACACGCTACAACTGTTTTCTATATAAAAGAACGAAAGAACGGAGTATCGAGTGAATATCGTGTCAACTATCGCGAGGGAATTCCCAAATATTAAGCACATTACGAGTTCAAAGATAATTAGCTTCTCCGTCGAATAACAAAATTACTCGAGTACGGAAACAGTGGGAAACATGGCCCTTCTTTCGAATATTTTCTTTACTGTGTGTTTATTGCCGGTAATATTAATTTACGGTAAGTAGACACCTATCGTTTCAAGTATAAGTACGCAAACAATCATTTCTGCTGTAATCTCATTTAAATTAAATATCAATTCTACTATAGAATAAAGCTTTTCACACAACATCTTCCTTAGACCCCAAAATGGAAGGAAACTTTAGAGGACCTCTGGAATAGTATTAAATTATTATTTTTGAAATAAAATAAGTTATTCGATCATAAAATGATATGGGGAACTGTAGAATTCTCTTTGTTAAATCGAGATTTCATTGCACACTGTCTAGCTGCCTTCAAAATCATGTATTTATATTTTATAATTTTATATTAGATTTAAATCGAGTGGATTGAATACGATTTTTATGACAGATTACCTGGTTAACTCGTTTAGTTTTAATGACGAGGAAGAATGTTTAAGACAAAAATTGTTTGATTTCACGAGAGACATAGTGTGATGACGTTTTTTAGGCCCACGTAGAAGCGTCAAGGATATTTCAAGGTTGAGATTTATAAGACGAATAATTTACAATTCAAAGAACAACTACGAAGAAAAATATTTGATCCCAAAAGACAGATGTAACAGTTATATTTTTATATTTAAAATTCTAATTTGAGCGTTCGAAATAATGACCTTGAACGGTTGATACGTGGAATGGATTCATACATGGTTGATGCATTATTGCATTTTGAATTTTATTTTCAACTACTCGTAGCACAAGCTTTTCTTTGTATTCCCTTTCCTTGTATGCACTTACTACTACATTATAATTCAACGACGTGTCCTTCAATATTAAAGAATATCTAAACAAAGAACATTCTATCATGATAAGGTAACGACGAGAGTTCTTTGCAATTGCATTCAAAGTTTTATAGTGTTTTATACGAATGAACAGTATACATATATTGACGTTCAAGATCACTATCTTGAATACTTACATTAGAACTTTTAAGAGTTACCTTTGATCGAGATCCACAACGGATGTCTTGTTTGCCACTAGGATAACGCGTCATTGCCCTCATCAGAAATTTGCGAATCCTTAGATATCCGTGAACCACTGCAAGAAACACTGTAGTCATGCAGAGTACGTAAATTTCAGTTTATCAGAAATAAGTCGTAAATAACATTATATCGCATTATATATTTTTAATATTAGTCATATCATCGTCGAAGTAGTTTAGCTGAACTCGATACAATGTTATATAAAATTCTTGATTGCTTTTAACCTTAGGAATAGTTTAAATTGCATAGATCAAGAATGTTCAAGAATGGAGACAAGGATATGGTAGAATTCAGGTTATCTTTTCATTTTTTTTACCGAGGGTAAAACTGCGTTAAGATGAAATCCGGTTTTCTATATAAGCATAATATTACGACCGGCGCTATTTACGAATGGTTCTCCCAAGGTGTAATGAACTATGCTTGACAAGTTCAAGGAAATCCAGTCAAGGCGTTGAAATAGAAAGCCTTATTATAAAAATACTTATTATTATTTACTTCTTTTCTATCCATATTTCGCTCCGAGTTATTTTTGAAAACAATACCGAACGAAAAATTCTAATGGGACTTCTTTTACACAGCACAAGCACCGGCATCAGGGGGTGTAACGATATCAAAAACTTGTTTCGGATGCATATGCGAAGCTGCCTCCGGATGCAATGTTACATTGGGTTGCGACGGTTCCGTTTGCGGAGCATTTCGTATAACATGGGGTTATTGGGCCGATGGTGGAAAACCAAAACTTGAGAATTCGGATCAGGACAAAGACGGTTATTATGAAATACTGTCGATGCATATACATAAATAAAAATCTTTTTTCTTTTGTTTTATAAAGATGTTTTCTTTCGTTTAGCGTATTCACGATGCGTGAACGACCCGTATTGCGCGGCTCGTGCGGTACAGGGTTACATGGATAAATTTGCTCAGGTAAATTTTCAAATAAACACATCTCTACGCACGTACACATACATATTTAGAATAAATATCAAAGCGATCATAATTGTTCTTTAATCTCATCACTTTCCTCGTTTATAGGATTGTAATGGAGATGGTAACATCAATTGTGACGATTTTCTACGCATTCATCGATTGGGTGGATACGGATGCAGTGCTCCTCTAGAGGCAAAATACGAAAATACTTATAAGCTTTGTATGAAAACCTTTGAGACGGTTTAATGACGAACTTTTAATGCCGTGCACGCATGACGAAATATGAATATTGAATTATAAAATTATGTTACATTTATTCTCATTGCAAGGTTTACAAACTGATCAAATAAACTTTAAAAATAGTCTGTGACATTGTTCTAGTTCGATTCCCTTCAAAAACGTGACGTAGGGAAGTAAAAAAAGGGTGGTGCGTTGAAGGTATTATTTACAATTATGTTAACGTTGGAGAATTTGTTATATTTTACTAGTATCAAAATATAACCTTGGACCCATCTGAAATTAATATTTTATCTACTAATTCAGCTCTTCTCTTTAACATCATTATTTTCGTATCTAACATATCGCTCGAGTTTATATTTTTTATTAGAAAACAACTGATGAATAAGCGAAGACTTTCTTTAAAAGTTTGCAATTGAGGAGAAATGGATATTCTCTTAAATACATCCAGACAAGCCTGTTCATTTTTGTGCAATAGAATACCCAATATGATTTGTCTAACGAGTTTCATAGTAGATTTGTCTAATTCTGTGAATTCAATAACCTGTAATAAAGAAAAGAATTCATTATACATTGCAAACCATTAATAATATATAGTAAAAAGTATAGAATTTACTTTTAAAATTGATAAAGCCAGACATTTTTCAACGAATAAATAGGTAAAAAATCGTGCCAGGTTGTTTAGCTGTCTTGTTCCATAAATTTCCAGTGTTTTCAGTTTATCCCATAAAGCGTATTGTATTGTGAGCTAAAATATTATTAATAATTTACATATCTGCATATGCTTGTGTGTGCATTTGTGCAACATATGAAATTAGAATACTGTACTTGGTATTTTCGGTTATATTCGCATAATTTTTGCGCCAATACCGCATAGTAAGGATTGAACTTATTTTCTTGCAAGCAACAATGCATTAATACATGTACAATTTCATCTCCTTGTTGGTCTTTCAAACCAAGATGATGAAGTTTTTCAAAAGCATCCAAGTAGTCTTCAGCAGTCATAAGAATGCAAAAAATATTTTTTCTTGTATCAGTGTTCATTCTTTGCTTCTGTGCCAGGTCTAATATTTTTTTACCGAAGTTAAGTTTATTTTGTCTCTCTGGCTTTCCTTGATTGTCCATATTATTAGATCCTGTCCAAGCTGAACCAATGATCCACCATTTTCCATTTTCATCAGCTATTGGAAGAAACAATTGAACACAGTATTTGAACTGTTTAAGTGCCAAGGATGATCGCAATACTTTATAGTCTAACTCAACAATATTACTTACTATGTAACAAATCCTCTAGGGACACATTAAATTGTGTTACACTATTGCCTTTGCGTATAACGCTTTTTATTATTTTCTTTAAATGTTCCACGTGTGAAGAGTCATATTGAGGCATTTTACTGATGTTGTTATTCTTTATTGCTAACAAAACATCCAGCATATATTTAACTCTTGAACTGAATAATAAAAATATTATGTAAATCAAGTATCTATGCTGGTTTCTATCTTTGAGATAATTAATGTACAAAGCTTACCTTTGTCCGTCACTATTGCTAGCCTTTTGTTGTAAAGTGTGTATAAATTCTTTCAAAGCGATTGGATCATCTTTTCGCAGTGGAAATCCGACTGTTTTTAAAATAAGCAATATCAATTCAATTTCTTTCTCTGTGAATTTGATCATAAGTGTATCGAGTATCTGATAGAGAAGTTTATGCCCATATACCTGTATTAAATTCAATTAAGGAAAATACAATCCAACATCTATTTTAATTAATGATCAATTAATAAAATTATTGTACCTTAAAGTTGTATAGATGGGAAATCATGAGAATCACATTATCTAATTCTTTGTTCTCTACATCCTGTGGTACTTCCATTGTTTTCACAAATTTTTTTACAAGTGTTTCTAAAAAGTGAGCACCAATCTCAACACCAACATTAGCATGTAGAATAGCAATTAACATCATATGTTCACAAACCAGACGGTCTGGTGTAAGTACATGTGCAACTAAAGCTTCAAATGCTAAATTTGATAACATGTGATTCATATTATTACGGCTGTGTGTCATGTACATTTCTTCAATCTATAATATGCAAATTATATAGTGAACAAATTTATCATTTTTACATCCCTGCTTTCCTTTAACATATACTATTACCTGATTGGCTATAGTGTGAATATTATGTTCTGCTACTCTATTCAAACATCCCTTTAATTGTTTTCTCAAGGAAAGTAATTTTTCAGAATCCATATTTCCATTTGGAATAATACGTGCAGCTGGAGGAATATATCTTGTAACTTCATGTACAATATTACCACCTTTATCCCTTTTTCTTCCATAGATGTCTTCCCATAAACCTTCATCTTTAATATCGATATTTACAGATTTTTCATTTTGACTAGAATCAGGTTTTACTTTGTTATCCATACATATATTTAAATTGCTGCTGTTAGCTGCAAGATCTTCACTTGTGCAAGTAGAACTATTATCTGTGTCTTCATTTTCATTTTCATTACTCTCAAACGACTCATTAGTTTGTACATTTTCTATCAGATTTTCTTTTACAGCCATAGTAAAATCTGCTTCAAATTCATTATTAATTTCATTTTCTAACTGCTCCCTTTCTGTTTCTACCATGCATTTTCTATCTTCCTCTGAACAAAAATCCAAAAGATCTGTATTCATATTAAGGAACCATTCATTTAGCCAAAAGTAATTTTTGAGACATGTAATAGTTTATCCTAATAAACATTCTAGGACAAGATAAATCGTTAAATAAAACAAAAAGGATACAATCTAAACCATCTGCTACAAAAGATTGAGGAATTGACTTCTTCTTTCTTTTATTTAATTTCAATTGCTTCTCCAATTTTTTAATGATTTTATCTTCTTTCAAGTTTGCTTCCTTAAGTAATTTACATTTTTCATTGTTTTTTTTGCATTCTACTTTCTGTCGTTTTTTTCCCTTGACAGTTTTTTGTTGCAAATTAATAGTCTTGTCAATCGTACAATCATCGCCATTCTCATCTTCGTTGGCTGTAACTGCTTTTAATCGTTTGCCACCACGTGTACCTGTAATACCCAATTCATTTTTCTTTTGAAAATAAATTGCTCTGTCTGTTTTCTTTTGCTTCCTTGCCTCTTTACGCATTTGTTTACGTGATTTCTTTACCAATTTTGAATTTGCATTTCTCCTTTCTTTATTCTTTACTTTTGATCGTTTGAACGAACTCATATTTATTTAATTTAATAAAACTTATAAAAGTATCGACTTCAAAATTCATTTAGTTTCATTCTTACTGCTTGCTTACATATTTTTAATATACGATTTCCCGTAATAATTTGTACAGTCTAAAGCGAAAGTTACTAGCACCGGTTGATCCTTTCTCTGTTTTAACAAGTCTTAAAAAGTCCTGCAACAGTGGCATCACTGATTCATACAATATTTCCTTTGATTCGTAATTCATAGCTATATGTTTGTTCATATTCGAAGGAAAATTGCTTATTGAGGCTATTTTTAGGTTAATCACTTTTCACTTTCGAAGTGCAGGAAGTGGAGAGTCAATTTAAATGTTGACAAATTTTTAACAATCACTAATATGCAAGCATTGATGAAGGTGTCACAAAGTTCCTTGATATTTGCCGTTACAAAAAGGTAACTATCATGAAAGAAGGAAAAATTGTACGGTAGTACGTATAAATTTTCTTTTTACTAACCTTCTAAAAGCACATACTTTTATAATTATGGTTATATTATCGAGGATCTGATCGTGCCTTTAATAACTGTGTGTTTTTTTAAACATAAGTAATGTTCTTACAACCAAAAGTATTACTCCATTCGGTTAACCTATATGATAAACAAATAAATTAATGTTTGTTACAGTACAATGCAAAGAAAGACGTTTTTCTTCTTGAGGAGGTGCAATTTTTCCTCCCAAAACATTTCGGATAATAAAATAGCGCGAAATTCAATTGTTACGCCATTTCCTTCACTGACCAAGCCTATTCCTAATTTACCTAAAGCAGTCTATGCTACAGCAAAAGAAGAATATCAAACAACTAAAGTTACAGTTCTCTCCAATGGATTGAGAGTTGCTTCTGAAAATAGATTTGGTCAATTTTGCACAGTAGGAGGTAAGTTTAGAAAAACATTTATGTACTATAAATGATTATGTTGTTGTCTATGTTGTGAATTATTGGTATTTTACAGTTCTACTTGATTCTGGCCCTCGCTATGAAATTGCATACCCAAGCGGTATTTCACATTTTCTAGAGAAATTGGCATTTGGAGTAAGATTTTTATTGTACATCAAAGAATTACTATTCGAGGAATAAAAAAATTAGTAATTTACTTTTGCAGTCAACAAAAACGTACGAGAGTAAAGATCAAATAATGCTTGCGCTAGAAAAGCATGGAGGAATATGCGATTGTCAAGCAACAAGGGATGCATTCATTTATGCTGCATCTGCAGAACGTCATGGATTGGATACAGTTGTACAAATTCTAGGCGACATTGTTTTAAGACCTCAAATTACAGATGATGAAGTAAGAAAAATGTCCTTCGTATATTTTATACATACATTATACATTGTACAATCTACAGTATAGAAAGCACCATGTAAATTGGTGACTGTCGCCAATTGGTTGTTCGCAAATCAATTTGCATGGTGGTTACTGTTGTACTATAATTGTGAATGTAATCTATAAACTATAAAATACAAAAATAAACCAAGCATTGATCCAGAATAACTATTGAAAGATAAAATATTATAATTTCTGTTTCTAGATAGCTACTGCAAGACAAATGATCAAATTTGAATTGGAATCTTTACTTACAAGGCCAGAACAAGAACCAATACTTATGGATATGATTCATGCTGTAAGTAAAAGAACTAGATTTACGTAATGTTAAAAGATATTCTAAATAAATATAAAAAACACGCGTTTAATTGTTCAGGCTGCATACAGAAACAATACTCTTGGTCTTCCAAAAATTTGTCCAGAAGAAAACATCGATCATATAGATAGGAAAATATTATTTGAATATTTAAAACACCATTATACTCCAAGCAGAATGGTAGTTGCTGGAGTTGGTGTAAAACACGAAGATTTGATTTCAGCTGTTCAAAAGTAATGATATATAAAAGTGTTAAGTATTCATTGATATAAATTAAAGTACAGTAAAACTCCCGTTAAACGCTCGGAATACATTCTTAACAGTTTGAGGTGCTGCAATAGACTCAACTTACTATTTTTGGATTCTGCTGCAACACAGTTTTCATTATATAACTATTTAAAGTTTTCCTTGATAGAACATAACATAGAGAATCTTTATTACATTTTACACAAATGAAATTTGATTTTCGAATGTTAATACCAATGGTTAGATGGTTTTTTGACATGAAACAATGATTCTCCTTCTTGCAATGACCCTCGGTACTCAAATGGCTAAAATTTAAAGCATTATACGAAACAGTGCTGAGTGAGGCCATTTTAACGTCAGATAAATAGGTAAAAGACAAATATACTTATACTAGACGTTGCTAAATTTAAAGTAGCTTCAATATCAATCTGACCAGGGTCGAATCCAAGAGTTATGAAATTTTAAGAACATATTATTTACTTTACATTACGTTCTATAAACGTAGACTATATTATTTTTCGTAAATAACTAAATACAATTTGTTTAAAAGACTTTCTTGTACGTTCAATAGCTTTAAAGATGACACAAAAGGACTCAAATTTTGTAAACTCATAACGAAACAATATTAAACGGGGTAGCGTTAAGTGAGGTCTTACTGTATTATCATTAGTATTTTAATTGATTAACAATATTCGAAGAAAGTTGACACTACTATTATTTTAGACATTTTGTTGAGAAAAAATCTATTTGGGAAGAAGAAGAAGAAAAAGGAAATACTAATTCAGTATCGTCGGAGAAGCTGTTAAATACAGTTGATAAATCCATTGCGCAATACACTGGAGGCTATATACTAGTAATTATCTAAAATTAGTTAATTGTCAATGACATACGCAAAGAGGTACGTTTAAATGTGGTGATATTTAATAATTTTAAGCTTCGTAATTCTATAGGAAGAATGTAACGTGCCCGTATATGCAGGACCAAGTGGTTTACCAGAATTATCCCACGTTGTAATAGGTTTAGAGGGTTGTTCTTATCAAGATAAAGATTTCGTAGCGATGTGTGTCTTAAATATGATGATGGGTGGCGGTGGTAGCTTCAGTGCCGGTGGTCCAGGAAAAGGCATGTATACTCGTTTGTATACAAACGTATTAAACAGGTGAGGGCTGGAATGTGTTGTTGGTCGGGAAAATAAATTATGTTTGAAGTTAACAATCACAAGAAATCATTTTATAGGTATCATTGGTTATATAGCGCAACTGCGTACAATCATGTATACGCTGACACAGGTATCTTTTGCGTTCATGCATCGTGTACTCCATTTCACGTGAAGGAAATGGTAGAAGTGATAGTGCACGAGATGGTTGCCATGACTAGTAATATAACGGACAGCGAATTAGCAGTATGATTTTATTTATAATTTCTATTTGTGTATTGATATTTATATTTTTTATTATAATTTAAATGAAACTATTCCTTGATAATTTAGAGAGCTAAAAAACAACTACAATCTATGTTACTCATGAATTTGGAACACAGGCCGGTTATTTTTGAAGATATTGGAAGGCAAGTTTTAGCCACTGGATCTAGAAAACGACCGGAGTTCTTCATAAAAGCAATTGGTAAGCAATAAACACCAATAAAATAAATTAAACGCTGTACATAATATAAAGTAGAATTGTGTACTTTGTGTAATTGTAGATGAAGTATCAAAAGAAGATATAAATAATGCGGCACGACGTTTACTTAAATCACCTCCCAGTGTAGCTGCCCGAGGAGAAGTGAGAACAGTTCCTTCGATAGGAGACATTCAAGCCGGATTGATCGACGAGCAAGGCAGATTACCTGGTTCTCGCAATAGATTGTCACTTTTTCGTTAATACATAAACATACCATTTTCCTCAAATTCATGCATCTTTTTTTTCATGCGGCAACTTTCAAACGAAAGTGCGTTATATCGAAGCCATCGTGTTTATATTGAAATGCAAGATAAAATATACTTTTCTAGAATATCGGAAAAAGTAAATTTCATATAACGTTTCATCTACTTGAACCTAGATTGTTAAGTAATTTATTACGATATCTCAAATTGTTATTATATTATTAGATGCATTGCGCATAGGTGCTCTACAATATCTAATGTACGTAATGTATGGTTGTAAGTATAATCCATAATATACTATGTTCATAAGTTGTAAATTAAAACTAAAATATGTAAAATGAAATAGTAAGAATGAACAGTCGTAATTATGTTAACGACTAATTTGAAACATATTTTTATGTTATACACGAGGCTTACCAATGTAGGGCGGTATGTTTAAGTAAATTATTGCATCATAATTAATTGTTATTCTAACAAATAAACGAAAATATGGAAAATTGTCATCGAATGTTTTTTTATTCTTATATCATAATCTTTTCTATATATTGGACACATACTCGAAATAAAAAATCCACGTGTTCCAGATAAACACTGATCTTGATATAAAATAACAAACGACTGACGACTGACGACGAACTTAAACCTCCACTTCTTCCAGTTTCTTGAGGAATGAAGCTTTTTTCTGGACGACACGATTCTTTCTTTCCGACAAAGATAATTTTGCGCGGTTCCATCGTTTTTTCACAGGTACTTTTTCTTTTACAGTCTTCGTGTGTTCAGGATTACTTCGTATCGCTTCATGAGCATTTTTATATATACCCTCGATCTATTAACAGAAACAATATGTTTTTCAAACGTAAAACATTGTCTTAATAGCAGAATATATTAATAACTAAGATGTAACATTGATCAATGTGAAAAATGCCATTGCTTAAGCTGTTATCTTTTATAATCAATGTATTTATTATAGTCCAACTGCGACACTACGAAGATGGTGATATCTGGGAGTAATTATTAGTTGGACGAAGTCCATGTGCATAAAATACGTTGATACTTACGCTATCGGCAGTAATGCCGTTTTTAATATATTGTGAAAACTGCCTCTTAAAAACTTCATCGTCCTCTTCTTCCAATGTTCTCATATAATTTGCAACGTGTTGTCCGAAAATGTGTTGTCGATGGACGTCATCATTAAATGATTTTGATTCGCTATCATATCCAGGAAACCTCTTGGTACTGGCAACAAAAATAAGAAACAAGGATTAGAAGCTGTCAACCTTTGTGCAACTGATATATTCTACTGTGCGTTATCAGAGACACGTTTTAATCTTTTTATATCTGTGCAAAGCTTGTACACTGTATTGTAAAACACAAATACAGAGCCATGCTATGCTGTGATTCAGATGACGCGCATGTGTCATAAAATCATCATTACGTCGTTTATCTGGTACTTTTTTGGCACTATGCAAAAAATATTCTGTAAAAACTTAATTAACAAATACCTATGTGGAATATTAAGACCACCATCAACAGCACCTTTCATGGCACCAAAAACTCTAGCACCCGTAGTTGTACGCATAAGACCAGTGTCCAAGTAACACCTGAATGCTCCAGGTCCTTTATCCGATTCTTCAACATTATATTCATTTCCCGTTACTTCTGTTGTTCCAGTATACAATGTGTCTAGACCCAATTTTTTCAGCAACTAAACAAAAATGTACTATTTTAAATGCACATGAATGTGTTACTTCAATCACATTTAATGTTACAAGATTATTGTTCAGAATTAAATAATTGGGAACAAATGAGTTTTCATCATTTAAGCATCGAAGCGAGCTGAGTGGTTCATCATTAGATAAAATATACATGATTAAATAAGATAAAATAGATAATTAAATAAGAAAATGCTTACTCTACGAGCTAAAAGAAGACCTGTGCAATATGCAGATGCATAATTAGTAAGGCCAACTTTAACACCATACTTGGGAAGTTCATGACTATATGCTGCACATACTATTCTATCTCCCTCGATTCTTGAATATGCAACCTATACAAAAGTATATGTGTTAATATCTTTAAGTTCAAACATTTATTTAAGTAACTTGAAATTAAGTATAATTACCTGGCATGTAATATCCTTGTTTGATAGACGTACTATTAGTCTATACTTGGGGGTATTATATTTATTTTTATCCTGAATAGTTAATCTTTTGCGTGCATAATAATCAGTCTTTCCTTCACGTCGCCTTTTGAATTTGACTTGGTAACGTTTAAAATACTGCTTATTTTTAACAACTTTTACAAAACCCTAAAATATAGTATACACCTATCAATATAAAAAGATACCATTTCTACATTCTGCATTTTATTTGTACGTAAGATTCAGTTATAGAGGATTAAATATATTCATATTTTTATCAAAGTGAGCTAAGATCATCATATAAAATAGAAACTTATTAATTCACATAATGGTTCTGTTAATTTATACATATATACTCTTACTAATATCATATATCTAAAATGAACTGTAATAAAACTTTTAAAATAATTCGTAACACAAAATCCAATATTTATAAAACATTATTTCATACAAAATATGTTAGCACATTGTTCCAGCTTATAAAAATAATGGTTACTCGGAACAGCTTCGTGGTCGCAACGAAACATGGATTTTCGAATCCTACTGAATTTCAAGCATCTAACATTTTTACTGACATTAAATAACTTGTGTAAATAGTAAAGAGTCTCATTTATTGAATTACATTAATCTTAATCAAATTTAACTTACCATTTTAATGAAAAATACAGGAAAGATCCTGTATGAATAGAACCTCCGAATGTTCCACGTACAAAAAGGAAGTTATCGTTTGTGCATGTTGCGCCCTCATCCCGAGTTGTGAATCTAGAGTATTTTACGTATGAAACTGTTCGACGAATTCTACGAGAAAATCACCAGCTCGGTATGCAACCACATTGTCGACTGTGATTGGTATAGATGATATATCTTGTTTAATGTTGCGATACTAAAATATAAAATTAATGTATTTCGATTTCCATTGTAAATTTAAGTTTAAAAAGCTTGTAATTTTATATTAATTTCAAGGACCTTTTGTGAAAAACCTTGTTATTCAAATATAATTTATTTCTTCTATCGAATATCATAGTTATTTTTCACGAAATTCGGCATGTTGAAAATTTGTTCGCTTGAAAATTATTGACAAAACTTTACTGTACACATATAATGATTACGATTAAGGGACTAGTATTCTTTTGGTTTAATTAGATACAGTTAACCAAATGTTAATAAGTATCTTATTTTTCATACGTGTAGCGCCACGGCCGACTCTGGTACTAGTCACGCTAAACGAGAAACAGTAAAACCGCGAGTTTGATTTTACACTTGAAAGTACGCAGCATTTATACATCTGTTATCCAGTGCAAAATCATACTCTAACAGATTTACTGCCTCTCGTTCAGCGTAATTCGTAAGAGATTCAGCTGTGGTAGGATGTACAAAATATTTCTTACTAAAATTTGTTAAAAAATTCAGCTTGACTTTGAATTCAAGGATGCAAAACAGAAGTGCTTTTTGGTGAGAAGCAATTTTATACAACCTAATTTATTAGCAAAAACTGTACCAATTTCTGTAAACTTTTTATTTTTTTTTTTTGTAGAGTAGTTTATACAGAAGCAAATAAAAAATTCAACGTTCAATTTCACAGTCAAGATGAATTTTACAATTATTTTTTTTAACAGCTTTGCATGGATTCAGATGCATAGATTCATCTGTGAAAGCTACGATAAATAATTCCATTTTTACACATTGTATAATAAATACGATCAAAAACAGTAAATTTTTCTTAAATTTTCAATTCTTGAGCATCTTCTGTTCCCCAATCACTTAAATCATCGTCCCAACCATCATTTTCTTCGGTTGCTTCTAGTTCGGTTAATACTTTTATGTCAAATACACTTTTTGGTAGTATTTGCGGTTGTTGTACATGCAAGACTTGTGTTTTTTTTATTACAGGTTCCATATCTGTGAAGAAATCGTACTCTTCCTTGGCAGAATTGGTCAGTTTTGAATTCTTGATATCAAGCTCTGAAATATCGGATAAAATAATCGATTTCTTTGGCAATTTAGATTCAATTATTTTGGCTTTGTCTATATTTAATATTTTGTCTGAATCTGTTTCAATCGTTAATGTTGAATCCACAGTTGAAATCTCATTAGATTGACAAATTATGTCAGGAGATCTTGAAACACAAAGATGTATGTCTCCAGTAGTGGTTTCTTGCGTATCCCAATCAGACCATGTATATTCTTCTTCAGTAATGGAAGACATGATTTCCTTTCTATCTTCACCTCCGTCTGGTGATGGTCTTTCCGGTAATTGAACTGTTTTTTTGTCATCGCTCATAGGGGCTGTAAATTCAACAATATTTGTAAAAGATGAGGTACTGTTATTATCTTGTCCAGTTTCTTTTACTTTGTTTGGTCGACCATCTGTAAATAATTTCCCTCTGTTTCCACCAATCACAGTGGCCGCACCTAGGATCGGAACTATATCGGCCAATGCTTTTAATGTTGCGGACACAAGATGATCGTTAGTATCTTTAATTCCAACAAGTAATTCTGGAAGTACTTGGGATTTCAGTTCATCCACTTGAAATGTATGAACAAACGAATTCAAATGCGATAACAGGACTAAACGAATTGACACATCTCTTATACAAAACATTTGCAACAGTTTAGGTACTAAGTAAACTTTGAATGTTGAAATTGCAAACAGATTATTGTCCATTTTGTCTTTCCCATCTGTAAATGAACATGTGCTCTCAATATATCTTAAGTACAAGGTTTTATTAAGAATTTACTACCTCTTGGTTTTAAGACAAATGGCAGAAGTTTTTCCTGTGCTGTTTCATCTAATAAAACCATCCTAGAAAGTAATAATCGGCCTAATTGTTCCGCGACAATACTTTCAGGAAATTTTCGTAATTGCATTATTAAGGTTCTGTAATTTGAATACATATTTTCTATGTGTAACATGAACAACTACCTTTTATTAAAAACACTTATTCGTTTGTTTTCATTAAAAATGTTTACCCAAAAAATATTTCTTTCTCTAGACTGTTCTTTAAGGGCAGTTCCTCTAAAAATGCATGTATTCGCATAAAATCATGGGTAAAAAATGGATGCCGAAGCACACTTGATAATTCGCTTCTCAAGCATGGATCTGAATTTTGCAAATTTTCCTTGCAAAATTGTTTAAATTCTAGGAGACTTGGGACATCTTCTGAAATGATATAAAGTATCTGTTAAGATTCTAATTTCTCAAGATAGAATAAATAATACATTATATGCTTACCTGAATCTTTTAATTTTAGTATGTCCTCAGCCAAAATTCCAAATGCATATGCATCGATGGTCGAGTAACTTGCAGATGAAACTGTTGCATCTTCGTCAGCTGATATTGCTCTCTCATACCTGTAGCTTCTAATCTTTTTTAAATAAATAGAAGTTAATTCCTTAGATTTACATAGACATTCTAATCCACCAAGTTTCCAACATCCTTCCGACGTAACATAAATAGAACTTCCGCAAATGTTGTTATGGGATGCAGATGCTTTTTCATGAAGAAATACTAATGCACGTAAAATGCTGTATAAGCCCATACATATTTGCAGAGTACTTTGTGTTTGTATTGATTGAATCAGAGGTTTAACGTGTTCGGTGGTAAGGAAAAATTTACTGCCTTTAGACCACGAAGAAACATACTTGAGTATACAAGGATGTCTATATAACATTAAATTCTGAAAAATACAAGCCTTATTCGTATAAACATATCTATAAAAATAATTTAGTTAGCTGAAACTATAACGTAAGAAAAATGCATGATTTGGGTGAGCGACTCGTACACATATGCGTGTAATCCTACAATATACGAAGTAATCAATAAACTAATGTTAACCTTTGCAGCTTTTTCTAAAGGAGATGGATTTCCAAAATTTGCGCTATAATGCAAAGATGGTTCACTGATAAAAAGGGACACTTTTTGTGCACCATAACCATTCACACAGGCTGTATAATGCACCCAAAAATCTGTTACTTCCACAGATTTTTCATCAATTTCTAGCCCGTTAAGGGCACTTATTTCATTCCCCATTAATTTTGCTAATCCTTCGAAGAAAAGAAATTCGTCGTTACAACGATTATAACCATCAAACCAACAATAAACATTTAACTCGTTCTAAAAGTATTTGTCGAAGGTTTATTACTTGTTTCACAATCATTGAAATTTATTAATTCACAGAATATCGACTATTACGGGCAACATTCGCCCATTTCTTATTTTTTTCCTCCGATAAAGTGTAGGTAACACCAGGTAACACTACGCCCTGTCAGCTTTCTGTCACTATATTTATAATAAATATAGAAACCTACCTACCTTACAGATCTGCGATTTTAGCGCCGTCAGATAAATTTTGCATCAAAACTTGCCAAACTTCATTTTATGCGATGTTGAAAAACAGCACGTTATTTGCAATGATTTTAGCATTTTGTATTTACAGGATATAAGAAAAAATATGCATGTATGAAAAAAGATAATATTTTTGGTGGGAAACAAACAAATTCAAGTTAAATGTTTTGTTACATCTACAAGATTAGATAAATTACGTAAATATCAGATACTGTCGAGTACCGATTAGAAATCGAGGATCGTTCTTTATCAGTACTTACTTTATTTTCATGTTTTAGTAGATAGTTTTATGTATAAGTTAGATCATTAACTATAGATAGATAAAATTATGGGTGCTCTAGTCATTAGAACTAGGTACGAGGGTCTGTCACATTTGTTTATGTTGCATTTTAAACATTTACAAAGGGTAATGATCACCGTAATATTTATTTCGTTACTTTCGCAGCACAGAACTTAGTAACGTGTCTTTGTAGTGTTCGAGAATATAACACTAAATTTAAAAACAAATATATAGCGATACATGTGTATATTGTCAGAAATAATAATGATTATCGCAATCACGTTCATTACACATTTAACGTTTTTGTACTAGCCACATACACACATATGCGCGCACTCGCTTCTTTTTTTCAACAGACGAAAAGTATTTTCAAATTTTACATCAATCATGAATAATTGAAAATACTCATCACCGACATAATAGTACATACTTTTCCTACGCCTAAATGTACCGGTATATTACAATTTCATGGTAAATTTTTTCATTATTACCACCTCGTCACAGAGTAATCAGACAGACCCTTGCGCCTGCATCCAAATCGGTATTTTTAATATACATCCCAGAAAAAAGATCATGTCTCATATAAGCGATAATAGGCAAACGAATAAACAGATTGTGTGTATTTATATATATATATATACATATACATATATATATATATGCTTTGTAATATTTTCGAGATACTTTCACGCAATCGGACGCTGTACTTCTTACTTACTCGTCTTTCTATTTGTTCTTCATCTTCATGTTGCCAGCTGCTGAATGTGCACTTGTAAGAATAATGTTGTTTAATTAATCATGAAGGTAACAATGACAATTAGATCAACAGTATTGATCTCATTGACAACAAGGATGATAATAATAGCAATGATAATGACAACGACGATTGATTATGATTGTATAAGAGGTATAGTCTAATACATTAACCATGAATATGTGAAACTGGTATATAAAATTCACGCAGTATGTTATACTGCATGACAATAGTAAGGAGGAGGAGAAGGTTGACGGCGACGACGGTTAGTGGTAATTATATCAAGTAGTAGTAAACGTAACACTAAGAACGGAATAGTACTTTAAACAATATAATGAAAAATGATAGTGAAAAAGAGGAAGGTGATACTCGATCTAGCATAATACAGATAAATGTAAGAAAACAAACAATAAATGTAGTGGTACAATTACAAAGTATGAAATAATACTACTGTAGTAATAAATAATATGCAGCAGTAGAAATAACAGTAGTAGTAGTAGTTGTTAAAGTAACAGCAGCGATAGTGTCTCGCATTTTAATAAACTGTAATAATACTTTTGCTACTGGTTGGTAGTGATGATAGATAGCTGAAGTAACAACGCACTACTATTACTATTTTTTTCACTACTGCTATTACTACTACTCTACTACTACTAGTACTACTGCTACTGCTGCTGCTGATGATGATGACGACGATGCTGCTGCTGCTGCTGCTGCCGTTGTCGTTGCTGCTGCTACTAGTACTAGACACCACCGCCGCTACTACTTCTATTAACAAATACTTCTGCTACAACTATATTACTATTAGAAATACGAGACGACATATGAGAAGAAAAAAATATAAAACGAGAAAGAATAATACACTGTCAGAACTTATTATTATTTTTTAAAATTTCGTCATTTTCCTTAAAATATTATATTTTTAACATCGTTCGAAATGAACGAAAAAGATGCTTATTTACGTGGCAGTATGTTAAAGGCACCATGTCTCATCTTTCTTTCCAAGCGTATGCTACAGTGTTGTAGTCGTATTTGCGTGTAGTCAAGGCCATTGAAATTTTGTTAAAAAATATGCATTAAAATGGAAAAAATGAATTGGATCTATAACAGGTACATTTTAAAAGTGTTAAAACTGTGGGTGTGAATGTATAAGTGCGCGAGGCGTCAATCCCAATTGGATTAGGCAAAGGCGACAGGGGGGAGCAGAGCAATTGAAACGAGTGGTTAATGCGGAGTGAGCTTGGATCGAAACGATTATTTTTATGTAATAAACTTTTTGATAAAAATTCGTGACAATCGTTGCTCTCGTAGCCAGCTTGATCCTACAAAACTGTTATAAGATTCTATCATTTTTAACGCCTTTTTAATTTGCATGCAATATTTGCATCGAAGTTGTATAACAGTACTTAAAGTTCAAGAATAGCGATCGATAATACAATTGGCAGTATATTAATTATTTCTTGATTACTTATATTTTGATAATATATAGTAAATTCCATTAAGCTTGTTTTGAATGAATATCTGTTATCCTAATAGAACTAGTAAAGATGAACTCTTGTAAATACTACTGTTTATTTTCATTGACTGCATAATTATAATATAGTAGCAATGATAATGTTGTTGATGAGGACTACGATGGTTATAATAATAATAATAATAATAATAATAATAATAATAACAACAACAACAACAACAACAACAATAATAATAGTAGTAGTAGTAGTAGTAGTAGCAGTAGCAGTAGCAGTAGTAGTAATTATAATAATAGTAATCATCGAAGTAACTACAATGAAGTGATGGTAATTGTCGTAGTAAATAGATAGTAAATAGTAGCAGCGGCAGTACTAACGACGATGATGGTAATATAACATTACATGATATAGTATACCGATACAATAGAAATAATAATAATAATAATAATAATAATAATGACGATGATGAATGATAACATTACAAATAATAATAATAATAATAATAATAATAATAATAATAATTGTAATGCTCGAATCGCAACGAAAGCAGAGAATATACAATCCTTTTTCTACAACTTGTACGTTGCGACAGTGCTGCGACCTAGCGAAATATTACTACGCACAAAAAACCGAGTGCGTTTCATATCATTTTTTTCAAGCGTTATCATATATTATTATATTTATAATTATTGGTACTCTTTCTGAGCGTGGCTAGGTCATGATAATATATTCAGTAACTATAAACAATTGTTGCACTATTTATTTTTCACAAGCTTCGTCATGACCTCACATTATATCAGTAAACGATTAATGTACACGAACTTTTTACTTGTCACACTGTATTAGGGACAACGTCATGCAGATCTATACGACCATCGCATGGGTAATTTATAATTTCGATATACACAAAACAGTCTTCTTTATCGACGTCTGTTTTTTTTTTCTTTTCCCCCATTTTAATGGTGCTCTACAAAATGTAGCGACGGTCGTGTAATATCTTTGTCGAACTACATTTTTCCGAAAAAATCTGGATTTTACATTATCGTATACCACAGACCGCCGTCGTGCCCATATACAGAAATATGAGTCTTGTGCACATTTATTATCTTCATATTTAATGTAATTAATTGTTAGGGTGATCGATTAACACCAAGTAGCGATACGTTGTGCGTACCAGTCCAATCGGTTGGCTCTTTCGAATCCCACTGCACGTTGAACTGAACAACGCGTTGTAATTGCAACATTATAATGTTGAAGTAATCCGCATAGACTTTTTCTTTTGGACAATACCAGTCTGTTCCCGATGTATCGATCGAGTTCATTTTTCTCGAATTTTTTTTTTTTATCATCTTTTTAACATTCATTGCAGCATTGCAATTAGTTCGCACTATTTTTTTTTTCGAACAAAGAGGAATGTTCGATAACGTGATTAGTTCGTTGAATTCATGAGTTAATTCGGAGAAGCATTGGTGTGTACAATGACAATATCACGTATTTTTCTTTCCATCGATGCACCAAGATTAAATTATTCTAACTAGACATGGCCAAGTATCAATTACGATTCCTAAGCTCGCGAGCTTCTTTAAACTGGCAAATACAATATCATTTGGAGCATTGTTTTTTCCATGTACGAGAACAATTAATCATTATCATTTACCTTTCAATCGACGTCATGTCAGTATGATCAAAACTGTATTCTTCAAATGGTAGAACGAACGCGGTCTTTTTTCACATTCACTCATTTTGTTGATTCACTTCTTCCTTATTCTCATTATCCTGTGGATTTACATTTGGTTTAGTACTTCCTTGCTGAGCACCAGAACCATTGTCGTTGATTTTATCATTATGGGAATCTGTTTTCTCATTTGTATCCATTTTGACGTTTCCTGAATGACAACAAAGTAAAATAAGAAATGTCTTCTTAAATCTGTAACGTTTCATCGATATAATGTCGTGTCAAAAAACAAACCTTGAGTAGAATAATATTGCTGTTGCATCTTCATATTACGTTGTTGCTGCTGCTGTTGATGCAAATTCGATCTGTGACGATTAATTTGAGTCTGTGATGGTTGTTGTTGTTGCGATGGCATGCAATTAGGCTGCTGCTGGGTAGGATTATTCGGATTTGGACCTGGTGTGAATGGAACAACTGGTCTTTGAATCGGTGGTGGATACCGTTGTTGCGACGATTGAATACCGGCGCGTGGTGGCATACCCATACCACGTACATTTTGCTGTAAAACCTGTCATTTAGCTAGTGTTAGTTTTATAATAAGTAATGCTTGTACTTCAATTACATTACAAATACCGGTTTTTACGAAACTTAACCGTTTGAGTCCCAAGCAGCGCGACTGCGCTGTTCGGGATTCTTCGACAGTGGTTTTTCAATATACCCTGGGACTCAAACGGTTAAATTACATTTTCTTCTCCTGTCTCCTTCGTTCATTATTTCTTTGTCTTACGGTCATGAGTGAAAATTCTTCTTATCTAAGGTATACTACTCTATAAGTATTAATTATAAATGAATTTTGTAACTTAGCAAACATTAAAAAAACATCCATGCTAATGAAATCCAGTATTTGTTAATCGGTTATTTCGTTAATGATGTTTGATTAAATGTAAGAGCGATACATACATAGTTATTATAACTGCTTACCAGAGCAGATTGATTAACGCCCTGATATTGTTGATACTTGTAATGTTGCGTGGGACTTGGTTGTGGTTGTTGAGACGAAGATTGTTGTTTACAGTTTCTCGACTTAGGAGACGGTATTTGTGGCGCTGTGACAAACGTTTGCCATTATTGTACATTGCAAAAATGATCAAGATAAAAACAAATCAAACTTACTGCAACTGAAAACTGATGCAAGAGCATCTTGTTGATTTCCTGACGGGCTCTTTAATTGTCTCGGTTGTTCCTGTGGTTGATGCTTGCTAAGAAAATTGGGCCCCGCGTTTCCCGGTCCCGGAAGTCCTCCCGTGGGATTACGAAATTGCTGAGCTGCCGCAGCCGCGGCAATTTGTAATCCGGAATTGGATAAAAAGCCGGAGCTAAAATTTTGTAGCCCAACAGGCGTAGCACTGCCAGTTGCCAAACTTTGGCTATGTTGGCCGAATCCTTGTAATCCGTAATGAGTGCCCGTCTGTTGTGTAGCACCGCCTGGTTGATAAAAACCTGTTTGCGAGCCGGGAAATACATCTGAAAATGTTGTTAGACGGGCATATAAAATATAAAAGTAACAATACATAAGCAGCGAAAATCGGTGTGTATTCAAGATTCAATACTTACCAGCCGAAGTCGCGCTATAATAACTATTGGCAGAGGCTTGGACATTCGGACCAGGTCTCTGTACCAATTGGGAGTTGCCCATGTAACTGCCACTCACGCCTAGTACTTGATTTGGATCATACGATATGTACGTTAACTAAAAAAAAGAAAGAAAAAGAAAGAAAAAAAGGACTCGTACATATGCCACAAACAATTCAGTACGTTATTTAACCCAAAGAGTTAATGAATCTTAACTATATCGTTGAACTAAATTAAGACGTACTGAGTTCGGTTGTGGAGCAGATGGTGCTTGGAAATGTGGAGCTTTTGTTCCAATAGCGCCAATGGGTTGAGAGGATGGCTTCACACTCGCTGATATCAAAGAGTTTGACGAGGAACTAATAAGAACTGTATTTGGATTATTACTGAGCTGCTGGTTTTGTCCGAAAGGGGGGGCAGCAGCTGCGGTCTATAACAAGTGAACATTATATATAATATTGTAAGTTTTCTTGAAATAAAGTATGCTATTCTACTTACAATGCGATACTGGGAAAGATTGTTCTGATACATATCCGGAGTAGGTGCATTTGGCGCATGCGGTGGCGGTGGTGGTGGTTGCTGTAAGTAGACGTTTTGTTGGCTAAACGAATTTTGAAGGGATGGCGCATATGGTGAATACTGTGTGAAAGAAGACCGGCTCTGGTCCAACTGAAATGCTCCATAAAGACCTCCTGCTTGTGCTGGTAATTGACCAGAACCCGTGTTAAACAATACGGCTGGTGGGGAAGGTATAGCAGACATACTGCCATACTGTGCAGCTTGAGAGCCTGGGTATTGAGGGAACTCCTAAAAGAAAACAAAAGATACGGTTTAACTATGTTATAGCAATAAAGAGGTGACTGCAGACAAAATGTAAAAAAGCTGGAAATGCCCTTCAAGAATAAAAGCACCTGATAATTTATGTGAGAAGGTTGTCCAGTAGAGTTAAATGGAAGTGGGCTCAATGGTCCTTGAAGACTAACGGAAGGATGACCAATAGGACTTTGACCTGCTCCGATAGGACTTGGTCCAGGAACAGTTGAACCAGACTGGCCACTGCTGCTGCCCGAAGATTGTTGCTGCGGCTTCACCTGCGGGGGAACCAGCTGCGCATCAGGCAAAGAGTCAGCATCTTCCCACAGGGGACATGGTGTTTCGTTATTTAGTTTCCTATTTACATCACTATCAACTGCCGTTCTAATTGATGCTGACCGAATGACACGTATTTCGAGAAACAATCTTTTTCTCCTTTAATCTTCTTCTAAACTCTGGTGAAAATAGTTAGGTTCATCGCTAACCGCGTAAGCTTCATAAAAAAAAAAAAAAAAAAAATAAAGAAATAAAAGAAAAGTAGAGGCCAACAAAAAACGAAGACTCTTACGCAGAGAAAAGCCGTGATTGGATGATGATAATAAAAGCAACAACGACGATGAAAGTGAAGGTAACATATTGAAATGGCAACGAGTATAATTAATCTATAAAATGATTATATACTAATATTTGTACAATGAAGAGTCTTATAGAGAAAATGATACGTGTTTTAAATGTAAACAAAATTGGATTAACGATGCGCGTTAGCCACTTACCTTTCTGATTTTCACCATGGTAACTACTTAAGGGAATTTTTAACTAACAAAATGAACAAATAAGAAAGTATATTTTACTTGAATTTATGTTGAATGCCGAGTCAATTTCTAGTGATGTAATAGCTTAGATATGCATGCATGATAATATGATAATTAATGTTCGCGAAATGATTTCTCACCTTGCACACGTTCGTAGAAGTGGTTATTTCACTTTTCATGTTATTTTGATTGTACTGTTGATGAGGACTGTAACTATCGTCGACATCTGTACTTTCGAACGCCTGAGGGAAAGTATTACCGCTACTGACAACATTGCCATCTTCGTGCTCGACCACCGTTGGCATAGGAGGGGCATTTTCCCACACTTTCTTCACCGATGCAATCTTTAAATTGAGCTCTGCAGTGGAGGGCGAAATAGTACTTTGGCCAGCAGCCATATGCATAGATCGAGTCATTCCTAAGCTTTTACTTTTATCTTCCGTCAATTGCGTGAGGTCCGAGTCAAAAGTGAAGTCCAATTTCATGTCGGCGTTATCTTCATTTTTGTTAAAGGAAAGAGGCATTTGAATTGGTTCTTGATTCTTGTCTTTCATCAAATCGTTCGGTTTGTTCGAAAATGCGACAGGAAGGCTTTGCTGTTGTTGCTGCATAGAAGTAGCATTACCTTCCTCTTCCAAATCCACGCGCTTCTCAACACGTTGTTGTTGAGTCTTTATATGATTTGGAAATTTCGTTTTCACTGCCAGATCGGAAGGACCAGCCTTGGTAGTTTTTGAATAATTTGTATTCTCAAAAATTAAAGTTTGCACCGGAGGCGAAGAAACATCAGAAACAGAGTTTTTTTCTACCAGCTGCTCTTTCAAACTCTTCCCGGTTTTTTCGCCGTTTGGTGAATTTCGTTGGCTACTGTTTCCAGAGTTCACTTGTTCGTTTACCTCGTGACTATGAACGTGACCGTGATCATTTTGTGTAGACAAACCTGGCATTAACTGAATATCAGTAGGAACAGTCGATGGAGAATTTGATCGTAACTGACTCGTTGTAAACGGTTTGTCCCAAGCATTAACGGATGGTGGTGGCGCTGGGCCGCTCGACGAATCTTTGCCATAGTTGTTGTTCGAGTTGTTCACTTTATTCGAATCGTTAGCGTCTGATGGACACATCTGCTGTTGTTGCTGTTGCTGCTTCGCTAAGCGTTGTTTTTGAAATCTTGGAGCAACGAATTTCTGACTTCTCGAAGCTCTGTCATACTGTTTTTGCAACATATTCGCAGGTTGTAGAATGGTTTGACCTAACAGAGGTGGTATATTTTGCATTTGTTGCAAAGAAGCCGGTTGCGAACCGTTTGCCTTCGACTTTGAACGATCACGTTCTCTATCCTTCTCTTTATCGCGTTTTATTGGTTTCGACTCTTCCTTTTGGCTATGCCTAGATTCCTTTACGTTTTTCTTCGAACGAACTTCTTGGAAGCCGTCGGAATCGACCTTATCTTCCGTAGCATTAGATCCATCCTCGGCGCAATTATTCGTCTCTATTTCACATTCGATCGTCGTCTTTTTTTCTTTTATCTGAGACTTCTTGTTAATGTCGTTAAGAGCTTGGTTAACCAAATTGGGGTCGCTTAACTTTATTTCATCTATACGATTCACCGTACTATCTTTTGTAGTCGATTTATTCAATATCGTTGAATTATTTCCAGAAGTTTGACTTCTTGATCTTCCATTTTGAACTTGACTGGTTTGCATCAGTGGTGGAATGCTAGAAGAGTGACTTTTCTGGTTGCCAAAACCTAAATTTTGCAAGTTTCGTTTTTCTGCGCCGGGTGCACGGGATGTTACATTGGAAGACTTTAAATTCTTTTCTCGGTGTTCACGGTTATTTCCTGTCTGCTCATTTCTGCGAGCGTGTATATTCGATCCTAGAGCATTTAGACTGCTACCTGAATTTGCACGTGCAGCAAACTGTTTGTTCCGACTGCTACGTGATTCTTTATGGTCTTCCACGTGTTCCTCGCTGTTCTCCGATGTGGTTTCCCAATCTTCGTTCCCTACGTCTGAAGAGGCTTGTTTCGACACGTTGCTGCTGCTCCCACGATATCGTGGTTCACGATTGTCTCTACCCTGCAAACACAGAACGAGTTTATACATAAATTGATCGAATTCGTTGAACAGTGTGATAGGATAAAAAGAACTTGATCGTTTCCCAGAAAGGAATGATTTCTCAGAAACGATATTAATACTGGAATATTTCTATTTTCAAAGATTTTTACATTTAATTCTAATATCGTCCAGAATTTTGAGACTTACCCTTCTGCTGCTGCTGCGGGTTCGCTTTGAGCGTGATTCTTCTTTACGAACTTGCACCTTTTGCGAAGTAGCGTTACTGCTTGCGTGATTAACGTCTTGTTTACTGGAAGGTTGTTGAGCCTGCTGAGACTGTTGGGAGGATTGTTGATTTGGAGACTTGGAACGTTTACCGGTTATTCCAGCAGTGAGTGCTTGTTGCTTTGCTATAATTTTGTCGCTGGCAGACTCGACCTGAGAAGACACCAAGGAATTTGTTTCCTTTTCGGGAGTAGGTGTCAGTGGATTCTGTCGTGTGGAATTTTGTTTCTCGTCGGCGCTGCGTTCAGACGAAAAAGGACTCTTACTGGAGGGTGGTCCGTATCCCTCCATACGGCTGCCTGTACTGGTCGCGCTTCGAATTCGAAAACTACCTCGACCACGACGAGACGGTTCACCAGATGGCGCGAATCCTTCGCGGCTAGATTTACTGTCGTACGCTCGTTTCTCGCTACGCTGTGACTGAGAATAGTCAGTTCGTTTCTCGTCTCTGCCGGATACTTCACGGTTACGTTCCTCTTTTTCTGCTTTCTGGTTAGGTTTCGGTGACCTAGAAGATTTCTTCTCTTCTTTGCCAGACTCGGTCGAACAGGATATCTCATCGGCACTATTCTCCGAATCTGTGTGTCCGTATGAACCGCTTCTGGCGGAAGCTGGCCTACCAGCAGTTCTAGGACCACCCCTTCGTCCTCTTGACTCTGAGCCACGCCAACCTCGAGTATATATACTACAGGTACCTCCCCATTGGCGTCCTCCTCGAGAATCACGGACTCTCGAATTCGATCCTCCGCTACTAGTTCGATTACGAATACTTTTCTCCCGTTTCTCTTCTTTTACTTGTTGCTCCGTCGCGTCTTCGTTCAGAGTGTCTTCCCTCTTCTCTGAACTTAATTTGTCAAAATTCTGTTTTATGTCGTCCGCATCCTTATCAATTTTAACAGGCTCCATTGTTTTTTCCTCCTCCTTTTCAAACGTTGGAGACACAGCATCGGCCCATGCTTTCGGAGAATTATCGCCTCTTTCTATCGTTTTATTATTATCGTTAACTCTTTCAATTTTTCTACTCCAAACTTCGGTTTCCTTCTTCGTTTCCGCAGAAGGTTCTTTCACCTGATCCTTCTTATCCTGTTCCGAACTCGCTCGTTTCAATTGAGTTAGATTGCGTTTCTCACTTTTCAATTCGTCTGCTTCAATTCTCTCTTTGGTTACCGGTCCGAGTGGTTGTCTCCTTTCTCTTTCCCGCTCCCGGGTATCTTCGTGATACGTGTCACGCTTATTTTCTTCGAAATCAGCAACTTCGTTCACCCAGGAACTACAATCGCGCAACTTGTGCGAATCGTCTTCGCGCAAAGACGTTTTCGATTCTCGTGAAGCACGACTGTTACGAGAATCTGGTCTCTGAGGACGTTCGTTACGTTCCACTCGCTCTTCTCGTTGCGTATCGCGGCGATTATCGATCGATCTGTCTTGTACGATACGCTCCTCGCGCCACTCTGTACTCTCTGATCTTTCTCTTTGATCACGATCTCGTTCACGATCACGCTCACGCTCTCGATCACGATCACGCTCGCGTTCACGGTCTCGGTCACGCTCACGTTCACGTTCGCGCTCGCGCTCGCGGTCACGATCACGGTCACGATCGCGGTCACGGTCACGGTCACGATCACGGTCACGGTCGTCAAAGGAATCCTATTGATGAACACAGATTTCGGATTACAATACATGAATATACGTATTACTATTAAATTTTAATTAACATGTTAACGATAGAAAATTCTAAATACCTTCACATAATTATCATAATCCTTCTTAACCTTGTTATCTCTTTCCTTGTTTTCCCTCACATCTCGGTTGTCCCTGTTTGCTCGATTATCTCGAACATCTCGACTTTCTCTGACCTCCCTCGTTTCTAGATTGTCCTTCGAATCTCGATCTTTGTCGTCGAAGTATCTTTCACGCTCCCAAGAATCACGAGAATGTCCTTCGTCGTAATCATGCTCCCTGTAGTTTCGGTTGTACTCGTCGTAATAACCGCCAGACTTGCGAGTATCGTAAGGTCGATGAGAAGAATGACGGTATCGATCATCTCGGAGAAGCGATCCACGATAATCTCTAGATGGGGGTCGATCGTCGTCCACTGAAGTAGAGATGTCCGAGTCCGTTCTACTCCGACGTTGTGACGGAGCACCATGCGACGGTTTCAAGCTATTGTCTACTAATACAAGTTTTATTGAATATGTAATATGTATTATTTACAAGAGAGTAATGAAAGTAGAAAAATATTTAACTATAAACTAAGCCTGTTATAAATAGTAACATAATGAATTGAAGTAGTGAAACGAATTATTCTTAGAACTAAAAGGATTGAAAACAAATACTGCGAAATGATATACTCGAAGCCACTTACTTAAAGAGCTGTGACTATGAAGCCATCTACCAGGATCATATTGCTGGGAGAATGAAACAGATTGGGCAGATGACCTTTCAGTATTAGGCGAAATTCGATTAAACCCAGCATTGCTTCTCTCCGCTTGTTGTTTTTGAAATCGGGGCGGTAAATTGTTTTGAAAATGACGAGAAAATGCTAAATGTTCACGATCCCTCATGTCTCTTTGATCACGATCGCGATCACGATCACGTTCACGATCACGTTCACGATCACGATCGCGGTCACGGTCACGTTCACGTTCACGTTCACGATCTCGTTCTCTTTCACGTTCGTTACGCACGGTAGGATCCTGTTGTCTCATGAAACTTTGCCGATCGTTTTGTCGGAAATCTGACATTAGCTGATCACGAGAATCTCTGCCATATTTCGGGCCATCTCTAGATTCACGTGATTCGCGGGCCAAAGACTTTTCATCTTTACCTTCGGAGGATACGGTGCAAGACCGTTCTCGTTCTCTGTTTTCTCTTTCACGTTCCCAGTCGGGAACCGGAATCGGAACAGGTGGAACACTTATCAAACCTTTCGATTCATTCGACTGTCCGCGTTCTTCTTCTTTATACTTTCCATGTTTCTCCTTTAACTTATGCTGCTGTACATCCTGCAATTTTTTAGCTGCTGCCTGTCTGCTTGATTCTTCGTACATTTTTTCTACCTCCTCTTTGCGTTGTTGAGCACGCTCAGCAACGGATGCAACTTCGACTCTTACTACTCTGCGCCTCTCATTCCACCCTTCATCGTCTTCCACCCCTGTTTTTAAGATAAAAATGAAACATGTATAATTTAGTACATATGGATACTCAGTCAAGTGTCACGAGTGAATGAAAATGAATTGAAATGCTATAAATATATTATTATTAACATAAATGTTCTGACCTCTCAAAGAATGCACCGAGTGCAGTTGTGACTGACCGCCGTAACTACCAGACCCATTTGATCCACGATAATCACGAGGTAAAGAGCTCTGAGTCCATGATCGATGAGTTTGTTGATCTCGAGATTCTTTCGAATCTCGATTATCGTGATTATCACGATTATCTCTAATCTTATCTTTATCTTCTGTTGTATTTTCTTCAGGTTTGTCTTCTTTAATATCTTTTCTTTCATCTTTTTTCGATGGTTCAGGATCGGCTTCATCGTCGCTAAACGTAAGTTTTTTGTTGTAATCAATGTCATCGTGTGCCGCCCAACCAGCGTCTCGAGAAATGTCGTCCATTCGTGTAAGATCCTCTTCTTTGATAATTGGTCGGGTGACAATTTCCTCCTCGGGAACACGCTCACGTTCCTGTTGACGAGGAGGCGGAGGAGGGAATCGTTCTGAGGAATAATTAACCCGCGGTCTGGTGGTCCCACCCGAACCCGTGTTTGATGGAAACTGCGAAGGGAACCCACCAGAAAAGTTTCCTCGATACATCTAAATTTGTTTATATAGGTTAACAGATTTTGGGATCTACCATTCGCTAAGAAAGGTAAAAAATAATAACAAAACTCACGAATGGAAGAATAAGTCCTCTGTAGTGATGTAGATTTGGACCAACTTGATGAGAACCAGTCGTTAATGCATTTTGGCTGTTTGAAGAATTATGAGGGCCTCCCTGGGCCATGGCCATGTTGGGAGACTGGACCAAGTTCTGTCGTCCGCCGCCAGATATGTCGGCATGTCCTCCCGATCCAGTAATGTTCAGTGGGGGGGCCTGGACCCCTGAAGTGGTCCCACTTCCGGGACCAGTTGTTCCTAACCCTACACCACTGGGTGTACGGCTTCCACCTTGTATCCAACTTCCTTCCGCTAATAAATAATTTCATTAAATAAGTAATTTAAGCTGTTTCTCGTTCAGCATGACTAATAACGGAGTTGGCTGTGAATTTTTGAGATAAAAATATTGTCAAATTAAGGCTTACTTTGTGGTCGTAAACTTGGTCCGGGTCCATATTGAGCACTTAATTCCCGATTTGTCGATTGCTGTTGTTGGCCTCCTGATGCAGTGCCTGATCATCAGTAAGTATAATAGTAACACAAACAAATAATTATTGTCCCGATGTTATATTAATTCTTAATTTTCTATTTGATTCTTTATTTTATACCTTATAAAGAATAGGCATGTTTAAAAGAAATTTAATCATGTAGTAAATTATATGAACAAGTAATAATTAATTTGTGACATATACTTTTTTATATGAAGCATCATTGATTAAAATATAATATAAATAAATTTACACGATACAAGCAGTATTGAATACAATAAAATTGCAAAAGAGAGTAGAAAGTAAAACAAACTCTTTTACAAGAATTTAAGTATTATAATTAAGTAACATTTATCACAAAGTACCATACATTTATGTGTATTGTAAAACAATGTGTTTTTACATACCATCTCCAGATTTGCTCATTATCGCGCTCCATGATGATTTGTTGCTCACATCGGAAGAGTATGAAGACTGAGAAACGTTTTGTTGTCCTGGGAGTAAGGGATGTAGTGATGTTGTTACAACAGTTCCCGCTACACATTGTGCGGGTGAAGAATTTGACTGTTAATAAAACGGCGAATTTTATTATTAAGGTTCCTTAATTTTTAATAAAAACATGAATTATACAAGTAAGGAAACAAGTTGTAAATATTAAATGTTGTCTAGCATATATTAAACATTATTGTAAAAGAATAGATGTAACAAAATACTGGTATCAGATTTGTAATCAATTGGTGAATGTAATACAATGTTTCTTTGTCAATGTTATTACAAAGCAATACCTATCTATTAGCACAAGTCTATAAATCTTGTTTAAAAGATATAACTGAAAAATACAGTAAAAATTGTTAGCAGTTTTGAACATGTGTTAATAGAAAATTTACAGTAGTTATATCCGATGAAGTTACAACTGTAGTGGTTGTTGTTGTTGTTGAATCTTTGGTAGTAGCCCAACCACTTCCTCCACTTGGTACAAGACTAACAGCTGGGTCGCTACTACTGTGTTCACTTTTCAAACTTGGCAGATTAGCAGGAGGTCGTCGTGCCGAAGGCACCTTTCCAAGACTTTGCATTCCATGTTTGCGTGGTAATGTGTTTTTCTGTTGATGTTGCTCCAAAGATTCTCCCTATATCCATAATAAATCAGATACTGATGTAGCTTTTATTATTTTTCAATGATATACAATGAATTCATAATTCATGAAAAGCAAAAAGAAAAAGATTTTTACACCAATTATCATGAAAGTACACACAAATTGCACGAATGGAATAATTGAAGACCACAATGAATGTAAATGAACTCTACTTAGCTAACTCACTCTATATTCCCTGTACAAGCTATTGATGTCTAATGATTGGAACTTGGATTTTCCTTTCTCCCCCTTCGACACAAGCCCTGACAGAGTAGACATGCTGTCTGCAGGCAACCATTTAGTACCAATCAGACCCAAAGAACGAACCTTTTGTCTGAAATCATAATTTATTTCTTGTGTTTTATAAATGTTTTATTTCATTAGTATCATAATAGAAACTCTCCGGTTGTGGAAATATATGTAATTTTCCAGGTACATATTAATAACAATAATAAATAAAGGTATACTTTATATAAAAAAATAAAAGTAAAAACAAAATTATCTGCTGATCTCTCTTGCATTACAATTTAATAATCATTATAATCTATTCCAACATAATATTAAATACATAGCTTATTTTATATCCATACAAAATTATTTGTTCTCATAAAAAAGTAAATAATTGTATTTATTAAATAAAAATAATATATACAGACGAGCGCGGGCATGCATACACATGCAATAAAAGCATGACACTAAACTAAATTTGATGAACATTAATATAATTGTTGGGAAAAAAACGAGAAATAATGGTAACTAAATTGATTAGAAAATTAACTAAAAAGGAGACCATCATAATATAAAAGTTACGATGAAAAACATTAGCAAATACAATTATACAAAACTTAAGAATAACACTTATGTACGTACAATGAACTACACAACAAGAAGGTTGACAAGAACGTTCGATGCGGAAAGTGAGCGAGAAAGAGAGAGAGGGAGCGCGCGAGAGAGGGCGAGAGAGAGGAAGAGAGAGTCGGATAGCTTTGTTATGTTGAAAAAATGAAAAAGAGAAACGCAGGCAAAAAGAAAATAGCAAATGGTTATAAAAATACAAGAATATCGAAGAAAATAAGTAACCGTAGTTAATCGAAAAGAAGAGGAACAGTTGGAGCGTAACATTCTGACCCAACCCCTCGATCGTGATGTCAAAGTCACGAAAATTCAAAACAAAAAGATTCGCATCGAAACAGTCATAAATTTAGTTAATCGGAAACGATCCGCGGAATGGAAAGCTTATAAAATATTGAAATGATGCGATGACCATAGAAATTTGGAAAAAGCATTCGAGGATGAATGCTCACAGGACGAAGTTGAATAGCAAGGTTTCCACGTAGAAAAAAAGATTTGGACAAGGAAGCAAATCAAGGAAATAACGACTTACCTTGGTCCGTCCAAATGGGTTTCTAATTCACAAAAGGGTTAATTCCCAGTTAAACTAATTAAGATCTGGATCGTCGCGGATTACAATTGTTACAAGCGTAGCGCCTGCGAGACACAGATACTTCTTTTCCACAATTCGTCCAAGATGGCGAATGCGCGACTTTCGGCTCTTCTTCCGCGATCAATACAATTACGTCATACGACCAAAGAGAGCCGTTTGCACAGACGCGCCACTCGTCCGGATTTTCTTGTCACTCCGTTATGACTTTCACGATTAAGTTTTTTCCTTTCTTATTGTATAAAATATAATGTTATTTTCAATTTAAATGACCTTAAATGCGCTTTTTACGAGTTAAACCTATGCCACGATACTCGATATGTTTTTTTTACCTAACCGTTACTTATGACGAGAAACGAGCGGAACATTCAACAGAAATAAGTGGCGCTGCTTTGATGATTCCTTACCGCTTCAAACCAAAGTCAAATTGATTACAAATACTTGGATATCATCTATGAATTACGTTTCATACATTTACTCGTGATCTAAATGCGCTTGGATTTACTCATTGTAACATATATTTTGTTTCCCTAGTTTCTTTACAATTTCTTTTACAACAATATATTAAACAATCTCTGAATTTGTTTGAAAATAAATACATACATTTGATCTCGTCGGTAATTCTATAAAATTCAAAATGGCTGACCATATATATGTATATACATACATGCGTACTAAGTTTTTTTTATTGATATTCATTAGACGGTGAATTAAGAATTTAAAAGACGTTAATAATAAGAAATAACACATTTTAATTTTAATAAACCAATTGATAGTTTTACTGAACATGGTGCATAAATAAACAATTTGTTTTATTTATTACGTTAGAAATATTTATATAGGTTTTGTACTAACGTATCCAAAATGCAATTGTTTCTCATTTCTAGAGCGTAACTTTACACACTGACGTCGGAGATATAAAGATAGAATTATTTTGTGAATTATGTCCAAAAACATGCGAGGTAATATTATTCTAATTTTTCATATTATAGCTTTACAATCATTCTTTTCTGTATTGCATTCATTATAAAACTATTTATTTTTACAGAATTTTCTTGCTTTGTGTGCTAGTAATTATTACAACAATTGTTTATTTCATCGAAATATAAAAGGATTTATTGTGCAAACTGGGGATCCTTCGCAAAGTGGTAAAGGTGGAACATCAATATGGAATCGTAAATTTGAAGATGAGTTTAAGGAAGAATTAAAACATAATGCTAGAGGTCTTGTGTCCATGGCTAATAATGGTCCAAATACAAATGGAAGTCAATTTTTTATAACATACGGACCTCAACCACATTTAGATTTGAAGTATACATTATTTGGAAAGTAAGTATTTGGGACTCACAGATTATTTTGATATCTAAATTAATAGACTCTAGAGATATTTAAAAAATTGTTTTCTTTCAGGGTAATAGATGGTTTAGAAACTCTTGAACAGCTGGAAAAATTACCTGTAAATGTTAAAAATTACAAACCGCTTACAGAAACTCGTATAAACAATGTAACTATACATGTAAATCCTTTGGCAGGATAGATTGAAATAAATTAAAATTATATAAGAACTTTGAGGATTGTTGCTATTTTCTCATTGTCAATATATTCCCATTAATCTTTTGTTTTGAGGATCAAATGGACTTCGAAGATAAAGGTTTGCTGTATGTCGTTCTCCCATTACTTCAATCTCATAACTACCAGTTTGTAGAAATTCCTTTGTCACATTTTCTCCATTTGGATGTTCGATATACCTAACATTATAAGAATAATAAGAGTTTATAATAAATACCTATATTTTCTATTAATGCAATTGTACTTACCCAATTCCAATAGTATTTCCATAGCTATATCCCTGTTCTGCTCTTCGTAAGTAACCAACAAAAGAATTATCTCTATATATAGCTTCCATACCCCATATTGGAACAGTACTGTTACAATGAGCAATATTATTATATGATGATTGGGAACGATATTTTGTAATACCTACTCATTCATATGAATATGGACCAGTCTTCTTTTGATTCCATTTTGTTGTAATTGATCAACTGCTAATTTTCCTAGATACTGACCAATACTACGACAACTAAATGCTAATCCAGCTTCCACAGGATTATCATCTGGTCTAAGATCTGAGCCCCAAAGATGATAACCTGTTACGTACAGTTGTATTAGTGATGCACATTCGTTAAGTAATATTGATCATATATACCTTTTTCACAACTTAGACTGTACAGTGCTCTGTATCCGGCAAGTCTCATGTCATATGACTTGCCACATTCCATTAAAGCTCTATACACTATTTGGCAGGATGATTTTGGAATGTGTAACTCAAATCCAAGTTCACCAACAAAACTGAGTCTTATCAAGCGCACTACTTCGCCTTTAATTTTTACTAATTTTGTAGTTGACAATTTGAAATCTTCATTTAAGAGTTCATCATCTATTAGTGTTTCTATTATCTTTCGGCTGTATCGTGAATCGTATTTTTTAAATTTCTAAATGAAAGTCAAATTACATAAGTTTGTTCAATACAATACCTATTTGGTCCTTGTACAGAAAGTAATCCAATTTGTTCGGTAACATCATGTAGAGATACGTCGAAGCCATTTCTTTCTATGACTTCGTTCATGTGAACCCACGTATGATAAGCCGATATGCCGCTTGAAACTAACATTCAAAATCATGAAAATATCGCTAACTCGATGACTTTGTACAAAGGAGGATAATAACTTCTACAAACATACCAATGTAAAATGCTTTTTCTTTAAATATTGGATTTACAATTCCACTCGAACCTGGTTCTAGAATTGTGACGGTGCAATCCATTTCCACACCTCCAGCATTATTTAGCATGCAAGTATAAACTGTTTTGTTGAATTCACAATTTGTATTTGCCGTAAATAAATAATCTGCTGTTTTTTGTGCTTCTGGCCCGCACAGATAAAATTTTCCAAGATAGGACATGTTAAATAAAGCAGCATTTTTGCGACAGGCGAGAGCTTCCTCTCGAATCTAATCAAAATATAGAATTTGTTTAGTAATACCTTCAACATACCTTACTTTCAGAAACCTACTATGTTATCATAGGATGACAATTGAAAACTGTACTCTTTTTCTAATATCGCGCGATATTCGTCGTTCTCGTTTCTTGGTATTTCACAATATCCACCATAATCATAGGGCATAACTTTTAGTTTCTTATTTCTATAAAACCATCCAGGTCGCTCCCAACCTTGACGTTCTTCCATAACAGCACCTTCTTCAACAAATAACTGCAAAATATGGATCTTTTATACAATGATTTATACTTAAATGCAATACGTATGTAGAATATAAATTTTTACATCGTGAAAAGGGTCTTTCTTAAAATTTCTGCCACTTAATGGTTCATCATGTGGAAATACAATATTGTAATTTTTTGCGTATGCCTCGTGAGATCTTTCATTTGTCCAAATTAAATTGTTTCTCTGTTCTGGAATAAATCTATGAAATAAAAAATAAATACGTATTATATTAATTACAAATATAATTACATATATAACAAAATGTAATCTTTCCTTGTATGTTTGAAAATAAAAAAGAATAATTTTTACCTTCTGATATCGTAGTTGAACATGTACCTATTTGGCCGGCCATTAATTATCCAATGTGCAATTTGTTCTCCACATCCACCCCCTAACATCATTCCAGCACTATTATAGCCACAAGAATAAAATAATCCAGAACAATTAGGATCTTCACCTATTATATATAATAAAAGTTGAACTAGATATCATATGGAACTGTAAGACCAAAAATTTGTTACATCATCTTAAATTCTTACCCATAATTGGTCTATGATCAGGCGTGAAACTTTCTGGACCGCATACTGTGGTTCTTATTCCAGTTGTTGATAATTTAGGAATCAATTGGGTCATTGAATTTTGGTGTGTACTGAAAATATCCCAATCTAACTCATAGAGACGAAATGAAAAATGTTCGGGTACCTTATACATAAATATAGAGTGCATTAAATAACTAAAAGTTATTCTTTAAAATACTTGCAGAAATTAGCTATAAATTTGCTTATTATGAACTGAATCTGGTTTAATGCAAACTTACAGATTCTAGTAAAATGGGATTCTTTTCATAACCACCTGCAGCCAAAGAGTTACCCTGAATTCGAAAGTATATATTCCTATCTGGATCTCTAACATTTGGAAGATGCTGTAATCCTTCTATTGGTTCTGTAACAACGTAAGCATGTTTCATTGGTGTTAAAGGAATATCTACTTGCACCATGTTTGCAACATTTTTGGACCAAACTCCAGCAGCATTAAGAACAATATCTGTTTTTATAGTTCCGTACGGTGTTTCTACGCCATAAACTCTTTTCTTGTTCAGAATGGTGTCCTTTTGGAGTATTTTCGTTACAGGGCAATCTTCGATGACCTAAGAAATAACAATAGTTTTCTGTTTCCTCGCTTAAATTACCATCAGTATTCATATAAAAAGCAAACAAATTTCTACCTGACAACCATTATTTTTTGCTGATTTTACTAAAGCATTTATTAACATAGTTGGATCGACACCACCGTCTTCTGAACAATAAATGGCTCCTTGAAAAGCATTTTCATCAAGTATGGGAAATAATTTTGTTGCTTCCTGAGGAGAGATTAGATGTGCTTCGATGCCAAAAGCTTTGGAGCTGGTAATTAGCCTTTTATAATCGGTTAATCGTTCCTAAAAAAATTACAAAGAATGCTATATAGTAACAGTAATAATAATAGTATGAAAATATAAAATTTGAATATTGACATTGGAATGAGCAATGTAAAGTCCACCGTTCTTTATCCACCCAGGATTTATTCCAGTTTCTTTTTCTAAAGAGTTTAGAACAGATTTTGTAACACTTAGTAATTCCATGTCAACATCATTTGGACTACGCATACTCCATATAAGACCTGCAGTGTGCCATGTAGTGCCAGATGTTAATTTTGACTTATCTAATAACACAGCATTAATACCGCGTTTTCCCAAATGATAAAGTGCATTACAGCCTGCACTACCACCACCTGGAAATGATACAGACTTACAATTTTACATGTTAATATATAAAATATTTTTTGATTTTTTTCTGCTTACCTACTATTACAATGTCCGCATAGTCCGGTAGTTGTATCGTAGACGATAAACTTAATGCTCTTGTTTTTACTGATCTAATGCACGTGATGCAGATTGTGCATAACTAAAAATGTATCGAAAACCCCGTGAATTTTATAAAAAGTAAAACAGAAATGTATAAATACCTGATGTTTTTTTAAGTGAAACATGTTTTTGTTTGGAAGTAGACAACACGAATTTACATCATCCTAGTAGCACAAGCATATTACACTTCAAGCGCTAAAACTGTTCTGACTATTTTATCGGCCCGGCACTTTTGTTTTTAATGTGCATTATCAAATGTACCGATTAATCTCCTATACTATTTAACAATTTTTTTTTTTTGTAATGACCTGTACTTACATGCAAAACATTCAAGAGATAATAGGCTTGGAATATTAGCAATCATACATTAAAATAAAATAACACATTTGAATATTTCTATATGTTGCTGCGATAATAATTTTCGAAGAATATGATAATGTCTAAAAAATAAATCGTTTTTTGTGCCTTATCAATGAAAGTCTTACCAGCGGATAATTTATTTTAATTCTCTTACAATATATTTTGCATAGAATATAATAAAAATATAATTAAACGATATTCTTTTCGATTATTATGCGCTTTTAAGGAATAAGCATTAAACCATAATATTATAGACATTATTGATAATGTCTACAGCAGTGTAAAGTTTAATGGACTTTCATGCGTTATCGAGTTCAATATATGTCAAGCGATACAATAATATTGACTTGTATTGCTTCCACGATATTTCTTGATTGCAAAGTGAAAACGACTCGTCAATAATTTTTAACGAAAAAATACTTCGAAGCAGAGAGAGAGAGAGAGAAGATGAGTAAATGTGTGTAATTTGTAAAATATATATTAAACATAAATAAATAAATAAATAAAGACTATAGATGTGTGCAATAAATTATGATCAATATTATGCGTATGTATGTATATACATGATACGTATGCGTATATGTCCATTACTCATAGTACTTTCACTGCATTTAATTATTTTACGAAGTATTTTCGGTGTAGTATTGTATAATATACTGCGAATTGTAGATACATATACATATACGATTAATAAATTTCAGCTAGAATTTTACCAACAACTAAAAAGCGATACATACTTGCGATTCATTATATGATCAACATTTTATATATTCTTACTGAAATAAATGAAATATACTCGCTTAAAATTTTTTATTATAATCTATAAACTGAAGCGTTAGTTGCTTTATTTCATGAATGATTTATAGCATATTTTGCTACCGTAGTTGTTGATATTAGATTATTTCCGCTTATTTATACTTAACGTGGTGCAATATTCTATACACACGTCGCACACATACGTAAGCACGCACACAGACACACGCTACACACATTCTATACTAATTATGTACAGTATCTGCGTTTTGCTTCGCTAAGGCTTAAATAATAAAAGAAAAAAGAACGCGTATACAAATCATACAGTTAAATATAAAAATGTGCGATGTCTCCATATATTCCAGGAAAAAAAAAAAAATGCTAAAAATGTCGAATTTAATTCACAAAATCATAATCTTTATTATATTCTAGTTGTACTTGAACAAAAGTCTAATTAGAAAATTTTAAGAAAGTTAGAAAAATACAGAACAACAACAGGTCTTGGATTCGATAGAGTTCATCTCTACACACAGTACGAATTCTATAATTAAATCATGATTGATTCTATAGTATCGTTCGTTGTTCTTGCTGGAACGCCACCCAACAATGCGTCTAATTGAAATGTTTTTCGTTTTTGTTTTTGAAAGCAGAACTCTTATTAACGATAACAATAATTGCTTTTAACGCATTTCGATAGTAGCCTTTAACTACAGTCTTCCATTTAAAAATAGCTTTTTAAATCGAGGACTATGAGCATTTATGATGATAGTAAATCGGAGATAATTGCCAAAATTCAATTAGAAATATGACTTTAGGATTTTAGGAATTAAATTCAACGTTTTTGCGTCAGGGTTCCAGTAAAGTACTTGATTGAATTGAATCCAACAAAAAAGAAGCTAATATGTATCACTATTTCGTTTTGGCATGCGTCAAGTACTTTATAAGAGTAAATCGCTCTTATTATTAACAACGCAACATACACACGAATTGCTGATGGATAACCAATCGTGAGAGATAAATATGTAATAACATTAAGAGGCCTAGATCGAAGAAATTTAAAGGACTTCAAAGGAAGAATTACGAAATCGATTTCATTAAAGCGATGTATGTTCTTCGCTAGTAAGACTGTCGGTTTCTTCGGTGTCTGAACCAGTCGCAGCTTGAACACGGGCGTATTCGTCGGTGTCGATACTCTTACAAAAATGTATCGCGTATTTTAACTTTTGACGCAATACCGGTTTACACGAATATCGCGGCATTTTCAAGAGGAAAAAACATGTATAACTTTCGGGAAGAAAGTGATCGGGTGGGCTGTACTTGTCCATTACCTGAGAAAATAGTTCCAGACACGTTACGACAAATTTGATTCGCTCACCGATCGGTAAGTAACGAAATGATAAAAGGAAAATACGACGTGTTACCTGTAAAACGAAATCTCTTCCGCGGAAATCGGCAATCGTGCGTGGTAAACGAGTTCTGCCCCAAACGAATCGAAGAAACAGAGATCTCTCTTGATTCGAAAACTCCTCCATCACCTCCCAGAACCACTGAATCAAAGGTGCAGTCGGTTCGATGCCTAAGACGTACGAAAAATTTTACGAACGAATCGATGAAAATTTGTAAAACTTAGCAAATATAAAAACCATACTATTATCATTATATTATTATTAAAAACATACCCTTGTAAGTTGCAACGGACTTCAATAAAGTAAGCGGTATATCTGGACTGCCACAGACCATTGTCTCCAATTCTGCTCCGCTAAATAATGCCAGAAACGGTACGGGAATTACTTTTGACATTCCCTCCCGCACTGCGGCTACCTGAGCGTCAAATTCCCGCAATCTATAGTTCAATGCCAATCGGACGTACTCGTGCTTATTTGTCGGTGTGATTTTCTGATATCTAAAACATAACAATTAATGGCAGAGAACGCGTTGAATTTAAAGTTTGCCGGAAGTAGCAACCGACGAACTGTTCACGCACCTATTGGATAAAAGTACATCGTGTCCAACAGCCGATGGCGTGGAGAAAGGCATTTCGAGGGTTTGAAATACCTTCTCGTTGGGATCCATGTCACGGATGCATAATAATCCAGGAACATAGTCTCTGTCAACCTCGGTCAAATCCGCGGGCGTTAAGGATGTACCTGCCAGTTGTTTCCACACAGGTTCTGCCAAGTTTAAGCTTAGGGGACTACCAGTTCTTATCGCTATACCCATCAAGATTCCAAGAAATTGGAACATATTCATATGCAACGTCGAATCGGCCATCGGATTCAACAGGAAACAATCCCTATTGGTGCCACTATCGTCTCGACCATTTGGGGTCGGTATAAACAACGGCAGGGAACCGTTCTGTAATTCGTCGCACATTTCCGCTATACTCTCGCTGTATCCACCACCACAATCATCTACACTCTCTCCTGTTGAGAAACGACGATAATTCAGTTAATATTGGATATTGGATCTTCTGTCAAAAACAACGAAGCGCGACCAATAGAAACGGATAATACTTTGATTACGCACCGACAAATTTCACTTTCCAGATTCTGTGAGGGAAAAAGAGAACGTCTTGCGTTAATAGAGACATCTTTGAAACCATTTGACCGAAGACCGACTTCATACCGTCGGGTCCAGCCAGTCCACCCTTTCCTCTAGCTCGTTTCACTTGAATTCGATTCAACTCTATCACTGGTCCGTGTTGTCGATCCCTGACCATCGTTGCTTGTACCACTTTACGAAAAGTTGCTTCTTTGATGCTGTACACCAACATTGGAGCCAATTTGCTCAAGCTGAGGGGCCCGGTGATTGGAAACATCGGCAAACACGGGCAAAGTAGTTCGGCAAAATGATGAAGAAGCACCAGTCGGTTGTGCAGTACAGGGAAGGGAAGATCTTTAACTAGATCATACTCCATCGGTGTAGAGGCAGGCATTCTGCTCTGTGTGGCTTTCATCGTGCTCCACGCCAAAGTATGCGCGCTACCGCAAGCGACTCGCGTGATTTTTTTACCTTGCAGCGCATGAATCAGTCTAGGTCTTTGAAGGGCGCTTGTTGTTCCGTCGCCTAACTGTCCCTCGTCGTTGTCTCCCCAAGTGAAAACTTCACCTTTATCGGAACACGCTACGCAATGTAACGAGCCCGTCGCTATCGAGATGATTTTCTTTCCCTGGAGCGATGTAACTTTGCGCGGTCTTCGCACATGATCATCCGTACCGTGACCTAAACGATGGTAATCTCCTTTACCCCTGTTTAAAAACATATTATTAACTATAAGAATTAATACGATCGAGATTTGCAGAAACAGGAAACCAAGACACAAGGGAGGAATAGAACAGTACCGAAGTCCGTTCACTGTGCAGCGTTAAATTAAATGGCCTTACCACGTATATATAGCCCCAGATCTTGTCAAAGCCACAGAGAATTGACTACCACACTCGACTTTAACAACACCAAGTCCCGCCAGTGATTCAATTTTCATTGGGACCTTGCAACCGTCGCTACCTCCTCTGCCCAATTTTCCGTAGTCACCGTCACCCCAACTCCAAACGTTGTCGTCGTCGGTAACGCAAAGAGTCTGCGCGTCTCCGCTTCCGCAAGCAACGTCGATCACTTTGTAATCCTGCAACGCTTCGATCAATTTCGGCGTCAATTGATCTTCGCTATCTCCGTGTCCTAAACGTCCATATCGGCCTGCAATCAGATCGAACCTGTTGCATTCTAACAATTCAGAAGGGATACCCTGTATGCTCGTTTAAGAAAACGAGATAGAATGAATCTTATTGGACAAATACGTCACCTTTTCCCCAAGTGTAAAGCCAGCCGGCGCTGGTAATTGCCGCGCTATGGTGACCACCGCATGCTATGTCCACGATTTCGGTTCCCAGCAACTCCTCGATTAATTTTGGTCGGTCATACGACAACCTGTTCCCGTGTCCTAATTTACCATCGTCACCCTCGCCCCAGGAGTAAACGTGGCCCTCGGAACTCAATGCAAGGCAATGTTTACCACCCGAATTAACAGCAACCTTCTTCACGAATACATGCTGGATGGACTCCAACAGAGTCGGTATCATAACAGAGTCCGTTCCCCCAATTCCGAGACGTCCGAGTGCACCGTAACCTGCGACAAATTAAACGATTAGATAGAGCGCAGCAAAACGCACAAATAAAAAAATGGCTGCGTCCTTGTGTATGCTCACCGGTTGCATAGACTTTTCCATCGGCAGTGACGGCGAACAAAGTTTGCTCGCCACCGGTGAGCTGGACAGGCCGCAACGCGGACAAGCTTTCGCAGAGAACGGGTAACTTCACCTTCGCTCCTTCCAGACCGCCAAGCTGACCGCGATGATTGTGACCCCAGCCGTAAATGGCCCCGGATCCGTTCCACGACAACGTCCAATCTTCCGGTCTTCTATTCAACCACTGCAACAACTGTTCGTCGTGTTCTTGCTTAAATAACTCGTGATTCTCGTGATCCTTCGTGCTACCCTCTCCAGCCGTGATCATCTCGTTGATGCGTTTGGTAACTTCGATACAAAACGGTTTCGGTAGCGGCGTTCGATTCACCAGAGACTTGGCGACCCGCGCGGATAAGCAGTACCTTCGAAACCAGGACCATTTGTGGATTTCCGAGCAGCACTGCATCCCATCCAACTCGATGTCGCAAGCGAGAGCTACGAGAACCTTGAAGAAATCGCTGTGCATCAATTGCTTTCCTCCTCTGACCAACGGATCCTCGTAAGCGTATTGTTTCAATAGCGCTTGCGGCAACGAACCGAGAAGAGAAGAGAGAGCAACTTCCGGACGTATCGCTGGTCCGGTCGTATAGACGACTTGCAACTTCTTCAGCGCCCACATTCGTTGCTGGGCCGATAGGACGCTCAGTTGGCTGCATTGGGCTAACGTTACGGCAAGCCGCGTGGCAATGTTCTTATCCAAATTGATCAGACTGTTGTCCAGCAAGCATTCCGCTAGAGCTATGGATGGCTGAGAGAGCACCGCCCTATCCGAGACGAGCTCGTGCGGTGCAAGCGTCGCGTGCACCGGGTACACAGTGAATCGCCATCCCCAACCGTTTACAGATCCATCCGAGGAGAATCTCCATCTGAGCTCGTCTCCTGGGATTCGAATCTCGCCAGCCCACTCGCTCCACTCTCGGCCCGACTTCACGGCCAAAACTCTGTTGTTTCCGTCCATTATCGTCAACGGATCGTGCTTCCTTTCGGTGGAGCAACGTCGATCGAACTCTATGCTCAGCCCCTCAGCACCAGGGATCCTTACGTGGCCCGTTAACGTGGTGCCGTCTATGTACGGATGCAAGCTCTCCTGTACCACCGGTTGCGGTGCATTCTTTCTATTATTCGAGTTTGCTACAGTGTCTTCCAGTTCCATGATACACAGCTCCAATATCATGCTCCGAATCGAGTGATTCGTTTTAGCCAACGCGACCAATACCGAGGATATAGTCTCCTTCGCACCCTCGCATACGCGATTGGCCACGGCCAATTTCAGCAGATCGACGAGCATTCTAGCGTCGTCTTCGGTCAGCGTGGATGTAAAATCGTCCAGGCTGGGGTCGCTGGTGATTCCCTCGCCGACCACTTGGGCGTTGGATGTGAGCGTAGCGGCGATCACGCTCATCGCGCTGGTCGACATCTTGGAGGCGCGGGAGGACAAACTAGCCGAACTGGACATCGAGGGGAACATCGCTAACGGATAGTCCTCGGATTCGGGACTTGTTCGTGGGTTGGTTATCAAGTTAACGACCTCTGCCGCGTTAGCCGGGGCTTCCCCGCCACCTTGGGCACTGTCCCCGACATTCTGATAAACGGTGTGCCCTCCGCTAGCGATGCTAGTGTCACTGACCGCTCCATCCGGCGGCATTTCGGTGACTGCACACCCGCCACCGCTGCCAGTCTTCAGGGTCGAGTGGCTTTGCAACGCCGTCACCAGCGCGATACGAGCTTGTATTATGCAAAGAGCGTTGATCACGTGTTGCAACGCTTGCTGTTTCGCAACGTTACTTTCCAACGACAGGACGATACTCGAAAGAGATGGTCTACTGGTATTGCGTACATTGGTACTAGTACTAGGCGAGCCATCGCAACTAGCATTACCAACAGTTCCACTGTTATTTCCGGTGGCCATCGCGTTTCCGTGACCGTGGCTACTTTTCGAGCAAGATGGCGGACAAACGACACTCGTTTCCGCTGTACTTTTAAACCTCAACGACGTTTGTCCCAACGGATCTTTCGTTGTAGGAAACATAACAGGTTCTTGATTATTGGTCGCCGGTTGATCGGTTAAAACCCAAGCAACGCTGTGACTCGAGCCACAGGACACTCGATTTACCCTGGTGTCGTCGAGCTCGTGCACCAACGACGGCTTCTTGTTAACAATCGTCGAGCCATTTCCCTGTTGTCCGTGATCGTTGTCGCCCCAGGCGTACACGTGACCGGTGTCCGTTACCGCCAGACAGTGCAAAGCACCTACAGCCACGTGAACCACCTTCTTCCCCCGCAGCCCGTCGACTAACGTAGGCTTTCGGACGTGGTGGTCGTTACCGTGGCCCAATCGAAAATAATCTCCTTTGCCCCAGGTCCAAACTTCCCCGTATTTGGTTAACGCGAGCGAGAACTGTGCCCCGCACTCGATTTGTACGACACCCAGGCCGTTCAGACGATCCACCGACAAAGGCGTGTAGCAACCATCGCTGCCTCCACGACCAAGCTTGCCAAAGTCTCCGTCGCCCCAGGAGTACACCGAACCGTCGGCCGTCAGCGCCATTGTCTGTGCGTCTCTGCTGCCGCAGGCAACTTGTATCACTCTCTGACCTACCAACGACTGCACCAATTTCGGTTTCCGTTGCGTGCTGGTGTCGCCATGACCTAATCTCCCGTATTCACCGAGACCCCAGGTGTAAAGCTCGCCGCTACTCGTTATAGCAGCCGAATGACCTGATCCACAGGCAATGTCACGAATTCTTTTCGACTTGAGAGACTCGATCAGCCTCGGTTTGTCCAAAGAGAGACAATTCCCGTGGCCTAGTTTACCGTCCTCTCCCTCACCCCAAGAGAAAACCTTGCCATCCTGCGTTAAAGCCAGGGCATGCTTTCCACCCGAATGCACTGCCACCTTTTTGATCACGTATTGGCTCAAGAACGGAATAGGTTTCGGCTCGCATACGTTACTGTCGTCTCCGAGGCCGAGCCTGCCGTTTGTACCTTCTCCACACGCGTACAATTTTCCTTCTTGGCTGACCACGAACAACGTCTTGCTGCCTCCAACGATATGAACGGGTTTCAATTTGGAAAGGGCCTCGCTGTAAATGGGCAGCTTGATTTTTGACCCTTTCAGTCCGCCGAGCTGGTCTTTGTCGTTCAAACCCCACACGTAGACTGCAGACTGCTGCGGTGCTTCTGTCCCGCGCTGCGAGCTCATTTGCTCTTGAACTATCTCCCAATCCGAAGCTAGAAAAGAAACGGATGTAGCCAACTGATTTTCGAATACCTTTCTTTTGCCGATTATCTGCAGAGCGTGAATCTTGCAATCTATACCACCGTTTCTACACTGTTTTATCATAATCTCGATACAAGGATAATATTCTTTGGTATCCTGCAAGAGCAGGACGTTGGTGTCGGTGTTGCGTACGCTGATGGTCGCCAACTCTCCCAGACTGTTGAACGAGTCGCCCACGTTTACCGCTATCAACGACGGCATGTAACTGCTGTCCTTTGGGTTAACAACGATTTTCAGCGAATGCACGAGAATGCCCGGCAACATTTCCAGCCGGATCCAATGCTTGCCCTGCGAGCCGCAACTCTGCCAATATTGTCCAGACTCGTTGACAAGTCGTGTCGCCCAGCCTTCACGCGAGGACACGCTCAGCGTGCGAATACACTTGGACCAATCGTCGATCAACGATGATTCTGTAAGATCTTGCCTATGATATTTGCCCGGTTTACCGGCGTACACCGCCGCCAGGCCCGGTTCCATGATACGTTTGAATCCGTGTTTGTGGCAACGTTTCGTGTAAAAACAGTTCTCGCACAAGTTGTAATTTTCGCAATACTTACACTTGAATCTAGGACCGGAGATCGGCAAAAGGTGGCAAGAGTTGCAAGCGACCGAATGATGGCAGGATGGTACTCTTTCCATTTCCGTGGCACAACCAGTCCAGCCACTCTGTTGCGGGAAATCTACGGACAGATCCTTTCCATTGTTTATTACACCGGTGACTATTCCCACGCTCTGATGATTCACCGATCCCCATTTGTACTTTGGTACCGTCACGGAGGCCTTTACTCGCACCTTGTCGCCGATCTTCGGCGCGACCGGTCCAGGTATCGTTGGCGGATGGCCCAACAATTCGATATGAATGAATCTCACCCAATAGGTACCTCCTTTACGCTTCCACGCGACTTGTACGTTCAAATCGTGCAAGCCTTCCGGATCGATCTTAATTACCTGACCAACGTCACCGTATTCGACCTCCTCGTAACTTTTGCAACAGCGTACCAGCATTCCCGGAATCAGATTGTCCCGCACGTAAATCGCGTACTCGTCGACCGACAGAAAGTCGGATCGTTTCATATAATTGGGCGGCATCAACGAGGAGACGGCATCGTGCGTGGACGGTGAATCGTCAATGTTCTCGCTGATCGAGTTCTCAAGATCCGACAGTCCGTACACGCTCGAGAGTGTTTCGCTGTCGCTCAGAGCAACGTCAGGATTCTCGAGAAGCCAAGCAACTACGCTTTCAGCGGTGATGAATCCCACGGTCGTGCTCAGGCTCTTGATCGCAAATTCCACGCTCTTCTTCGGGAATCCCATCTCTGTAAGTTGCGCTACCAGCGGACTCATGGGAGGCGGGGAACTTTTCCTCCCGTTGCTCCTGCAATGCTTCTTCTGGCTGGACGTTAGCGACACGAGCGAGCAATCGGACACTGGAGAATCCGGTTCTGAAAAAGGACCAATACGTTGAATAGGCGAATGTCTCAGTTCGGATGCCAAATACTGGGAAACTGCCAAAGCAGCCTCCTCCAATTCTTTTCGTTTGAATATAGGCTTTAACGGTTGCGGTCTTGTGGCTCGCACCAGCATCTCTTGGAGCAAAGTTGTGCGTCTGTCGCGACAATCGTCTCTATCGTCGACGATGTTATCGTTCTCGCCATCGCCGTCGTTGATAGCGTTATCGTTTCCATTTACGGCATCGCCGGCCCAACGAGTAACTTCCATATCACGACTGGGTGCACCGCCTTCGTCGTCGTCATCGTCATCGTCGTCGTCGTCGTCGTAATTGTCGTTGTCGTCGTCGTCGTCTTCAACGCCGTTGCCGCTGCAACCGAGACCGTTGTCGTCACCACCGCCGCCAATATCGTCGTCGTTTACGTTACCATCGTTGTTCTTATTAATCGTGTACTTCAATATTTTTCTCAATTTCATTTGATGGTCCAAGATCATCTTCCCGGCGTTTAACGCTGCAAGTTGTTGCTGTTGATTGCGCAAAATAGTTGCGTTCACCGCGCCAGCTATCACAGGCATGCCGTTTGGCCTCTTGTCCATTCCACGATGGCCCAACAGTAAATTGGCCCAGGTGGACAGAAAAGAGTCCGGCGTGGGCATACGATCCAAACGAAACTTATCGCCGAGATGTTTGACCGCGAAAAAGGGAACCATTTTCCGCGTGTCGCCATCGTGCATTTGAACGACGATCTTCGAGTGTTTGGTGAATTTGCAGATCGTACCGATTTGTCCGTCTACGTCGACCAAACCGCCGATCCTCGGTCTATCGTCGAGGCCTCCGACGACGAGGAGAGCTGCCATTACCGTTTGTTGAATGTTCGCGCTGTTCTCTCCGCCATTCTCGTTCACCTGTATGTGAAACAACGGACCGTCGCTGAAAAGATCAGAAGCCAGTGACAATTTCGCAGAAAGAAACACGTTTAACGTTGCGTTCCATCTTGAAAGGGAATGCAAGCATCTGATCAAAGAGACCAGCTCCTCGACGATCGTGGAACTATGAGAGGCCGTAAGGGATACGCGACATTTGTTCGAATAAAGTTCAGTCGACGAACCGAGGTCGCAAGCCAACGCGACGTGTCCCAATATGCGAAAAGTTTTCTCGAGAAACGGTATCGTGTTGGGATTGTCGGTGGACCAAGAAGGTAATACGGCCGCCAACAACCGCACTGCCATGATCTGTTCTTCCAAATTCGGGTGATCTTCCTCGGCAATTACGGACAACAAGAAATCAATCCACGCTTTGGTGCTCAGAGATTTGCAGAGTTCCGAGGACTTGGCGATTGCTCTCAACAAACTAAGAGTGGCCCAGGTTTCGTGATGCTCCCTCGAGAGCTGCAACTGCGTGGTGTGACCGGGCTTGTGTGCAGATGACGTTACGCCGCGTAAAATGGACGCGAGTATCTTTATAGCGGATGGAGCTACCTTGTCAGCCTCCAGGCCGCAACAGAGCAGAACAATGCGGAGCACGGTAACGGAGGCGGACTTGAGACAAGTGATCGGATGAATATCCCCGAACGTGTCCATCCGTTTCTCCGTTTTACCTTTAACGGTGTCGATCGGCGAATCGACGTCCGTGTCCGTTTCCGGCGGCGTGGGTGGCTCGGCCAGTTTCAAATCGTACTTGTCCTCCTTACCCATACGATACGAGTTCGTCGTGCCATTGTCCCACAGCACGCGTATCCAGCTATCTTCGCCGAGTTCACCGATCACTTGACCCTCTCCTGGCGGCGATCCGTCTTGATCGCCCCATTTCCAATCCACCCCGCGAACCACCCTGGTCCCAATTTTCATCAGGGCTGCCAGTTCCATTCCACTGAGCTGAACGTTCGACGGTTTGCTCTTTTCCAACGTGTCCTCGTATATGGCCGCCGTTTCTTTCGTTTTCGACTCGTCGATCGCCGCCGTGGACACCGTGGGTCCGATCTGTCTGAGCAACGTCAAAATGCTCGATATCGTTCCCGAATTGATCAGCAGCCCGATTTCGTTCGCGTGCTGATAACTGGTCAACATGCCCAAAATTGTCAGCAGAAACCTGGCTCTCGGTAACTTTCGCAGCCAAGTGTACGTCCCCTGATTCAGGCTGCTTTTGTCGCTGACTTTCGGTTTGCTCGGCAGTTCCGCCTGAACGACGTACGCACGTAAGGCTTCGACGGCCCACGATGTCACCTCCGCCTCTGCCAAAATAATCTTCGATTTCTGATACGGTGTTATCAGTTGGATATTCTTCAAGCAATGCGTGATTCCGTCGCCGAGAGATTTGTTCTCGTGCGACAGACCGAGCCAACCGTTCAACAACGAATACTTGACGGACGTTACCAGGCAATCTTTCTTCAACAATTGTTGCATCATCAGGATTCCCTGTTCGCGCAATTTAGCGCGCTGTATTTGACAATACATGGCCCTGCGTAGCGTCTCGACGTCCCCGCCCTCCTCGGTGACCACGAAATTTATAATATTTACCATCAACTCGCTCGAATCGATATTTAACGTTCGCTGTTTCATCTTCTCGGTTATCTTGACGATCATTTTCCTCGTATCCGACGCAGTCTCGAGTCTCGGTGACGCTGGGGGAGGTCTGACCTCTTTCGGTGTCGTGTCCTCGTCGGATTTAATCTTCATCTTCGCGTTTTGAATCGAGGCGTTCACGATGTCCTCCGGTTTGCTCGGTGATCCTCTGTTCCTTCGAATATCTCTTATCACCGTTCGAACGGTCTTCTTAAATCTGGGAACCGTGTGCAGCAACTTCAAATCCTGCAATCCTTTTATCTCGTAACTGGTCGCGGATCTCACTTCGTGAAGAAGAAATCTACATTTCTCCTGCGCTGGAGCGCATACCTCTTTGTAGCTTCTGTTTTGTTGCTGCCTGATGTGAATCAAATTCCATTTCGTCCGATGAATCGCCCTGACCATCTCGGCCAATGGCTTCGTGAGCTTTGCATTGTTATCGTTTCCTGTTTCCTGGTCGATCAAGTCGATCGCTTGGTGGCCTAGAGCTAGGTGCTTTATGATCACCGCCAATAAAAGTCGACTGACTTCTTCCACCGGATGATCGCCGCAAAACTCGGTATGCGCCAATAGATTGTTAGCCTTCGAATATTTATCGACCATCGTTAGAAACGAATGGACCTGTGCGTCGGTTTTATGGGTCTCGGCCAGCGCGTAAATAAACGCCGTGACGCGATCGTCTCTCTCCTTCTGCGGTTCGTTCTTCGTGCGTGCCGGAAGCAGAGGTTCGGTCGGTGAGTTCGCAGCCGTCGACGTGTTGCTTCTCGCCTCTCCTTTCTCTTCCTCGTACGGATTTGGTGGCTGTAATATTTGCAATCCGCCCCTCAAGAAATTCGCGTTCAGCCAAACTCCGGCTTCTTCCTCCGCCGGTTGCAGCGACGAGCTTTGCCGCATTCTGTGGGCGTGTAATCCCAGGAGAAACCCGAGGGCTCTTTCCGTGTCGAGCAAAGAGGAACACACGTCCGTGACGTCGATCGTAATTTTAGTATTTTCCGGCTCCGAATTACAATAATGACCAACGAAATAAGAATCCATCATGGTTCGCGGTGGTAGCTGGCCACGAGGGGCATGATTCGGGCTCGCCAAATACGTCCCGGATGAAACAGTTTGGTCCCAACCGGCCACAGTTTTCTGAATGCCCTCCAACGAATTCCCACCGAACGTTTCCAGTCGAACGTCTTGGACATCGTACACGTTGTTGTTCACGACTACCCAAAGGCCACCGTCGCGATTATGATTCTCCAGATCAGCCCAACGAATTACGGACGTTTCATCCGATATTGACATTTTATTGCCATGCTGAGGAGCTATGATGCCTGGCCAAGACAGATCGTCCGCCTCGTTTTTCTCGATCGTCGGTACCAGCTTGTTGAACTGATCGAGCGAGTCCAACATCGGTGTCATTATTTCCATCCAGTTCATGTTAAGTAGCAACATCGGATAGTCTACCTGCAATAAGATAAGGCAAGTAACCAATTCGGGGAGTAAAATGTTTACGATGTCGCCCCTTAGGACGGTACTGACAAAAACGAATTGCTTGACGCTTGCGTTCGCCAGCTCAGCCGCGGACGCCATTATCTCGTTCACGTGAACGCAGATTTGTGAAATGTATTTTTTTAAAAGTGATTCCGCCCCAAGCATCTCTTGGTCGCGTAAATTCTCCGTTTTAGACTCGTTGATGCACTCGTACACGCGAGCTACCAGTAACCGTTGAAACTTTAGCAAAAGATTCAAGCTGGGAGAACTATCGTTCCTTTGCTGCGACTCCTCGCTATGAACCAACTGTTCCGCCCAACCCTGTTGCAATCTGGACTGTGTAATACAGGTTCCATTTTTTATCAATTGTTTCACCAGCTGCAACAGCGAAATAGTTGTGTTATTCTTCTCGGAGTTCAGTTCTTTAACTTGTTTCGTGTCGCTGGATTTGCTCGTGTTGTTCATCACGAGAAACTCCTTCTCGTCGGTAACGTCGCTCATTTCCGCTTTCATCGCAGTCTTCAATGCCAATTCCAATCCACCATCCGCCATCAAACTGGAAACCAACAAGTCTGCCATAAATTGTTGACCGTTACTAGTGTTTGCTTGGTCCAAGTTTCCGTTCGATTTCGATAAAAAGTTCGAGAGAGTCTTTGCTCGTTCGTTTGCCGTGGGCAACAGAATGCTCCAACCAGTTTGTAACACAGCTTGGGCCGCTTCTTGAATTGTCGCCAAAATTCCTGTACTGCTCGCAAGTGTCACGCATCGTTGCTTCAAAGAATTTAACAACGGAGTACCGGCAAGTCCGACAGATTTACCATCAATGTTGTGCGTTACCATGGTATGGAGCTGCAATCGGACCAAATTTAAAGTGGCGACCGCCAAACATTCTCGATCCTGAGTAGGTGGTCGTGTACCTGGTAATCCTTCGCAACCATGTCCCAATAGAGTGTCTAGCAATCGAAAGGTGTCTTCGCAAATGTCTACAACGAACGCCACTCTACTGGCGACGGACCAAGCCGATGTACACCACGCAAAACTCTGCGTCGGCCCGCAAGCTAAACCAATCACATTTTTTCCAGACAACGTTGGGCATAAAGTAGGTTCGGGCACAACCGTGTCCAACGCTGAGTCGATTTGACCGTAATCGTTTCTTCCCCATCCGTACACCAATTGATCTTCCGTCAACGCCAGCACGTGTAAACTTCCCACGCATAGTTCCTTCACCTTTTTCGTTTTCAGCGCTTCGATTACTTTCGGATATCTTACGTGCTCCTCGTTTCCATGGCCCAAACGATACGCTTCTCCTTTGCCCCAACTATAAACTTCTCCGTATGCTGTCAAGGCCGCTGAAAATTGTCCGCCGCAGTAAACCTTTGCTACGTTTATGTCCAACAGTTTGTCAACGATCTTTGGCGTTTTAGATCCATCGCAACCTCCTCTGCCGAGCTTTCCGTAATCACCGTCGCCCCATGAAAACACTATACCAGACGCGGTGACGCATAACGTTTGCGAATCACCGCTACCGCAAGACACATAGACAACCATATGCCCGTTCAAGGCAGTTACCAGCGTAGGAATCGTCACATCGTCAGAATTTCCGTGACCGAGTCTTCCGTAATTTCCTCTTCCCCAAGTATACAATTCACCGTTCGAATTAAGCGCTGCCGAGTACGTGCTTCCGCAAGCTATGAACGTAATATTCTTGTCGGTCAGTGCTTCGATTAACTTTGGCTCGTCGTAGCATGTTCTTTCTCCGTGTCCCAAACGTCCGCCGTCTCCGTTTCCCCATGAATATACAGAGTTGTCTTGCGTTAAAGCCATGTAATGCTTACCGTCCGAGTGAGAGGCAATCATTATAACGGGCTTATCCGAAAACCCATACACTCTTTGCGGATACTGAGTCTCCGATCCGTAATACATCATGTACACATTCCCACTGATGGAAAGAATCATAAGAGCTCGTTCGGTGCAACAAAGTTGTTTGATGCCCAGCTCTGCAATCGCGTCGCAATAAAATGGAGACGTTCCGTTGCCGAACTGTACGCTTCCCCAAGCCAAAGCTTCTTGAAACGTTTGACTCTGAGTTTTTGGGAACCTGTCGGTGATAACAGGAGGTAACAAAGGAGCAGCTAGTCTGCTTAAATTACACATTATGATCACTGCCGCTTTTCGTAAATCGACAGATGTAGTGTCGTCCTCGGGAAGTCTCAAATACTTGAGTAAAACTTCACAAGGACCTGGTGCCACATTCTCATCTATTCGTCTTGACTTTGAAGCTGGAATTGTGTTCAACCGCCTCAATAGCGGTACCAATGGTGCCGTACTTCCAGGTGGCATTACACGATTATCTTGATGTTTATGTATATCACTGAGAAAAAGTAACAAACAAACGGAATCCAACAAACTGGACAATGTAGCTCTTTGCGTTACCAATTCCAACAACAGACAAAGAGCCGTGTGTTGATCGGATAAGGGGATAGGACACCACGATCTTCCGCTAACTATAGCCCTGAAAACGAAAATTTTCACATGATTATACTCGAAATAAATCCCTAAAATATCAATAGTTTCAATAAGCATTTTAAATCAAGTTAATAAAACGTGATAAATTTTTAAATAGAAAATACCCTGTAACAACTTGTCTTAAGAACTTTGCTGATCGCTCCACTACTTCCAACCAAACTTGAGAAACGTTACTTTCGTCGAAAAGCGTAGCTTCGGGCAACGACTGTAAAGCTTCCAACGATTCGGATAGAAGCTCGCTGCAAAATTCTATGTCCTCCCCAGATCTCCAAGCCCGTCTTAGGTATGCAAATGAAAAATTTAGTGCTGCACGAGATCCTACCCGCGCTAAACCTAATGTTGCCTTCTCATTAGGTCTCATCCTGAAATTGTTGTATACGCATTGAATAAATTGAAGTACAATACGCATTAATTCTAGGTACTATAAAAATTTAAATGATAAAAGTAAGTTTTATGCATCCTAATGGTTTTGATTTTACTACGTTATTTTGAAAATTGACCACTATACATTTTTTGTAATTTAGTTGAGGATTTTGATGATGTTGGAATATCTTTAGTTTCCTGTGGTTTATGACGAGAAAGAGCAGTGAAGTATCGTCGCGCTACTACTAATCGCTGTCTCAATCGTGTAGCGGATAATGTACTGTTCGCAACTTCATAACATAATTTTCTTTGTTCCTTGATTAATAAATCGATACATGCTGTTAAGTCGGAAACAGCTGAAAAGTTTGACACGAATTAAAAAAATGCAAGTAACCTAAATAAAAATATTTAGAATAGAATACTATGAACGAAAAGGAGTTTTTTACATGGTTGAGGACCCCATAGCCATGATTCCATTACATGACAAGCTGGTATGGTTTTCTCCACAAATGTGTTCATTCTTGCTGCTTCTTCTTCGTCTAATTTTTGACAAGGTCCACAGTTACAACCGTACCGTGGACCACAAATGCCATCGCAACAAGGACATGACAACACCCTCATATTACAATAATAATGGCCACTTTCACCTAAAAATAATAAAATATTGTAAGACTGTGATTAATTTCAATCGGAACGACATTGTATCAAACATTAAATCCGTACCTTTTCTAGATGTTATACCCGCAGCATTTATTAGGCCATCGCTAAAAGAACCGACAATTTCCCCATCACGAATCATTTCATTCCAAAGTTCGGCCAAGCCGTCTCGATAAAGTAAACGCTTCAAATCTGTTTTGAGCCATTTTGCATCCAAACGAATCTCTGGCCTTACTATAATATCCAATTGAACACTCATGATGATTTGTCAGTATATATTAAGTTTCTAAATTTGCTTGACTTATGTTGTGGAGATCAACTGTTTAGTTTTGGAATACATAATTAAGTGTACATACTCTCTATGATATTCCCTCTATTTTCTATCTAATAAAGTGTATTAAGAATACTTTAAAACGATATTGAAACACTGTTACTCATTCCACTCATATCATTTAAAGTCTGTTTCACGATCTTCACCATTTAATTGTGCAATTTAAATTCCAAACGAATAAGAAAAAATTTAAACGTTAAGTAATTTCTGATGCTGTAATTTCACAAAGCCGCTTTTCGTAGGTTAGTCAGACGATTTAGGTGAAATTTTCGTTATCATTGCATTTACGCATTTAGGAACTTGTAATTTACTCATTTCGTCTTAGAGTAAACCAATCGGTGTATATCAAAATTATTAATCATTGTCTTTTAATGATGCTTTAATGACAGATCGTTTGACAAGTCACAATAACAGTTGTCGATTTGTAAATACTTAAAACTGTCATTGCCAATTATTGGAAATATAACATTTAATTGATATTACTATTTTCAATTACGGCATCATTCAGCTTAATTTTTTTTACAGAAAATCACTCGATCTTCCTCTATGTATTGATCGTAAAAAAAAACTCAAACTATGGTCACGAAGTCGCGGTAATCAGTGAAGGATAACAAACGGCGCAGGAAACCCATCGCCGATTATTCAAGCAGATAGTCACAGTCTGTGACTGTCAAAGCTTTGGTAGCTATGTTCGTCCGGTACACTATAGACGTTTCATGGATACATTGCATAAATGACACTACACGGGTACCATGTGGTACAGTATGATATGTAAAAGCATCGATGTGTTAGAATTTTTTTAAACGAAAAATCTTGGTACATTTAAGTAAATCAGAATGTTTAGCAGTGTAAGAAATTCTGTTATATTACAAATTAGAAAATATGGTAAGAAATCAAATTGAGAATAGCTATAAATAATAGGTTATACGTTTGCAGACTGTACAAAGTAGCAAATGTGAATTTAAAATTTATATATTACTTTAATACTAATCGCAATTCTAGGGCAACGAACATACATTCGTCAATCTATAGGTAAATGTACAAATAACTTAAATCGACAAACCGAAGAGTCATCATCTACTCTTTGTCGAACATGTGGACAACCAACAGCGATAACACACCCTCATCTAATGAAAGATGGAGAAGTTGTACCAGGTATTCCACTCAGTGAGTTCAGAAAGAGAAGGAGTAAACTGATGGAAAATATTGTTTCACATGCTAGTGGCACAAGTCCCAGCAAACCACATGTTGTGATTATTCCATCATCCTCTAAAGTGTACATGTCTGACAAAATACCGTATGTTTTCCGCCAAAACACAGATTTTTTATATTTCACTGGTTGTCAAGAACCCGACAGTATTTTGGTAATTACAGCAAAGAATGAAAATTTTGTAACCACGCTGTTCGTAAGGGAACAAGACAAGCATTTTGAATTATGGGATGGTCCTAGAACTGGAGTTGAAGATGCACCAAAAATATTTGATGTTGATTTTGCACTTCCTGTAACAGAGTTTGAACAGTTTTTCGTTTCATTTATAAATGAAAACAAAAAGAGTTTAATTTGGTATGATAATATTGATACAGTACAACCAAACCTGCATAGAAAATTACTTGAATTAATTAAAGTAACTGATAGTCAAAGATTTGTTTCTCCAATAAGTATAATGCATAAAATTAGATTAATTAAATCGCAATATGAAATTGACTTAATGAAAAAAAGCTGTGAGATTGTTTCAGCAGCAATATCTAAAACAATAAAAACATCAAAACCAGGATTGAGCGAGCATCAACTGTTTGCAACTGTGGATTATGAATGCCGCATGAATGGTGCTGAATTCTTAGCATATCCACCAGTTGTTGCAGGAGGTAAAAATGCTAATATCATTCATTATATTACCAATAACCAGATTATTCAAACCGGAGATATGGTTTTGATGGATGCAGGTTTGTCAAATATGCTAATCCACATAAAAATTGACTTTTTCTTTAAGTTCAGCATAATTTTATCTTTCCAAATTTCTTTAGGTTGCGAGTACCATGGTTATTCATCGGATGTAACTAGAACATGGCCGATTAATGGCACATTTACACATGAACAAAGAATTTTATATGATATCATACTGGACGTTCAAAACATTTTAATTAATACATTAAAAGAATTGCCTTCCTTGGATCAATTATTTCAAGATATGTGTTCTTTGTTAGGCAAAAGATTACAAGAAATTGGATTAATACCAAAACATTTGAACAGAGACAAGTTACTTTCTGCAGCTTATTCTTATTGCCCGCATCATGTAAGTCATTACTTGGGAATGGATGTACATGACACAGGGAAAATCTCCAGAAGCATAAAACTTCAACCAGGGATGATTGTGACTGTAGAACCTGGTATAATAGATTGACAAATATCACTTTATTTGTAACTTTCAGAATAATTATTTTATTATTTTCAGGTATATATATAAATCCTAGAAACCAATTCGCCTTACCAGAATTTTATGGTTTAGGTATTCGCATCGAAGATGATGTCTTAATAACGGAAAGCGGACCGGTAATTTTAACAGAAAGTTGTCCAAAAGGAATTGTTGAAATAGAAACTTTAGCGAATCAAAATCAATAATAACAATAAAAATACTATGTAAATGTTTATGTCAGTTAATTCTTCTAATTTTACGATACACTGATGTAGATAATGAATTAATCATTTTATTTTATTTCAGATGAAACAAGAAATACGTTAAAACCGATTATGAACAAAATTATATAGATTCTCGTTATTTAAAAATTTGTTTAAAATGAAATAAGAGAATATTATGTACTTGCAATTCATAAAAAATAACTAGGAGATACAGTAAAGGAACTATTTCGACATATCGCTTACGGATCACTGCTCAAATTTGAACATTTTATACCATTGTAAAGGAATATACTATTAATAAAAAAAAGCAAAAAGTTATTACGTCCGCTGCAAGAATATCAGATTAAAAAGCATTTGTTATACCTTCACTTCTGATTTAATAGTAACACTATATTCGGATATAAAATAGTTATTATTATATATATAAAAATATTTATCAATGGAACATTTCTCACATAACAGCATTTTTTAATTTCATATCGGCTTGCTTTAAATCGATAAAATTGGTTAAGTGCTTTACCCGCAGACGTGCCCAAACGAGATGATCATGCAGTGCATGAATCTGAGCTGCTGCGAGTGCTGCACTTTCAGGATAAATGACTGTAGTGCATCCAATTCCTACGAGAATAGAATATACTTAATAGTATACTTTTAGCACAGGTTACAATTACAAACAAATATACTTTGTAATTCACCTGAAGGTACATTAATCGATGACCATAAATCTTGTGAAATGTTTTCTGGTTTGCAAGGTGGACAATTAATAACAGGCAAAGGCGTATTTCCAGACAGTACTGGACCCAATCCGTTACTTCTCCCTGCAACAGCTATTAGTACTACCTGTAACAGACAAAACTTGTAAGAATTGAGAATTCAGTTTTTCTATAAAGTAACTCTTACATTTTTATCGAGTATGTGAAATATGAAACATTTCTTAATAAGAAAATACTGATATTATAACAAAAAGATAATCAAAAATAAACATACCTTTTCACAGCTACCTTCATACTCTGCAAGAATACGCAATGTTTCCCGAGTACCTTTGTGAGCACTGCTTACTCGAAGTTGTACACTTAAACCTAAAGACTTAGCATATTTTGCTATTGTTTTACAATGCTCAATATCAGATGGTGAACCCATTAAGATAACAACAAGACTACTATGTGGTAGAATGAGATGGTCTAATTGATCTGCCACCCATTTAAAATTATGTTTTACAACATCCAAGTCTTTTTGAGTTACCGTACTTAAATTTCTATATACCTGGTATAAAAAATGTAATGCTAAAATACGAAATTAAATCATAGTAAATAAAATAATTGTATCAAGTACTTGTTTGTCTTTCATCAGCCTTTTATCACCAGATGGCCAAAGTCGCCAAGAATCACTATCAATTATATCTGCTACCATAATTTCACCATTTGTGTCTAAACCAAATTCTATCTTCACATCTATAAGAGCACAGTCTCTGGTTGCCCATGCTCTTTCCAAAATTTCAAAAACAACAAGGGTGGTATATTTCATAATATCATATTCATCTTTTCCTATTGTAATTCCATACAACTTGAAACCAGCAGAAATAATTTGTTCCTCTGACCATTGAGGATCATGATTTTTATCATCTTTAAAGAATGTTTCCTGTAATGGTGGATTAAACCTATATCCTTCAGGAACTCCTACAAAACCATATGAATATATACATACAAAATTCCACAAGTTAGAGGATATCTATTGAGTTTTTATACCTGAATGTCTACGTAGAAAACTACCAGTAGCTAATCTTCTAGTAATCCATTCAATTGGAACCATTTGACATTTTCTGGCAATGAAAGTAGTGTCGCTTACTACTTTAACAAAGGCAGTTTTCAGTCCAGCCTCGTTTAATAATTGAAACACTTTAGCTGTAGTAGCTGTACTAATTGCAGCTTTGCCTTCTAACTCATGAGATTTTACACCATCTCCAGCAGTAATGCGATCTTTACTTTGTAAGAGACATAATGTAGGATTATCAGTAAGTTCATAGACTTTTTTAGTCTTCCCTTCAATAATCAATTTTCCACATTTGTATTCTATACAGACGAAAAATTGTTTATAAAACAATTAAATAAATCATTAAGAAAGTATTACCTTAGATACATCTTTTAAATTAATAATATTTCGTTTTGATTTTTGTATAAATATTAATGATAACTCGAAATAACATTTTAACGCGATCGTTTAATTACCTATTAATTCCTGTTAATCGCATAAAGTGACTATTCGCTTAAATCGTAATTTAAACAACTAAAACAAAATATAGATTTAGAAATTTTATATACAAAAAATATTTTTATTAATCAATCAATATTTCGCTGAAATATTTAGTTCTTTAGACAGAAAATTATGTTTTAATTTTCTTTCGAATGATAATAATACTATCATCTATACTTTGTTTTTGATAATGCATAGGTCCCATTGTACAGTCCTTTCAATAAATACTTTTATACAATAATATGAATCTTTCCAATATAAGTATCGTGTCGGTACATTGCGAAACACACATTACGTTGAGTTAATTATAAATCAACGATATCATTTTATTTTGTTGTTTTAATACATGTCTTAAGGCCGCGATTCTTAACCTATGGTCTCCGGACCCACGGTGGGTCGCAGTTTTCACATACACACAGATAAGTCACTGAGAGAAAAGCATGCGATATTTGTTTGGAATGGTTCCGTGTTTAACGCTGTGACGGTACTTATTTATTCATAATAAATATCCTTCCTCTAAATTTAAAAATTGTTTATAAACAGTACTTTAAATATATATATATATATATATACATATGTGATGCACGCGATGGACTTAAATCTCATGTTAAATTTTGGGGGTCTGTGATAATAAAAAATTATTTAAAGGGGCCCGTGGTAAATAAAAAATTAAGAATCGCTGCTTTAAGCCAAATATATAACAATTTTCCTAATTGTCTGAGTAGATGAAGAATTTCTATCTCGAAACGGGAATCAAATATTTAAAAATTAAAATAATATGCTCAGATTTATAAAGCATATTACACATAGAAACAACAACTAACATTTTTATTTATAATTAAAGCATCCGTATTAAATTGTTACTTACCGGTCATGTTTCCTCTTATCCGTTTCCTTCACGAATGTCGGTTTCTCACTTATTTCAGAGATGCCAGATCGGCACCGGGTGCACCACTCACACATGCCAGATCACGCGTATGTGAGCTCGTGGAGTTTCGGAAAGTCGACAAAGGCAAACTGACGCATGCCCTCTTTCTCGATTCTCCGAAGCTGCCCGAAGTAATTTCGGACCGCCTCGTGGGAGTCGAGAGAGAAAGGCTCACATTTGCCTTCTTGCTCTGGAGCCGATATTAATAATATACGTATGTACGCTTATACATAGGAATAATAAAAAGAATTTCTTTTTTTTCAATAATTAAAATATGATCAGGGGGTCTTAGAACGTGTATTTCCGTAAAATAAATTTTACAAAATTTTTCAGAGCAAGGCAAATGTGAGCCTTTCTCTCTCGACTCCCACGAAGTGGTCCGAAATTACTTCGGGCAGCTTCGGATAATCGAGAAAGAGGGCATGCGTCAGTTTGTCTTTGTCAACTTTCCGAAACTTTACGAGCTCACGTACGCGTGATCCTAGCATAGTGTGAAAGAGTGCTTTCGGTGCACTTCTGGCATCTCTGACTTATTGTTGAATAGTTGACGACCCCCACTTCTAAAATTCTGCTTCGTTCGATTGGCGTAAATTTATAATATCTTAACACGGGTGAACTGGTAAATAATGTAGATCGCGCGTATCATATAAACAAAAACTATTCAAAAACCATAAAGGCCTCTATTGATTCTCGTGTGAATTGTATAAAATAAATAACAGAGAAAAACGATTCCATAAATAATATTTTGGTTATTATTTAGAAAAAGGAGGGAAGTAATTTATCTCACCGATTTCGATGATTTTTTAATATGTTGTAGAAATCAATATTTTGAACAACTTTTTCCTATACATATAACCGCCGCTCGGTCTTAGTTTTCGAGATTTTTCTTCAAAAAGATTGCTGCTGCTACAATGAATTCTGTTTATATGTACGTGTTGATTTTTTTCTCTTGTTTGTATTAATCGGCATGACAATCAACGACAAATAATGTATAATGTGTCAAGCCAAATCTAGTTCTGCATTGATGTATCTATAGAAACAATAAACAATTGGCGATTTAACGCTTACACACACGCTGCCACAGACACATACGTGTAGATAGAATTCATTATAATAGCAGCGATCTTTTTGAAGAAATATCTCGGAAACTAAGGCCGATGTATAGGAAAAAGTTGTTCAAAATGTTGATTTCTACAACCTATTCAAAAATTATCGAAATCGGTGAGACCCCCCTTTTCTAAATAATTACTAATATTGTTATCGTTATATAATTTTAAATTGATGCATAATGTGTTTACAGAAGATATAAACTACGACAACTTTTTCGATGCGAATAAGAAAATATATTAATGATCGAACGTAAAATAATAGTTGTTTAAATAAGTTTATTATTATATCCGTAGTCACATGATTAAATAGTTTTTATGAAAGTTTGGCGAATTATACTTGCTTTTCTAATTGATATAAGTAAGGAATTAAAGAATTTAAAAATAAGATAATAACTAAATGAGCGAACCCCTCCAGTCAAAAGCAGGTTTCCATTGGTTAACACATTCATTTGTGCTACGGAAGCCAGTCAAGAGGCATATTTCATGCGGATGATCCGCAGCCGATCTCTTTCAAGCTGACAGCAGAACAACACTACATTCAAACGTTTGACGCGCGTGGTATGTATGGCACATATGCTTTAAACTCGTATACTTAAATGAGAATGCCGTCCGAAATAATCATCGAGCCCTATAAAGCATACATTCTTACAAAAACGTTACGAAGAATGTTTATTCATGCGAAATAAAGCTTAAAAGAATTATAGATGTAACTTACTTTTTATATTTGGTACAAGGCCGCCAAGAATTTCATTCAACAAGTGAGTACAGTCTCTAATAAAATTATGATTCTAACACAACACAAGCTTATGTTACAATAATCGATTGAACCTTGAATAAATTAGTAAAATTATCACGATAACAATATTATCGAACAAAAATTAAATCCTTTACCAAATTATCTACATTTTTTTATGTAATTTATTTCCTTCAAACAAACTTATTTCAACCTGCATTATAAATACGCACTTGCGTATTTTATTAGAGCTCTTTAATTGTATAAAGTATAAGTTTTTTCATTAGAGCAAGACCTATAATATTATATCTGTCTGTAAGAGTAGTTTATAAGTATAAATGTTTTTCATGAACACTGATGTCAATGTGGTACAATGACGAAATCAGTTGCGAAATGCTGATTAAGCAAGTATATAGAAAAAATACAGTAGTAACATTGAAAGATGGGTTCTATCAGCTCAGCAGGGGTCAATAGTTTACAAGAACATTACTGATAATTCAGAAGAAATCTCGAGGGGGTCTGGTTCATGTTTTACAGTATAAGAATAATAGTAATATTGTTTACTTTTGTAAGGATTGTGTAATGTTATATATGTTGAAGAAATTAATTTTTAAATTCCAAGAGAAAACTAATTCTGTAATGTACAGTTAATAATCTCATTTATAATTTAACATAGTGAAATAAAATATTTATCATAAAATTATAATTTAATATACAGTTCAATTAACCATTATTTACATACATGGTTTTTAGACTTAAATGGAAATGTCTCGCAGCATGCAAGCAGAATCTTGCAGTCGAATAATGTCTATAGAAAATGAAAGAGGTAAAAGGTTGCCTGTTAAAGGAAAGGCTAAGAATCTAGGAATGTCTGGCCTTACACACGAATGTGGAGTTTTTGGATGCATAGCTGCTGGTGATTGGCCTTCTCAAATTGATGTTGGTCAAGTTATTTGTTTAGGTAATTTAGAACATATTTAACATTGCTTATTTCTTTTTTAAATCGCCAACTACTTTTGACAGACAACATGTTTATAGGTTTGGTTGCCTTACAACACAGGGGCCAAGAAAGTGCTGGTATTGTTACCAGTGAAGGTGTTTGTTCAAAGTCCTTTCATGTTCACAAGGGTATGGGAATGATCAATAACATTTTTAACGATGAAAATATGAAGAAACTCTGTGGAAATCTTGGAATTGGTCATACTAGATACAGCACAAGTGCTGCAAGCGAAGAAGTCAATTGTCAACCATTTGTAGTTCATACTGCACATGGGGCATTAGCAGTTGCTCATAATGGAGAGCTTGTGAATACAGAATCGTTAAGAAAAATGGTAATTCATGTATGGTACAGTTCAAGTGTAGTTGTGCTCCATTGGAATTTGTTATTAATACTTTGTGATTTATTAGGTATTAGGTCGAGGTGTTGGCCTATCAACCTACTCTGACTCTGAGTTAATAACACAAGCTCTTTGCTTGAATCCTCCTGAAGGTGAAGTTAATGGCCCAGATTGGCCAGCACGTATAAAACATCTCATGCAGTTAGCACCATTATCGTATTCGTTAGTAATTATGCAGAGGGATAAGATATATGGTGTTAGAGATCCTTATGGAAATCGTCCATTGTGCCTTGGAAAAATTGTACCGATTGGTAATTTAGGTATGTAACCAGACTGTAAAAGATAGATAAAGTAATGTTATAATAGAATACTAAAATTGTATAACTACATTTTATAACGTAACAAAAATAAATAACTTGTTTCTTTGCAATTTATTCAATTTGATGTAATATTTTCATGCAGCAGGAGATGAATCAGACGATGACGACGAAGCCGAAGGTTGGGTCATTTCATCCGAATCTTGTGGATTTTTAAGTATTGGAGCACGATATGTGCGCGAAGTATTTCCTGGAGAAATAGTAGAGTTGACCCGTGAGGGTATTAAAACTATAGATATTGTTGATAGACCAGATAAAAAGCCGCAAGCCTTTTGTATTTTCGAATACGTTTATTTTGCACGAAGCGACAGTATTTTTGAAGGTAAACCATAATAGTAAATATTGAAAGAAGAATATATATAATACAAATTGTGATATATATCTTGCACAAAAACTTACTTGATAGGACAAATGGTTTATTCTGTTCGCATGCAATGTGGACGAGAACTTGCTTTAGAATGTCCAGTGGATGCAGATATAGTCAGTTCAGTACCTGAATCTGGAACTGCAGCAGCACATGGCTATGCTAGACAGGTAAAGTTGTTAAATCTGTTCTTTATACGATTAATCTGAAGTATAAACTTGAGGTTTGTACACATTTTATAAAAGAATAAAAATAGCGTTGAAAAAGAATTTTTTTACTTTTACAGTCTCAAATACCTTTTGCGGAAGTATTGTGCAAAAATAGGTACGTTGGCAGAACATTTATTCAACCTAGTACACGACTTAGGCAACTTGGTGTAGCAAAAAAATTTGGAGCCTTGTCAGAAAACGTAAAAGGAAAAAAGTTAATTCTTATTGATGATTCAATTGTTAGAGGAAATACTATTGGGCCTATTATTAAATTACTTCGTGATGCAGGAGCAAAAGAAGCAAGTATCTTTTTCAACCATTTTTAATTTCGTATTTTACATATTATCCAGGAACATATGAAAAATAAATTACATCTACATGAATTTTCGTAGGTTCATATTAGAATAGCTTCTCCTCCATTAAAATATCCGTGCTACATGGGAATAAACATACCAACAAGGGAAGAACTAATTGCAAATAAATTAGATAATATAAAACTAGCAAAACATGTTGGAGCTAACAGTTTAACATACCTCTCAGTGGATGGACTTATTAAAGCTGTAAGATTTGGTATGGATAATCGAGAAAGCAGTTACATTGGTCACTGTACTGCTTGTTTAACCGGAGATTATCCCGATGAACTTCCTGGTGATTTGGATTGGTGAAATAATGAACTGTACTTACAAATCTATAGACAGTGATACATTATTAAACTATGTACTATCAACATTATCTATTATCATATCACAACCAAAGCCACATAACAAGATCTAATTTAATGTAATTTAAAATTTTGTTGTACATGTCAGCTCAGCATATAATATCAAAAATAATTCAGTATTTCGACAAATAACTTAAATAGTTGATACAGATTTGTTAAAAAGTATTGTCTGTGAGATTTTCAAATAAAAGAAACAGAAATTTTTCACTTTACATATATTAATTGATAAGTATAATGTAATAAGAAAATTTTATTAAAAAATATAAACAACGAAGTAAATAAATATTACTAAAAATATTAACGTCTTATGTTCCTGTTCTAAAATAAAAAAAAAAACTGTATATTTAGTGTCCCAATGTCCATTGGAGAGTTTAGTTGGAGAAAGACTAGGCAACTTTTAGCACGAAATAGATACTGTTTTATATTTAAAACTTTTGTTATAAAAACTAAAGAGATACTAAAATTATTGAGAAATAGGATATTAGCAAAATAAAACAATTGTTGAAAAGTAAAAGTAATACACACATTTATATCAATTCACTGCTGTGTTTGTATTTTCTTCTGCAATTGCCTTCAACTTTTCTAAAATCTCTTTCATTTTTGCTTCTCGTTTCAGTTGTTTTATAGTTTTGCTATTAGTTGAATCTATTTGATTAGCTTCCATTTTTGACCTTTCAATCAATGCAGCTATATGCTCCTCATTTAACATTTCATTTTCACCTTCGGTAATATCCAATGTATTTACACTTTCAGTAACACTGTATTTATTCAATTCTTCTGATTTCTTTTCAATATTTAATGATTCTTTATGTTTATTATCAAGTAATGAAGTTTTATCTTTTGATAAAATTCGTGTGTTTCTGTTTTTTATTCTCTGCGCATTATGAACTTTACTAATGTTCTTCTTTTGAGATGTCTTGGTTTTATATGTCTTTATAGATTTAACTCGGCAAGAACCATGATCTTTTGAGACCGAGGATTGGGCTTCTATTAAGTTCTTAAGTTCCTTGAGATTATCCTCAGAAATTTCTTCAGCCACATCTGCATTTTCACTGGCAATTTCTTTAGGGAACTTAAATTTAGAATAAAGTTTGCTGTCAGAGTAATTTTGCTCATCTTCTAATCTACCACAAATATCCTCAGATACATTCGTACTGCCAAATTCTTCTTTATGTCTATATATGGCAAAAGGGTTATCTTCATCGGAATCAGACTCTAACATAATACCTTGTGATTTTTTTTGTTGCCTAATTCGTTGTTTTTCTAAGTATAAATTCAATGCTTTCAATCTATTGTTGCGCATAGTCTTCCAAAAAGAAAGAGCTATAAAATAAAGTTTATTATGGTTTTAAATAACCCTTACAAGAAATATAATCTTACCAAGTACAGTTAATAGTAAATTATACCTTCTGTTTGATATCGATGCGGTACTCCAGCCTGTTTAAGTGTATCCAAATTTGGAATGCATTTGCAATGCTCAGAATCGCCAAGAACTTCAGTTCTAGGTTTCATGAAAACTCTTTGCATCTTTAGAAACTTTTTACTTTTAGCAAAATATTTTAAATCAGGAGCAACATCAAAGACAGGGTCATCCACCACAGAAGTGTCATTTTTTGTAAAGAACATGTATGTACCATTAACGTCTTCATAAGTACCTTCGTAGAACTAAAATTATAAACACTCGTTTAATATCAGAATAATTTTACGTCGTATTGTTCGATGTACACAAAATCATAAATCTAAACATTCGAATACTTTCGTTAACCGCAATAAGTTTATAGTTACCTTTCCGTTAATTTGCATTATCGGATGTTCTGTGTCTATACCGATCATATCCAACTGTAATTGTTCTTGACTAAATACATTACCATCGAGAGGTCCCTCGAATTCTACGTATACAAAAATCTCTTCCTCGTCTTCGGGTAACTCATTATCGGATCCCATATCGATCGTCACTTGTTAATCTTTCACTGGAAATCATTCATCGTGTAATACGTACTTACATACATAACATATACTTATCGTAATCGTTTATTTAAGGTTGGGACAGTAAACATTTCCTCCTACGTATCCCAGGGTATTGGTAATGGGTTGCATATATTTGTTACGTTGGTGAAAATTTTGGAATCATTCTGGAAAAATTATTTTCGGTTGCGAGGGTCAATTACAATCATTTTTGGTCAATAGACGTACCCCCGAAATCCTACGCACTTTCGAGAAAAATATTCCAAAATTCATAAATATTTGTTACCTTCGGAACTGTTATACAGAATTCCCACATTGCAGTAACATATATGTAGTGACATTACTAGATATTTCGAATGGTACGTAACGTATATGCATATTTAATGCAGATATTATCTTTCTTGCGTTCTTACGAAATAACTATTAATTAAATAATATGTATTAAAATAACAATTACTTACAATTAATTTTGTATTTAACAATTTATTCATTATTAATTAAGTTCATCAAATTGTATCATCCACGTGCTCGGTAAGAGGATATACAATAATTTTATTAGGTTTCAACAAATAAATAAGAAACAACAATGTTAAGCATTTGATCTGTTGAATGAATTTCCTGAAGGTTTATATTCAATAAGTTCGAATTAAATTGCAATTAGGTTTATTAAATAAATATATTTTTCTTTTATACTGTGAATGAAACAATTTTCTGTGTTGTATAGGTTAAAAAATGGTGAGACATAATAATCAATTACCGGAAAATCTTCCACAATTGCAGAATCTTATTAAACGTGACCCAGAGTCTTACAAAGAAGAAGTAAGTTTTTTAATATAATACTATGTACAAATTATAAAACGACTTACACACATGTATTCTTATAGTTTCTTCAACAGCAGCAGCATTATAAGTCTACTTTGGAAGTGTTTTGTTTAACACCAAATAAATTTAACAAGAGTCTTGATGAAATAATCACCTTTTTAGCACAGGTAAGCATTTTGATAGTGAATTTATAACTCTTATTAATTCATATCCTTAATATAATCCTAGTATTATAAAACTTCAGTATGTTAGAAGAGTTATTTCTCTTCCAGGTATGGTAAAGAAAATATAGGAAAAAAAAATTTCAGGAAACAGTTTCTATATTGTAATATTATTACAATTGGTTATTATATCATTGAGGAGTTTTTAAGAATAGTAATCATGGAAGAATATTTGGAATCTATAGAAGAAAAGATTATATGCAGAAAAAGTGTTATAAATAAACTTTATTCATTGATTGGTTACTCGGATGAACCGATGCCTTACAGCATATTTGTTTATGGCCATATAGCTACTGGAAAGTCTTTAATAGTGGAAACTATGCTTTCCTATTTGAAATACAATGTTACTATAATTAATTGTATTGAACATGCAAATAGCAAACACATATTTGATTATATCTTGAACGATCTATCTTTGAATGTGACTAATTCTAAGATTAATTCCAAATTGCAACACAAATGTGACAATATTATAGACTTTATAATTAATCTTAAAGAGGTTTCATTAATGGACAGACGGCCGATTGTAATAGTGTTCGATAAATGTGAAAAACTAAGAGATATGAATGCTAGTTTACTACCTGCATTCTCAAGATTGAAGGAGCTATCAAATGTTAATGTCTGTGTAATATTTATAAGTGGTATAGTATGGGAAAAGTTTCATGCAAAAATCGGTATATACGAACCGATTAAAATTCATTTTCCGCAATACATGCGAAATGAATTTGCTGAAATATTGCTTTCATTCAAACCATGCGATTATGAGGAATTGTTTTACAAAAATTATTTAAATTTATTTCTCTCTGTATTCTTTCGATTCTGTAGAGATCTTAATGAACTTCGTTACATGGCCAAGATAAATTTTTCTAAATACATACAACCTATTGAAACTGATAAATCTAATAAGGTTGACTCTACCATACTATGGAGAAACATTTCTGCTGTTTTTAAGGCAAACTTAGAAGTTATTTATCTGCGAGTTTCGTCTGACGATTTTGTGAAAAATAATCAATTCTCTAAAGAGATTGAATCAACAACAAAATTAGCATTAAGTTTTGAATTACCATATTATGCAAAGTATATATTAATTGCTTCATATCTTGCCTCGTATAATCCTGCAAAAGAAGACAAACATTTGTTTGTGAAAGAAAAGATGAAGAAAAAAATAAGAGCTAGTAGTAAAAAGAAAACAGCAAAATTAAGTACACAATGTGGCCCTTATAATTTTCCAGTATCTAGAATGCTTGCTATTTTTTGCGCTATTCTTGATGAAAAAGTCGATATAAATGCCAATTTACTTACACAGATACCATCTATGTGTCAACTTGGTTTATTAACTGTTGTGGGAAATTATAATTTAGATGAACCTAAGCTTAAGTGTTGCGTATCCTACGATTTCATTCTCGTTATAGCTAAGACTGTTGGATTTTCTATTCAGAACTATATATATGATATGCATTAAAGAATGTGTACTTTTGATAAAACACTATTATATATTGTCGTTTGTATGTATTTCTCGATTTTTAACGAATAAAGAGTTACAATTTCTAAATAAATTTTGTTTTTGTATGGACAAAATACTTTATAACAATATATATGTACATACAAAATTAGATACAGATTATTACATATCGATTATAACATAATTTCATTGTTTTAATGCAGGTGGCTCATTGTTACCCAAATACTTTAGAATCATTTCCTCAGGAAATCATTGATGTACTGCAAACATACAATACAGTACTTGACAATGAAATGCGATTAGTAAGTGTGCAATAAAATAAGCTATTATCAGATCTAGTTAATAATTTCTGAATTAATTATACTAATTAGTACTTTTTTGTAGACATTCTGCAAAGCTCTAATTCAACTGCGTAACAAATCTCTTTTGGAACCCACTGTGCTTCTTAATTTATTTTTCCAACTTCTAAGATGCCAAGATAAAAATCTGAGACAATTTCTTGAAACACATATTATTGCTGATATTAAAAATGTTAATGCTAAACAAAAAAATACAAAGCTTAATACAACTTTGCAAAACTTTATGTTTTCAATGTTGAAAGATTCTAACATTAGAGCAGCAAAAATGTCTGCTGATATTATGATTGAATTGTACAATAAAAACATCTGGAATGATGCAAAAACTGTAAATGTGTTGGCAACTGGATGTTTTGCTAAAACTACAAAAGTCATGGTCGCTTGTTTAAAGTTTTTTTTGGGGTCGAGTATAGAAGATCAAAAAAGTGACGATAGCGACAGCGATAGCGAACCGAATATTAAAGAAATTATTATGTCTAATAAAGTAAATAAGAAAACAAAGAAACGTGAGAAACAATTAGCAAAAGCAAAGCAGGTGTTAGCGGTAAGTCAATGACGATCAACACACTGTAGTCAATATTATAATTTTCTTCTACTGCATATTTAATTTTTCTCTATTTTAGAAGTCCAAAAAGAAAGCTACAAAAGCACCAGGATTTAATTTCTCAGCATTGCATTTAATTCACGATCCACAAGGTTTTGCAGAGAAACTATTTAAACAGTTGGAAAAAAATAACGATAGATTTGAAATTAAACTGATAACTTTAGATGTAATTTCTAGGCTTATTGGTTTGCATAATTTATTTCTACTAAATTTTTATCCATACCTTCAAAGATTTTTGCAACCGCATCAAAGAGGTAAATACTTTTATTATCAAAGAATTATCATTACACCTATATAAAATCTAATGACTGGTTATCCCTAATGATTTTAGAGGTAACGAAACTTTTGCAATTTGTTGCTCAATCCTGTCACGAACTTGTACCTCCTGATGTGTTGGAACCTGTTTTGAAAACCCTGGCAAATAATTTTGTTACTGAACGAAATTCTGCTGATGTTATGGCCATTGGGTATGTATAAATTAGCAGTTGATTTATGTTTCTAGAGTAGCGTTGTTTATTTTTTATAAATTGATTGCAGCTTGAATGCCATTCGAGAAATATGTGTACGGTGTCCTTTAGTTATGAGTGCAGATTTATTACAAGATTTAGCACGATACAAGCATTACCGAGAACGTAGCGTAATGATGGCTGCACGTTCTTTAATCGGTTTATTTAGAAGCACAATACCAGAGTTTTTACATAAAAAGGACAGGGGACGGCCTACAGAAGCAACTGTTACTTTAGAAGTCCCAAAGTATGGTCAAGTATCTGCTAATGATTTTGTTCCGGGAGCTGAAATTTTGCTTGATAATAAAGTAGACAAGGCTGAATCTTCTGCAATTTATTCTGAAAATGATGTAAGTAATAAAGATATTGTGGAATGATGTATAATTAATTTATGTTTGCGATTAGTTTTGTAAAAAGGACTGTAATCTTAAAATCTTGATTACAGAGTAGTGACAATGAGTGGATTGATGTAAGTCACAGTAGCAATGATGAGAGCATTGATGATGATGATGATTATGATTATAACGATGACGACGATGATAATGATAATGATGAAAACTCTCTTACAAATACTAAAAATGATGATAATGAAACTTCAGCATGCAACATTGAATCTAACACAAAAGATAATAGCGACAATGAAAAACACAAAGATGATAGAGTGAATGAAAGTAATGAGTTAAAGAAAGAGATCGCAGATGTAAGAATCGTCGTTAACAGTGTACAAAATAAAAAACAAAAGAGCAAGCATAATGCGATGAAAAGAATTGAACGAAAAAAGCTAAAAGTTAAGAAACAAGAAGACTCTAAAATTGAAAAAAGTCAGATAGGAGAAGCAGAAAAAAAAGGAAAGGCATCTGTAATTTCTACCGAACGGTTATTGACCGACGATGACTTCGTGAAAATAGATATGGCACTAGCAAAGCAACAAGTAACGTATGCCAAGCGCAGCTTAAAGAGAGCTCATTCGAATGATGGCGAACGTGGAGATTTTGTTAAATTGACGGATATTGAAAATATTTATAAGAAACGAAAACATGACAAACAAGCTCGTATCGAATCTGTAAAGGTTTGTTTCAGTTTTATCGCATAACTCAAAATGTCCCTCCTACATTTTTTGTGATTTATTTTTTGTGGTTTCTTTCAGAGAGGTCAAGAAACAAGAGAAAAGTTTGGTTACAAAGATGGTCGCCAAAATCCACACTGTAGTAAAACAAATCGCGAAAAGAGAAAGACAAAAGCTTTTCAAATGTTGAAACACAAAATAAGAGCAAAAGTGAAACGTTCTTTTAAAGACAAACAGATTGCTTTGAGAAATCATTTATTGAAGCAAAAAAGAATGAAATAACTGCAGATTCATAAGCTTGTGCATACACATCTAAGTATTTTATATGTGAGCTAGTATGTTCATGTATATAGATGACTGAATATAAAATTATGTGTATAACCTAATTGTAATATTTTATGTTATTAACATACATGTTGATTTTGTTATAATAAATTATAATAAATTATAATAAAATATAATACAATAATTTTAGACAAGATATTTCTGTACCTTTAACCTCTTACGAGTAAACATTCACTCATATTTAAACGAACAATACGGAAACAATCCGTAATGAATAAGAACCGTTGGTGTACTATGCTTACCGATTTTACAATGTTATGGTTCCGTTGATTATCATTCGTGAAGTCATCATTCTGAAACGTAGAGTGCGCTATGAAACCAATGAATTTTGTGAGGTTAGTGAATACTTCACTTTGAAACACTAACTTTCATTGAAATGCACCCTATATTACATTCTATCGGCGGTCATATATTTTTTCACCGAATGCTACGTCTATCCTAGATCTCGTTTGTGGTTTAATGTTTTACCAATACCGATGCCATCTCACACAAAGTTTGAATCATGACAAGATTGTAATCACCTCTTATCTGCTGTGTATTTATGTGTGCTACGCTTAACTGTATCGCAATATTATTGTGTGGTGTGTAGTAGACGCGAAGTAATCATACTTTGATCAAAATTGACATGTGTCCTTGCGAGTTAAATCGTTTTCGTTGTGCATTGATTACAAATTATTTGTGAAGTTAGATGCCGGCAAGACGATTTAATACGTCGTTATTTAGAATAATAGGTTATTAATGTTTTCATCTAACTGTTAGCGTTTCTGTAGGTTATTATTATTTCTATTTCAACGAACGAAAACATCGTGTTTAGTGTAATATGTTGATAAATCAAGATCCACAGTGGAGTGGCGTCATGGCGCCAGAAATACAGATGTTTCCAGACCTTGAACTCATCGGTGGTACGGCATACACTTTTTCAAAATAAAATACTTCATTTTTCTCATCTATCATTACTTTTCCATAATTTAATATTACAAAGAATATTCCGAGTTTTACATTCTTATTTATTATTAAATTAGTAATAAATGAACTAAACTGACTAAATTACAATAATTTTTTCAGAATTAAATTTATATGCTTCAAATATATATTATGAAAGATAAACATTTGTTATTGTTTATAGCTTAAATTAGATAATGATGAATAAATTTTTTCACAGATGGCGATTGTTTGCCTCTACCAGATGACTTGTTTCAAACATTAAGTTCTGAATTAGATATGCCACTTTTCATGGACAGTGAAGTATCTTTTGAGACAAACAATGATTCTGATAATCAAATTATGAAAGATGTTTCTTTAGGAGAATCTGCAACTTCTTTTGAAGATTTTACTGCGAATGTTTTGCAGCAGAGTTCAGGTATAAGCTTTACACATTATCATTTTAATAAGTTTACAATTATTTGTGAAATTATAAACACATAAATTTACTCAGATTCAGACGTAACCAATGATGTGAACATGGAAATAAAATTGGAACCTGCAAGCCCTTATGTTCAGCTGCCTCTTTCTCCAGCTTTAAGTCATTCAGAATCTAGTAGATACGAATTGCAAGTAGAAACAGACTCTGTTTCTCCATTATGTGATTTTAAGGTAAGATTGATGTAGCTAAATTTGATTGATTATGGCAAGACTGCCACATAAATGTTTTATATGTTAATTTATTGTAGCCAACTCTGGAAACACCACCAATTTCACCCCCACAAAATGTTTCTCCATCTGCATCTCCTGAACCAATATTGAATGCAATCATTCCAAAACAAATAAAGGTTATGCCTCTTACATCTCAGGTTGAGGAGCATGCAAAATTTATCCTCTCTAAAGGAAATATGGTTAAACGCATTAGATTACAACCAAAGGATAATGTGCAACCTATGACCGATGGTAAAGCAAAATTTATTTTAATTAATATTTTATATTCGCTTTTAAGTTGTACAATATTTATTTATGTATTATTTATTTCCCAGAACAGCCTCAGAAAGCTATATTTTTGAGTGCACAAAATTTTGTTGCGCTCACCCAAAAAGTTAAGCAGAATTATGCATCATATCCTTTTACACGACATTTATTGCCAACAAATGGAAATATTAAAACCCAAACTGCAGTACAGTTTTCACCGCTACAAGTGAAGGCGGAAGCAAGTACAGTTCAAATACCACAAGAGAATCATGTGAAAGTAATGGATAATATTCCTGATGTGTGTATATCAGGCAGAGAACCGATAGTTAGCGTTACGGACTCGCCCTTGATTCTTAAAAATGGAACAACTAGATGCACGTCTATAGTTGTAAAAAATGATTCGTCTGGTTGTAGGCCAATAGTAATTAAGGCAGAGAATTCGAACTATACACCAATTGTTATAAAAAATGAGACTCAAGATATAGCTAATTTTACCGGACGACAAGAGTGTGAAATGAAAGCGTTGAAACGACAGCAAAGAATGATTAAGAATAGAGAATCGGCTTGTCTTTCGCGAAAAAAAAAGAAGGAGTATGTATCTTCGTTGGAAAAACAAATCTGCGAATTACAGCATGAAAATAAACAATTAAAAATGGTGAGAATTATGATAAAGTTAGATATTCATTGCTGCACTAAGTTAGTCACCTTAAGATAAATGATGTAATTAAAATTGCGCTTGTATCAGGAAAATATAAACTTAAAACAGAAACTCTCAACATTAGAAGATACAATGGGCACTGGTAACAAACTTAGAAGTATAAAACTCAATGCAAATAAGAAGAATGTTGCTATTCTTTTGGGAATGGTTTTTATGATTTCCTTAAATTTTAATAGTTTTAGGTAAGTTTTCAACAACATCTATGATTTTATTATTAGAATGATTGAATATTTTATGTTTATGTATGAGATCCAATTGGTGTGGTGAAATAAGGATAAAAAATAAAAGTTTTTCTCTTACAGTGGTATATTTTTGCAAAGTAATCGATTGAACATCTTACCGGCTGACGTTCCTGTTAGCACACAACATGTCAGACATGGCAGAACATTACTTTGGACACTCAAGGATCAAATTCCAGAAGACGAAGAGAGTTTTCGTAAAAATACATCGATTCCTCAACCAATGTGTCCAATGCACATTAATCAAAGTGAATCTATTCGTTTAGATTACGAATTGAGACGATGGATCGGTAGAGAGTCTGATCAATATAATTGGACTATACCACAAAAAACGAAGTCGGATGCAAAGCTGGTGGGAAAATTGTTATCGTCGCCAAACGTAATGCTAAAAAAATTTAAAGATAAACATAAACTAAAGATAAACTTATCTCGAAGAAGCAAATACGAAATACATCGAAAAACGACGGATTCGTCGATATCGAACGCGGTGGAAGTATTTTCTCCGACATTAAAGGAGCATGCTTCTTTGTTCGAAGCATTGGGAAGAAGAGATGACACGTTTTATGTCGTTTGGTTTAGCGGAGAGCATTTGCTATTACCAGCTTCGAACAAAAATAGTACAGGTAGACCGAGAATGTCATTGGTCCTTCCTGCCTTGCCTATGAACGGTGAGAGTCTAACGCTTTATTTATACCTATCGAATAGAAACAAAAATGTCTACATAATCGAATGAATTATTTTACAGAAACATTTTCAACGCCTGCAAATCATATAACAATGATGCAAATCGACTGCGAAGTTACCAATACTCAATTGTTACATTTAGAACAATCAGTCATACCTAATCATTTGAAAAGTAATAATAGATCTCGAAGTCATACGCACGAAACTCGTGCTGCAAGTGACGTCTCGGATGCAATACCTGCGAACATGACTAAAAATTACAAACCATATTTCATCAAAGAAACTGATCACAAAATTTTCCACAAAAAGAACTTGAAAGATATTTATATAGATAAAAATAGCGAAGATCATAATAAAACAACCGCATATATATTAAAACAGAAATTTATTTCCGAATTTGATTTAGAGGAGGTGAAAACTGAAATGTTAAGAGATTTAAGGAAAACAGAATCGCGGACAAGGTCTATGACGTCACAAAAAACAGAAAAATAGAAATATTTATTGCAATATTTGACCGATTGTCTGCGTAAAATGAAATGTGTTGCAATAGGATTAAAGTAATACGCGAATAGAGTACGCGTACACCGCACATACAACGTATCAGCAAGATATACACAAATAGTTAATAGTGTTTTTACTCTATAAATGGATCACGATGTACGGTGGATGAATTCAACGAAAAGTAAGTAAAACTCTTCTTTTGTAAAGTTGGTGATCAAGATCTGTGTATCGTACACATTTGCATTAGATATAACTTTATACGACGAGGGTATTGGACCTTTTGTACGAAGGGTTAAAAATAATCTGTATGTAAGTATACATTTATACTTATTGCAAAAATAAAAAAACTTGAAAAGAATAGATTTTTTATTTATTGTAATAAATAAATTATTTTATTTTTCGTATATGCACTCGTGTAGTCGCTTAAAAAAAAAAAAACATACGCGAATATGTTTATTTTAAGTTTGGCGTAGAACCGCCAAGGTATGATCTTAAATCTATTATTGTAGATCGTATTAGTTTAGCTTTTATGAATGGTTTACCGAGTCGTTGATGAGCTGTGTATCGATGACAACCACCGAAAGAATAATAATAATCACCACCTATAACAAAAAAAGAAGTAGAGTTACACAATGAAATTTGAAATAATGCAATTTAGTTATATATATATTTTTAATATAAATAAAAAATTATCAACAATATAACGTATTACCTTCGCTACCTTTGATCCATAAAACGTCAATTGGTGGTACAAACGATTCCGTCTCGGGATTTTTTAACGTGTCCATTAAACTTTGTACCTTTTCCTCATCAACGATTGGAGGAATAGGCCTGATAAGTACATTCATTGGAATGTCGTAAATCTCGGCATTTACATCAGATTGAATGCTCGTGGGATTTTTATTATTCATCTTAGAATCTGGATTTATAAAATAAAATAAGATAAGAAAATTGATGACAAATCACGCTGTTTGTTTAAAATAAGATGGCAACACCACACACTTTTTCATGAATTATGCTTACATAAATACTTTTGCAGCGACGTGGAGTACATTACAAATTGCCTTATTCTAAGTGAGATCATGATTAATATGAAAATTTACAAAATCTTTAAACAAATACATACGTTCTAAAATTTGTACACAATAATGTCTGCGATTACACGATTTGCGTTTTTACGATATTATTTCGAATTATTTTTTAGTACGAATAAGTTATTACTTATTCTTTTATAATATTCACAACATAATCGAACGTGAAACGACACACCTAATTCTTAAGAAACATGCATACATAGAAAGCATTACGCACAATACAAATGCTCGCGATGAGTCATCCGGGACGAGCGATACATTCACAGTTTGTAGAGGTATCAAGAGAGGGGATAAAGTATTTAAGTAAGTAGGGATACAAATGATTACAGAGAAATCCTGAACTGAAAATAAATCCTACAAATCTTTCAGTATTTTGTGAATTCTTGTGCTGTATGATTGATTAAATAATGTAAAGAGTGAATAAAGAAGGAAATTAAGTAATCGATTACTTTTTAATGGAAAGTTACAATTAGGAAGAAACTTCTAAACACCTTTTAAAAATATCACTCTTCGTGTACTGGTTGATCAGCTAAAAATGAGATTATGCATTCTGCTAAATTTTTATATCCATCAGCTCGAATACTGTTTGGAGCAGACATCACGACTGGTTTACCAACTTCACAACTTTCTGCAATATCTTCAGAGAGAGGCATTGTTTGTAAGATTTGCACATCTAAAAAGAGATACAAAGAAGTACAAACCTATATTAGTATATATACATATATATATATGTATATTTACAAACTTAATACCAAGTTCTTCAGCCATTGTTCTGACTGCATTGCTGTAAAGGGTTATTTCATTATTGCATTTAGGGCACATTATGCTGCTCATATTTTCTAAAATTCCAGCAATTGGAACGTTCAATCGTTTAAACATGTCTGCCCCTCTCCTAGTTACTTCCAAGGCAGCTTTTTGAGGTGTAGTTACCAACAATACACCAGCAATTGGAAGGTTTTGTATTATAGAAAGATGTGTGTCTCCTGTTCCAGGTGGAGTATCTACAATGAGATAATCCAAGGGACTCCATGCTACTTGGTGTAACAATTTGTCAATTGCACTCATTACCATTAATCCACGCCAAATTACAGGAGACTTTTCGTCTATTAAAAAGCCCATTGACATACTATGCACGACAAAAGAACATGTTTATGATTCTAGAATAATTTTACAAGAACCAAACGTATATGCAAAATATGGAATCATGTCCTTACCATTTCACTCCATAATTTACAAGCGGTTCTATAAGATTTGCATCATTAACTACAGGGGATTGTCGTATGTTCATCATCAGAGGTATAGATGGACCAAATACATCAGCATCGAGCAAACCAACAGACTTTTCAGGCTGAAGAATTTTCAAAGCAATTGATAAATTTACAGCAGTTGTAGATTTTCCGACGCCTCCTTTTCCGGACGCGACCACAAAGATTTGTTTGATACCTTTTAGCGGCTTCTGTTTTGGAAGACCGCGCGCCATTATTTCTTTTCGTTTCGTTTCGATTTCTTTTTGCTTACGTTCGTCGTGAAAAACCGAACGGCTCTGTAATGGAATAAATAACAATATCGATAATTAGAAAAGAATATTTAATAAATGCATATCACCGGAAGTGTCATTGCCCACGTGGAGTTACGTTACCGCGTATGTAGTAGTACGTATCGTCAATTTCCACGTGCGTTTGAACAAATCAAACATATCGCAACGACTTACCGAACATGATGGAAAATATCATAGATGACAAAAGGTGTACATACTAACGAGAGTAATCGGTAATTATTCGCACCGCTATGATCACATCGGAAACGTGTGAGAATTTTGCTAGATGCGAATACGAACGACATCTTCGGCAACGGTGTACGTAGAACTGCTCGACGAAATTGCCAATATATTTCTAACCTGACATTTTAAATCACATAACTGTTGATTTGTTTTGTTCCGAGTCTCTGACAAACATGCTATACGATTTTTTTTAAATTTCCTCGTAGTATAATCTTTGGTTCAATACTTCATTCATGCGTACTTTGATAGTACGTTTTCATCGGTTTTGTTTGCACCCATTCAAGATTTTGATGTTCTCACTGAAAGTAACTTGAATGTTTAACGCGAGGGCGGTGCAGTTTTTCATTGCTGTGAAGCACATATCAGTAATGTGGTGCATTTTATGTTTTTTTAAAAATGTAAATATGTGAATGTAAGTTCCATTTTTGTTTTTAAGACGTTTCAGAATTAATTTCTTATCTGCATAACTTTCAGTGCTAATGTTGGATATCAGTTTTATCCTTTGTGAACTTCCTTCGTTACAGATGTACTATCGTTGTCTTATAGTTAACCTAGATTTTCAATTGTAACACATATCGACTTTCGTGCATTGAATAAATCATATTATTTGAAACATTTGTCAAAGTCTTGTTTCGTTGAAACGTCGCGTATTTAAATATTTCGGTCAATATGTAGTTATTCGATAAATTCTCTTGCATAGGTCAAGATAAGATTCATAATACGAAAAAACACGCGTAATCGTTTGGATTCATCAACACGATTCTGAATTAGATCGATACACCAAGTATTTTTCACGTAGGAATTATCAAATATTTTCTACGTAATAAATAATAAAAAAATTCGTACGTTGTGAGCAAACTAATTTATTAAAGGAAATCGGTAATTAAAATTCTGTGTATTGTGCTGTATCTATATAAACTTGATAAAATTATGATGGTTTTATGTGAGTGTATTAATTCTTAAATATGTATTTCTCGCGGACAAGCGCACGTGTCTATAAAAATGTATGTATTTCTTCTTGTTACGACACTTGACAAACCACCGGATATTATAAACTTCAATTTCTTTGTGTGTATCAAGTGGTATAACATGTACATTAAATTTTGTGTTTACATAGGCAAAACGTATCATATTAACAAGTCAAGGTGCACAGAATATGGGCCTAAACGCAGCTGTACAAGCTTTAAAGTAAGTTAACAAAGAGACAACCTTTTGAATGTACCAAAAGTGTCTATGTAATGTTTGTTGAAAATTTATTTGAACATAATTTTGTTAGAAAAGCCGAGCCATTAAAGGATAAAGTTCAACGTTGCAAAGATCTTTTAAATGACAGTGATGCATGGGTATGTCAACAACAATTACAAAAAATATATCAACAAGTTCTTATATTGGATCTGGAATATGCACTGGATAGAAAGGTTGAACAGGAACTTTGGAACCTTGGATTTAAGAATTACATAGCAACTTTGCAATCACAAGCAAAGGACAGGAAGAATCCAAAGCGAGGAGAATCACAGGCTTTGCTTAGTTGGTGTTTGGAAGCAGCAAGTGGTTTCTATTTGACATTACTACAGGAAATTTGTACTGCATTTGATCTAGATTTACCATTCAGGAGGTAATTAGTTGGAATACATCATCGTATACTTTTTTTCTTTTGTTCTATTCGATGAATTTTGCTTGCAAATTTATATATCGAATATGTTTTCTAGGAAAGGCTATATTTATGGGTGTACGTCGCCGTGGAAAGCCGTTGAAAAATTATCAGTGCCTCATAAGTCGTCGTGTTTTTACGCGTGTCAGTATTGCCTTGTGCATTTAGGTGATATTGCTCGTTATAGAAACGAGAGTAAACAAGCAGAGCTGTTCTACAGGCACGCGGTATCATTATCACCGTCCAGTGGACAACCGTACAATCAATTAGCCCTTCTCGAAGCGTCTCGTGGCAATAAATTAGGCACCGTGTTTCATTATACACGGTCTGTTGCCGTAAAACATCCTTTTCCTGTGGCTACAACAAACTTGGCAAAAACGTTATCCTCCGCCTTAAACGACACTTCGTTGAATATCGACGGAAAGACTAAATTAACTTCTCAAGAATACATAGCAGTCTTCTTAAAGCTTCATGGTATTATCCATAATCTTGGGGACTTGAAGGTTGCGTTCACGTATGCAAAATTATTGACGGAAACACTGACAGCTTTGGTCGCGACAGAAAGTTTCAGCTCTTGGATGCTCGTACAAATGTTCGTAATTAATTTGTATGCCTTGGAACATACGACAAGTGTTGTCGTAGGTAGCACCGAATCGTTGAAAAACGAACAATTTACGTTCGATGAAAAAAATGCTCGAGATTGCATTTTGGATCTCATAGCGGGCAGTTTATCCGCTTTATTACTACCTGTCTATACAATAAAGAATTCTATTGTCGAATACTTCGCTTTGCCTTCTATAAAACTGTGCCTTGATTGGATCCATACGAAACCCACAGTTTTGGAGGAAGTAGCTTTTACGTCGAGACTTCAAATCTGGCCCAGCCTTTGCGTCTTATTAAACGCCTTGCAGAATTGCGTAATCGATTTCGCTTACGATCAGTACGTTAAAGTACCACTGCCAGAGGATCGTGATTTACAAGGTTTCTTACCATTGGAGAAAAGTTTTGAGTATTTAAAATTTACAAGTACCGATTTAGAGGATGACATCGAGGCTTACAACAAATTACGGGCGGTTCGTATTCTTCGTTTAGGCCATTGTTTAGCCCAATATAGAATTAATGGCTCTGCATTAATTGCTATCACATTGGGAGAGGAGAAAGGCGATAACAAATTTAGCTCTATGAGCGAAGGAAGCGGGCCGAGCAACGAATTGATGAAAGAACTAGAAGAACTTAGTTTAAATAAAGAAAGACAGTCTGCGATATCGGCCAGCCCAGTGTTTTCGGAATCTGCCAGTAGTAAAGGTTCCACGGACGTCGATATGTTGGAGAGTACATTAGATAAAAGGATAGGTATATTGAAACCTCAGGGTTCATTGGAGCGAAGTAAAGATTCGAATACAGAATGTAACAGTTTTGAGAGCAACACGCTATCTATAACCAGAAAACCAAGACAAAATATAGCGATGCAAGCTATTATGCGACGTGCTGAAACCGAACAAAAGCAAGTCACTTTTAAGAATGTGTCTCCGCTAGTCGTGGAAGAGGAAAATGAGAAAAAGACTAAATCGACTTTGGTGTCGCCAGCAAAAAATATGCCGGTTGGAAACAAAAATATGTCGGTGATTGGAGAAGCATCAAAACCAAACAATGTTCCTAACGCGTCTACGAGCACATTAGTTACCGTTCCGAATCGGTTACCGTTAATGCCTTTTGCTACGACTACTGTACAAAGCCAGATTATTTCTGCTCAAAACCAAACCAAAGCAGCGAAATTACAGCACACTGTCTCGCAACCACCGCAGATTAATCATCTTGCTACAAAAGAACAGCAAACGTCTGGGATGCTAGCCCCGATATCGAGTATATCTCAATGCGTGGGAAATATTTGTTACCAAAGCCCATCGTTCAATGTACAAAATCCGCAATTCACGAAAAATTATATGACGAACCATGTCGGAAATATGTCGAGCTATCCAATTCAAGGACATTTTACTAATTCGGTGCAACAACCTATGTCTCAAAATCTAAGTTTGCAACATACGTCGAATCAAAATAGACCTTTGCATCAGAGAATGCAGATCCACAGTATGCCACAGAATTCGTTATTACATCAAAATGTTGTCCTTCCATCATCTACTCAGCAAAATGTCTTGCCGAATGTCTCGCAGAACATTAGTTCACAGCAAGCCGGAAATCTTGGTCTGCAACAAAGTATAAATATGCAACAACAGTGTCATAGTTTAGACATTCAACAGAATCGCAACTTGGGCGTGCAACCACAAAATCTGACAAAGACCAATCTTAGACCGAGCGCGATATCCTTACATAATCAAGTTAGTTTAACTAGTTCAGCGATCATGAACGCTTCAACTTTGTCAACGTTAAATACATATCAAAAGAAGCTTCATCAAACCGCGTCTATGGTGCCTCCAAATGTACCGAATGCACCGGGTAATACGTTAAGTCCAACCACTACATCAAGCTTCCAGTTTAATTTTAACCAAAGTGACTTCAACCAAAACAATTTTGGTCAATTATCTCAGAAACAATTATCGTCATCCATGTACAATAAAAGTTCGGATATCTTGGAATTTTCGTTTCCCAATCAGGTGGGCATATCGAAAAACACGTCGCAACCCGCGGATAATTATCCGCTTTTTCATAATTACGAGAATACAAACTTCAATTTGTGGAAAGACACCCGACAGTCACAGCTTTCAATACCTTGTTGGGGCTCGACTAGCGGAAACACGCAATTGCACGGTAAAGATGCATCCGTTGTGGAGAACTATCACAATTGGGAGGACTCTGTTAATCCTGGAAACATGATCTCGCAAGTTCCATTGAGAACTTCTAATTACCAATCGGATGTGCAACATGCCAAACACTTCACGGGTGGAAATAATTTCGAACAATCTAGATCTCTAGAAGTATGTATCACTGTGTCTTGGCATCCGACGTATTGCTACAAATACTATAGGTACTGTTACATATTTGTCCACAGGTGGACTTGAAATCGACTCAATCGATCAGTACGGGAAACACCTATTCGTTGTTCAGCAGTAACAATACTTGGGGATCTAGTTCACAAGCTTGTAACTTGTCGAGTCAAGATCAAGCAAAGACCCGACTCAGTCAACAATCTTTATGGTCCGGACCTGGCCCATCACCTTTGGAACGGCTTCTGGAACAGCAAAAATCGTTACGCGAAGGAGGTACTTGAAGGAAAGCGGAATAGATTGTGTCGAAGTATATTGGAAAGGGATCTATCCAATTTGTGGATTCAGCTAAACCAAGGGGATCTAGCAAAACATACCACAATAAATATCATCGATTGTTCGACGAAAATGTTAAATTTGTTACAAAGCAACAGTTAGTGAGAGGTTTTGTAGCCGCTTAGAAATTCGTTTAATTAAAACGAATAATACATACGTCCAAAGCGTTATGAAATACGCTCTAGAAATACATAGGTATTACTTACTTACGCTAATTATTACGCGCACGGTAGAAAATAAACTTATTCTAATAGTGCGTGTGGCACGATTGAGTTTTCCAAAATAGCCCTTTTAAAATCTATTAAAGCGTGTCTAATTGAAAATTTAATTCGGATCACGTAGAAGAAATGAGAATTCAAGGATAAAAATAATTCATCGCCAAGGAATAAGTAGTATAGAGACGTATGCACAGATCATGTCGCTAAAGCTAGTAGCGTGTGTAATCTGTGTAAGTTTATATCGTGAAAGGTATACATATTCCGGTCAGTCGATCAATTTGATACTTTGATTCTACGAATAAAATCGGAAAGAAAGCACCTTTCTTTTGTTTTATTTTTGAACATTAACATATATGTTCTTAAACGTACACATACATTCTATTCGTACATGTGTTGGTGCAGTTGTAATTGTTAGTATGCATTTTGTATCGTATTAATCAGCTTTACTATTGCGTATGTCTGTTTTCAACCACTCAATTTACAAGCATATTTATCTTTCAGTTTATTTTGTAACAATTATGTAAAACTTTTGCTTATAGATAATGCATTACAAAAGAAACACATAAAATGTATGAATATGCGAGGTACCCACATTTTGCAATAGGAAGGGGTAGAACAGTTTTGAAAACCAATGCGTTATTGAACCTTCGGACTTGAACGAAACAAATGAAATAATAGTGTCTAACATTGCAAAGCTGAGAAAGAACTCAATGTAACAAGTATTCACATAAACAGTAATTTTGTCTAAACGATTGAAATTAAAAGTTGCGTTGAACTATTTGCAAATACATGATGTTAAAAGTTTAATGAAAATTGTGTATTAATTTAATAAGTTTAATTTCATACCAATTCATTTTTTATCCAGTAAGTATAAGAGAATGGTGTCAACACGCGATACACATATTATATGAGATACTTATACATATAATCGTGTAGACAAACATTTAAATCATTAATATATTCCATGAACTTCAACATATTTTTTTTTAATTAGCAATTAATACATTTTATTTTTAAATATTGCAAGAGCATGGTTTTATAGTTATAGACTCAAATATTTTAGATTGTATAATAGGTTCCATAAACTTTTAGTTGATGATTGAATTATAACAAGAAGCCACTGTCTTGTTTGTAATGCATGTTTTTTTGATTCTTGTACAAGGCAATCATTAAACACTAATTTTTGTTAAATAACTTACCATGGATAAACACGGATTATTAATCCTTAGATTGTTTTAATGCAAGTAATATCATGCCTTCTTATAGTATACTCTTCATTTACGAGTCTGAGATCGTAATCTACTATGCGCTTCTTAGAAAACTTAACTTTCAAAATTTAAATTGATTAGAATCTAGTTTCAAATCAAATAGTGATCGAAAGCGCTATCTGACGGACCAATTTTGAACTTTAATTCATGAAATTTTTCCAACGAGAAGAGATATCTATATCATACTATTCATTGGTCGTAATTCAAAAATTCCATTTGTTTAGTTACTTTTGTAACTTGTGGGCGATATGTAAACCGATTATTTTGTTTATTCACGACCTTTTGGTAATTATTTGATATAATGTGCATTAAAATTTTTACGTTCAGTAATAAGTAAAATCGAATTCATTTTTAGATGTAAATAGGTCCTACGTTCAAACCCTAAATCCATCTATCTATACAGAGTCAATGCCTAAACCACATTGAGTTGTAGTTAATAAAGAAAATGGCACGTTTTGGAAGGTTAATACATTCTATAGAAATTGGAAACTTTTTATCCACAAGGTAAAGTGATCTTTTATTATACCGCATTCATGTAGTTTACATACTCGTTCAAACAAGCTTTTATAGAAGTTTCCAATACGAATAGTATGGTTGGAATTTCAGTGATTATGCATATGCGTTGGTTTATTTTTGGTGATATAATTTCATCTAATAATTTTGCTTAAATTCGTTGTTGTACTATTTATAAAGGCAATTTATTAATTAATTACATTTATAAAAGTGTACAAACAGTTTCTTTCTTTGTTACATTGATTTTCGTTAACACAAAAAAGTGAATTCATTTTTATTTTAGAAATTACCTGCTAAGTTGTAACCGGAATTTGTCAAAAAATGTATTAAAATGTTCGCAAGAAGACACAATTCCAATAAAACCAAAGAAACCTGAAAGTCCATTCCTTTTATACATTCGAAGTATTAAGCCAAAGTTTATGGGAAAAGATGATACTGTGCCATATAAGGAATTCCTACCAGTGGCAGCCAAAGAATGGGCAAATTTGAATCCTAATGAGAAAGAATTCTTCAAAAGACAATATAAAACAAACTATGAAATATATGTTCAAGAATTAAAGGAATATGAGCATTCCTTAACTACAGAGCAAAAACAGTTATTAGTAAATCAGAAAATCAAAGAAAAGAATCACAAAACCAAATTAGAGAATAAACAGGTAAACACATTATATTCTTTATCGATTAATATCTTTTCATTGTTTTATCTAAAGTGAATTCCAGAAACAAGAAACTTTTGGAAAACCAAAACGACCACTAAATGCATTTATGTTGTATATAGCATCGAGGAAACATGAAAAAACTTCAGACATAACTTATACGGTATGATAAATTTACCTTTGATTAATAAAAATATATTACTTCTCTATTAAATAAAAATTAGAAAAAAAATAATGTTAATATTTATTCTTTGTTCGATAGTTTCATTGCTTTCTGTATTAATGGAACATCTTCGGATTAGTCGATTCATATGTTAAGTCTTTTTTTCTTTTTGTTCATTTTATTAGCAATGGGTGAGTTTATTGACAAAACATTGGCATAACATGACGGATGTAGAAAAGGAAAGCTATTTTATAGAGGCAAAACAGTTGAAAACAAAGCATATTGAAGACCTACAAAATTGGGAATCGGATATGCTGGATTTGGGTCATACAGACATTGTAAGACGCAAAACTCTAGGCACAAATGCATTGAAAAAAAAACAAAAATAAGACCTGAATTGTCTTGCATTTACTTCCTTTTTCTATAATAGATTTAAAGTAATTTAAATAAACCTAATACCCAATAATGTTATAACACGTAAGAATGCAGATTTTGAATACTTTATTTATATTTCATGTACAGAGTACTTATTATTCCGCCATAATATTTTCATTTTATTATTCTTATTTTGTAGATCTTTCCATAAATTACTCTGGGTTTTAAAATAAATTCTTAATTAAGAAAGTCGATTATTAGAATATCGTTTACTGCCGATCAGCAACTATATTTTGAAAAGAAATAATTTACAATCCCATACTTATAAAAAAAAATTGAATTTTTTTTAGTATCTATTCCGACTCAATTTGTAAGTAGAATGTAAAGAAAAAAGGTTTGCCATTTTAAAAAGAATAAGACAAATACTGTTTTCAATTATTTAAATCTTTTCAGTTGTGGTCATCGTATTGATGAATTTTAAAAAAGTTGAATGCAATATATGACATGTGAATTTATTATCTATACAAATTTAAACAAAATTCTCAGAATAAGCATTTTGTTTAGTTCCATTTGATATATAATGTCGCACATTTAAATCAGTTAAAATATGAAAATATATAGTATATTAAGGTAAAACTAAAAATATATAAAGCTAAATCTCCAAGTATTATGTGAAGAATTGTTACAAATTTTTTAAATTGGTAAATCAAATTGGGTTTGATGTTACATAAGATTAAAACAGCATGCAGTAAACTACCATATTGCGTTTCCCGCGTATTTTTACAACTGTACAAACGTGCCATCGCTATTGGAAAGTATGGAATTGCAATTGCCTGAAACATTTAATCAGTAATTATATATGAATGTATACGAGTATACATATAATTATACTCTACGAGTATAAACATAAAAGAACAACGAAATTGTTCGGTATTCCAATATTTTTTATTACCTTCCCAAATATATAATCCAGTTCTAGTAAAAATAGTATATTGACAAAGAGAGCTAACAATACATAATTTATACGGTTTGTTAATAATGCAAGCGGTAACAATTCTGTATGAGCAGGAGTATTTTGAATATTTTCAGTTCTTATATCGTCATAATCATTTCTGGAAGTAGTCTGTATGTCATTCCAAATATCATCGAATTTAAAAACATTTGTATCGTTAATGTCATTGTTACATTTCTCTGTAACAATATAACAAACGAATAATACCAAACATTAAGATCTTCTCTTGTACAGTCTGTATAGAAAAATGAATTCTGACCAGACGTGTTTATAAATTATAACAAATTGTTTACCTTCTGATTTTGTATAACTAGTTCGACCAGTAAGTTTTAACAAACGTTTTTCTGAATTTTCCAAGATTTTCCTTCTCCTTGCCTCTCTTCTAGCACTAATATCGTCCATGGCTTTTGTAATATGTTGACTAATCGGATGTTATAGGTTAGAATTTGTACTCGTTCGTAAGAAATAATTCATTAGATAAATTTCATACGACGAACAATACAAAGAATATATAATTTCAGACGATGAAAAAATGATTTTTGAAATTTAGGTGATCGATGCTTCGGTTTGTCACAACATATTCGCGATCGCACGTATTGGCGACGAATACTCAACACTAATCTTGCGTTCACGGATTTGTTTTGCGAATTTTTAAACACTTAATGAATAAAACATACGAATTACATTCTGTAGATCGCATACAATAATTCAACGAATTTAAACTTATTGTGTATTGTAAATTTGACTGTATTGCCTAGCAGTGGCTTCCTTATCATTTAGTAATAGTTGTAATTGATATTATTTGTATATGGCATATATTGTTACCAGCAAACAGACCAGTGTCCAGAAGAAACTGCCCCTCCACTTACGCACACACTGTACAACCACGTGTACCTGAGCTCCGGTGTTTCGGACAGCTTCGGGGATTCGAGAAAGAAGGCGAATGTGAGTTTTTACTATAGAATCTATACTATACTTCAGTGGTCTTTAACCTTTTGTTTTCATCGATCCTTTTTGACGGCCTAATGAAGCTCGTGGACCCTTTCTATGTAATATTCCTCGGAATAACGTTCCTATATGTTTTTTAATCAATGTTAAAAATCTTGACTCGCTTAAGCATAACGTATCAAACAGAATGAAACATCCGAATCCTCTAAGACTTTTTTAGTTTGAATTCTAGCTTAGTTTTAATTCTAGCACCGTATAATTCTATTTATTTAATACGACACGCATCATTTATATATATGTAACATTAAAAAATGTACTATACAAACGTAATTTAAACTACGTATCGCAAAAGATTAGGTTGTCTATTCATGTGTGTGATTGTACAATGAAAACGCGGCGTATGTTTAAGGCATTCTAGCAAGTACGTTTGCATTTTTGATGAATTCCGGCTGTGCTTCGCGGCTTTTTGGCGGGTTAAAGATTTTGTCGGTATTTCACGAATTATATTAAAAATTTAACGAAACGTAAGGATGGGTGATAAAGACGGCGGTAAGAATAAGATTTGTTGTTTCGTAACCATGATAAGTTTTCTAATTGTTCATATAATTACAGCGGTCAGTTGTTCGTTCAAAAGACGCTTTCGTATTATAGTAAACAAGATTACTTTAAGCAAGAAATTTATATAAATTTATTTCTGTTAGAAATAAAATACGTTTCTCAAAATCGAATTCACCTTTAATATTGAATTATGGCTATGATCAAACGCTAAATGTTTCTGTATTGTGAAATGAAAAGGTTTAAGAATATGATTCGTATTTAGTGACCGGCAGGTTATATTATCGCGAAAGTCACCGATTCTATTAATTGAAACTTTAATCTGATTCTAATGTTGCGTTCTATTTGATTTTCCATAAACAGCTAAGTTAATCTATATAGAATATTTTTTTGTATAAACTAAATATTTTTCAGTTTGATATACCTTCTTTTTCATCATTTTTTAATAAAGTTATGCGATGTAACTGTTTCCGTTTAATATTTACGTTTACATTGATATTTTATTAATATTAATATGTTTACTCCATATTCTATCTCATTGCAGAGACTTTTGATGATGCTGTAGAGGAAAGAGTTATCAACGAAGAATATAAAATATGGAAAAAAAATACTCCCTTTTTGTACGACCTTGTGATGACACATGCTCTAGAATGGCCATCTTTAACCGCCCAGTGGTTGCCTGATGTAACAAGACCAGAGGGAAAGGATTACTCTGTACACCGCCTTATTCTGGGTACACATACTTCGGACGAACAGAATCATTTACTTATCGCTAGTGTTCAATTACCAAACGAAGATGCTCAGTTTGACGCCTCTCATTATGATAATGAAAAAGGCGAGTTCGGAGGATTTGGTTCTGTTAGTGGGAAGATAGAAATTGAAATAAAGATAAACCACGAGGGAGAGGTAAACAGAGCACGATATATGCCACAAAATCCTTGCGTAATCGCAACTAAAACACCATCTAGCGATGTTTTAGTATTTGATTACACAAAACATCCTAGTAAACCAGATCCAAATGGTGAATGTCAGCCTGATCTAAGGTGAGTAAGAAAAACTATCTTTTTGAACAAAGTTTATACGTAGTTGATATATCTATAAATTTTATTCGCTAACTTTCGATCAGATTGAGAGGACATCAAAAGGAAGGTTACGGCCTTTCGTGGAATCCAAATCTCAATGGATACCTGCTCAGTGCGTCCGATGATCATACTATCTGTCTGTGGGATATTAATGCGCCACCTAAAGAAAATCGCGTTATAGATGCGAAAACAATTTTCACCGGGCACACGGCTGTCGTCGAGGATGTAGCTTGGCATCTATTGCACGAATCTTTATTTGGTTCTGTTGCGGATGATCAAAAATTAATGATATGGGACACAAGGTAATTATTTATCATTGTCATCGACGAAACAAATAGGTAGAAAATATGATAATTTTTCAATAATTTATAGGTGTAACAATACCAGCAAACCAAGTCATACGGTCGATGCTCATACTGCTGAAGTTAATTGTTTAAGTTTCAATCCGTATTCGGAATTCATTCTCGCGACCGGTAGCGCTGATAAAACGGTAGCGCTCTGGGATTTAAGGAATCTTAAACTAAAGTTACATTCGTTCGAATCGCATAAGGATGAGATCTTCCAAGTACAGTGGTCACCGCACAACGAGACGATATTAGCCAGTAGTGGTACAGACAGGCGCCTACACGTATGGGATCTTAGTAAAATTGGCGAAGAGCAGTCTAGCGAGGATGCCGAAGATGGTCCACCCGAATTACTGGTACATTCGATATTTTTACTCATGGGGACAGTGGATTCGTACCGTAAGAAAAGAAAAGTCACGTGTCTGTTTGAATTTTACAGTTTATACATGGCGGCCACACAGCAAAGATTAGTGATTTTTCATGGAATCCAAACGAACCGTGGGTTATATGTTCAGTGTCAGAGGATAATATAATGCAGGTGTGGCAAATGGCAGAAAACATTTACAACGACGAAGAACCGGATACGCCAGCCAGTGAACTAGAAGCTGGTGCTTCATAAACCGTGAGAAATAATAAAGATTAAATTATTTGATATTGACATTTTCTACCAACATAAACGTATCCTCGCGCGAAACCAACTATCCGAACTAGTATAAGGAAAACGTTAAAACGAAAAAGATCATCAAGAAGCAATAACGCCTATTTTTATTACCAATTCGGAAAGCCCGTTTGCCAAGTTATGTGCACATTTACAGAAATGATTAATTGAGCGTCGAATAACCGTGTTCAGTGTTTCCTAGACGTGATCGATGCTTGTACTTCCCTGATCCTTGTAAGATTATAAGACACCTTATGTATGAAATTATCGGAAAATCAGTTTTTCCGTGGATTCTGTGATGTAATTTCTTACGTTCGTATAAAGTTGCGTCCCAAAGTTCTATGATTTCCAACGAAAGGTTCATTTTTTTGGGTTTAATCTTATCGGATACCGTAATTAGTGTATTTGTTTGAAAACAAATAATTATGTAAGACAAGATTGTTTCGGTAGTAGGAAGATTTTTATTCGAATTTAATCAAGTATTATTTGTTCGATAACTCGAGTATTACGGTAAAATGTGTTATTTCTCTGTTCGAAACGTTAACAAAAAAAAAGGAATGATATACGCACGCATCGTCGCTGGTATTTATACAAGAGAATATTATTTTTTTTTTCTGTTTATTTTTGTATCGTTTTGCGTTATTAGTGTCGATATATTTTTACTAAATCAGCGAGGGATGGAAACATTGTAGAAACATGTAATGAAAACACAACGAAGAGGTGACGAGTTTTCGACGATTGTAAAGTGATAGTTCATTCTTCCCCTTTATATTCGACAGATGCAGGTATCTTGGGTGTCTTTTAATACTTTAAATAATAAAGTTGACCGTACATGTACAACTTTTCTTTATTCGTTTTTCCTTATTTCTTGTCTTCTTCTTACTTTTTTCCATTAAATATATCATCGTTGCATCGTCGTTAGGATCGAAACTATTTTTTGGCACTTGGTAGAGAAACGTACGAGTACACGATCCCCAGACCTCGATTAAATGAACGCGTCCAAGGATCGCGTACCGAATAAACTTTGTTCCCACAATTATACAGCCGTGTTCGAAAGTTCGTTGTATATTTCGTCGAGCAATGAATTCTCGCAGACCGTGTCCGGTCTGTGCAGAGACACTGCATCGACGTCGACGGTATCGTCCAAGCTTGCGAGTCTGTAAAAGCAGGAAAAGTGGATTTAAGTTTTAACGATTGTTACGTTCCATGTTAATGTTGATTAATCTCGGATCTTTGGCGTCATTACCAAAATTTGCGTGTTAAATACACGTCGCTTATAGAGCGTGACCTCTGCCTGTTGTGCATGCAAAATGAATCTTTAGCGAAATAGAAAAATGGCCAGCAACAAGTCTATACGATATTGGCGTAGCGTATTCGTTACCTCTTATTGACGTTTTGTCGTTTAATGCCGTCGAGCAAGTTGACGATTGGCGGTGTTAAAGTTGGTCGAAATATCTACGAGAAAGACTGGCAGTAGGTAACTAATATTAACGGAACAAAATGATGGATAATTCTTACCGTTACGGGAGCGCTTCGCATTTCACGTAGATCGATGTTTCTGAATAAATCATGAACGAGAAGCTCTTGTATGATTTTCTGACGGTTCGTTGGTTCACCGAATATAAATTTCAGTAACTCGACGACCTGTACACGTGAACGGTTCGATCAGTTCCCACCAGTGCGAGGAAGGCCCGTGTATTTTTTCATGGACTCGCGAATAAATTAAACGACGATCGATCGAAGCGCGTTATTCGATTGTTCGTCGTCGATCAAACGTTGCAGATATCGCTGCTGCTTAAATTTTTACGAGCCCATGAAGAAATCGGACCGAACGACAATACTGTATGTTAAAGAAAGAAAACGGAAACGATCTGACGAGCGTGTGTGATAGATAAATAGATAGATAGATAGATAGATAGAGAGAGATTTGTACTTGTGGATACATTTCAAGATCCGAGAGATGCACGGAATTCGGTTTAAACGATCGTAATTCGTAACCAGCGCACATTTCAAATAGCATATGACCTAGAAGGATATTTAGACAGTGAAAAATAACGATGGTTGTGGCTCGATCGAGTAGTCGATGGAAATTTATCTTACCGAAACATATAGTGTCGATGGAAGTGGTTGGTTGCGACATTCGCGACGTGATCACCGGATGTATTCGACTGGTGAATCCGAGAAGCGTGTTCTCGAGGCCGGCGAGCCGCGCGACACCGTTTTGTACGAGCACGTTTCCCGAGTGTAAATGGGTCACGGTTGGAAATCCTCTTTCTTTCAAAAAAATCAACGCTTCCAACACTTGACGTCCCATTTGTTGAACCTGAGGCAAGGGGAGTCCCTTACCGCGAGAAGCGTACTTTTGGCCCCAATCTTCGTTCCAGCCGGTTCTTTCAATCTACCGAATAGCACCGACATCACGTTCAAAAACTCGTCATTTCTCTCCGTTTATATATCTTTTCTTTTTTTCATTTCGCGGCTACCCGACGCTATCGTATCGTTTACTCACCCCGTATATCAAGTCTTTCAGACTACCTTGGCTGATCGGCTGAACCAGGATAACGTAATTCTGATTCTCGTATTCGAGGAAATCGATATCGAATATAGGACATATGTACGGATGTTGCAAGGCTAAGAACAAATCGTTCAAGATGTTTTTCGTCAGGGGAGAAATGCTTAACGAACAGTTTTTGCTCAATGGAGCTAACGTGATCAGCCGGTCGGTCTTTAGGGAGTTGTCTCTCACCGCGAACCAGTGTTTGTCCATTCTCGAGCCTGGAATATCACCGGAAAGATCAAAAGACCTCGGTAGTTTTATTTTTTTGTCAAATTAACATTCACACATGGCCTTTATTAAATTTACTGATATCAAAGTCCTTGCTCTACTAAATTCTGTCGTCTCTGGCTACTTTGGTTTCTTCTTGAAACACACTACCAAACTTGGTGTACACGGATAGTGGATCGGGTGGTCGTTGAGGAAGGACACTCGTTCGCCGCAGAATACTTACGTACGCGTTTACGTGCTCGTTCTTGCACGTATACTGGAAAATAAAAGATGCAAAGCGAGCTTACCGAGATTATTCAGCTGCTTGATGAGACTGTAGCGCGGCGTTCCTCGGATATAAACCTGACAGATTGATAAGGCACGGTCTCGGGATCTTCTCTCCATTTCCATGTACTCGCCGACGTCCTCGCAAACGGACGGTCCGTGACCCAGTGCCGTGTAATTGTGTCTTCCATTTCTATCGCGAGCAAACAACGAAGAAATTTAGCTCGATCTTGTTCCCTTTCGCTACCAGGAATCGATTTCCGCCGTTGCAAACGCGCAAAGTTCTTTTTCATGCGCCTTTCAGTATTCCAACGATTAGATATTCAGAAGTAATCGTCGGTCTCTAACGATCTTTTGTGTCAAAACGGAAGACATGGCACTTGTTGCTAACAATAAGTGATTATCCCTTACACAATGCAACAACGGACGGGGTTCGTACCCAAATATCGAGCTTCCACTACCTTGAATTGCCTCGATGATGAAGCAACTATCACAGGTATTTGCATACCTGACGTATGGCAAGCCTACTTGTTGTCTGAGAGGTAATCGTGACGGGTAGTGTAAGGAACGAGAATGAAAGTAGAACAAGTAATACCTATCGTTCGGAAAATCATAATCGTGTTTAACAACAATTTCTTGGCCGGGTGAATGGTTTCCCGAGTGATCCCAATAATGGATTAGACTCCAGAAGCAACGAGTACAAACTGGATCGACCGCGTTACCGTTGCCAGCGAGCAGCCATCCGTGCCTACGAACGGAAGGGTTTCATCCAATTAGGCGACAGTTGTAAAATAATATCGAGGTTGTCGACGTACTCCCGACGCCTCACGGCTTTCGATTTTTCTACAGTTCGCGAATAAACTTAGCTTATCCCACCGAGTGGAACTTCTCGAATTCCTATTACCCTCTGCAACCTACGTTTTATCGTTTTAACAGTTTATTATTCGGATTTATATTACTTAAAATCGATAAACACGCGCGTGGAATTCGGAGAAAAAAAAATTTCACTCGAATGTCACCTAAACGACCGTGGTTGCGTCGTCGGTATACGTTTCCCTCGAAATTTAACGTTCTGCAAGCAATCCCTGTGACGATCGTCAGTGTGTCGCGATAGCGTCGTCATAATTAAAAGCCTTGATCGAGACCCCACGTGCACGTTATTTCGTTCCTTGCTGGCCACGAATAGCCACAGCCCTACTTTTTAATAGGGATAGAGTGCAGTTTTCACGGAGTTTTCACTTATCGCGTCGACGCGTTCCGATCGAAAATCGTTCGGATCGACCACGTTCGTAGGCACTTATAGCGATCGCGCGTTTACCGTTCAACAGTCGAACCGTTTGTAAACGAAAAGCCAACTTGGGTACTTGTGTATCGTAGTTGAGAGACCGAAGGATACTCGAGGTCGATCGATAGTCTTCGGTGAAAGAAATCTTGGAAACGGTGTCTCCGTTGGGCACAGTGTTAACTGGTTCGATTCGAAGCGCAGGTAGCAACACAATTCTGCTGTCGTTAGCTGTAATCGAGTAACTCTGCTGCTATCGATCGTACCAAACGTTTCTCTTTCTCTCCCTCTCTTCCTTATTGGATAGGTAATCGATAATATTGGGTTGTTCGAATAATTCGAGGCGAAATTTCTCTTCCCCCAACAGGTGTGTCGCGAAACGCTCGTAATAAATTAACCCTCGCTCAGCGGACTCCGGGTCCGTTTAGACCCGTGCAAATTATTTCTATCAGAGTCGCGAATACGCAGGGTAAAAAAGAAATAACATTTTTTCGTTCGAGGTCTTGTTTTTTTGAGAAAATATCGAGTATTTGGACTTTGGTGCAAGTAGAAAAAGCGATTAATGGTCAGACGCGGCATCGGTAAAACTTTCTTCGGGTGTAATTCATATTTTCGTATAGCTAATGACGATTCTTCAGTCAATCTCCACGATCGTTGTCGTACAACGCTATTATACAGGGTGGTACAAGTGCCAACGAGGCTTTGATCTCAAGAAAAACAACTTTGAGAAGGTACGCGTCAAGTTGCATAGCAAGTTCGTGAAAATATCTGTTGAGTCGAGGCAACCTAGGGCGCGTGCCCAGGAAATTTTCGAATTTAGCGAGCCTAAATTTCGTTATCATCCTAGTTCCTATCCTAGTTTTGTCACGGTGTGTAGCTAGACTGTTGCAATTACCTGACATCGGACTCCTTGCAGCCCCTTGCGGCGGACACGCGACTAAATAATATTTTTGCTAGATTGTCGATTTTATTAGTCAACTGGTAGCCCTTCTCATCGTCGCTGTCTTCGTCCTCGATGCTCGCGCTTCTTCCACGGCGCAGAGTTCCCCGCGCGGATACTATAGCCTCGGAATCGAGTTCGATGGCACTCTGGGTCCTTCGATTGACGGCACGACGTTTTCGCCGCGTCTTCGGACGTTCCTGCCAGAATCTGTCGTGCCCGGTGACCACCGGTTCCTTGTGTTCGTCGTCCCTCTTGTTCAAATTCTGATAAAGGTTGAACATTTTGCGCGAGTTCCCTGCCCCGCCGCGCGCCGTTTCGGATCGTCGACCGCCGTATCCGCTCCGCCGGGTAATAAATAATTCCCTATGCCTTCGTTCGCGATGCTTCAACGTGCTCGTTGCATCGAACCGTACACATACGCGGTGAAACAGGCGTTCGTTGTCACCATTAGAGGCTCAGCGAGTCCCGACTTTCATTCGGACAATGAGCTTTCCTTCTCAAAAACGAAAATTCATTTTTCCGTTCTTCTCGGCTCTCTCCAACGTCGAACAAGTCCGTGAGACGCGTGGCATCGTTCGTTGCAGGACGATCGTCCCGAAGGATCGCACGATGTTTCGTTGTTCTTCCTACGCGGTGCTCCCTCGGTGGTTGTAAATCGTTTTCATCGTTACTACTATTTTAGCTCGTCCTGTTACGCGGACGATTATATCGGGAAACGAGGTTCGCCCGTGTACGCGCGACTCCTCTCTACCGAATTTGGTCCCCCGTTGTCAGCGACTAATCGCCGGCGTTAGGCCAGAGATAGGCCTTGCACTAGGATGAAAAAAATGGTTTGCAGAAGTAGGGTAAGAGTGCAGGGATGCGCGCGGTACTGCGACACTACGAACCGCGCGCGCCGCGACGCAAACCGTCTACCTACCCACCAGACCCGGCTGGAACACCGACGAACACTGACCGTCGACTCCCGCGTTCAGCACCTGCTTCGCAGCCCGGCCTGACTGACACAGATTCGCTGCACTGGTAGTTGGACAGCTGGTACGGTTCACCGTGGGTACTCTTCACTGCGCAATCACGCTCTTGCCATTCGCGAACGGGAAAGTTACGTTTTCGAATGAAGAGCGCCGACGATAACGATATCCGTCCGCTTCGTCTATCCCCTAACGTTTCTACGATTTTTTACGGATTCGTACGTATCGTAACTCGTCCGAGAATCGACCTCTTCTTCCATGAATTTATCTACGTATCGCAGCCTGCATTAATTGCAAATGAAATTAATTAAAAAAAAAGATATTCACGTAGAGAGAAATTTATATTCGTACGAGTAGTTTATTATGCAATGCACGTTTAATCCTTCAAGTTCCAAAAGTCTATCACGAATATCTGAATGCTCTTTGTTTCTTCCTTCCTTTGCGAATTTTAGTAGGGCAACGTCATCGATCTGGATTTTCTCTCGATCGTCCGATATTTTCACTGAAAATCATGGTTTTCAACAATTGATAGCGATCGAGGACGAAAAACTCTATAAGGATAACGTAGCGGATATTGTAAAATAAAATTGGCGTTGGACAGTGTAATCGGGTTTCCGATGCACGCTGGAATAGTAAGAGATTAAGCTGCTACCGTCTACTTAACGGAAACCTCACGATTAAGCGTTCGGTACTGTCTGGTTTGATGTAGCCTGTCGCTTGTCTTTTTTTTCATGGCTGTCAAAATATAATAAAACGTGTCGTGGAAAAATCACAAGGTCAATGCATTTATGTTTATGCGTAAAGTAACTTACCGGAATGCACGTGAGGTTCTATCGAAGCATTATTCGCAAACAAAATTAGAACAGGACGGCTTGTTTTATTGCAAATTTCAAATCTCACGATAAAAACAATGACGATTCGATGGTTTCTGTAACTTCATTTCGTTCGAAGCTCGTTGTTGTGCAACGTAACGTTGTAAGAAAATATGAATCCGATTAGATTTGGTTAAAACTAGGGCAACTGAGCGTGTTTCAGATTCCTCTGACCCCTGCGCTGAACTCGAAGACCGTGTACGAACTTTAATCTCGCTTTGCACTTTTACGGCTGCACTCAGGGACGTTTGAAGAAAATTGCTAATTATTGTTAGTCAGGAAAATATCGTTTTCGAAACTACTCTGTTGACTGATTAACACAAATTTATTTTTGTAAAATGTATAAACAGTTAATAAACATAATCAGTCGATATACAGTTTATCCATAACGTGGATCAGTGGAGATTCTTCGATTTTTCTCGTGCGATCATAGTTTTACACTGCAACGGCCAATTTTGTATTGGACGTCCATTGTAGACCTACGCGTAAACGATATTGTATTTGTCGCTTATTCTATATGTATGCTATTACAGTAAGTCATCCACTTACGCGGTTAATTCGTTCCGAAGCTTTTAAGCGCGTGACAAATTGTATAAATATCAAAATACGGTAAAATTTTTAAAATCAAAGCTACGAATCCGCGTAACTCGAGGACTCACTGCACGGAAATAAGTATAGAACGTGTTATTACTTCTGACATAAATTCCAAACAAGCGCGTCGAGAAAATTCATACTCTGCTCTAGGTCCCCATTTGTATTCAATTTTTGATGAGTCATCCTTGTCCACGACTATTTTATCGAGATACTTTTGGGCAACAAATATCTGAACACGCAATAGTGTTGGATCAATATTATTCTTCTATCGAATTTGTAATATCGTGTAATACCTTTATCCCTTTCTTCTTACCTCGTCTATATAGTGTACAACATTGCCGAAGTAATAGTGATGGGTGTTGTCCGAGCATGTAATACCCAAATTTTTAAGAAACTGCCACAGTAATTCTAAAGCGTTTTTGAAAACGTTAACGGTATATTTTCATCTCTCGCGATTTTCTTCGGTAACGTTTAAAAGTTACCTTTGGTAGAGGATCCCTCGAGCATAAAGATGTGCGTGAGCACTAAAAATAACAGTATTTGTTGTTTACTTTGGGACTCGGACAAACGAATGTGCGATGTCGCGTTAGCTATTTCGTTCGCCAACATGTATTTGTTACCCTCCAGTTCCACCAAATGGTATCCAAAAACCTATCAATGCGTATCATTATGCGAAACGAATTGTAGCAAATAACGGGAAATTAAATTTTCGATTATACCTTTGATAATATATTTTTTGCTTCGGTCATCACTTTATGAAAATGTTTCCCCTGATTGCCAAAAATGTTCTTGATTATGCGTGATTTACTTATAATCTGCTTTTTCTTGTCTAATGCAAAAAAATACTTTATCAAGGTACAGACACGTTGATTTTCTACTTCATCAGCCATAAACAGTTCTTCATCAACATGTTCCCTTCGATTATGCCTCATCGTTTGATTATTTCTACTTCTGCTTTGAAGAGGTTGAGACAAAGTTGTAACATTTTTGATTCTTGGCCTGTTGCTCGTTTGTGACAAAAATTTAGTTTGGTGTAAGCTTGACTTCCCTTTTTGTGGTAAACCTGTGCAACCAAATAGAGTTGGTCTAGTTTATATGGATGTAAGGAATAGAAAACATAAATTAAATACTCCATTGTAGTGATTTTTAATCTATGATCCACGGGGCCCAAAGGGGCTGTAAAAAAATATCTAGGGGTCTACAAACTTACACATGGAAAGTCAGGATTTTTAACACCGATTAAAATACATTGATTCAACTAATATTTGGGAACGTTATTCTGAAAAACGTTGCATAGAAGGACCCATGAGTTCCATTAGACTATCAAAAGGGGTCCGTGGAAAAGAAAAATGTTAAGAACAAATGTTTTATTGTTACTACGTACCCATTTTACACAGTAGCCAATAAAAACACGTTATTTAAAAATACAGTATATATGTAACGTGTAAATCTGACAATTTAGGAAAGAATTCTTTATTCAGATTATATTTCGAGGTTAAGAGTGCACGTTACGCGCGTTGAATGACGCCAAAACACATTTACAATACAATACAGACAAGGTATATCTGACTGCCATACCGACCAGAAAATTCGGAGGTGATTTTAGCGCCCTCTCTTCATGGATGGCTTTCTTTACCAACGGAGATGACCTTACTTATCGTTAGTTGAAAATTTTCATTTGAACTATAGATGAGATACAGTGCAGACGTTTCATCTTATGAGTTTTGATGTTACTCGAATTGAAGAACCAATTTCATAAGAAATCAGTGGTTTTAGGACAACTTCGTGCATTTATCCGTGAGAGGAACATCTTTTCTTTGAATCAGATGACCAGAGGAAGGCAACTGACGGTCATATTCTTGTCAGGTATAGTGCATAACCTATTAACAGCTTTTTATACGAGATTGGACGAGATATTCATGCGAGCGTAAGCACAGGTTTTTATACGTTCTGTGCCAAGTCATTTTTGCATTACTTTGTACATATTTAGGTCAAGTGTACTTAAAACAGTATATGGTGAAGAGTTTGCCACTAATTTAAATTGTTTCCCGGCTATGACAACGGATCGCCACTTGCCATTTCTTACTGTGAAGTTCACAAATCCACCATTGGTGTCTTGGCGTTTGTACGCGGGTGTTCGCATCTACGTAAAACGGCGAAATTGGGTAAATTTTATTCGCGAATAACGATTAAAGATGTGAGATTCGTTCGTAAATTAGAACTAAGTTAAATAAAAGCGAGTTTACTAATGAGTGTAATAGTTTTATTCGTTATTCGTGAATGAAATTTGTTCAATTTTGCGAAACGGCTAGTCGGCATTTCTTGGTCGATTTTGATTTGTGGGTTAGAATACAGCACGGTAAAAGTGGCGCTATCTTCATCTTGTTAGTGATGATATATTGATTACATAGCTACACTCTTATTATTGGTAAGCATCACGATGTATTATTTGAAATTTATACATTCTTTATTGTGTAAAGTACATATACGTGTTACGTCTTTTGCTATTGTAATATAATAATACGATCACACTCGTATTAGGTTGTTTAGACTCGACATACGAGTATACGAGTATAAACGTAAATTATGATTCTAGCATTCGATTTTAATGGAAAGCATGATGGCCGTTGCCATGGTTACCCCGCTTGTTATTTTGCGTAGTGACGAGAGATGCGTTTTAAAGGATCAATTGTTACAAATCGATACCGAAAGAATGACGAACAATACAGAAAACGAGTAATAGTGATGTGTATTTCTACTCGTATTAGGTCGTTTAGACTCGATATACAAGTAAACGTAAATTATGATTCTAGCGCTCGATTTTAATCGAAATCAAGATGGCCGTTGCTATGGTTACGTCGCTTGTTATTTCGCGTAGTGACGAGAGATGCGTTTTAAAGGATCAATTTTCGCAAATCGATACCGAAAGAATGACGACCAACACAGAAAACGAATAATAGTGGTGTGTATTTCTACTCGTCGTGTTTGGTTTCAAGATGGTGTACCAATACAAGGTATAGTTAATGCATATACGAGGTCGCATTAAGTACATATTTGTCAGTGAACGAACAACGAATTTGTTACGTTCGAGGTAGAAATCGTAGAAAAGCCATTCGTTTTGTCTATTCGCTGATAAGGCGACTGAATCCATAGTGAATTGTTATATCTGCATATGTAGAATAAAATTAATCAGTAATTAAGTCGTACTATAATTCATTTAGAACTGGAGAATTTAAAAATAGTAAATGTTACAGGTGGTTCTACGACGTTCGACCGAGATTGTTCACCATAATATCGCCTACTTTTGCAAATAAACGTTCGAAGGAATCGACATTTTCTACAATTGGCAGGTCAAGACTGACAACAATGGGTAAGTGATTTTATGTGTGTACTTAACATTAATTCATTGGGAATCTAAAATTTCAATGACCAAACCATGTTATAAACATAGGCGAGAAAAACGCGATTAAAGTATTGTTACTGTTTTCGTGAAATAAGGAGTATAGACTCAGGATATTCGAGAAGAATTGGTATTTTTAAAGATTCATAATAGAATAATTCCTTAATAAAGCTTTCAAGGACCTACGTTTATATAACAGTTTTTTTGTTAGGTTTTTATATTGACAAAGTTTGGCTATTCAAATTTGAGATACACTGTATAAAGAATGAATTTCACACAAAATAATTTTTCATATTGTTAAACTTAAAAGTCGTATTACATTTGGCTGTGTAATTTTTAATTTGTGCCCAGAGCTAATTGTAAGTTGGGCTTAGTTCATAGTGATGTACTTGCAGTTAAAGTATAATTTTCTTATGATTACTTGCCATTGCGTTGCGCTCCTGATACATTTTTCGATAGAACGTCGTGTTGATGCAACGGACCAATGAAATGGTCAGGTAACAAGCTTTGTTTACATCCAACTTTATCTTCTTAGGAAACGTAGCGGAGTAGTAGATTCTTAAGACGCTTGAGAATAAAAGGAACGCATACAGATTTATTCGTGTGAAATTTTCTCGTTGTTGGTCTCCACCGACAGCGTCCAAAATGTCGCACAGAGGAGAGTGTGAAAGGATCGATGCGATGCGACGCGAACGAACGAAGAAACGCATCGCGTATCACGTGGTTCGTGAAAAAAAAAACGTGCTCTGGTGGCTGTATTCGTTTTTTGCCGGAGAACTCTGTCAAACGACTGGCTCCGTTGGTTCTTTCTCGAACACCCTGTACACTGGTCTGCGCGCACCGTCGCGAAAGAGCGGAGGAAACTGGCTTGTATGCGAGAGCTTGGCGCCACACTGTCGCATCCTATATACAGAATCGCTCTCGCACCGACTACACGAGGAGCACATACTTGGACAGAACACGTACGCACTGCGTGCCTACGGGGGAGAGATAGAGAGACAGATAGCGAGGGAGTTGCGGCCGATTCTTGCAAGAGAACGGTATCGTTCTCTTTGCTCGTTCTTCCTTGTATTTGGTCTTCCGTTTCTTCTTCGCTTCCCTTTATTAAATTTCCACCTCCCCCCCTCTCGTTAGTTTCCTACGACCGAAACCTTTATTGGTTTTCCAAAGTTTCGGTTTTACGGCCCGATTCGGTCGGACCTTGGATCATCGACACCAGGGTACCGAAAGTAACTGTTTCAAACTGTTATATTAGGTCATAGGTTTGTGTCGAATTTTGCACTAGAACTTGAAGCAATATTTCAAACGTACCATGGAATTTTAGGGTAAACGATATATCAACCCCCTCCCATTATTTTGATTTTCCATTAGAGTGGTCAAAGAGAGGTGCTTTTATATAGTAAGAAAAAGGAAAGGACTAGTTAAAATTAATATGTGTTTGAAATACATCGTATGTAGTCGTGTAGAAAATCGATCCAGAAATTGAATCCCCCATAGAGGATGTTTGTGGTTTCTCCGGTGGCGTACCGGCAGAGAGCCGAGATGCTGCGTTAATTAAGCGCAGGTACCGATACCTTGTCACCCGCCATTTGCCGTTCGTGTCCGCGTTCGTTAGGATAGTCGCGACCTACACGCATACAGAAATCGGGACACAAGGTACGGTCGATCCGATTTGTAGCGAACGATTCTGTTCGTCCGGTACCAAAACGCGATCAAAAAATGCGCGCGGAAAAGGAACGCGTTACGGTCTCGGTTACGATGAAACCTCTGCGCTATCGTGGACCACGTTCGCGTCTCCTTTTTTCCCTTTTGTCCCCTTTAGCCAGAAACCAACAGACGATTTGTTCTCTTCCACTAACATAGCGCCGACGTTGTTTTCGATACCAGAGAGACGGATACGTAACACGACTACATAGTAGAGCAGGCATCGAGCCAGCGAATCGCCGAACCGGCAATCTAGTCAGCCAGACAGCCAGTCAACCGAGCAATTAGACGAGCAACAGCGAGCCACATGGCAGTGAAAAAGGGAAGTGGAAAATAAAGTAGAATGATTGGCTCGATGCCTGGCGCGGTATAGACGGGAGATCGAAAGATCGGTTTTGTCGACCTACGTAAGATCCACGATTAACGCATCGCAGACAACCTTAGCCGCATATTTAACAATTTAGCAAGAGAACAATTAACTCTTGCGCTAGAATTCTTGGATCGTACTAGAACACGTATCGTCCTGGGGGTTCCCCTGTTTTTGGTAGTCGGAAAACCATAGCGATTCCGTCGGGCCACGTGTTAAATCTCACGACGAAAACCATGCGTCCACGGGCGAAAGAATCTCGTGGGGAGACGAGGAGGAGGAATCGAATCGCGAAGCGACGAGCAGACCGTGGTCTCGGAGGAGATTGTTTTGCGCTCGGCTGGTATACCGCGAATCACGCTTACCAGGAGACTGGGAACAAGGTCCGGGAGTAGGAGCAAACGTGTACGCACGCATTCGCGTAGGTCGTTCGACGTAGCGACCGGCGACCGGCGACCGGCGACGGTCAGCTGGCGCCAACGCTCTGGCAACCTCCCACCAGACAGTATTTCGCCTCGTTAATCTTGTTTTATGGTCACCGCTCTACCTAAATTCCGCGACTGTTTTCGTCTCCCTATGTTCTGCGTGACTCGCGACTCCGTAACTCGAGACCCGGTATATATTTCCGTGCATCCCTATACTCTTGGATCTCCATCTTTCACGGTGGACCTCCTTTCTTTTCGACCCAAGAATCCCAGAGCAATTTCAATCAGCGTCGTATCGAGGCTTTCCAAGTTTGGAGAACAGCGAAACTCCCATATCCGTGGGGGGTTTGGTTCCAAGCCTTTAAAATCATCATTATATTTTATATCCGTCTCGTTCCTCGATTATTGTTACGTTCACGGTTTCACGGTTATAGCGTAAAGCCTCCTCGAGCCCTGAAAGTAATTACCATCGAAGAATAATTGTACCACGGTATCGTTTACATAATTCCACGTTGCGTCGGTCTGCGTTCGATGCACGGTTAGCGTACTGATCGGCCGTTGACGAACGTGTCCCGAACAGGAGACGTTTGATTGTCTCTGGACGAGATGCAAAGCATGGAATTAGTCGTTGTCAAACAGCGGGATCGCCGGCGCGTCGATGTCGACGTCGATATCGTTCGAGGGTACGGCGTAGCGCGGTAATTTCGTCGCGTTCTCTTTGTAAGAGAGTCAAGAGCCGTCCGATCCAAGGAGCCGATTATTATTCGCGGCGTGTACCCGCCGAAAATTAAGCGATGCTCATGAAAGCGGGTAAACGCACCTGCGCTCCGCAGCAGGTGCGCGAGTACAATTTCTCGCCGTGTCGGATCCGCTCGATGCAGTGTGAATGGCGACGAGTAGGCACCGCAGCCGTGCATCGCGGCCCGTTTCGTTTCACGTTCCGTACCGTTTTCTCAATTTCCGATCCGTTCGCGTTTCCCGTTACACGGCACCGTTGAAAAAATCAATTTTTATTTCACCTTCGAAAGGAAACTCGATCAACTGTATCGCGCGAGTGATCGATTCGTATAATCGACGGTCGCGCAGCGTGCGCTCGATCGACTACGCGTCGCGACACAGCCAAGGGTATCCCTAACATGGGCATCGTGTAGCGCCTCGCCAGGAGAGACAGAGAGAAAACTCCGGAGCGCAAAAACACATCAGCCCTTCTGTTCCCGGTGGTCCCGTTTTTGCTCTTGGCTTTTGCGACTGTCGTTTTACTTACCTCGTACAATTCGTTTCCTCTTCCTGTCAACGCTCGCAAACTAACCAGGAGAGGTCTCAGAGTGTGAAATCACCTTTTGCACAATTGTCTATCGAGGAGTACGAGTACGAAAACTCTGTACTTTCTTCCCTCTCTCTGTAACCTGGAACGCTTTAGCTTTTCTTCCGTATCGATTCCCTGATAGTTGTTTCTGTTCGAAATCGATTTCTTTGCGGAAATCGATCATCCTCGGGTCATAAGACGCGTCGAAACGCGGATAAACGCGGCGAGGCTGAGCGAACCGATACGATGCGATGGCGGGAGCATCGGAGGCCGGTTTTCGAGCAGGTAGCTCCTCTCGAGTCGACGTCATTGCCACCTGCTGCACGAATGCTCTCGGAACGGACGGGTAGACAAACTGGATGGAATGACGGCAATTCCGAAAGCCCGGAAGGAAGGCAACAAAAATTGTTACTTTCACGAACGATCGTTGGTTTTTTTCTTAAAGACCAAGGATCGCTAGACGCGTAATTCGCCGATCGATCGACGGCTCCTTTAGATTCGACGTGCACGATCCGCCCAACACCCACGTTTTCGCACAGATTCGCAAACGCGCTCTTATCGTCGAGTATTAGGCGTTAACTCGTCGCCACGCTGATAACGAACGCGACTTCGCGCAGGTTGAGACTACGCCCCAATAATCTAGCGGCAACCGGTTACGTCTATCGCAGAAATGGGCATAATTTTATTCCAACGATGCGACGATCGAACAGTTGTTACAAGTTTCGATACGAGATACGCCTAACTCGTTCTATAATTGAAACTCTAACTTTGTTCTACCCTTCGTAATAACTTCTAATCCATCTCCAACAAAAGAGATATCTCGTTCTACGATTAAAATCATTCGTCAACTATTAGCGAACAACAAGTTCTGTATCTTTCATTTGTCATTCAGGGAGTTCGTATTCAGATAAGAATTCTGCAGATTGGAATCGAACCAGCTCCCATCGTCGATTCTCTTTGGTTCATCATGATATAGTATCGTTCTATAATTAAAATTCTAATCTTTAATCGACCAGCAACGAACACAAAGTCCTCTATCTTTCATTTATTATTCTAGATCGTTGCGTAGATAAGAATTTTGCCCATCCCTGATCCACCGACGGATCAGCGTCCACGGATCCTCGAGTTTAGCCCTGAAAGTCGTAGCTGTAGAAATGGAAGAGGTTTATCGTAGTTAAGTAGTAAGACATTGCAATATTTTTCGATTCGTCTCTCGTTTTATTTCGTTGAACTTTGATGGAAGTGGGCGCGTGCGGCCTCAATAATCGTTTTACAACGTAGAAGGATACACTTAGGTGCGCATCGTTATCGGTCGATGCGCGAATCGAAGCAACGTGCTGCTTAGCCCGATGCCGTTCATACATACATACATGCATACATTCTTTCGTAACGTTCGCGAGCGCTATAATCTTGGACTTGCTGCACAATATAACTACCGGGACAAACCAGAGAACGTTCGTATTCTGATCACAATTAATTGCGATGGTCATCTGTTGCTTAAAGATAAGTACTATCGGGCCGATGATTCAAACCGAGGGAAAACGGTACCCAACAGAAAACGTAAATGTAATTTTTTGTGGCACGGGCCGAGAACGAGGGTTCTCCACATGCCAGCAGGCGACAACAAGGAATGTTGACCCGAGATCTAGGTTCACGTCACGTAGCTTTAGTTTCAGAAGCTTCTTCCTCTTTGTCCTCCACGTACCTTCGTAATTTAAATAATAAAGACTGATCGCTTTATTCATTCTTATCCATTCGCTTGACTTCTCGAGGCATCCAAGTAACATATCGGTGCGTTCCAGAAAATATTGCGAAATTTTAAACTCTTCCGCGGTGCAGTTTTTTTAACGAGAAGCAGGAGACCATAAATCATCGTACACCGATTTAGTTTTCGTAGTAACCGTGATTCAACGAATAAAAATTTTGTAATCCAGGATATTTTCTGGGACGCCCATCGTTCGATACTAAATTTTTGCAAACGTATTTCAAATTCGGCCTATTTTATCATAGAAAATAATGTCAGATGACTTTTCACATATAATAATTTGCACTCGTTACAAATTAGTCGCGCTCATTAGTCGTGAGATTAAGCATCGATCCCCATAGATTATCGATCCGTTACTCGGTTTACTGAACATTTTTTTCTTTTCAAGTCGTCTGGCGGACCCGATATTTCGTCTCGATTCAGTATCGTGAACGAACCGAGGGGAATAGAAGGAAATCGAGGATAAGCAATCTAGATCGATCGCGGAGGATCGGTGGGTTAGAGGATACTGCTGCGACAGCGTCGGCGGTTGCGCATTAATTTGTACGTTGCAGTTGTCGGGCGATAATCTCCCGACCGCGTGGGTGGATGGTTTCAGTCTTCCTTCCTCTTTCTGAGCTTGCCCTCCGTTTGAATTGTTTTCGACACGATATCCACGCAAGCCCCTAACGGCGCGCCGTTCGTCGGCTCTCCCTCGGGAGTATTGACTATCTTGCCGAGAGTCATAATGTAACTACAGGCGATCTTCAGCACGGACAGTTTCGAGAGCTTTTGATTGTGCGAGTAGGCGGGAATGGCGCGTCTCAGAGTGTCGAACGCGGCGCTTATCGTGTGCACCCTCGTCCTTTCTCTGGCGTTCGCCTCTATTCTCCTTTCGCGAGTCATGTTCTTGTAGTTCCTTTGTTGGCCGGCCGCAGGATGTTGCCTCGGGTGGCCGGTTTGCGGGCTCGGCGTCGCGGTTGTCGTCATCATCATCGTCTGGGAGGAACCGCAACCGTTCGTGCCGGAACGACGGTTCTCTTGACGATTGAGCAACACCGACGACGACGACGAGGACGTCGAGGACGACGAGGAGGAGGACGACGAAGCGGACGACACGTTCGCGTGGCCCACGGAGTACGAGCACCTCCTCTCGTAACTTCCGTTTACGGCAGGATGCGACGGCACTCTGGTGGCTATTTCGCCCCTTAAAACGAGCGCCAGCGGTTCCTCTTGCAGTCTCGGGTGCGTCGAGGACGATACCACGGGCATCGACGTCGACGTCACCGACAATGTTGTCGCGTTCGTGGACGACGACGCCACGCTGACCACCGTCGTCGCGTCCAAGTTCTGACGAGAGGATTCTCGCCTCTCGATTCGCGGTAGACGATTTTGCGTTGACTGGCGTAGCCTCGACGGCAGCTCTTCCGCCTCCGTTTCCCCTTGGGCGGCATTTTCCAGGGTCTGGCGGCTACGATCGTCCTCGTGGCCGCTGTCCTCGTAGACTCGATTCGAAACGGCGGTCGTTGCCGAGGGCAGCGTGCTCGACGGCAACGAGGAGGCCGTTTGGCAGGTTGGCTTCGTCCCCGTGGTCTGTTCCGCGCGAATCAGAGGCGAGATTTTCGAATCCACGCTCTTCCTCGAGCTGCTCCACGGTCGAAACGGGCTCGGCGATCGCGTCGTTCTCGATTCCTCTTCTTCCGCCACCACGGCCTCCTCGAACCTTCTCTTCTTCAATGGCGCGGTGCTAGGCTCTTGGATCTTCCTCGGTTCGGCGAGTTTTCTCTTGTTTCTCAACGATATCGGCGTCACTTGCACCTCCACGCTGTCCTCCGAGGCGCTCGGCGAGTGTAGCCCCGACATATCGTCCTCGTCTCCGCCGCTGCAGAACCCGGCATCCCTTTCGGACCCCGCCATGACACCCGCTGAAACCGAAACAACATTTGCCTGTTAGATCACGAAATTAGCGCGTTCATGTTACGTTGCGTTTAGATTCTACATTAATATCGTATAGTATAGATATATTTTCGAGCTTGGTAACTAGATTGCCGCCACTGTATCGCCTTATACAGCCCACCTTCCTCCTAGCAGGAGCACTGTACGCGACGGTGATGCTATCTTTGATGCGATTCCGTGGACGAGATCATTTCGTCTCGTCTCGTCTCGTATCGCCTCGTATCGCCAAGGAGACAGGATGTTTTCAGGTTCGGTGCGTCATCCAACTGGTACCATCTGGCGCACAGGTCTGGCCCGAGATTATAATACGCGTAACCCTCTTCTCTTTCCGTGTCCCTCGTTTCATCTCCCTCCCGCCATTTTATCCGCGTTATCGGTTTCGCTCTATTCGACGAATGGCCCACGATGTATGTTCGTCTATTTGTTGCTCGCCGCGCAATCTCTATCGTTCGTTCGCGCCGTACAGCAACGTTGTATTTTTGTCGTCGTTGACCAAAAGAAGATGAAAAATTTGAAAAACAAATCGATACCACGATCCTTCTGTATCTGACATAAATTCTATCGAAGATACCAGACCGGAAACGATTGAGGGGTGTTTGGCTAACCCCTCGTATCGTATAATACGAGGGAAAGTTGATTATCGTCGTGCAAGGGTTAAAGTATCGGTCACCAGTGACCACCGTGACAGTGAACGCGTTCTATTAATCGAATAGTCGCGGCTCTAATTCGTAATTGATCGTTGAAGTATTGGATTTTCACAGAGCGCGACGCACTCGGCGCGTCCCAGTTCCTCGATCGGAATCGAAGAGAGAGGAGGAACGTTTTATCCGTTGACCCGTAGTGGTCGCGTCGCGTCGCGTCGCGTCGCGTGCGTCGTCTTGTAAGTGTAAGTAGCGGCGGGCTATCTCGATTCGTCCCCGTCCATTTAAACGCTAGGAGAAGCGAGGCGCGGAGGGGAACGAAGACCACATGGCGCTGGCGCCAACCGCTGCTCCGCGTCGTTGTTCTCGTTTTGTTGCCTTTTGCGGAGTCGTACGGACGCGGGGACGCCGCGCGTCTACGATTCTACGGGTCGGGATCCGTTCTCCTCCCTACCGGCTGCATCGACGCCAACGTGCCTCTCGACCTCGACGTGCTGCGATATCTCGTCGACGATTCGATCCTCGACTGTTTGTCGTGGTAGTCGTAGTTGTCTCGTCTCGTCGGGGAACACGAGGTAACCACGAAACCTCTCTAATTGTAAGCCAGAATCAACCCTTTGCGGTCTTATCTCGACTCCGTTCCGACATGGAATTCTCCGACTCCTGTTACATTTATTTGTAATTAACGAGAAAACCCCCATTGATCCGAATAGAACCACAACGTTTAGAATTCAAATAGGAATACAAAAAGACGATATAACAGGTGTAAACAATTGTTATGTCAAGCAAGCGTAGTTTCAGTACTTTTCCGACACGTTTCATTGCTAGCATAGGTGCACACAGCTTTCCAAGTACCGTATGTGTACAGCCTGTCGCACGACGCTGCCATTTTGGATGTCAATATGGCGGCTGACGTACGATTATCGGTCCAATCGGAAAGACCCATTCGGTAGGATAAATCGTTGCATCCATGGTCTTCGATATTTATCGAGGATCGTGTGCCAATGGAAAGTTTCGCGTTGGACGTTGGATTTTTCGCGTGTTTTGTTGGAAATCGATCGAATCGCGTGCAAAATCGATTTACCTTTAGAACGGTTCGATACAGAGGCCTGCGTCGGTAGATAACGACCCGCGCACCTGGCGACAACGTGGTCCGCTCGTCTAAAGGACGCTTATCGCTGCTTCGATAAGAATTCTCTGCTTTCGATATTGAGCATGTGCTCGAGAGCGAATCGGTGGGAAACGAGGCGGGTGCGTGTGTACCTGTGCAAGCTCACACGCGTTCGAAATGTTTGCAACGAAACGAACCCATTTAGAGAGAGGGGAGCGCAAAATTCGAGATAACGAGAAAATCTCGGTCAAATTCTGAGCGTGAAAACGATGCACCCGTCGAGCACGTAAACAGGCAAAAAGAGAAGATCGATAGTGGTGTAAGTTCACCGTAATTTTGCCCCGAATTGATTACAAATAAAATTGATCGAGAAAGCAAATAGTTAAGAAACAAGAGGCAAAGTAACTTCAAATTTAAAAATGCTGAAAAATGTGTTATTCCGCGCGAAGAACGTTAACGGGGCACCGAAGAAACGTTTATGTTTCCGGAATGTTTGAATCTAAATATAGAACTTGTTTAAGCGACAAATCCATAAATATATACATACACGAAGATAAGTGAAGAGAATTTAACTCTATTTTTGCCTTTGTACCGAGCATTTGCGTAGCTGCCTGGAGGTTAAAGATATGGTTTTTAAATTCACTTCGAAAGGTTACAAGAAAAATAAAATTCACTGTACGATGGAAAACCCAATATTTTGGAAACGTTCAACATTCTCGTGAGTTTGATATGCGATTCCCGCGAGTTCGCCAAGTCGAAGGAAGTGTAAATTAGGGAGAGAGAAAGACTGAAGCTTGAAGAATCAGAAAAATGTCGGGAAAGCGTAATCGATAGCTTGGGACTGACTCGTTGGTTGAGCGCGAAATGTCGGTTACGTCGTGGGAGAAAACCGGTCTATTTCCACGGGATCCGGCTGACGCGGATGGAAAGGACACGTGTCTCTGGATTACGCTCGCGAATATCTCGCTGCCACCTTTGTCGTCCTGTTCGGCAATTGTTCAAACAAACCGAAATAACCGTGAACATCTGTGTAAACTCGCGCGAAGGCGCGTATCCACCACACGCGGCTGGATATCTCCGAGCGTTTCGTCGGAAACGAACCAACAGATACCCGTGACAGACGCCATACGTTCTTTCGTTTCGACGAGCGCTCGTTTCTCGTCCAACCTGATCTTCGCGTGACGCGCAATACATTTATTTTATTTATAAACCGAACGAACCCTGCTCTACACCGGGTTTCCAAACTCTTCACGAGGCTTTTCCATAACCCTTTCGATACCAATACGCAACGATATCTAAACCAAACGTCGTTAGGTAATCGCGAAAATTGTTTCACGCGTATCCCCAATATTGAGTCATCGACTTCTGGGACAACTGGCAGACTAACGAGCGAAAGTTTGACCCGCGATAAGTTCGAGAAAGCGTCTGCGAAAGATTTGCCCCTGTTTGTCGCGGCTGTCGAAAGAATCGGCCGACGAGGTTCGTTCGCGAACAAATATTTATTCGAGACGATTATCCGAATAAGAAAATTCACTGTACTTGGACAAAAGTGCTTCGAATCGCGAAAGGAGCCGGCCAGGGACGATCGAGAGTCGAAGGTATCGATCGTTCGATGAAACAGTCACAGATTTAGACTGCTCGATCGTTCGCGCCAGTATTCCTTCGTAATTCGCGGTCGCAGACGACTCCGTCGGTCCGCGGAAGCTGTCAACGCCGCTCCCTTCCTTCGTCGGGCGTCCTTACGCTCCAGAAATAGTCGAATGTAGCGTTTGTGGATTCAACTGTCTCGAAATAAGAAGGAGAAGGAACCGCGGCCAACTTTCGCGGTGATTATAAATAAACGACGTGGACTGGCACGGGAACGAGAAGAAGGCGAAGAAGCAACGCGTAGACGCATGCAGCGAATACCAATCTCTCTCCCCCCTCCTCTTTCTATCTCGTCGAATCAAAAGAATCGACGGGCCACGATGTCGATCTCGATCTTTGGGACGAATGCAAATTTTTAAAATCAAAGCGGGGAAAAGTCGAAGTTGCTGGTCCGTTCGAACGCGTCGGAATGCGAGTCGATCGGCCGATTCTCCGTTCGATTCCCTTGTTCCGCTGCTCGCGGAAGAGGAAAACGAGCAGCCGAGCGTCATATCTCTTTGACCCCGAGGAGGAAGAGTCGGCCCCGATGAAAAGCGAGGCGGAGGAGAACGGATAAGAGGAGTAGGAGGAGTCGCCGCTAGCCAGATGGTCCACGCACGAGTTTAAATCGATATCGTTGGTTGCGGCAGCGGCGCGACTTCGAGCTTTTCTCGGCCCGTCGATTCCTTCGACGTCTTCCCGCCCGTTGTGCTTGCGCCGAAATGCCCCCGACCGTTCTCGTCGAATTTAGAAACGAACATCTGTTCCCACGCGGTACACCGAAGCTCGCGCAAATGAAACGATTTTACCCCGGTTAACTGAAACGGTACCGTCCTCGCCATCGTTCGAGGTTTCTTCGATTCTTGGGGACGGACATTTTCGAGCACGAAGTCTTAGAAATTAGTATCGATTAATAATTTTATTTTATTTGTACGCCATTTCCAATGAATTTCTAATCAACATCGATACTTGCGGTGTAAAAATTCTCCCTGCTCGTATGTGGGTCAGTGAACGCGTCAAAAGCATTCGTTAGTTCTGTTATTTTACTACTTTAGTTTGCGTTATCAGAAGCAAAACTCGAATTGAGTTGTAATGCATGTTATGTATGTCGCCGTTGCGGCGCCAGTGGAGTGCAAAGGGTTAAAACGATGACGCACGCGTATCGGTCCCGACAGCTACTAATGCAAATTAAAAACTTTTGTATTTCTCATTCTATCTTCGCAAGAACATTATCAATGGCTCGATTCTATAATACGTTCGTCGATATAGCATTCGGACGAAAGCACGAGTTCGATTAACTGAAACGCATCCGTCTCGATTTGGTTGCAGTTACGCGGGCGATACCGTGCTCCGCAAGGTTACCGTTTCGCGGTACGCCAATCGGACGAGCGTTCTATCTTCTCTAACCAACGTCGCTCGCGGCGCGAATCGCACAAATATTTGCCTCGCGAACGTAAACGCGAGACGCGACATGCGCGCGTTCCAAGAATATCGATAGCGTAGCTGTGACCGCGAGCGAGATATCGACTGGTCGCGATACGCGAACCGATCTTCCGCATGCTTCGCGTCTTCTGAATGAACCGAGAGTGCGCGCGTACCGATAATCGAACGACGCCGCACCGGGAGATGCGAATCGTTCGCGACGATAAGGAAACTTCTCTTCGCTAGTCGCGACCTTGTCTTTCGACCTTTGTCGACGATCCGTTTCCACGATCGAACTACGTACTGCGTCGTCGACGTAAAAAAGAAACTGTGTCGATACGGTGCACGCAAATTCGTCAGTTTCACTCGGTGCGTTTAAGAATGATAATTTTAAAATTAGTGATCGAAAATTTTTAATTTCGACAAAGGTCGAGGACCAGATTTCTGGGTATGGAAAAGTGGCGTGGCAGTCAACCTGTTAAGGAAAGGAAGGTGGTTGAGAGAAGGTTGGCTGCGAAAGACTACAGGTCCAACGGAAGAGGTCCGGTTCAGGTAGCAGGTGCGACTTTGCGCACAGGTGGGTGGAAGGTTCGGCGCTTACCGCAGCACCCTTCGTCCCTTCCCCCTCGATCCTCCCTAACCAATTCCCCTTTGCAGCGTTCCTACCTGTGCGTACCTGTGCCACGCACAATAGGGTATCGATTACGTTCGAGAAACGGTGACGGTAAAATCTGGTTTAACTGGTAATCGCATTCTTGGAACTATCTTAATTCCGGAGTTCCGAGGACCGATTCCAAGGGTTTCCCCGCGACAAACAAACGCACCCGACGCGCCCTTAATGTTATTCCCTTCGTTTATCGATCCGTTCGATCGATCGTTCCGATAGGCGATTTCACTTTCCCGCGAAATAATTGAATCCAGAGAGCGGAGGAGGTATTTGCTATCGGTCGAAACTCGATACACCTGTTCTGATTTTTTGGGGGGGTGGAATACATCAAATATGTTTGATCGTTCCTTTACGTATCTATCGTCTATCATATATATTTCTAACTATAAATAGTCAAACTGATAATGAATTATATAAACCATAAGCGTGGAGTGTCCAACAGGTGTGCACGCAAACTTCTCTAACTTACTGCGTAGTTAAATACAAAACAAAAACTACTTTGTTCAAAAGTTTGCAACATTTTACTTACAACGGGGAATCAATCTCCGATAACGATAGTCGATTTCAAGAGCTACAGAAATAGCACTGTATAGAGAAAAAATTACACGTAAGCGTAGCCTTACGCGGGGAAAATTTCTCAACGAAAGAATCTGTGAGAATATCAAACTATTTGATCAGACATTCCATTCAGCGCGGTAAACGCATCTGTATGTGTTATTAATCTAACCGAGGTTAGGTTAATGACAGCGTATAGCTGTACCTCCGCTTTGCACCTAGCGTACGTTTACAGCGTATGTAACCATGTTTAGAATTTCTTATTTTCATTCAATTCTGCAGTGTTAATGTTTCGACAGAAAGTCGTGAAACTTGGTAATTTTTCTAGGACTTTTAATTTGGTAGGTTTTACATCGATATCGAGAAAATTCGACACCAACGTCACCAGTTCATTTTTTGTTTGAGTACGACAACGTTGGTCCCGCGAATCAAGGTAACAGCGTTACCGTCAACGATCGAACGTTGCGGAAATCGAATCGCTTAGTCATTGTTTCCATATTATTCGGGTTACCCAAAGGCCAAAGGTGTCGAGTCAAGTCGCAAAGCAAGATTTGAAACATAGCGATTCGAACGAAACAACTAGAACAATTTTAAATATTTTTACCACGAAAGAAATTATCCAATATGCCTACTCCTAGTATCGCTCGTAAGCGTTAAAATTGATCGTTCGCGAGTCCACTGACGAATTATAGAATTTGAAGAAACGTTTTACAGCGTTTCGTCCGCGCCTTAAACGTCGGAGGGGTCCTTTACCTTACAAGGTAACGAAGAAGAAAAATGGATATGTTCGGGATAGCAAGGTCGAGCAGCGTCGATATCGGCGATAGGAAAGATCGGGGAGAAAAAAAAAGTTCTGGATAAACGTGGAACGCGGTGGTCCGTCGATTAGACGTCGAGTTTGGAGTTTGGTCAAGGGGTCGTTTGTTCCGTACGAGTTGGTTCGCCTGCTGGCTCGTCTGTGCGGCAACCCACGCTGGCGCCGCCGCGCCCTGTCTCCCTCTCGCATCCTCCTTCTCGATCAGCCGTCACTTCTCTCCTCCCTCGACTTACCATTCCTTACCGTCTGCGGTCTCTCTCAGCCTCTCGGACGTAGGTATATCTGCTGACGCACACACATGCAATTTCTCTCTTTCTTTCTCTCTCTGTCTGTCTAGGTGACTCTCCGCGTCCGTCTGTTTCTCGCAGCCGCGCGACTCCGTTCCTCCGTGGCTGCTGAACCAGTCGATCTCTCGCTCGGGGACGGCTGGCGCCGTTCATAACAATAATTATCGTTCTTCGCAACTCCCACCAGACAGACTATCAATCGACCGAACGGCGATTCTATCGCGCTAACGCTTATGGTCCTCGATCTGGCAACTCCTAGCGACCAACGACAAATCCCACCGATTCTTGATCGCTCGCCAAACGGAGCAGCTTTTCGTTTTTCGCAATTTTCGTACGGAAATTCGGTTACCGCGAACGATCGATGGTTGGATCGCGAGATCGACGGGGCTTCGTCCGATTCCACCGATGCACCGGCGCTGGGAATACTTTCGTTCGAGCAACAGACGCGATCGAACGATCGCAGCAATCGATCGAAATTGTAATTCATATTTAACGCGCTGCCCGGATGGAAAGAAATCCCCTCGATCTCGTTACCGCGCGATATCATGGATCTTTGTTTGAATATTCACCTTTCATGAAAGCAGACAGCTCGGAGGTGGATTCCACCACATGATGGGTCATTTTCGTCGGTGATTGCGAGGGCGCGATCGCGCACCACGAGACGCGGATTTCGAACACAGTCTTCTATTCTAGATCACTGCACACGCACTAGTTTCATAGGGTGAATTCCAGGTACACGTGCGGGCCGGACAGGTTTTTTCGGATCGTTGCGTTGGTCTCTGTACCTTTCCCCCGTGCGGGTTGAGTTTCGATCCTTGCGACAGGTAATCCAATGTAATCAGAGTCACTGAAAAAACTTGATGGCGAGCGACGAAAAAAGGTTGGCCCGAGTCCAAGGACTGGAGGGAATCGAGGATCGCGGAAGTGCAGCCGGTCCTCGTTCGATCGCGGTCGACGATGTACTGACTCGCCTCGTGCGTTCGAGCCTCTTTCATCGGATACGCGTGCGAGGGAGTCCCGACTGGCCTGCGACTTTGCTGCCTCTAACGTTACCACTACCAACGTGACCACTACCAACGCGCCTCCGTGTCGACCTAACCGCGCACGTACACCACTACCAACCCGATGCTAGTCGTTTCTTTTACCAACCACGGGACCACTACCCACGAACGGATCTATGTAGTAGCGTTATTCTACTACGCGTTACATTCTACGATAAGGCGCGGGCAGCGAAACATCGTCTCTGTGCACACACGGAAACTCGATCGGCTAGCGCGACACGGAGGAGCCTCGAGCGTGTTGTCCGGTCCATGATTCAACGGGACGGAGGTTCGTTAGAAAGGATCCCACGAGAGCGGTGTCGTCGTTGATGATGGCGCACCGTGATGGTGGTGGTGAGGTGCGTCGGTGTTGGTGTTGGCGTTGACGGTGGTGACGGTGGCAGGCCAAGGGGGCGGGAACGGGGGAGAGGTGTGCGGCGCGCATTGTTGGCGGCAAGAGGCAGCGGGGGCCGCCAGAACGGCGCCAGCCGGCCGAGAGTTTGACTCGGCTTCTCCGAGCCGTTCATCTTTCTTCCTCTCTTTTATCTTGGCGTTACCCGATGCTCTTTCCTCCTGCTTTCTCGCTCTTTTCCCCCCTCGCCGGTCCCGGCGCGGCGCGAGTGTCTTAAACGTTCTCGATTCGATTTCGAGTCAGCAGCCACCCGCGGCGGATCGTAACGCGCGGGACTGTGCCGTCGGGTCGCGTCGCCTCGCGTCTCCTCACGAACGACTACGCGCGTGCAAGAAGCGCCAGTTTACGGGACACGCATCGACCACCGTGTCGAGAATCTCTCTTTGGTCAACGAGGACGTTTACCCGTACCACTCCTCGAAAACGCCAACCAAACTTCAATTTTCCTCTTGAGGATCCATGAAATCTTCATCGGAGATTCTCATCGCTCAGAAACTCAAACAATTTTTAAACTTTAGGGACACGTAGATCAGATGGATTCCACGACTCGAAACGAAACGATAATCAAAAGTAAAGGAATTGCGTAGGAGGAATTTGAAACAGAGTTTTCGTTTGTCCATTGCTCGTTGCCGTAAACATTTAGAAACAATTGGCCAATAAAACTGAAACGTTCGCAGCTCCAAGTGCCGCAGCAATTAATTTCTAAAGAATCACGGACATTTACAGCTTTTAAGGCGGTACAACCCCTTGAACCGTCCTGTCCCACTCGGGCCCCTTCGTTTTCAGTGTGCCTTCCCCCGCGTTGGTCATCCTGCGAGCCCATGGCCTGGCAGGATGGTTTTTACGGCCGCCGCGTCACGTGTACTTGGCCACGGGACGACAAAGGGTCTGCTTTCTACCCCCGCTGGACTATTTACGACCCGAAAAATCCTTCGAACGGTCTTGGTTTCTCGATTGTGGTGCGGGCCGCGGCTGCGCTCCGTCGTCGTATGGTCGACATCTGCTGGAGCCCAGCCATGGTAATCCCCAGTTACAACCGGTCGGATCAACGGCGACGCGCTTCGCCCTAATCCGATCGGTTAATCGCACCTTTGTAACTTTGCGTTCGCGTCCGCTCGCGGTGGGCCAGATTTAAAAATCAATCGTTCGAATGAATGTTTTAAAAAACATAATTCACCTAAATTATAGGAGCTTAATCTCTAATCTGTCCGTCAAACTGACGCACGGTTGTCTATCGCGACACGCTTCGCGTCATTCACGATGCACGGTGCTTTTTTTTTGGAGCAGCTGGCTGGGCGGAACGGAAGTGCTGAAATGTTTCGCAGAAAAAAACATATCGTAAATTAATACTTGCATCAACCTGTAATATCAGCTTGAGCTTGTAATTTAAAAGTTTCGCTGAGAATGTTCTTCAGCGTCCCACCCTCTAGAATCGCCCTTATGGCACGAATGTTGTAACTACGTACACCCGTTGCATCGTTTTATCTTTCTTCCTACCGATCGATTATATGAAAATTCGTTTACGGAGAACGGTTTCCCCCAGTATTATTTACGACAGCCCACGCTCCACGCACGTATTTATTAGGCAGGATTTTCCTCGACGTCGCCATCGTGGGTCGTCGAAGAGAAAGCGAATCGCCGTGACAATTAGTGAATATTTGTAAGAATGCGGAAATACCGCCGTTGGAGTTTCCAAATCCGTTTGGCTCGCGAGGGCGGTCGGTCGGTGCCCTTGGGAATTTCCTTGGCCTTTTTCGTCACATCTGGCAGACACACGCATCCCGACGAATCCGATGGCCTGCTCGCCTTTTCTCTTTAATACCCTTAACGCACCCCTATACGTGCATATGCTTCGCAGATACCGGACGAACGCGTTCGCACCAGGGGTTCTTGGTTCCTCCATCGCCCTTGTCGGTCTTCGTTCGGCGTTGGCCATTTTATCGGGACGTAGAAATTTGAAAATTTCGCCCGAAAAAACGTGGAACTTGATCCTTCGTCGTAAATAATATTTTTTCGAACCAACGAACCAGTCGAAAATTGTTCGGGACGAACAAATTGTTAAACCGATCGGCGGTCGCGGTAACGAAATGTTTCCCGTTGATTAGAAACGTACGTCGATTCAACGGGAAACAAATTGAACGATGGCACGAGGCCGACAGCGACGGAAAAGCGTTGTTCGCAATTTTCGAACCAATCGTTTGGATAAGGCCGGGACCACATGTTCCGCGAAACGTGGCGCGATCGGTACCGAGATTCGGTATCAACAAAATATCGGCATGGTGCAACTGTTCGCGGTCGTAACGTCGAGTGCGTTGCGATAGGAAACTATTACTCGTTGATAGCAAGCGCGATATCTTTCGGTTGTACTTAGAAATTTAACTGTCCGCAAACAACGCTCTTGGCACCTGCATGGACTCGCGAATTCCATCTCGTTGGCCCATCTTTGTAATAGATCATCGACAAGGATAATTTAGTAATATTCGAATCATAACAAGTTCGTAGTTCTCGAATCTCGAAACACGCGGAGGTATCGAGGTTTCGACTGTCCCGTTGCTAGGATTTTTAGCTCGAGGCCGTGATCTCCGGTTTCGAGCGAGAGTACACACACCCTCGGTGCGATCGATCGCGGCATCTGGCACGATAAGCTTTCTGCTCGGAAGATGCTCGCGATGGTTCGACGCGATCGGTGTTCGTTGTGCGTGTACGCGGTAGTAACCTGTCGGGCAAGTTTGGCAAGGGTCCTCGGTTCTCCGAGGGCGTTTGCGATTTGTCAGTCTCCCCACTGTCGTAACTAGCGGCACACGCACCTGCCGTTGCCTTCTTGGCTGCCAGTCGCGCGCTAATAAATCTTATTCCACGGGGCCCGCTCCGGCCGCGTCCACCTCGTCCATTTAATTGCTCTATCGCACGGGATTCGAGAGACGAGAGAAGGCAAACGAGCCGCGCGAAACATTATCGATTCCCGCGACTCGTACGCGACTCGGCGCGGACGTAACTCGTTTTCTTTCCGTTTGCTGTGCGATTAAAACGAGGGACGCGCGTGTGCGGCCGCCGGACGTTTACGTGGAAGCGCGCGAACGACGTCACAGCGGCATGTGCGTACTTTATAATCTCTAAATATTTGATGGGCGGACCGCGCGGCTGCGTTCGCATCTGCGCCAGTGTCAGCTTCAATTATTAAAGCTTTGCCATATGTCCTCTCTTTTCGTTGGTTATACGCGTTCCCCTTCGCCCTGCACGTCCCGTTTCGTTTCGTCTTCTTTCTCCCTTGATCCCTTTAGCCGATAGCCACTTTCTCGTTAACTCGATTGCCACGCAATTGCCTCTGCTACCACGCGTCCCGTTCCCGAGGTAAGTTTTGCTCGATTGGCATCTCCTCGCGGTGTTCTTTTATTCCTCCGTTCAGCCCCTCGACTCGACCGTGCTTTTTCCACCACGCGAGAATGATTACAGATTATAGTTCGAGCACCAGTTTCCTTGGAAAGAGTCAAACATTACGGTGGTTGATAATAAAAATTGCATAGTCCGTGCCTCTCAGAAAAATTCTAAATGGTTAAAGTCGGGACGAGTCTCATGGGCGAGTTTAATCGCACGATGGGAGCGGGTTTCGCGCAGACGGGCAGAAATTGGACCAAGCTTGTCGCGGAGCAGACGGCGTCCGATAACGCGATGATGGTTCCACCATCGGCTTGCCTTCTGTCTCGCTGGACACGAGGGCGCTCTTTCAATTACCACGACCGGATGGTAGGTCGCATCGCCTGCCAAGGGGGACAGTTGGATACGAGCGCGGATAGATCGACAGATATACGCGCGCGTTGCATCTGTGCTAAAAATGCCCGCTAAACTCGAAGAGGAGACGATAGGGGAACACTCGTCCGTGTCTCGGGAGGCAAAGCGTGCGGAATTCGTCGTGAAATTCGATCGGTTTCGGGCGTGAACGCGGTGGATGATTGCCAGTCGAGGGAAAGACCGCTCCGTCGTTAGGGACGAATCGATATCGTCGAGTTATCGATACCACCGCTCGTTACTCGCCTCGATAGAGCCTATCCTCGACTACTGGTTACCGAATCGAACGCATGTTTTAGTCATTCGATTCTCACGACAAAGTTTGAGAAAGGTAGCCTTCTCTCCGAGCTGGAAATATGTTTATACGCGCGTAAAATTGTTCGAGTTACGGGCTGAAGAAACATTCGAACGCATGGACAAACAAAAATTCTGAAAATACGTTTTATGACAGCGTCGTTGGACGGGTGAAAAAATATAAAAAATTCGGAGGAAAAACAAATTTTCCAAAAATACTTACAGATTTGTTTATGCGCGTCACTCGTTTGATACGAGCGGGGGTGGGTGTAGCGGAGAGTATTGAATATTTTTGAAAATTGATCCAGGGCGAACTTGCGACCGAGTTTCTTCCGATAGCTGTCCCTTTCCGAAGAAGTCGAGTTTCTCTTCGGAGTCAAGGTTGGCCATATTTACGCGATTACGGTCGATGGCTTGGGAAGCAAGGCAGGTGGCGAAGGCAACGCGTAGCCGAGAGAACGTGCGT